AGCAAAACAGCCAAGGTAATGTCAGCTGACAGAAAAAATAGCCAGTAAACGGTAAGACTGCAAATATTGTTGAAACCTAGCCAACAGGTGCATATTGAGCTCCCTAATATGTTGATTTACCTCCAAAAATAGCCTCATACCTGCCTATATTTTCATTTCACTGACCTTTACTGAGCATTACATTTATACAGTCTGCAAACCTGATCACAGCTTTACTGAAGCCTTTGAGTTTAAAGCTCCTGTGAGTAATATTTGGTTTGTGCTGCTTTTGACACCACCTTGTGGACACCCCTTCCTTTATCTCTCAATTGTTGTATCCTGAACTTATAGGGGTAGTGTTTCCTCCTACTCTCTTTTAAAAGGCAAATGCATAACTCTGTAGTGGAAAATATAAAGAAAAACCTTATAGCAGCATGTCATGAATCACTTCATCTGTCAGCGACCCTGCAGCAGCAGTTTCCAGGCATGACAACAACAAAACTGTAAATAATATACTGTGTTCATTATGGTCTCATTTGCTTTTGCAGCCCATAAGGTGGTAACAGTAATCTTTTAGTTATTTTCAAAACCATCAAAAAAACAAACAAACTCCTCACAGGAGCTTTAACAACCTGAGCATGGATTTCCTTTTGTTAAATTCTACAATACTTTCTTTATTGGTCATGAATGTTTAATGTTACAGATAAATGCTTTGAATCTAATTAAAAGAAAAAAAATACAAGCTTCTAGAGGCTTTAACACATCCTGGCAATCTCTGGCCTACAGCATATTTGAAAGTTTGCATAAGACAAATATATAACATGATGACAAACATTTCTCTGGTAAAAAAAAAAAAAGGTGAGAATTTAACAAGTAAATAACACATAATCATTTCAACTTCTGTCAAAAACATCTTATAATAATTTAAATAAATACATACAATAAATTAATAAATGAACAGATTAGAAATAAATAAAAATAGCCAACAAACAACAGCATTCCATACATTCGCACTTAGAACATGTTTTCACAGTCACAATCACTCAGTAATAACTGTCTATGGCTGTGGTTCATGCTACACTTACATTTATTCAGCTTCATCTAGCCTGCTATGTGTCATTGCTATACCTTCACTAAGTCTTTGTATGTCAGACTTTCTAATACTCAAGTGTAGCCATATAATATATGAGGAGTAGTAGTGATATTTTAGCCTTAACAGACTTAAAAGAGCTTCAGGGGTGACAACACTGTTAGAAAATCAAACTGGTTAAACTTTCTGTTGACAGTAAATGGGCTGCAATTCAAGTCTAAACAGATTTTTGTTTCAAAGAGTCTCAGTGAAAAATCAAAAGGGATGCACAAAAGTATCTGAAGTCATGAAAATTGGCTGATACAGGCTTTAAAATTAAATACTTGCATTTCTGTGAGACTAAACATTGACTTTCTTTTTCTGTTTGGACAAAAACTAATTATTCCCTGCACACTTCCATTCAACAGGAGGCTGACATACTTTAGTTTTACTAGTACTGAAACAGTTTTTTCTTTTTTTCTCAGTGCATCTGAACATCAACTTGTTATTCACCAAGTTTAAAATGTAACAATAATGCAGTACCAAATGGCTCCACAGGGTGGTGCTTGATTTACGTTTTGATATTGTTCATTTTCAATCTCATAAACTCGATGGTGTTTGTTCAGTCTATGAACTGTAAATCAGACGAGACACCATGAGTGTTTGCTGACTGTGAAGCTAAATAATTTAGAGCTCCCTCTGCAGATGAGTCACAATCCTGCCTCCACCATGCAGACAGATGGAGCATGGGTCAAAACAGAAAAAATAAAATACACATCAACTAATTTTTTCCTCAAACAAGGTTATGTTGTTACATTTACCTGTTATCATGCAGATTTGTTTTAGTTTTAGTTTTAATGAGCTATCTGAGGTTAAAAATGACTGACAGCTGTGTTGGCAAAGGGAGGTTCTGTGATAAATCACAAGGGTAAAGAGATTTCTTTGGTTGAATCATTTTAAATGCCATCTTTCTAACCACTGTAAAACTATGTTCGATTTTGATGATTTTGTTTGTTAAACCCAATCCCAATAGAATCCATTTTAATCTAAATATTTAGCGTGACTGCATATACTATAGAAGAGTTTTAGGGAGTTTCTGTACTGTACTATGACATAAGGATAAAAATATGTGCATATCTGGATCTATAGACATCCCAAATAACTGACTGTGTAACCCTTAAATACAGTTTTTAAAATGCCTATTAGGTATGTTTTTTTCTATAACACTGCACTGTCAGAAATCCTCCTGCTGCCTAAATGCTTCAGATAAGTTAAAATTATAACATCAAAGATCTATGCTCCTCTTATGTAAGGTGAAGAATGTATAATAAAATCTGTACATACTTTATTATATTCTGCATTATTACTGTTAAACTTTTAGAGCTATCTTTGGTGGAAATATTTATTTGCAATAGTGAAAATGGTGAAATGTAAAACACTCTATTGTGTAAAGATGAGACACTGATGTGTAGAAATAAAGGTCTTTTTTTAATGATATATAAAGTAGTGAGATAAGCATCTGTTAAGATTAATGTACTGAATATAGGATTGGAAAACTGTGAATAAACTGTAAATCATAACTCTGGTACAGATGCAAAAAACAGACATTTAACTTGATGACATCACCTACATTTAAATGTGTGTAAAAATAATTTAATAATTGAAAATTCGAAAAAGGTCGTTATGCTAACTCTAACGATGTGAAACAATGGGACCGCCTTAAAGGACCACAAAGGTTTCAGTTTAAGAAAGAGGAGCTTTACTGTGCTCCGTTAAATGTGCACAGGCTTACTGAAACGATTCAACATATTTTCTTAAACAGGGATGTGACCAGAAGGGTGGCCAGTGGTGGTGTTGCCCCCCCCCAACAAAATCTCTGCCTTGTCAGGGCTAGGATTAGTATTTATATTAACAATGTAGGATGTGTTTGCAGACGGACAGTAGCTTTTTTTTACTTTAAATGACGTCAATTTTCTTTGTGAATGTTTTAAATATGACTTTTAAAAAAAATCATTATTTTAAGATGTAAATCTTTGATAACAGAGTCTTGTTTGGTCTTTGACCTGTCCACAAGTGAAAAAAATTTCAGGTCACTCAAACTAAAGACTCTTCATAACATCTTCTGAGGAGTAGATGTATAACTGTGTGTTGTGTGGATTCCTGCGACAGGCAACACTGGCATTATTACCTGAACGTACACATGGCAATTGTTGTTTTGATGTACTGTACGAAGATGGCAGGAGTAGAGTTTGATTACATTGGCCTTGTGCTGTTTAACTGCTTGTTTACAGGAAACCTACATTTATTTCATTATCAAATAGTAGCATGGAAGTGACGTCTCCCTATTCCTCTATGCAATAATCAAATCACAATTCAAATATTATGGGTATAAATAGAGATTATTTTTATCCCTTTATACTTAAATGAGCACTGGGAGATTGTCTCTTGTGTACCTAAGTGTGTGTGGGTGAAAGTGTGTCACTCTTTGTTGACAGCAACTCTCCTTTAGTGAGATTTGTATATTTATGTCGCAAGAAGCCTGTAGGGGGCAGTGTGTTATACAGACATACAGCTCCCTTGTGGGAAATTCTTGGGCATGTAAGAGATAAATACAGAATAGGGTTATAAAATTAAACTATGTGTGGAAAGTCTAAGGCTGTATTCCTTCAAGCAGCCAGTAAATGTTAATATAAACACTTGAAAGCCAACCTGCAGATTGCCCTACCTGTTAGCTACCTTATTTTATATTTTCACAATAATTAAAAAGTCTCCTTTAAATAAAGCATGATGCTCTCATCAGTGATAGTCTTTTTAAAAGTAGGTTACACTTTAGGGCTTTGCTACTACTTCCATATTTGTTCTTATGGGATCTTTGAGGATGTCTTTTTCTATATTAGATCTCACTCTGATTGTCCTTGGACTCTTAAAGGACTACCTCCTTTCTCTTTAGTTGATCTTTCATCAAACTATGTCAGTGTCATGTAGCATCTTCTAAGCTTGGCAGTAATTCAAAGAAGTACAAAAAAAACCCACCATCGGATAACAAAATGAACATAAAAAAAAGTTTCATCACCAACCTCTGCATTGAAGTGTTTTAGGCATGGTTTCTTTTTTCTGCCACAAGTGCTGCTCTTCCTGATATTGTGCCCACACAAGAAGTGCAGATGAGTGCAGCAGTGCCTCACTACGAAACAGGTTAGCTTTTGGGAAAAGCGGGCAAGCCGGTGATGCTTTGGTAAATGTTGTGTACGCAGAGATAGAGCTGCTTTGCTGGTAGAGCAGGGCCCTCCTCTTCACTTGTTAAGCTGTGAGCAGATTGCGAGTTGCTCTCTCAACCTGTTCTCCACGTTGACAGGCTGGTCCACAGACTCCAGTGGGTTCCTCTTAATATAGCTGAAGTAAATAAAGAAAAATTTCTCTCCGCACTGGCTGTATTTCAAACCAGACCCTCCCAGCAGCTCACTTTAGTCCTCTCTGCAGTCTCCACGATGTAGTATGCATCCATTTCTAGTTTTTACGCTTGAGCAAGTGGGCTGCTGATCCTTTTTAATCTTATACATTTCAAGTGATTTTGTGATTTCCAATCAACAAACAATCCAATTCAATCAACCAACTAGTGAGTCCCACCTCTCAGCCAGTCTGACACCTGCTGTTCACTTGGTCTTGGGCACCACCAGTATTTCATCACCGTCCTGGATGCTGTAGGAGTGGAGAGCACGGGTGTTGTACTTCATCTCCTCAGGACCGAAGGCGCTGCACTTGTCAATGTAGTAAAGCCTCATGTTGTTGGTGGACAGCTGCACCACGGTGGTCAGCTGCTTTTTAAGCTCAGCTACTGTCTGGTCCAAACGGATGTTCACCTACAACAAAAATGAAAATAAAAAAGATCAGCCAAAAAGACATGTTTTCCCAAGATGAAGCTGAGTTTTATCGTACCACGCCTACAGAAACTTTACAGCATTCAAGATACTCCACCACTGAACACACCTGCTGCACTTTTTCCTCACAGTGAACCTCCACCTGGGCACGGCAGCGAGGTCGAAGGTCAATCTCAGCAAGTGGTTCCAGCTTCCCGTACTTGGTCACCAGAGAGTGGTATCTAAGAGGGAACAGATCATGGGGTGGTGTGTTTAATTGTTACCTAATAAACAGAACCAGGATTTCACGGATGCCCAACGACTAACCACACCCTGCCTGAGCAGTATTGTAGGACCTAAAGTGGGACTGACAGCCCCTTCCTCCACTTAGGCCCTTTGATTTCTTTACAGCAGAATTTAATTATATAATTACAATAATTTCTGTTGTTATGTCTATCATTTTTAGTATGAAAAGATGGTTTAAACATAAAACTCATTCATTCATCCACTATGCGGCTTCTCCCTTTCAAGGTTGTGGCTGGGCGGGAACCTATCCCAACTGTCATCAGGCGAGAGGCAGGGTACACCCTGAATCAGTCGCCAGTCAATTGCAAGGCGACGCAGAGAGACAGAAAACCAGTCACACTCACACCTAAGGACAATTCAGAGTCACCAATTAACCTAACGAGCATGGTTTTTGGGAGGAAGTCGAAGTGCCCGGAGTGAACACACGCATGTACGGGAAGAACATGCACATTTCCCACAGAAAGGCCCTGCCCGACCCGGGGATTGAACCACTGACCTTCTTGCTGTGAGGAATGTGCACTGCCTGCAGCGCCACTGTGCCGCCCCTTGAACTGAATTATTTCACTTTTAAATCTGAAATATAATAATTCAGTCCTCACGAAGTTGATTCATTCTTGAAAATGTTTATGGAGAGAATTTGAAAGTTTGCAAATCCTTAAAACCCTGTGTTTGGTTATAAATAGTGTAAAGACAACAGAAAAATATTGAAAATGAAAAACATTTCTGTTTCATTACGAACATATGCTCAGTTTAAATCCAATCCCAATAGTACTTCAAAAATTAGGGCATGTTTACCACTGTGTTGCATCGCTCCATCTATTAACGTAACTCTGTGAATGTTAGGGAACCAAAGAGACTAGTTTCTAGAGTTTTCACCATGAATGTTGTCGTGATCTTGCCTGATATAAGATTTCAGCTGCTCAATGGTTCAGGGTCTCTTCTGTTGTGTTCCCCATGCTCTAAATTTTTTCAGTGGGTGATAATGGTTTGGTATTGTCTTGCTGAAATATGCAAAAAAGGCAGAGTCCCGATACTTTATACTTCAAATAGTGCATTTTTAGCCTGTTTCTGTTAATGCAGCAATTAACTGTGTTCAAATAAAACTGCATTTGAAAGGGATGTTGTTACCATGCAGTGAATTCCACGACAAAGTCATGGCTGTTTTTAACGCAATGCCACTTTGGGGCCTAAAGATCCTGAAACCTCCAGCACTTGATGATATCATGTACTGTAGACTAAGAAATCCCCAAAGTCTTTGCAATTTTTCACTCAGTCCAAAATTGCTGGACCATATAAACCCACTCATGCTACTTACCTGTTGCAAATTACACTAATTAGATGTGAGATCTTTTCATCAATCATTACTCAAGGTCAGACTTTTTTAAAATGTGTTGCTGGCATCGAACATTCTGTATAATGAGAATATATTTTTCATGAAACAATAACATCTTTCACCTTCAATATTTGACATATTGTCTTTGCACATTTTTTTATCAAATACAAGAGAAAATGAATTGCAATTTTTTTTGCCTACATTTTGCACAGCCTCCAAACTTTTTTGAAATTGGGGTTGTACGTTTTTCCTTAACACTAGAAGAGTACATTTCAAAAACATTGTACAGTACTGAAGTAGACTTTAAAGTTCATTTAAGACCGCAGACTTACCAGGAAAAAAATTGTACAAGGATTCAAAATGAACCGGTATATGCAGTTATTTTACTAGCTTTGTGCAATCGCACTTTCTTTGAGTCTACCCCTGCTGGCCATTGAAGAGACTGCAGGTTTTTTCTTCAAGAGCTACAATTGAAGAATAACTTCAAGCACCTAAATCCTCTTCTGTTAACAGTTTATGGTCCATATACACTTTTGAAGTACAGACTATGTATGTAGATTACGTACCTGTAAGGCAGCTCCTCTTCAGGGTAGTCTAAGTGGTAACGGATGAAGAACCTCTCAGCGTCTTCTCTCTCACTGTCGCTCACAACACTGCCGTTTAGCGTCGATATTGAAGGAAGGCTGTGAGGGAACAAAAACACACTGCTATATGTAGTTTAGGGTGTTTATGACGCAGTGGCTCATAACATGCTAAAGTGATGCCCCTCCACTCACTGTGCTATCATAAGGCTCCGTCGCTCCACGTTAGTGTAGGTCTGCAGTAAGGGAATGCCCTGCAGCCGCACCTCCTCCAGCTTGGGGAAGAAGTTCAGCTTCTCAATGTCATCCCAACGGTTGAGACCTGAAAATATACCAATAAAGCCAAGTTTTTCTTCACAACACCTCTCAAGGGCAAAGGCCACGAAGCGCTGTACAATGAAAGACTAAACAGCAAAACAGAGGGACAGAAAAAGACATATTACAATTCCCTCATACTAAACCTTCATATAATCTCACTTTCAGAAAGGGTGAGTAAATGGCTAAAAATGTCGACAAGAGGTCCAACATGCACTTGAGAATTCTTCTGTGAGACAACCTCAATCCCTCACGGACTCCACAGGAACGAGTGGGTGTCTGAGTGTGGACTCTGAGACTGACCCAACTGTAGCACCAAACAGCAGATTTTGGATGTGAATGGTTAATACTTCATGCTTTTTTTATTTTATCCTATTAGCGTAGAGAAGCAGACAAGTTTATAAATGCACATAAATTTAGCACTTTTTTTTTTATTCATTTCCCAGCAATTGCAGCAAAGTGTTGTAGCAAGGGGTCAAAACTGCAACCACCACATCAAAGACTGAGGCCTCAATTCATACAGTAGGTGCCCATTTAAGCCACAGAGCAAGCACCGGTGAGGAAATTATTAGCCTTCTTTTAGAGACTGAAGTTATCACTGATGTTTGGGGGCTGAGAGGAACACACAAGGTTCGGTGATTTGAAAATGTTATAAGGCAGAAATGAAAATATTGTCCTCTGTGTGTAGGTTGAGTATGACTCATGCTGAAATCTTTGCTCCATCATCTTTTGTTTTAAGACACTGGATCCAATCTTCACAATCCTTGAACCAAGAGAAACTGCCTACTTAAATTATGAAATCATTTGTTTTGAAAGTGAAGATAAAAAGGGCTGCAAGAAGGTTTTTTTTCAGTGCCTCAGGTGGAGGAGATGTGACAAAGAGATACACATAAGACATTCAAACACATCTTTGGATATCACTTTTGTCCCCTCCACTCCAAACAGAACTCTAAAAATAGGATCACTGCTAATACTCCCCAAAATAGACACAAGTCCTGAGATAAAAGCTGACGTGGTGAAGAAGCTGTCATGAGACTGCAAATAATAAAAAGCTTTGAGGATACAGTGACATGTTTGCTCGAGCTAAATTTACCAGTTGTTACCAAATCATTGCATACGGACTCTCATGCTGTTGCTCTGTCTAAAGGACTTGGAGAAATCTTATACACCAAGAATTTAAAGCTGAGCACAGTGAGGGGGAAGGTAAGATGGAGAAACAGCCAAAGTACTTTTTAACCACTGTTAATATCCGTGGTGGGTGATTAGTTTTACTGTAAAAAGACAACATGAGGGGATTTTTGTCAATTCACACCACTTTCACAAGGGTAACTCAAAATTAGCCACAATTTAAAGGTCTTCTCTTTGTCCACAGGGGGGTGCCAAAGTAAAAAAATCAAAGTTCCTCACAGGAGCTTTAAGCAATCACAACAATAGGGCAGAAAATTTACTTCATTATTAAAGTTTAGATTAAAAATGGGGTCATTTTCCATTTCTAAAGATCAAGTGGGCATGGTCAATCACATTTTCACTAGGGCCAAATATGGCCTGTATGAGACATCAGAGGCAGAATCAGAGATGGAGGCAGAAGCAACTCTGCAGCGTTTAACTATCCTTATTCTAGTCTTGCAGAAAGATTTTGGTGATATTTTGTGATTAACCTTGCAGCCCCAACTTCTAGTGTCTATATCTTAAATCTGAATTAAAACTGATTTTCACCATTATTTACATCACCTTTGTTATTAACAAATGTGCTCGAGCTGAAGCGACACCCTCTTGGATCCACTGACCTGAGTTGTGCAGGTTGATGCTGCGAAGGTTGGGGAAGAGTCGTCGCAGGATGTCCTTGTTGTCCTGAATGGAGGCCAGGTTGTTGTTGGCCATGATCAGAGTGTCCAGGCTGGGGTACATGGAGCCAAACTTGCGGACTTCAGTCCAGTCTTTGAGGCTGTTGTCGGTGATGTGTAGCAGGCGCAGGGTGGGGCAAACCACGCTGGAGGCACTCACACTACTGTACTCGTTAAGGCAAAGAAACAGCTCCTCCAGCCTGCAGGGAAACAAGGGGGGAAGCAGAAATATGGGACTGAGTCAAACACAAGAGGTGGGCTGATCCAGGGTCATTACAGTAAGCTGTTCTTTTCCATATCAACCTCGTTTGCAACTATTTAAGTCGCCCTCTGCTGGCCATGGGGGGAAATGTGTGTTTAAGCTAAATGTGAAAATCTTACTCTCATATTAAAAAACCCTAAATCCACACCCTACATAGAATACATAAGTAGGACTGAATGAATAGTTACTAAGTTAAATATTTAACTCTGTAGAGACACATTGGAAAAAATATATACTTTGTGATGCTTTGGTTTTGTCTTATATCTGCCTGAGTTTATGTCGTCCTGTTCCCTGAATAATGTATAAGCCTATATTAGCTACTCCTCTTACTCAGGTATCTCTCTGGTGAGCAGCAGCACAGTGTCCCAGGACACCTGAGTGTTGTTGAGGACGAGGCGTCGAACCCGAGAAAAGGCTTCAGCACACCGTGGCTCCAGGGTCATTCCCGCCAGGGGGTTGGAGCTCAGGTTTAGAAACTCCAGGTTTGGGATATTGGAGACAATTTTACTGATCTGAAAATGAGAAACTGTTTTTTTTAATGCTATCAGCAACTCATCATTTTCAAACAGCAGCCTTTTGACTTAAACACAAAACTGAGTCAGTCAATTAATCTGCACAGTTGTGTTGCAACAAGATAAGAAATGTGTAAAACTGTACTTAACATTACTGTTTCTTTGCAACACTAGGGTATTGATGAAATATGACAATGCACCCAGATGCATCACCTCATGCCAGTCCTGCAGCTTGTTGTGGGACAGGTCTAATTCAATGACATGGGCACAAAAGGCAGCGATCTCAGCCTGGTCTCCTGCTCGGCTGATCCCACAGCTGTTCAAAACCAGTATGCTGGGCAGGTTCAGACGATCTGAAGGTCAGGAGACAGAGAGAGAGATGATCGGAGCTCTGATCACAGACCCTGATCAACGGTAGTCTGTCATTGAGGAACAGCAGACCACTACAGCGCATGTTTGGCCAATCAGAATCAAGTGTTTCACACAGCCATGTGATAAATAAAAATAATCAGCCCTCTTTTGCAGGTCATAAAAGGAGCATCCAGCATGAGTGCGCTCACCTTTCATGGGGGAGCCCTGAGGAGCGACAGTGGGAACCACAACCACGCCCATACCGGGCCCTCTGCGTAATGGAAAATTCTCTGGGCTGTACTTCTCGCTCATCACCTGCACAAAGCTGCGGCCCTCCATGTCTTCTGGGGGCTCCATGGCTCCACCTTGCTGGAATAACCCCCCCTCAGCTGATCCCACCTCAGCTGGTCCTGGGAAAGAGGCAGACAATGCAAAAAATTAGTATGGGTATTGGGTTTTTCACAATCAGTTCACCTGTACTTTTAAGTGGTTTTATGTGAAAAAATATGATACACATAGTAAGTGTAGTAAGTGTTTTATCTCTAAAGAAAATTACAAATAATGGAGGGAACACAGAGGGATAAGAGGAGGTGTCCTCAATACTTATCAGCCAACCGCAGACACTGTCCCGCTTAATTATTCCTAAATTTTCCCAGAGGAGAAAAACACAAAGTCTGATCTTCATGCTGAACTTGTGGAAATAAATCACCAAGTGAAGGAAGCCCTCTTGACCCAACTTATCACTTCAGCTTCTATAATTAAAATGAAGAGCATCTGTGAGCTTTTCAATCACTTGGTGGGCAGAGCCACTGTCCAATCTGCTGCAGGAAAGCATTAATTATGCAGTGGTTTTTGCTGAAATAAAAAATAAAAAGATCCTGTTACAAAGCCTCATTTGACGAGAATGGGCTGCAGTAAATTGTGGTGATGTTATCATGAGCAATTTGTTACTCTTAAGCCAATAACTCAAGATATTCAGTGTGATGCTGCAGTTATTTTTACACACGAGGAGTAAAACTTTCAACACAACATGTATGTTCAATATTTCAATCATGTCTCCCTGAAGGTAGGTGGCTTGAGTTTAAAGAAACATCAGGAAGTGTCCTACCAGAAGAGACGTTTCCCTTGATTTGACCAGTGTCACTGCTCGCTGTCGTTGTCTCTGTTAGCACCGGTGGCCTTTTAAAGATATCAAGGCAGGCTTATTAAAACTGTATCCACTGACATATGTATTTGTGCATTAATTTTACATGCAGCTAAAATACGGGTCATTAAAATGAGAAAAATCTGTCCACGATAGAGATAAAAGTCAAGGCCTTTTGCATTGTTAGCCGTGCCTTACTCCAGAGTGGCTGGTTGGGCTGACAAACGTCTCCAGAAGAAATGCTGGCCTCTCTTTGATCAGACGTCAGGATTCAGGGAGTAGGACTCTGGGGGTTGTCACCACATGACATTGTGAAGCAAACAAGGTCAAAAGTCACTGTCTGCCATGTTATTCATTCACTGAAATCAATAAAATCAAAAGAACAGGGAGTCATAGTAAGATTTATAGCTCAGAGCTACAGTAAGCAAACTTCACAGCAAGAATACAAACAAGACACAAGTTGAAATTTTGTTTATGTAGTTAAGTTGCTTTTTGTGTGCAAGTATTTCCCATCTACTTTTATAATCAGTACTTTTGCTATTACTGAAGTTTTTTCTGGAGCAGTTGTTGTACTTCCCCACATCTGACACAGCATCAAATACTGAGTTAAAGAGCTGCTAATAACATTTACAGGCTGCTGATTGAATGATGTTGAAACAGCAAAGAATTCAAATCTTGCCAAGTGACTTTTTCCAAGATATCTCTTGCACTTAGCATAAGCTACATTGACACTTCCACTGACAAATCAGGCCAAATGAAGGTTTTCTTGATGGGTCTCTTGAAACAGCCTTGTTATCTTCTACCTCTATACGTACTGCACAGTCAAGACTCACTTTAACAAATACTATCAGTAATATTACAACAAAAACAAACTTTCACACAAAAAGCATAAAATGCTTCGAAGTTGATATTGGGATAATATCTTTTCTTAGCATATCTTTTCCCCCCACCAGCATTGCTCAAACCTCGAGAGTAATTTTGATGCTACTCTTTCCAGTTGCTTGTGCCAAATGCCCTTTAATTTTTATCAATTTTATTTATCTTTGCCAACCTTCAAATATATGCATCTGAAAGATTGGAAAATATGATAACCTGCGAATGAGCTTAATTATGTTGTGCATTCGGCATATTTTCTTACAAGAAATCTCATCCATATTCAGTCAAAATCATTACTTTTATATGTAAGCCAGACGCAAAAGCGCCTCATCGAGCAACAACGATTAAGGGGGAAGTGCTAAATCAAACAAAAGGCAGACCTATTAAAAAAGTTCATATTTCAACCTCGTTAGAGAAAGTTTTTCTCAAGAATCAACGCCGGACTAGTCTATAGATCTAAGGAATTAATGAAAGTCGGATATTTGTGCTGTTATCTCACACATATGCAAATAAAACACATTCAACCAAAAAACTGAAGCGTATTTGAATGGAGTCTGGCTTTCATTCAAACTAAAAAGCTTAAAGCTAACCCCGTGCAGACGTTAAAACCAGTGTGTTCCATTATACACGTACACTGTGGAAACTATATTTTACTTATGAATAAATACAAATCAAACTGAACCCTCTATCAGTGTGACAGCAGACAGACTTGGAGTCTGACCCCCTGCAGCAGCTCGATGGAGCCGGAGATGGATCACAGATGGCATCGGTACTAAAACATAAAAAACCCTTCAAAAATCACAAGGTAATTTGTGTATCATCAGAAACCGCGTTAAAATCCTGATAATTACAAGGTCGTAGTTAAACATACCTTTAATTTTTACTTTGAATTTTCCTTGTTGATAACAACAAACCAGCTGTCATTTTGCTCTCCCGTACATCCCGGAAGTGGCGTAACTAAATAGCAGCAAAAAAAAAAAATCCGATTTTTTATTTTTAATTTTTTTGTATTCCCCCTCCAAAAAGAAAAAAAAATTAATAGGAAATTGCCTCTTGAGCATTCTGTGTGTTTGGCCGATGTTTTTTTCACTTTGATTTTAATTATTGTCGAAAAATAAAATTTATAGGAAAGGTACCCCGGAGAGGGAAACGGTGACGTCATTGTGTTAGTGCCGACAAGGGTATTTCTCCGCTCTTCCCAAATAAAGATATAAACATACTTGCAAATATATTCACAGGGATCAATAAAAAAGTTTATAAATTGAAGTTTTTCTGACTTTTACCTTCAAGTACTGTATTTCAGTCAAAGCTGAAGAGTACAAATAAAAGTAATTCCCTTTAAAATATATTCAGCTAGTTGTCTTATTGTCAAACTGTTGGTTATTGACATAGATCGTATCTTTCAAAACGGATAAAGCAAAAATCTTGTCTTTTTGAAGGTGAATTTTTTTCTTCTTTTTCATTAAATCTTTTTAATAAATTAAATTAGAGTAAATTAGAATTGTAAGTAAAATATGAAGAAACACAAACTTTGGGGTCAAATGACAGTCCGTTTGAGAATATAATGAAAAACATTGTTTTTTTGATAAGTTGCCTTACAATTAATCTATTGGATCAAAAGAGTGAATGCAAGATGTGAAAAATTTGTTTGTCTTAAAATAATAACGTGGCAATATATGTTGTGCATATTCTGTGCCTCCATATTCTTTTTCATATTCAGATTTTCAGAGCAATGACTATGTCAACTGTGAGATTTATAGAAAATGACAGACTATAAAAAAGTAACACAAGCAGTATCTGTCAAATAAATTGGAAGAATTTTAAAATACAAAAATGTATAAAAACTAATTCATTATTTTTCTTTACTTTGATATTCACTTTAATAGTTTTAGGTTTTGTTAGATTGATCTTTTTAGGTGATCACAAAGACAAAAACAAAACAACAGCGCCACCCAGAGGTCATCAGTCATAACCAGCAGCAGTGCAGCCCCCAGAAAAAAAATATTTCTTTATATAAGCTTTCATTTGACTTTTTGTTCTTATACTTAGTGTAAAAATCAAGAGTGAAAACTGGCTCTGAAGAGGAAAAAAAACAAAACATTTTGGGCTTTCAAATGACAACAGTGCCCCCCAGTGGTACAAGTGTTACCTCTACACCAGAAGTGGAACATTTTTTTATCTACTATTCTCGAATATGGTTTAATTTTTTTCATTTAAAAAAATTTAAAAATGCCACTTCTCTCTTTATTTAAATGACATTACTCAGTTGAATTTTATTAGCAAATTTTTGCACAGATACCACTGATTCATTTTACAGAGTTTTTATTTTGGCACCACAGCTTTTGTGCAGCCTCCAGGTGGGCATATGTTATACCTTATGACGGTATAACTAATATGCATGAAAAACAAATAACACAATTCACTTGTGGAGAGATTTATTTGAATCCTCCTGGGACGATCAGGACAACACTGATGTTCAGGCTGCAAGTAAAGAGAAAAATGAAAAGGGAATCACTTTATGACTGGGTTTATTCTTTTTTTTTGTCCTTAGTCTTTTTTCTTCTTCTTTTTTTATTAAAGAAATTGTCTCAAAAATGTTGTGATATGTCCACATGGGCTTCAGTGAGTATAACGAAGCAGGTAAGAGAACCTGATAACAGTATGTCCAGTTCAAACCCTTACTTTTATGAGAGGTTAGGGTTGATTTTTTAGGTGGAGTCATAAAATTAAGGGTCCCTCTTAGTTAATAATACAGACACAGATGAGACAAACTTGCAGTACATTCCCCTACCTCAATGCCACCAAACCCAAACAGCAATTTGACTTTTTTTACTCAAGGTCGCCTTGCTATTGCTTTCATGATCTGTTAGTTTCTTAATCTATGACCAAGCAAGGGTCCCTGGCAGTGATATCTACCACCCGTGGCTGATTTAAGGATCTTCTCTTCACTCTGTCACAAACCATTACCTGGACAGGGGCTGATGTATTGAGTCTCTGCCCGGTCACCTGGGAAGAAACAAGAGAAAAAAAATTAGAAAAAGGGAGAAAGAGAAACTAGATAAAAACATGAGTAAGATTTTCTGTTTGTCGTCAAAAGTCATAACAAACAAACATACTGTGTCCCTCAGTCTAGAGATCCTTTTAAAGTCTGGACTTTTAATCATGAACCTATTTTAGTTTTCTTTGATTTAGGACCTGCATCCAGGTATGTGGTTTCCCACTCGCAGTACCCACTGACCTCAGTTTCAGAGTGCTGATCATCTTTGGTAACAGCTAAGACTAGTGTCTGCCAAGTTTGTTTAGCACTTGAGTCCAAGACTTGATGTTGTTTGCTTCAAGGTGCAAGCTCACTTTAACATTTGCTTTGTTGCTCTGATTTGTCGTTTTTTTTCTTTTTTCTCTTCTATAGCCATTGCAAGTGAAGTGAAACATTTTAAGCCTTTTTTGTTGCAACTTTGATGAATATTTTCCTAACATCAATTAATCAAGGATTTCAGTTATAACTTTTACAGCTAAAATTCACTTCTTCATTCAGTACTGAGTCAGGGTTCTTTAACCTTGAATCACTGTCTTTACTAAATGGTAATACGTTTTACCATTTTACAATATTTTAAAGCTTTGAGATGCACCTGTATCTGGCATGTAAGGACAATTAATGCAATGTCAGTACCTACCCTCATATAGGGTATAGTATTACTATCATAGTTGTATAAGAAGGTCACAATCTTAGCTAGATCATATTTCTACTTATTCATATAGTGCTGTATCCGCACTCATGTCATCATGACATTACATAAAGTCTGTTTTTAACAACCTGCTGATAAAACCTGCTTACAGATTGTACATTTGTATATACGGCTATTCTTTTTTTACTTTTAATATTGTTCTATTCAAACTTTGAAAGTTCACTGTTGTGCTCCACTGTCTTTTGTTTTTAAGTTGCTGTAACAATTTTCCCCAGTGGGGGTTCAATAAAGTTTACCTTATATTACCTCTTAAACGTGATCTTGAAATAGGTTTTTCACTATTATCATGATTTCTGACACATTACAAGGGTATTAAATATTACATTTAATTATATGGTTTTCAATCAGGGTCTGAGCCTGTCTGAAAAGCTGCAGCAGCATTGTTAGAGTTTAATGAATTAACCACAGAATATTTTGAGATCATATGTAATATTTTTCTGATAGGCAGATCAGAGACAAAACTTTGAACATTAAACATGGTGATATTAAACATAAAGTCTCAGGGTTTGTGTGTAAAGATCATTTACTTGGCTGGTAATAATCGTAGACCAGGACAACAGCAGGCTTCAGGTTCTGCACTGGGAGCTCTTGTATGAGCGCTAACTCATGATTGATGGGTGTGTCTTTCTGCAACTAATGAAAGACAAAAAGATAATGTGATTAGTAACAATTCTATACATCTAAGTACTGTCCTTTTTCTTCACTGTGACTCCTCTCACCTCATTAAGGTACACCACGACATGATCTTTCTTTTCCTCAACACGATCCACCCGCATGGCATGTTTGAGCTGTGTGGAGACAGTAGTCAGCTAGATTATCATCACCTTCATCATGACATTTAGCATATTGTACTTTTCAGATATATAAGACAAAAAAACATTAGAATTTTTTTTCGAACAAAGAATCACAGTCTGCCAGTTTCCATCCAAAGTTTGTTAAAATCAAGAAAAGGTCGTTAAAATTTTAGAGGGATGTGTGTGTTGAAAACAGGTAAAACGAAATGTAATTAAAATACAGATGTGTTTCAGTTTCTGCAGTTAAACCTAAATAATTTTAGTTATGAGTTTAAAATTCTGTAAGAAGTTTTAAACGAGTCTCAAAATAAAAAAAAAATCAATAATCATAACAAAAATGAATGAGCATTGATAAATGTAATTTAGAAGAAATGTGCTTTTGTTATTATTAAAGGGGACCTGCCACCAAAATTTCATACCCATTTTTATCAATTTTTCATAATCCTTGATGTCCTCTGATCATGTTTGCAACATAATTTTAGCTGAAAAGTTATTTGATGGTTTGTTTTAGTATGCCTAAAAAACCTTACAGGAAAACCAACTGGTTTTGGCTCATTAACATTTATGGTAATGAGCTTTGCTCTGATTGGATCGCTGCTGTGAAGCCTGCTGTGCTCTGATTGGCTCAGCAGTGGAGGTTCGGATTTCGGTTTATCCACTGTTATTATGCTAATGCTAATAGCATATGCTAATGTGTGCTAAAGTAAGGTGCCCAGATATCTGTAATGATATCCGGGGATATTCGGTGCGGCGGCGGTGGTGCAGGGGCTGCAGGGGCTGTGTGATCACAGACAAAGTCTCGGTACTATTTAGTAGCAGCGCATGCCCCTTGTAATAACCCCCGTAAGAACTGTTGTTCAGGACTGCTAACTAAATTCGGCTACTGTAATAACCGTTGTTCGAGCCCACACTCAACATTTTTGCTCTCATTAATGAAACGCTTAAATCGGGGACATTTTCGGGGACAGCTTTTGCCGGGGACAGATCATCCAATACGGGGACTGTCCCCGGAAATCGGGGACGTCTGGTCACCTTATGCTAAAGGCTAAAAACGGCAGGTATTAAACCATATATTTTAGACCCCGAGTCCAAAGAGGAGGTGGAAGTTGAGGAAGAAGCCGGAGATCTCCAGCGGTGTTTTCTCATTCATTCTGCCCGGCTTTAAGTTCATTTTCCCGGCAGTGAACCGAAGGAAACACCGGTCATTTGGAAGAGACCCATAGCGGATACAGCGGTAGCTGGGTCTCGCTCTGGCTGTGACTGAGTACTAGAACGAGAGAGTGGGCGCGGCTCACCGAGGACGCGCTCGTGAATAATAATGAGCAAGGTCGGCGCAACGTATCACCGACCTGCTTTTTCAATTGGCCTGGTTTACTTGTTCCTTGATTTTAAACCTTTACAGAATGCAAACGACGTAACGGTTTGTTTTCACATGTACAACATAAGACGAACATAATATGGACCTTATATGACACAAAAAACCCCAAAAATTACATTTTTATGGCAGGTCCCCTTTAAAGTTTGTTTTGTTTTTTTAGATCATTATTATTATTAATTTTGAAGTGTCCTGGGTTATACTGCAGACTGTAAAGGATATGAAACAATAACCCTTGTGCTTCAGCCTTTTTTTTTTTTTTTTTTTTGGTCTATGATGGTGTGCACTTTATTGTGTGAAATGGGAAAGTGTAAAGTGATGAAGTGAGTGTAAACACGTGAAGTGATATTCTTTGTAAGTTTCAAGTCAATCAATGGCCAAAATTAATGTTATTCCTCACCATCACATCCAAAAAAATCTCAGGTTAAAGTCACTGTATAAAAGAAACTCACCGTCTCCAAAGACTGCGGGTCTGGGACAAACCCTGACAGTATTTTGATATCAAGTATCACCATGTTTGTAGTGTCCTCCTCCCCATAGTATCTGTAACAAAACACAGTACAGATGCTCCATGTTAGCAGAGCAGACGAAAACATATGAAAGAAAACACAACAAACCAAAAGAGATAACGCTCTGGTTCAGAGTTGTGTCAGCTAACTTAAATCATCTTACAAGGTCTGTGTCTTTAGAGTAAGCCTGCGCCTGTTAGAAATGCTTGTACAGGTGGCTTCTGGTTGGACCTCCACCCTGAGCGTGGTGCCAGCAGTCGGAGTTGGGATGTTGTAGTGAAGAGAAATCTGGTAAACAGATCAACAACAACAGTATAAGATTTTCACTAATCATAACACCAGCCGAACTTTGTCCAGCTTACAAAGTAAACTCTGTCAATAAGAAAATTCCCCATTTTCACTGCCAATGGATCACATGTTGACTATCTGAAAATCACCTTCTTATGACAAATTACCTTCTTATGACACTTTTTATGCTAAAAAATCCAAATGCCACCTACCGTGTTAAAGCCAAAACTTGTTTTTATTTCTATCGTTGTATGACAACCCTGCACATAAACACATTCCCTGCACTGATTTCTGGGTGGAGCCTTGTGAACATGCATTCATAACTGTTTCCACACTGGCCATGTTTACATGGGCAAATTTCTTGATCTGATAGATTTGAGGGCTCGGATAATCTGAATCCACTGTCAATATGAGCAGAAAATCAAATGATCATGATGTGCATACACTTGCACCAAGCTTTATTCAGATTATTCAGAAGCATTTGGACATGCGCAGAGTTGTCTAATTTCGCTAAAACAACTGCAGAAGAAGAGTTGTATTTACGCCTGTGCTGTCAACAAACCAACATACGCAGTCGTGGCTCACTCCATCAAATTCAGGAGCTTTCTCCCTGTTAAATGTTGTCACTAGATGACGCCCTTGTGTACTTTTTTGACTGTTCTGTCAAAGGTTGCGTATTTTATGCCAGAGTGTTAATAGTGAAACCTCGTCAACTGGTCTCCATAAATAAACCAATGGCCAAAGAGTGAAGATTGAGTCAGGTAAGAGAGTCACAATCAGAGTAAGTGTGGCATGGACGCATTTCAGAATAACGATTGGCATAAACCACCCTTCTCAATTGGAATACAATTTCTTTCAGATTGAGCTGAACTGGATCAGAATTTTCCGGATGACATTTTTACATGACACTTTTTTATTCTGATCGGGCATTTATTCCGATTATTTGTGCCCATGTAAACGCAGCTACTGACCATCTTTTCACCTTGTTCACTGCATTAGCCACTTCAGGCTTTGTTTCAGTTAATCACTATCCAAATTACAGTGCAATGTAATCAATGTAATGTAATACAAAGTAATCATGACATTATGGTATGAAGGGGTAAATGATGATACAACTAAAAAAGTGCAAAGGACACAATATGACGCAACAAGCTCTTGACAGGGGAAACACAATGAGTAGGTGGAGTATATTAGAAAAAGGTACAACACAATACGATATGGCAGGACATGGTTGGAATGATCACCTCCCAGTCCCTGGGATAAAACCTTGGGCTCTATTTTGGTGCCTCGCCGGAGACGTGCCGCAAGCGCAGAGTCAATCAGATCCGCCGCGCTGACAAGGCGTTCCCAAGCACATTTTGGTATTTTGGTGAGCCGCGCAGCCCGGCGTAAGTATCCCCCCTCCCTAACTCAGCTCCTCCCGGCAGCATAAATCATAGACGGGGAGAAGAGAGGGCGTATCGGGGGTTTAACACAGCCGAGACCTGTTTTCACCAATCACATTAGCTCCTCTCCTCGCCTTTAAATCCGCCACAGGCGAGGCGTATTACTATTTTCATGAAGTAGTCAAAGAGATCAAGAGATGTCTGAAGACAGTTATGCCACACGATGGCGACAGAGGGCAGCTGCTCAACAAGTGTCCTCCACACTCTCTCATCTGAGCACAGATGGATTTGGTGTGCGTAATGTTGGACCCACTGGTAAGACAAACACCCTTTTCCACAAATAAAGACACTCACATAAAGTTGCATATATTCAAACCTCACGTGACAAAGGTGGGTTGAGCGCACAGATCACAACATAAACTCCAAAAAGGCATTAAAATCGGAACCATCTGTGCGTAAATGACGCATCGCGCTCCGTGGCCTGGCTCTTTCTTTCATAGATGTTGGCATATAAAATAAATTTGGCTCACAAAACTGAATATTATAATATCCGTATGTCGGCTTAAAGTAGATAACGCATCTGAGCACTGAAACAAATCATCTGTTCAGCCGCAGCAGCAGCAGGAAGACGGACAGAGGACACGGAGACGTGTCCAGGTCGAGCTGTGCGAGAAATAAGAGGAAGAGGAAGAAAGAAAAGGAGGGAGACACATTACATATCTTGTTAACTTCATCATGTGTGTTTATTTACTAGATATTTAATTTAATTTGATGCGGTTTCAGCTGTATTGATTCGGTCAGGTTGTGTGTCCAAACGCGTGCCAAACGCGCTCATCAGATCAGATATAGATCAGAATATATCGATATAGATCTAAATGTATGTGCTGACTCAGATTAATAGTTGTTGATCATTATTTATTGCACTGAAATCTGCCTGACACTGTGGAAACCTGCCGGTGAGGCATCAGTGACGTATGTCGATACGCCGCCGGTCTACCAAAATACTACTTGACCAGCTGCGTTCCGCCTTGCGCTGAAAGCTGACCAGGTTTGAATCGGCGAGCTTTCAGCGCACGTTACACGCCAGTGGCGAGCACGAAAATGTCACTGCGCCAGCTGATTCTGTCAACACCTCCCCCTGCCACGCCACCACGCCCAGCTTGGCGGATCTCGGCTCGCCTCCGTGCGACTCAGTCCACGAAAATACCAAACTCGCCTTACGCCGGGCTCCACCAGACGAAAATACAACTGCGCGGGGCTCGCCGCCCTCCGCCGCCTCACCGGCGCGAACGAAAATAGAGCCCCTTGTCTCAAAGTAGACAGACAGCTTGTTCACTAACCTGCATTGAAGCACATGCAGTTCCTCTCACTTCCAGGCTGTACTTTCCTTCGCCGTCCTTCAGCACCTCCTCCTGGTAGAGAAGTTTGTTCTGCAGGTTCACATCAAATGACAACTGACCGCTGGGAGCCTGGATAGTCACGGTACTTGAACCCTCTGGACCGAACACGCGAGTGGAATAAAGAGCCAAAGCCTGAAGAGCCACCACTGTGTCCTAAAACACACAAACAGAAATGTTATTATGAAGGAGAAGTGTTATTTTATGATGGAGAAATTGTAGGTCTCTGACAAAGACGTAACGGTACTCAAAATTCATAAAGATATTGACAATAGCCCGTTATTTTTAAACACACACACAAACACAAGCTGAGATCAGTATTTTTTTCATGATCCCAGTATTTATAGTTCAATAGATTTTCCATTTTGTCTAATCTTTAAAGTAAGATAATTCCCTGATCAGAGCCTTTAGAGAGCACATTTTTCAGAGAAACAGACATTTTGAAGAACACTATCTGTCTCTCATATCTGTCCCATATTTGCTCCAGTTTACTTTGTTTCTGTGGTACCTGTGTGGAGGAAAAGCCTCCATAATAGTTCTGCTGGGTGGTCAGCCATCTGACAATGCGGGTGGAGTAGCCCAGCTCTTCGACAGACGGAGGGACGCTGAGTTTGGCCAACAACACATTAGAGCTGATCTCCACAGACAAGGAGGACGAGGTGTCTGTTGCTGTCTGAGACCAGTGGAGGTACCCTCCTAAAATCAGCCACAAACAGGGAAACAGACACAGGGTGAGCTACATGCTCAGGGATGATACCAGAAAGAATTATTTGAGCTGGTTACCGACCTTTGTGTATCGCAACTGTGTCAAGATGCCTCAGAAGTTGAGCTCGGGTGTCCGTGTCTCCTGCCAGAGTGAAGACGTACGCCATCAGAGCCGTGGCGTAGGTGTTGCTGAGGTCACCCAGGGACGCTCTGAGGCAGGACAGACCTTTTTCCACTACAGGATCCTGTGATCAATGACCTTAAAATGCTCACTTTCCTGAAAGGACTGAGCCCTTCACAACTTTTTTGAACATTTTACCATAAAAGACATTTCTACCATTCTCAGGAAAACTCATTAAAATTGTATCCAGCACATCTTCAATTCAAGAGCAGGGTCGTGAAATGGATTTACATTTTTTAAAAGAACTTTCTTCATCGTAAATTCAAGAAAAAACATAAAAAGGTTACAAGTGAACAAAACTCTTTGTCTCACTGCGTTTTTACAGGATGTACATGCAGTGGTTTTAAGTCAATAAGCAGGACAAGTTCCTCTTACAAAACTAGGAAAAACAAGAAAAAGACCTGAGCTGTTTGTCCTTTAAGAGTCTACTCACACTAACAGACGAGTTCATCTCCAGGAAGGCAGCAATAATGTACGCACTGAGGGTCACTTCATCAGACACACCACCCTGTAAAGAGGAAGTTTTATGACAGAAAGTTAACATCACTGACCCTCCAACATCCGGACTAAAATCTCTCATTCATGTGACTGTCAGTAAAACAGCTGTGGATGCTGGAATAGGAGAATTATTCTGAAAAACAAAGACGTCACTCCAACTAACAGGCTCTTTATGACCTAATAATACTTCTTCATTTCATTTAGTCTGAAGTCCATATTTTAATCAAAGCTTAAAAAAAAAGGTGAACTGGTATTATTGTTATTGTTTTTTTTTTTTTGAAAGCAATTTAAATATATTAATGAGCTCCTCTTGGTTTAATATTTTTTTCTAAAACCATAATAATACACAATGTTTAACTATAACAGAGGGATGTTCAAAAACCAGTGCTACAGTCCTAGCTAATGGTGGAAAGTTGCACTACAACTTAGAAAAAACATATGATCAACAATTCGTGCCTACAAGAATAAAAATATTGATGACGTATTTAATCGGAGCAGATCCCATTATGTTCTTGATTAATAGTGACATTTGTAAAGAATAACTTTACAATAAAAGGGCATCATGGCAGGATGTATGATTTCAGTGACCGTATTCATAGCTGCATTAGACCTACTGCTCAAAGTAGGAAGATCACAGTGCAGGGGCCCGAAAGCAGAGGACGGCACAAGACACCCCGCCTGCCGAGCCTTTATGGACGACATTACCGTTATGACTCTGTCAATCCAAGGAGCACAATGGATCCTAAGTGCTTTGGAAAAGACAGCCACAAGGGCCCGGCTGCAGTTCAAGCCTGAGAAGTCAAGGAACCTCAGCATCCTGAAAGGGAAGCTGAAAGGAAACATCTTTAGCATCCAAGGCTCAGACATCCCAAGAATTCAAGTGCAAGGCATCAGGGGCCTTGGAAAGGCCTCACCAGCAACAATTACCAGCTTAACACATGGCTTAAGGCGATCAATAACAGCCAACAGCTGGGGAGGTTCCAGGTGTGGTGTTTTCAATATGGAATCATATCTCAACTGCAGTAGCCCTTTTTGCTCTATGATTTACCCATGTCCCAAGTAGAAGGGATGGGGAGGCTCCGTAGCAAGCTCTTGCAGAAATGGCTGGGCGTCCCTCCATCTTTCAGCTTAGTCAATCTTTACAGCAAGACCTCAAAGCTTTCCCTACCAGTAAGATCGGTGGCTGAGGAATTCAAAACCACCAAGGCAAGGGCAGTCAGTACACTCTTCTCATCTGAAGATGGGAAAGTGAGGCATGCAAGTAAGAACATCAAGTGCGGCAGGTAGTGGAGGCCTCAGCAGGCAGTGACTGAGGCAGAAGCACACTGGAGATATCAGGAGATTGTCGGCATGGTATGTCAAGGCCACTTAGGTCTTGGAAACAATGATGGCAAGAGGTAGAGCAAAGCCAACGCCAGAGCCAAAAGAGCACTAGTAATAGGGCTAGCTTCCTAAGGTAGGTGGACACAGTGGGACCAGGCACTGGAGCAACCACTGTCCTGGAAGGACCTATGGCAAACTGACCAGGGGAACTGTCTTTCCTCCTACAAGCAGTGGCTGATCTGCTGCCAACCCCAAGCAACCTAAAGATTTGGGGTGCAGAGGAAGATCCATCTTGCAAACAGTTTGGAGCAGCCTACTGCACACTGAATCACAATCTGACTGGTTGTCCTAAAGCATTAGCAGAGGGACGCTACAGGTGGAGGCATGACAAGGTCACCCAACCACCTAATGCCATAGGATTCCTGAAGGAGGGTGGCAAGGCCCCTAAGAGCAGAACAGCAGCTAAAAATCTACCTTTCATCCTGCAGAAAGCCTCCGGCTGGGAGTTGAACATGGACCTGAAGAGGAAACTCATCTTCCCTCAAGATGTAGTGGCAACATCCCTCCTACCAGATTTGGTCCTCCTTTCCAAGAGCACTAAAACCATCATAGTGGCAGAACTTACCCTTGCCCTGGGTGGAGAGGCTAGCCACATCCCACCATCTGAAAAAAGCTAAGTACCAAGACCTGATTGATAAGGCAGCTCTGAAAGGGTGGCACGCAACCATTTTCCCCATTGAGGTCGGCTGCCGTGGGTTCCCAGCAAAATAGGTGTGCTTCTTCCTCCAGAGAATTGGTTTGGAGCCCAAACAGCTGAAGAAAGTCATCAGGGACATAGCCACAATGGCAGAATCCAGCTCGAGATGGTTGTGGCTGAAGAGGGCCCAAAGTTGGAACCCTTCTGCAGGCGATGGCTAACCAGCCTCCGCAGCCCCACTCAGGCAAGGTGCACTGGATAAGGGGCGAAACACCTGCGACCCTGAGATACCTGCTGATGATGCAGAAGGGTTCCCAACAAAACAGGCGAGCATAGGAACGCGACTGAGGATCCAGTCTACGTAGTTTGTATTTGCTGCTTGTAGCATAGCATCTCTGATGTTTTTTTCCCAAAACATCAGTGTCAATGACACCACACGAAAATTTGGTAACCAAAGATTACAACTGCACTAGCGAACACATAATTGACACAATATGTAACAATTGATACTGTTAATAAAGATTACTATGTCAAAAAACAAAAGGTGTTCAGAAATAAAAAGAAGATTAGGTATGCCTTTAACTATGCATTGGATTATTTTACCCCAAAAAGATTAAAAAATTAAAAATATCAGCCCTCCAACATGAGACATCTCCACTTGTTCATTCATTCATTTCACCTGTGTACATGAAAAAATTATTAGCACACAAAGAAAAAGTCAGTGTGAAGGTGTGGTGGACAAAGTTCAGTTAAATTAGTGCAAAAAGTTCAGTTTAAAAGATGAAAACAAAAAACAAACAAAAAAAACAACAACACAATATTACCTTCATTCTGTTGTGGAAAAGTTTCCCAGACTTTACAAAGCAGCCGGTTTCCCGTTGCTGATTTTTCAGCCAGGATGTTGACTGTCTGATGTGTCTTGGGTCAATGAAGACAAAATTCTGAGCTCTGGCAAAAGATCTCAACACAAAAGCCGTCAGCCTGAGGATAACAAACACAGAATCACATGGTCTGGATAAATACTTGTTTTTGATTGGTTAAGAATTGTTCATTATTTCTTAATAATCACTTCTTCTATCTATCCACCCGTTCATTTCAGCTTCATTTCAGCCTGTATCATAACAGCATACAGAAAGATTAATGGAATGACGGCTCCCCAAAAGTTAAGCCTACTGACAAGCTGCATGACAGATCATGAAGCTTATCTCCTCCATGTTAACAGATGGGACATGGATCAAACTTCAAATTCAGTTTATATCCAATAAATTCTTCCCAATTTTGTTTCTAGTCAGGGCCACATTAGACACAATATTGTTTGGCATGCAATAAGTTTTATCCAGCAGTTTAAGCTGCTCTTGGGGTTTTCTCTCCTCCTCGTCATGAGTATGTTGAATGCCAAAGCCTGAGAGAGCACACCTCCCTTTAAATTATGTGCATGACAGACAACAGAGAAAATACATTTAACAGAGTGGTCTGCAAAGGAGTCGGCAGGCTAAAGCAGTTTAGGAAAACTCCTGTTTTGATGTGTAAAAGATAAATGACAGAGCTCTAAGTTGATATGGGCTGACCCTGAGATCAGCTTCCATATATGGACTGAGTTTAACTTTGTGGCCTAACTGTCAGAAAACTTAAAAAAAACCTCTAACAGACACATCAGTCATTAAACTGTCGAGAAAATGTCTCTTTGAAACCAACATAACACCCCTGAGGGATCACTGGACTACCCCCTGACTTTACTCATATCCAGGATTACATAAGTGGTCATATTTCAAATACTCTGACAGTCAGCACAAAATACAAGCCTTTAAACTTATGCAGAAACATCAGTGTATTATTTAAGCAAACATCCAATTATGATTCAGAAATATTTTCACCAGGTGTTTCCTGATCCCGTTCCAAACGTGCTGTAAGCACCTTCACTGTGCTTGTAGTTCAGCTGTCTCTGGTAGCCTGTGACAGAGGAATAAATACCTGCTATTATCACTTAAACATTTACACATCGGATCGGATTTTACTGAGGTCCAGGTGTGGTAATGTAGATTCTGCATTTTTACATAAACTTTGTTGCTATGAATGAGTTTAATATTGGCTGAAGGGAAGCACAGAGGTGAAAAAGTTGAAGTCATAGTACTATCAGTTTTATCTTGGTTGGGGGAGTTTCTTATTTTGTTTGTCTCCGATATTAAAACTGCAGACACACACCACTGGTCAGGAAGTTAGAAGCCTTCTCCATGATTTTTGGGGTCAGTTGCTGGGTGTTTTTCAGGTATTGGAGGATGTAGATGTTGGGGGCCAGAAGGGCCATGTTCTGCTCTCCGCATCCATATGGCATTTGCAGAAGCCCATCCAGGTTCTTCAGAGCTCGACCCAGGATATCACCTGCACAAAAACACAGTTTTCTACTGTCTCTTCAGGAAGGAATCCCATGTCAAAAAGAACCAACACTCGAGCACTAGTAGATCACTCAAATGAGAGACATCACTTTACCTAGGACTGAAACAAGCGCACGCGCAGATCCTTCAATCACATTATCAGGGAGCTGTATGTCTACTTCCTCTGTCAAAGCCTCATCTGTTGACGGAGAACAAAACCTTCATTGAGATAAACTGAAAAACTCAGTACTTAAAGATCTTAATTTACAATGACATGATAAGATTGGGATGTTGATGATCTTTTTACAAACCACACAGACCTTTTGGACAAAGCAGCCAGTTGTGGGTTTTTGTCACTTCAGTTCCTTCAGCCTGAGGGCCGAGAAAACAATGTTTGTATCAGAGTTCCTGTTTTTGACAAAATTTTGTGGATAAAACTGTTACCCTTAAAAGAAGAGCTGATCCAAATTAAATAAAGTCATTTCTGCTGGCAAGTCGAGGCAAGGTCTAAATAGATTTTTGCCACCCTGAATGCCGATCTAGCTTTTTGTTATGCTTCCTCTCTCTGTTCCTCCTCAGTCCTCGACTGATCCTGGACACAGAGCTCTAAAGCAGCCTCATTTGTTGACAGAGCTGTCAATCACACACCCCTGTGTCCAGCATCAAAGATCTCATGAAAAGTTATTCTCTCAAGAAAATAAACACCTGGACAGAAATTGCCTGGATAGTAACTAACTATAATGACAGAAAACCTGTTTAAAATAAAAACTGTTGACATGTATCTTATGACCTTAACTGCAGCCAGTCATTCAGGGAGCCATAGAGGATTTGGTTTCATGTTTAAGAGCCGTCTCCTTCTTTTATATGGAATAAAGTTTCAAGGTGCTAACCTTTACTATGAGGGATTTGGTGACCACATCGATGCGACCTCTCTCTGGGACGCTCACAATCTCATTGTCACAGGAAGCGTGGGACGCCACAGCCTCGGCGCTCACAGTCACATTCATAACACCTAAAAATACAAAAAACAAACTCCTCTTTAGTCTTTACATCTCACTGTTGGATTTTACTGGTATAAAAATAATTTATCTTTTATAAAGTAAAAAAACAAACAAACTATGCTGCAGATGTTGTAGTTATAGTTTGGTTTGTAAAGCCTCAATGAGACGTTAGGATGATGTATACATTTGTTATTATGTGCAATCTATTGTCCTGATTCAGGAAAGGGTTACAGAGACAGCGTGTAAATTACAAAACACACATGAAGAGTTCAAAGTAAACAGCATGTCAATATTGTCTGCACAAATTTCTGTGATCCATGAATGATTAATTTAGGCCCAAATCAGCCCCTTTCTTTGCCAATGAACCTCATTGCAAAAACAATCCACTTCACAGTCACACACAGATAGTGCGAAGGTTTTTCTTTTGGTAAAAAAAAATTAACATCTGCTTAGAGTTGGGTGAGACTGAGCTGCTTTGTTTTTTACAGATGTCCGGCTCAAATGTTCCAGTTTTTATGACAACCTCCAGATTCCACCTCTGGAGGACCTAAAACAATTTGTATAGTTTATTTGCCACTAGTATTTAGCTCATCATCTACTGTTTATATGAGGACAGAAGTGGGCTGTACTGGAGGTTTAGGAAATGAGCACAGCACAGATTCAAAATCAAACACAAAACATGAACTCCACAGAAGTCTCAAAACTAAAAACTATGCTTTGTGAACTGGATCTAAGACATATCAGTTAGCGAGAATAAATGCACATTTTTACTGCCTACTAATGCCCACAATCCACTCAGTGGACCCCTTTCTGTGTTTTGTTTCTGCTTTGGTTTTTTTTGAAATGGTGCTTTTATTGGCCTGTTTTGGGCAGGACATGTTATTGCGTGACACACTGTTTTAGCAATAATAACAAAAAGGCAATGTAGATGAAATATTTGTTCCAGTCATTATTTGTTTTTACAGCTCAGATCCGTTAAGAACAAATCATAGCCATTATAGCAACTCTCTGGGCCTTTTCATCTCCATTGTTTTATTGCCCTCTCGCTGCCATATTTAAACGGCCCTATTTTCAATCTTTAACTTGTCAACACAGGTGGGAACAAAAGCCTGACCCTCACCTAAAGCTGAGGGGTCCATGTTCCAGCTGAGGGTCTTGCGCTCATTGCCACACAAACACGATGTGTACTGGTCACCAGAGAGGGGGGTGAGGGTGTAATCCAAAGATGGGGTTGGAGTCACGGTAACCTGTTCAAAAGAGACAAATTCATATTTTATAAATTAATTGTAAAAAGTCATCAAGATAAAAGAGTTTAAAACAGACTATTTTTAAAGCTTTGAAGAGCTCTTCATCTGAAAAGACACCTCAATAACAGAATTTAATAAAACAGTCTGATCGATGCCGTTCTGGGGAAAAATTACAAGCAAGTTGTTACAGCAGCACAAAAGAAGACTTTTCCATTATCATCTCCTCTACCACACAGGGGTGATGAACTTCTTTATTTTACACATATATCTGAAGAGCCTTGTTTTGTTTTAGCTTTACTGGATTTTTTTTAAGACACGCAGTTTTACTTTAATTTTTATAAACTTTATTTCCAGCATTAATTACCATGATGCAGCTGCTCATGTAGTTAAAGACAGTCGCCTTCAGCTCAAAAGTCTCCCCTCGGATTATGGAGTAAGGCAGGCTGAGCTCCAGGAAGAAGGGCTGGAAGACAGTGAACTCTTTACGAGGAGCCAAGCTGATACCTTGAGGAGACAAACAGAAAGCCTCCGTCTCCCAGGTGGTGATGGTGTCAGGGACGGTGAGGGGCACATCTTTTGTTCCAGTCTCTCTGAATGAGCAGAAACACAAAAACACGCAGGCCTCTTCTTAGAGCTGGAGGAGCAGGGACCTCAGAAACAAAAATTTCTTACCAAAAATGTACCACTTATCTTCACATTCAAGGGGCGATTCTAACATTTTATACAGAGAAGAACTCAGCTGTTTTACAATGAGTGCAGTGTTAAATAGGGCAAAAACATCTTACTGGAAAATCATACATCATACAATCATGTACAAAAGTTAGAAAATCTCTGATACAGTTTGCCGTCAAGTGATGGAAACCTACCCAACATCCACCAGGTCCCATATCCAAGTCTCAGGGAAAAAACTGCGGACTGTCTCTACAGGTGCAGCTTCTGGTGCAGCTTCTAACACTCCTGATTTCATCATCACTCCAGGAGCATAGCCTAATGTTATCCCCCACCTTGGACTATTAAATGTATGATGGAAAACAGGACCTGTAAAGAAACCACAAAATATTTTATCAGAAATTAAAAACGTCTCCAGATTTGAGAAGAGACAACCTACAAGAAACCATCATCAGAGACTGAGTGCATGTGTAGAGCTGAGGCCTGAGGTGCATCCTTTTGTGCCACTTGGAGCTATAAGTTATGACAGCTCTAAAGATTGGTCCTGTGCACCAGTTACATCTGAGCCTTTTTTTTTTCAGTTACACCTAGGCGTAGCTCTAATGCCTAGGAAGGAGTAGGTGAATGACTATAAAATCAGACTGGTCAGCATGTTTTAGGTTGTATAAATAAAAGATAACAGTCACAGGAAGCTCCTCTGAGCAGCTTTTGATTTTGTTCATTTTGTTGCCCCCTGTGGACAAGTGGTAGCTCTAAACTTTGTTGAATTTGTCCTGTTTATGTGTACACAGGGTTTAGAACAAAAACTGATTCCTGCCAAACTATCTTCCATTGAGATTCTTTGCCATAAAAACATTGATCAAAGCTCTGTCTTTAGCATGCTGTGACTCACTTGGTCTGGCAGGTACTCAGGGAGAAGCTTTAGTTACTAAAAATAACTAAAGACATAACCAATCTTTACACTGATTTAACTTGGTTTACTTTTGTAGCGCATAACAGGGCACTGATATAAATTTCAGCCTGTTTCATCACCTTTAAAAAACCTTTCACATTATCATTTCCAGGTTCTGACATGATTTGGTGAATGTCACTGCCCATTCTGTCCTTGTATGTCCTGTCTCTCTAGCTCAATCTAATGAGAAAAAAAAGTTTGAATGTTAAAAACAAGGGAAAAGTTGGTATCTAATACCAAGGAGTACTGACATGTGAAAGCTTACCATCATAGCCGCGGTGGAACTCCTCTCCTCTGAATCTGATGCAGGTAGGTGTTCTAATGAACAAATTGGTCGCCATCTTCAATCCAACATTCTGGATAATTGAGCAAAAAAAAAAACAAAAAAGAGAGTGAAGGTTTATGAAACAAATAAAATTTTAGCACTGGAACGTAGTGTAAAAATTACCTTGAAAACGTTGTATGCATCATCAGAGGCACGGCGCGGGTACAGCCCAGTTGATCTATATCTCATCTGGAAGCATCCTTGATCCTCTTCAACTTCGTGTGGAATAGGAGAAGCTTTTTTAACAGGCAACAGATTGAATATCTGAAAAGAAAGGGATGGTTACAATCCTGGAGCAGCAAAAAGGAGTTTCCTTCAGGAGAAATATTTTTCCTGTCAGAGGGAGTCAGTGGAGTGGTTCGGGTCCTTTGCAAACCTACCTGGATGGTAAGCAAACACCAGCAGCCTCTGGTGTTTAAATCTGAGCTAATGCTAGAGAGCATAAGGAAACTATTGTTAGCTACTGTCGAATATCAGCTAAAAAGTGGTGTGATGTGGTTTTCCACTTGAAATATCAGACAATTCAGTTAGATAGTTTTCATTTTTTCCCCCGATCAGTTTGAAATATAAATATTACAAAGTTGTCCAATTTCCTTTTGTATCAAGGATTTGATAAGTTTGCAAAGCAACCTTCACCCTCTCAGCACACTAATGTGTGTAATATGTGGGCTCCTTTACCTAGTTTGGACAATTTTGCCTCTCCCACAATGCAATGCTGCTGTGCAATTACTTCTAGCTTACCACCAAAATTATCACGCAGCACTTTCCATCAATGGCTCCAAGGCATTTGGTACTGTTAACAGTGACATTTAATGTCACAGATTGTGAGGTAAAGGCCTCTCAGACCAATCCATTGACTGGCTTAACTACATTCAGTATGTGCAGCTCAGTGGCCTGTGCTCCAGTTTTGTCAACATTACAATAGGCGTGCCACAAGGTTTAGTCATAGGACCCACACTCTTTACTATTAATGGGTTTCATTCGTAACATGTTGGTAAATGTATGCGTAGACTTACACATAAACATCATTGGTAATAAAAATAACTTTACTCCTGATTCATGAACACTGTGGAAAACCCTGGATTTGATTGAAGTGGCATGAATAACTTTATGAATGTCAATTGATTAAGGAGTGACTGTACTCTCCTGATAGCTACTACTCAGTCAAATTTCCACCATCGAACAGTCTTAGCCTATGTTGGGTATATAAGGAGCTTAAGCTGAGTGTGTGGCAGGTCTGTGGAGTGAACAGCCACAGCTTCAGTGGGTTACCCTGTCCTCGATTGATAGGTTAGAGTTCTAGTTAAAATATATATGTTTACATCCCCGAAGCAACATGGTAAATGAAAAAATAATTACGTGAGAAATCCCTGAGTGTGGATAACAATCTGTGTGTGTGGACTGCAAATGCATGTGCATGAGACTACGTTTAGACGTGCATGGCTATTTTCATAAACATTTCACCCTCTCTGTTTACAAAAAAAAAAAAAAACAGACAGCACACCACTACATTTTCAGAAAAGTTTTCATTTACAGTAACCCATGTATATTTGCTGTCAAGAGCATATCAAACATGTGGGTAGAAGTGTAGCGAGAAGCTCAAGCCCACGTTAGCCAATCAGAATCTTGCATAGCAGCAACAACTGCGCATAATCTGCCGTCGGCTACCTAAAGCTCTGTTTTTCTCGGTTCACATGCAAACGTGCAAATAGAGTTTTCTGAAATCTCCACTTTGGCTGGAGTTTTTATAAAGCATCATTTTTGGGGGTAAATTCTCAGTTTGGCTCTAAACGAAGAGTGCAAATGATGGTTAATGTCTCCGTTTTAAAAATAACCGGGTATGTATATACCAGGCCTGAATCTACACTTTTTTTTTTCTTGATCTGGTACCTGAGGACTCAGTAAATATGCAAGAATGTAAACAGGGTATCTTCTAAATTTTATTCTGCTCACAGTTTAAATACAAATTTGTTCTGCTCACATTTCATTGATGAGACCCAATGTCATTTGTGTGTAGACCGAGTATGCATCAGTACGTCTCCATGTACTATTGTTGATTGTTTGTGTCTCTTTGAACACTGTATTCTTGTGTGGGATCCTTGTGTGGCTCTCCATGCCTTCCTCCCTTTCGCTCTTGATAAAAAATCTAATTTATGAGAGTTTTCAGGATGGGTAGGGGAGGAAGGGATAACTTTAAACTTCTACACAAGGTGGAATAAAGTGATTTTACATGTCTTATGTGAAACAACACTCATTATACCCTCCCTGAGGCAGGGACTTTTTGAGGGATGGATCAAATTCCCAGTCAGTATTTAGACTCTGTTTCTGCAGTCAAAATAGGTTGAATTCTTCAAAGAGGTTTCGAGTTCCTATGGGAAAAGTTCCTGCTGTCAAAAAGCAAATAGCAGGGTGCAGTGGATGGCTGCCTTAAGCCAACCATGGCTTTGTAAGAATCAAAGAGGTTGCCATCTGTTCTGATGTTGCCTGGTCCTAAAAGAAGACCAAAAGGCATCTGGTTGATTTCAGTCTTTACCTTGTCTGTGTCCAAAGTTTTCCCGGGCTCCTTGATGAGAACGCTCTGGTCGACAGCACTCAGGGCGCACAGAGAGCCTGGATGGGTGGTCACCTGCAGAGTGTTGGCCTCTCCTGGGACTGCTGAAGATGGGGAAAACTCCAGTGACACCTAACACACAGAAAACAAGTACCCTTAATGTGACACAACTTTGTATTGACCTCTACCATTACATCCCCTAACACCTACATCAGCCTGCACACTGACCTTGTGACTGAAGCATTTCTCGGTGGTGAACGCAGCGCTGTGGGCAATCACCGTCTCACTGGGGAGAACGGTGTACGCCACAACTTGAACCTCTGGGGTCATATCTGGAGACACTGCTAACTTAAAGGACATCTGACCCTCAGTCACTGAAACAGGAAAACAATTTAAACATATTACAAAACAGCTTATAGCTGATTCATGTAGTTCAAAGCATGCATGCTAAAGTTGGTTCATAGTTTCACATTAATTTATGACTGCACAATAAAAGAGAATTTCCTCCTACTTAGTTTATCCTGGACTTCAATCTGCTCAATTCCTTGCATCACAATAGCTCCTCTGGATAAGACCTGCCCAATTTAAATGACACAGAGGAACAGTAGCACCTCCTAGCTTTGAAAGCAGAGTATTTTTTGTTTGTCTGTTTTTAAAAGTTACTGCACTGATAAATGGCTTACATACCAGATACATCACGTCTGCAGTGCCCTGGACTTCACCAATGATAAAAAACTTGATGTAAATGTCCTCCACTGTGTTACAGGCAAATGGTTTATCCTTCTTCTGCACCTCCAGGGAGCTGATTGTTTTAACATCTGGAGTTAAAGGTTTTGCCAACGACACTTTGTGCCTTCCAGATTGAAAAACCGGAGATCGATACTTTTCAGGCTCAAATTCAGGTTTGTAGCTTGCCTGGATAAAGGAGTAAAAACTTCAAATAGTTGCATGTCTCTGCTCAGCTTGCATTAATTTTCAAAGGGACAGTTTAGTCTTTTTAAAGTGGCACTGTATGAGGTCCCTCTAAATATTGAATGAATGAAAAACTAGCCAAAAAATAAGCATGGAAACAAGGATATCAATCTCCAGACAGGTTTAACTCTACCAGTTAATTTAGATAATTTGAAGAAACTTCAACCCAAACACTGATCTCAGTGTTAGTCAAAATGGACTGAAAACAAGAATTTGGACATGGTTTGCAAAGATTTAGTTGTGCTTAGAAACACAAATGAGACCCAATATGTTTACATGGTAAAAATAGTCTGTGTTGGCTATAAAAGGGGAAGACTGAGCTGTAATAACTGTAATATCACAGAAATAACTGTGTCTGCCAGATAGTCTCAGGTATTTAGCGCTGAAAATTAAGTTAAACCAAGATGAAAAAATAAAAATCAATTTCACAATATATCAGTAATTTGTACATCATAGAATCTGTTGACAGGGTAACTGTGGATTGTGGATTTACAGCAGCAGTTTTTCAGAGCTATAAACCCAGAGAAACAAATACATGGAGAAGTCTCCATTTCCACTTACCACAAGGTTGATATCCCCATCAAACTCAGCTGTGCTAATCGAGAAAGTGGCGATTCCCTCGTTGTCAGTAGTTACATTCTGCAGCACATGTGTGGACCGCTGACTATCAAGCAGGTACACCAGCATGTAAGGGATAGGTGTGTTATCATATTTAACTGCTTTGACCTGTAAACAGCACAAAGTTTAATGACAAAGAGCTCAAGGTAGAAATGTGTGAAGGATCTAATTAGAAAGTGGTGAGCGCTGGTACTTACTTTTCCCTCTACGTTTGATCCTCGCTCATAAATCTTGGGGGCCTCAATAAAGATAAACTTTCCAATGACATAGGATATCTCCATCCTCTTGTGATTTAGGTGTGAAATACCTGCACGAAACACACAGGATTAAGTGAATGGTTATGTAAATCAGGATGTGCAAATCAGAATTTGATCCTTGCTCACTTTGTCTGGATTCTTTTGTGCATAACCACCTGCTCAGTTTGGATTATATCATACTTGTACCTCTCCAATGACATTACTGTCCTTTTAAAAATGTAAAAGTAAGACTTGCCTGTCCCCTCTTCTTCCACACTGGCCTTGAGCTGCAGAGCATCTCCCACAAGTGTATTGTCAAGTTTTGTGAAGGTGGACATCTTGACGACAAAGGTAGTACAGCCACTTTTATCTGTCTGGAAAGTTCAATTAGATGAAATGAAATCACATCAAATACAGGCTATACAGTAAGCTTTAACAAAATGTTATGAATATAACATTTTGTCCGAAGGAGAGGAACGAGGTACAACACATATAGTATGGGATATCACGCCCCCGCATTTCCTGACTGAAGACACCTTTATTCTCGCCTTTACGGCAGATGATCAGTGGTGACACAACCCAGTGTTGTACCTTGTTCCTCTCCTTCAGGGAACAGAAGTTATATTCATAACATTTTGTTCCCTTTCAGTCCATTCACTCGACACAACACATATAGTATGGGACATACATACACACCCCGCAGAGCAGCCACCGAACCGGAGTCAAACCTCCAAAACTTTGGTGCATCGCACACCCAGCAGAAAAGACAGAGTGAGCCACTGAAGGGGCTGTCACATCCAAACAATAAAACCAAACAAAAGTTTGCAGTGATGACCAACTGGCTGCAGTGCAGATATCTCTCAGAGAAACCCCTTTAAACAAGGCCCATAAGGCCGCCATACCCCTGGCTGAATGTGCCCTCACACCTTGGGGCAACGGAAGACCCCTACCGCTGTATGCTAGGTAGATAGCCTCCACAATCCAGTGGGAAAGCTGCTGTTTAGACAGCGCCTTGCCCTTGGCTGGATTAGCAAAACAGACAAACAACTGGTCACATAAGCGCACACTCTGAGTGCGGTCTATGTAAGTGCGTAGTGCACGCACAGGGCACAAAGGATGCAACCTCCTCTGCTCGTCAGATGTAAATAGAGGGGGCAAAGGCTAAAGAGATAAAAACTCATAGCACTATAGACTGTGGGGATAATTTTAGGCAAATATGCTGCATTTGGGCACAATGTTACCTTAGATCCATCCAGAGTAAACTGGATACAAGGGGGATGTACAGACAACGCATGAAGGTCGCCCACTTGCTTTGCAGACGTCAAAGTAGCAGTGGCAGTGCTGTCTTTCATGAAAGAAGTTTCATGTCTGCGGACTCATTAGGCTCAAATGGGGGTCCACCAAGAGCCTCAAGCACCAGCAGTTAATCCCATGAGGGAATGCTGGGTTTAAGCAAAGGTCTAAGCCTGCTGACTCCCTTTAGGAAGCCCATAGCAAGAGGCCTGGCGTCAAACCATCAAAGCCAACATGGCATGCAGATATAGCCGCCAAATAGACCTTAATTGTTTAGAAAGAGAGACTCTTATCCAGCAGCTCCTGAAGAAATGTTAAAACATCCACAACAGAACACTAGAATGGGGGTACAGTTCGGTCCTGACACCACTGCTCAAACATCCACCATTTGAAGGCAAATAGGCCCTTAGTAAATGATACCCTTGCAGTCTGAATTGTTGCCACCACAGTTGGGGTCAGACCCTGAGCGATTAGGTTGGACCTCTCAACGGATAGGCATGTAGTCGCCACAGTAAGCAGATCAATAGTTGTAAACCAACCTCCCGGTTTGAGCGCACTCAGTAGCTGTCTGAGTGTTAGCATCTTGAACTTGTACGTTTGTAGGTACTTATCTAACACTCACAAGTGTAGAATAGGACAGAGCCCTCCTTCTTTTTTAAGAACAACGAAATGATGGCTGTACCAACCTTTGTTCGTTTCAGAAATGAGAATAACTTGTATCGCTCATTTATTTCTTCCCTCAGAACTGCTGCTGCTTCTTCTACCACAACTGTGTGTATTACAGAATAAAAGTGAGGCAGCCGGGCCCTGAACTGTGAACGGTCGCTTGTAGCAACGGTTCTTGCTACCCACAGTGAGACTGCACATGAGCGCCACTGAGGGAGGCGAACAGTCAGTCGGCTGACTTCCAGAACTGTGGGGGAGGGGTTGTCACCCTCTGGTGTGCCGGACCAGTCTGAGGTTTAACCTCTTTCTCCAGCAGAAAGAAGAGCAGCTGTACCTGTTTCATCTCCTTGTGGACTGGAGCAGTTGGACCAACGATGGAATGGAAATGGAAGTTGAATCTGTGATAGCCACTAAGAGGTCTTTGTAACTCAATTGTAACATTTCCCAGCACAGGCTGTCCATATGTATACCTACATGGATAAAGAGAACAAAATGTTGGTCAAACATGAAGTTTTTGGGGATTGGTAGCAGCTTGTATCTTCAAGCCACAAAGACAGCTCAAATCAAAGGCTGATAAACCAGCTGCAATCATATCAATGCACAGAAAGAAGTCCTGTTGTTTTGAGGTCTGTCAGGTCTTAATGGTGGGAAAAGGACAAAAGAGACAACAGCTAAGAAAATGCTGGGGAGGGTAAAGACACATAAACTGTACAATTAACAGTGGTGCATGAAGTAAACATTCAACATGGTACAGGATGTGAAAGTGTTCAGAAACTGATTAACAGAAAAAAAGAAATTAAGAACTCTGTTTCACACCTGTTATCTAAAAAAAGTTATTAAATGTTTTAATTCAGTTTTGATTATTCAAGAGTGAAGGAGTGACAGAGTTTGGACTTACTTTGCACATATTTGAGCTTCAATGTCTTGCACGATACTAATTGTCTCAGCAGCTTCAATTTTTACTTCAAATCTTGGCAAAACTGTGAAAGAAGTTACATTTTTCAACAGTGCTGCTTTACTGCAACATATTCCTGTGAAAGGTTCTATGATTTACAGTAACTTACCATATTTCTCCACCTTAAAACTGTGTTCAATTTTCTCTCCTTCAATTTGCACAACCACCTTATAGGTTCCTTCACGAGCCTCTGAGTTCAGCGAGTAAGACAGCTGCAATATTTTGCCATTTGAGCTTTTTTGCAGCCACTGTCCAATTCTGTTACCTTGAGAATCCTGTTTGCATGACATAAAGGTGAAACTGATGTTAAATTTTTGCTACTCTCTTTCCTCCTACATGTTAAGTGAAACTGGGCCACACATTTGAGAAAAATTGACTTTTTGAAAATCATCAGTTTAAAAATTCATCTTCTTTCAAGGCACTCAAAGAAAGCTTTACCAGTTTGAATCTGCACTGAAAAATAAATGGTGTGTCTTACCGCAATTTCAATGACTTTGTACTGAAAAAAGAGGAAATGTAGAGAAATATGTTAAAGGACATTTTTGTCTCTATTTTCATAGAAACAGAAAACTGTTGTGTTGAGGTTCATTATGTGAAGAATAGATTGCACAGTGGGCAAATCGAGAACAGCCCAGTTGTATTCTGGATAGCCATCAAGATACTCATTACGTGAAAATGCAGCAACTTAACTCCTAATTTAAATCCACTGAAATATACTAAGATTTATTCTGTCTGCATCCAATTTAAAAAATATCAAAGGAAGGAAAGGATTTCAAAATACTCACTAAGAGATTGGCAGGTCTCAACTTGCTGTCCAGTGAGACGACTCTGAAATGCACTGAAGAATACAAAATGATTACTTGCACCTCTTAAAGTTTATCCACTCTGACAAACCTCCACAGGCATCAAGGAGGTATATCATGAAGGGAAATAAGCATAAGAAGATTTCTCTTTTGGAATAATAATTTAAAACATGTGAAAATTGGTTAATATTACGAATCTAGCAGCTCATGGTGATAAATGAGCCTGTAGAGTCAATGAGTTGAAATACTCTCCATTAGGAGTATAAATCTGGAAATGAGAGCACACCACACACACACAGCATGCCAATCACAAGGACAATAATTTCAGAACAATGATCTAACCTCTTTATTGGGATATGTATTATTGACACCAAACATTTTATCGTGGCTCTAGTGGGGATTTAATGGTTTGTGGACTTCTGAGAAACTGCAGGTTTTTGCACTTCCACAATGGCTTCATTTTTTAATCATGGGGAGTTCACCGCTTGAGCATTTCATACACATCAAGACACAAAGATAGAATACAGGGTTAATGTTTTTTGGGATTATAGAAAAAAATTACACTAGTTGACTATAAAAAAAAATAAATCTAATCTTAAAAAATGTTGATTTTAATTCCAACCAAAGAGATACTCAAAATTAACAGATTCTTAAAAAAACACATATAACAGACTGAAATACTACCCATGTCGTGGTACCATACAGTAACTATTACCACAGGAAAACTAATCAAAATTACCTGTTTGTCCCGGGAGGTAGACCGGTTTATCTGTTTGGATGAATGTTCTGGGTTTATAGGTTTTGATCATGACTTTTTTGGCATCTTTTGAGTAAAATGTTTGTCCTCGAACCTCCACCACCAACACCTGAAATTGACTCTGCACAAGAGGGGGCTGTGGACAAAACATCATTTTAATGCAATTAGAAGAATAATTATCTGTAATTATTATCAATGATTTCAGGCTTTTGTAAGCATCTCACGCTAAAACTCGTGTCTGCTGGCAACTGTCACTCATTAGTATTAAGTAAATATTGCTGTGTCTAGAGCTGCTGATTTTACTTCAGAGTGTTTACTTTGACTTGGCACAAAGTGACTTTGAGATCCTTTTGAGTGAAGCACAATAGCTCTGTCTTACTCTCATTCAAAACACCTCCTGATGACTTCCTGTATTTTAAATGTTAACCAGTCAAAAACAAAGATGTATGCTCCAAACTGATCCCACATTGATCTGGCACTTCAATGCTAGCTTATAAAAAAGAAAGAGAAATTCCCCTTTATCTCAAGGGTCTTTGAGAAAGACCGTCCTTTCACAGGTTTGGATGGTTTGCAAATCATCTAGTCGTACTCTCATTTCAAATTTGATGCCAGCATTTCATTCCTAAAAGGTCGGGACAACAGCAACATACCATCAATCATGGACACTGCATAATCCATTCTAAAGAGGAGAAGGACCACCACAAGCTAACTTCTAAAGCTAGAAGCCCTGATGGTAAGGGGATGCAAAGGTGGAGCAGCATACGCTGTCAGACAATGTTTTTTTTCAGGGTAGACCTTTCATAATGCAGCAAAAACATGCCAAGTCACGTAGGCAAAGCAAAAGAGTCCAGGTGATAAAATGGCCTGCCAACAGTCTGCCTTCGCACTTGTTTGAAACATTTGGCACATCATAACACAGAAATACACAGAAAAAAGAGGCCAAACTGTTGAGCAGCTGGGATCCTAAGAATGGGAAAAAACTTCACCTTCAAAACTCCAGAAACTGGTCAGTTGGTACCCAAACATTTACACAGTTTTGTTAAAGGTTGTTATGCAACACAACGGAAAACATGACCCTAGCTCAAATGTCGAATAAAAAAAATATATATATATATATATTTTAATCTACAAAAATCTGTTTCAACATTGAATATGTTGTCCTTGTACCATTTTCAGTTCATTATAGGTTTTCAATGATTATGAAAAAATCTTGAACTTTTTTTTTTCAGAATATTTTACAAAGCCTATGATCTTTGGATACTGATGTTTTTACAATATTGATAATAACAACAACAGACTGTTGCTTTATGATTATTGATGTAGAGAACTATGATTTATTATTTGGAGGCTAAATTAATGACCACTTTTACAAGTTTTCCAAGAATTTTGAGGAAATCTGCAAAATCACTCAGCAGACCTGAAATTTAATGCAGGTGTGAAATGCCTGGCTGGACGTCTCCTCCATCAGGGTCATATTTTGATCTCCGAACCTTAAAGTAACGGTCATGACCAGAGTCTCATCTGGCTTCAAGAGACTTGCACAGAGAGGTGTTTCAGTTCCTGCTTCGATGATCGCAGGAATGGCCACCATGTACTGCCTACACACAGAGAGAAAAACATTTAAGTACGGTCAAGTTCTTGACAGAGTTTCTTATACTGGAGCAAATAAAAAAAAGTCTTTTAACTCTGCTTGCTGCAACAAATATTTGAATCTGATTAATTTGAAAGTATTTTGAGTAAACTTACGGCCTTGCCGCTGCTTGATTCACACATATCCAACTCAGGCAGACAAACAGTGTCCATGTCCACATCTCAACCCAAGGGCGACTCATGACTGACTGTGGTGATCTGCAGAGACGGCCTTTGTTAAATAAACTCTGTCAAAAATCAATACACTTTTGACCCACATCACACAAACCCACTCATCATTTCTGGGTAGCCATTCAGTGGGTAGTTAGTCACTTACAGTAAAGGACAAAACCAAATACAAATACCTTTATTTGTTCAGCACTTCCCAAAAAATGTGCAAGAATAATCAAACGTGCTCGAAAAATAGAAGCTATTCAATCAAATCAAAGTTAAAACAAGGTAGAAAACAGTTTTAACAAGGCAAATACCAAACATAAAAAGCACAGATTGGTATCAAGACAACAATAAAACAGGGCAAAAGATGAAAAACATGAGCTACTTGGATATTGGTATGATCCCTGGACATGGTCCTATTTGGATGACGTTGACAGACATGCCCACTCAAAAGCTGGAAAGCCCATGTCATCTCTTAGTAAGACTGAACAATATGGACAACATTTCATATCTTGCTTTTCATGCCAGATATCTCGATATTGATACAATACGATATAAATTTGGGTTCAGACAAAATAATGCATTTGTCAGGAAAACAAAACCATCATCATGCAAAAGGTTGTGGAAAGTGCAGTTCTATTGATTAGAACTCAGAGAAAATCTCAGAGAAATTGTTGATTCTGTGATATTATTATCTTGAATGTTCATATCCCACCATAGACATGATAACGGCATATCTTTCAGCCCTACCTCTTGGCACTCTAGTGTTCTTTTAATTGGGAATAAAAGTCACAGCTATTTTCTTTCCCCCAAAGATGAAGAAAATGGTGGGCAGTTTTAAAATATTTTAAGGACAACAACAACTACCGCAGAGCTGTTTGTGCACACCACTTCACTGATGGCTCCTTGGTGAACAGCAGCAGTTATGAGCTGAATTGACCCAGGGCTGTTTTATCAATAAAGATCTTATTGAACACTCAGATGTACAAGCTGTAAGAGAGGAGAAAATAAAGGGGGACAACTGTGTACCTTGTTCGAAAGGAATGAAATATAATAATGAAATAAGTATTTAAAACAACTGGTGTTATCACAATTGTTACTGCTGATAGTCTTACCAAAAAGCTAACAGCTAACTCAAGTCATTTTTGTGACGACATAGCTTTCAAGTCCATTCATGGCAACAAAGCTGAGTAAACAACTTTCCACCGATTGATTTGGTCCTATATACAGTGTATGGTTAGGACTTGTAATATGCCTGTCCCTAACATTATGCAGTTAATAAATTACATTGAAGAGTTTTGATCAATCATAGTAAGGAATTTTTACACATGTAGGGGCAAAATGTCAAATGAAATTTCGCCAAAGTGTCTCCAGCCCACACAACAGCCAGCCAGCCAACCGGACTTTTTCTTGTGCCTTTTCCCTTAAGTTGGACATTAAAATTACATCTTTAATTTATTATCCGTCTCCGTGTCTGCTTCTGGGTCCACAAAAAACACCACACGCCACAGAATACTCGGGCCAGGAAAATGGACCCAGCAGACACAGACAGAGACCAACAAGCCGTCCAAAAGCTCGAACTTCGCCTCGGTCAACATGAGGACATGCTCCAGGGCCTCAACCAAGCCTTTCAAGGCCTCACTGTTCAAGTAACGCAACTGGCGGATTTTTACACATGTAGGGGCAAAAAGATTCAGTCATGTCAAATGAAAATGAACAATTCATGAATGAAATAAAACAATGAAAAATACAATTCACACATGACTTTGAACAAAATGGAAGTTTATTTGAATCTTCCTGGGACCATCAAGAAAACACACAGGTGTTTAAGCTGTAAACAAGAGGAAAAAAACATGTTAGAGCATGCATTCATTCATTAATTTTTATTTTAAAGTGGTAATTTTTTGGTTCCAATTTATTTAGACAGAAATTGACAAAATATTATATGTTGTCTAGATTGTCCAGCTGATAGCCATGAAATGAAGAAGACTGGTTGATGTCATAAAAAAGGGAAGACCACCTGATTAAAGTGTGTTTAATACAAATTACAGAGAGATTAGGACTTTCTTTTGAAGTTTCTGAGAACATATGCAAAAGGGTCTATTTAAGGCAGTGGTGTAGTCTAGTTTTTTTGTAGTTGATACACTCCCCTCCATCTTGGAAACCCCTACCAGATATTTGGGGACATTCTGAAAGACCAGTTGTGTTCTATGCACAAAAAATATATAATAAAATCAATAATGATAAAAATGCACGAAAGGCAAACAAAACCTGAGCACTGTTCAACTCTGTCAATGGTTTTATTAAAGTAAATGTCTCCAATTAATAACAGAGATCAATGGTGATTATTGGATACACCTTACAACAGTAATCAAAATACCTGGTGGGGATCCACGAGGCATCTTGATTCAACAGACAGTTATAACTACTGCATCTACACACATATTACCAAGGCTAATATTATTTACAAGGAGAGCACTCCAGCAACCACTGAGCCAATATGTGGTTGCAACAGCAGAAAGTTTGCCAGCACACATCACAAACCATCATATGCAGAATATGAACCTTATTCCAACAAACCAGACAGCAGGGTCTTAAGCGTAAGATGCAGTGTATGCAAGGGTAACTGACCATGTTTTCCTGTTTTCCTGTTTAATAAGCACACAACAAGGTCAACTGAGAGAGGACGCTAAAGGCTTGGTAACCTCTCAGGCTGCGGATTTGGAGCCCAGCAGGGCTAAGATTATGAGGACAAAGCAGTGAACAGTATAGTTGTGATGTACAGAGACAAGGAAATGTATCTCCAAGCCCTCTGACCAAATAAAGAACTCAATTTCACCATATCAGCAAAAACACAGACTTTTTATCATGAAGGCTCGGCTGTGCGGCTCTGTGCGTAAAAGACAAAGCACACTGTCAGCTAATGCCCCTTTAACCCTCTCACTAATAGGAATGCCCCCTGAAGATCAGGAAAATACATCCTAACCTTCTACCTGAGACGCAGACACTTTCTCCAGGTAGCAATGCGCCTTTGCATGCCACCACCACATCCATGGACACTAATGTAAGTGGAAGATCACTGTGGTGAGACGCCTCTTCTTCCTGTTTTATTTTGGTTTAACTTCCCATTTTCCTTGTGTTCCTGGTCTGGTTTGACTGTTCTTTCAGTGCACTTTCCCTTTACCCGGTCGCTGAGGCTAAGTGAGACTCCACACCTGCACTGCATCTGCAATCAAGGCCCTTTAAGAAGCCAGCAACCCTCAGTCTCAGTGCCTGAGTATTGTTTTCACTCCTCAGTGGTACAGACGCTTCTCCCGGCCTTCTCCTCGGCTAAGTACTAGTAATGTATGCCTTCTCACTTCCATCTCCTCTGTTTTCTCCAGTGTCTCCAGCCCACACAACAGCCAGCCAGCCAACCGGACTTTTTCTTGTGCCTTTTCCCTTAAGTTGGACATTAAAATTACATCTTTAATTTACTATCTGTCTCTGTGTCTGCTTCTGAGTCCACAAAAGACACCACACGCCACAGAATACTCGGGCCAGGAAAATGGACCCAGCAGACCCAGACAGAGACCAACAAGCCATCCAAAAGCTCAGACTTCGCCTCGGTCAACATGAGGACATGCTCCAGGGCCTCAACCAAGCCTTTCAAGGCCTCACCGTTCAAGTAACGCAACTGGCGGATCAACTCCTCTCCCGGCTCCCCCCGAAGCAGTCTGGGTCTTCCCCCTCTGTGAGTATGGCCCCCACTTCACCCTCTCCTGTCTTCAAAGAGCCTTATGTCCCTCATCCCGAGCCGTATGCTGGGGAGATTGGGGGCTGCAGAGGTTTCCTGCTCCACTGTGCCCTTGTCTTTGATCAGCAGCCTATTAGTTACCCCTCGGATAAATCCAAAATAGCCTACAATGTCAATCTCTCGGTCTGTGGCGGAATTCTCTATTGAGTTCTGCACAGAGTGGAAGTGGGCCGAGAGTGGGTTGGGGGAACTAGAATTAAAGGGTGCATTTTCTCGTGGTCTGTCCAAACAGTTAAAGGACGAATTAGCTGCTCGTGATGATCCATCCTCACTTGAGGAGTTAATTTCATTAGCCATACATGTGGATAATCGCCTCAGGGAGAGACGTAGGGAGAAGAAACTAAACACTCCTCCCCATAGTTTAGATTCCTCATCCTCCACTTTCAGCGGGTCTCCTCTGCAGCCCTCAGCTCCTCTGGCTCTGGCGCCCTCACCCGTAAGGTCACCGCTCTCGATGGCAGAGTTATAGCCACCATAACCCACTGCACTACTCCTCTCACTCTCATCCTTTCGGGAAACCATCATGAGGATATCCAGTTGTTCCTGCTTCCCTCTTGGACTCCCGTGGCTGCAGATCCATAATCCCCAAATCAACTGGTCCACAGCTTCAATCTCCGCCTGGAGTCCTCACTGCCACTCTCATTGCCTCCGCTCCGCCCCTGTGCTCAAACACCCAGATCCCTCTCTCCAATTCGTGGTGGAGGTCGACGCCTCGGACTCTGGAGTGGGGGTCGTCCTCTCACAGGGGGATCCCGAGACCCAGATGCTCCATCCTTGTGCCTACTTTTCCCGGAAATTCTCACCCACCAAACGAAAATATGATGTTGAAGACCGTGAGTTGCTGGTTGTTGTGTGGGCACTCCAAGAATAGAGACACTGGCTGGAAGAAGCACAACACCCATTCCTCATCTGGACTGACCTCAAGAACCTTCAGTACCTCCGTTCCGCTTGACGCCTCAACTCCAGACAAGCCCGCTGGTCCCTCTTCCTCCACAGATTCACCTTTACCCTCTCCTATCGTCCCGACTCCCGACTCCCGCAACCTCAAACCTGATGCCCTATCCCGAATCTACTCCTCTGCTACCTTGGACCCCAGAGAACTGGACACCATCCTCCCTGCCTCCTGTATCATCGCCTCTTGGGAGATCGACACCGTAGTGGACAAGGCCCTACGGAAGCACCCGGACCCTGGAACTGGCCCTCCTGATAGGAAGTACGTCCCTGAGGTTGTACATTCTCAGGTCCTACAGTGGGGGCACTCCTCTTAACTCACCTGTCATCCCGGATTTCAACGCACCCTCCAATTCCTTTAGCAGCAGTTCTGGTGGCCGGGGATGGTCCGGGACATACAGGTGTTTGTGGCTGCCTGCTCCGTCTGAGGCAAAGCCTCCCACCAACCCCCAGCTGGCTTGCTGCATCCTCTGCTTGTGCCCTCACACCCTTGGTCTCATATAGCTCTAGATTTCGTCACTGGTCTCCCCCCTTCTGAAGGTAACACAGTTCTACTCACCATCATAGACAGGATTTCCAAGTTCGTGCATTCTGTCCCGCTACCCAAGCTCCCCTCTGCTCTAGAAACTGCTAATCTCATAGTGTCTCATGTGTTCCAACTTCATGGTATCCCCCTTGACATAGTGTCGGATTGTGGTCCCCAGTTCTCCTCCCAGGTCTGGAAAGCTTTCTGCCAGGCGGTGGGCGCGGCAGCTAGCCTCTACTCAGGCTACCAACCGCAGACCAATGGCCAGACGGAGTGGGCCAATCAAAACCTCGAGTCGACTTCGCGGTGTGTTGTGGCCCATCATCCAGCATCCTGGAGTACACACCTCCCACGGATCTAGTACGCCCATAACTCCCTCACCTCCTCGGCCACAGGTATGTCTCCCTTCATGTTCTGTTAAAGGTACCAGCCCCCCCGTTTACCGAACAGGAGCAACCGGGTGCTGTCCTGTCAGTGAGGGAGCACATTGGGCGCCAACGGGAGGTGTGGGGATCCGCCGAGGCCGCACTCACCCGGACGGCCGAGCGCAACAAACGCCTGGCTGACGTCCATCGCTCCCCTGCACCAGACTATCGTCCAGGTCAGATGGTCTGGTTATCATCCCGTGACCTTCCCCTGCAGACCGAGTCCCGCAAGCTGTCTCCCCGCTTCATTGGTCCCTTCCCAATCCAGGAGATTATTAGCCCCTCGGCGGTACGACTCAAACTTCCCTCAGCTCTCAAAATTCACCCCGCGTTTCATGTCTCCCTGATCAAGCCTGTCACCTCGTGCACCCTGAGCCCTCTTTCCGCAACCCTCCACCGCCCTGGATGATTGACGACCACCCTGCCTTCACTGTGAGACAAATCCTAGACATGCGGCCTCAAGGACAAGGCTTCCATACCTCGTGGATTGGGAGGGTTACGGTCCGGAGGAGCGGTCCTGGATCTCCTGCTCCCTCATCCTGGACCATCAACTCCTCAACAACTTTTACGCCGCTCACCCCAACAAACCCGGCAGAACACCAAGGGGCGTTCGTTGAGAGGGGGGTACTGTAGTGAGATGCCTCTTCTTCCTGTTTTATTTTGGTTTAACTTCCCATTTTCCTTGTGTTCCTGGTCTGGCTTGACTGTTGTTTCAGTGCACTTTCCCGTCCCCTGGTCGCTGAGGCTGAGTGGGACTCCACACCTGCACTGCATCTGCAATCAAGGCCCTTTTAAGAAGCCAGCAGCCCTCAGTCTCAGTGCCTGAGTATTGTCTTCACTCCTCAGTGGTACAGACGCTTCTCCCGGCCTTCTCCTCGGCGAAGTGCTAGTAATTTTTGCTCCATGTAATTCCTTGTATGCCTTCTCACTTCCATCTCCTCTGTTTTCTCCACAGTGTCTCCAGCCCACACAACAGCCAGCCAGCCAACCGGACTTTTTCTTGTGCCTTTTCCCTTAAGTTGGACATTAGAACTACATCTTTAATTTACAATCTGTCTCCGTGTCTGCTTCTGGGTCCACAAAAGACACCACACGCCACAATCACCTGCTATTTTCACAAAGTGTGGAATCTGGGCATGAAACTGCATCAGGTAATACATAACAATAACACTAATAATAGGACTTTGATACACATGTCAATCCTCAGCAACGCAGGTGAACCGCGACTCATCCAACACAGCATAATAGATTAATACATTTTTCTGACCTTAAAACATACAGGCTTGACTTCTATTCGTTGCTCTGTCACTTTAGAAACGAAGACCAGCTTTAATTCAGGAACGTGCTGGATCAAAAGTTTCTGCGATATGACCAAAAGTTATGAATGTCAGGTCCTTCAAAATTTCTTCAGTTAAGGGCATTATCAAATTGAAAAGGGTAACCCTGTGAACAGCTGTGAAGTTGTGGTCAGAACTCTGGTTGTTACATGTCTTTGCACATTTTCAAGTAGGTATATGGAAATTTGCGTACTTTTCTAGTATGTGCCATAGCCTTTACCTGCATATCATCTAGACTACACCACTGATTCAAGGTTACAATAAAATGCTCTGGGACAAGTAAGTCCCTAGAGTCTTTTGATTACTATTTCTGCCTTTCAGAACACAAAGGTCCCCTTTCTTCTCAATCCTAAATTAAACAGGGGTCTTTGAGAAAAACACCAAACCTATTATGCTGTTTTAAAGATATTTGTGAAGTAATCAACCCTGTCGTGGACTATTACCTGCACAGGGATAGGTGTACTGGGTTTCAGCCTGGTCATCTAGAAGAGAAAAAAAGGAAAAGTCAAATTAGAGGAGGAGGGAGACCAGAAACTAAACAGAAATGAGTACTGCTGTTTGTAAATAAGAAAGCTTTGCAAAGTACAAAAAGAGGCACATTTTGCCTTAAAATGATCCCATAATAACAGAGATGCTATCTGCTCTGAAGTGCAGTTTTTAGGTGTGAGTGAGTGCTTTGTAAAGTATGGTATTGTATTTGCTCATTTGCATCAGTTAAGTGGGCGAAAAAGCTGCACAATTCTTTACTTCGTTACTTTCCTTCCTCAAACTAAAGCGATAATACGTGATGTTTTCCATCCTGGCGCTGAACATCTGAGACATAACTTTGAGTTTTAGGATTTGATATCAAACACCAAGGGCTCTATTTTCGTGCCTCGCTGGCGACACAGCACATGCGGGGCGCAAGTCAGGTCTGCCGCGCCGACAAGGCGTCCCAAGCACAATTTGGTATTTTGGTGAGCGGCGCAGCCCCACGTATGTATCCCTCCTCCCTAACTCAGCTCCTCCCAGCGGCGTAAGTTGTAGGGAGGGAGGAGAGAGGGCGTGGAGTGGGTTTAACACAGCCGAGACCTGTATTGACCAATAGCATCAACTCCTCTCCTCACCTTTAAATCCGACACCAGCGAGGCATATTACTATTTTCGTGAAGTAGTCAAAGAGATCAAGAGATGTCTGAAGACAGTTATGCCACATGATGGCAACAGGAGGCAGCCCCTCAACAAGTGTCACTGTAAGCGCTGCATTGGGCGTCCTCCACACTCTCTCATATGAGCACAGATGGATTTGGTGTGTGTCAGTTTGGACCCACTGGTAAGAGAAATACCCTTTCCACAAATAAAGACACTCACATAAAGTTGCACATATTCAAACCTCACGTGACAAAGGTGGGTTGTGCACACAAATCACAACATAAATCCCAAAAATGGCATTAAAATTGGAACCATCTGTGTGTAAATGACGCATCGCGCTCCGTGGCCTGGCTCTTTCTTTCATAGATGTTGGCATATAAAATAAATTTGGCTCACAAAACTGAATATTATAATATCCATATGTCGGCTTAAAGTAAATAACTCATCTGATCACTGAAACAAATCATCTGCTCAGCCGCTGCAGCAGGACGGGGAGAGGACACAGAAACATGTCCAGGTCAAGCTTCACGGGAAATAAGAGGAAGAGGAAGAAAGAAAAGGAGGGAGACATATTACATATCTTGTTCACTTCATCATGTGTGTCTATTTACTAGATATTTAATTTAATTTAATGCGGTTTCAGCTGTGTTAATTCGGTCAGGTTGTGTGTCCAAACGCGTGCCAAACGCGCTCATCAGATAAGTGATCAGTATATATCTATATAGATCTAAATGTATGTGCTGACTCAGATTAATAGTTGCTGATGATTATTTATTGCACTGAAATGTGCCTGACACTGTGGAAACCTGCCGGTGAGGCATCGGTGACGTATGCGGATCTACCATCTACGCCGCCGGTCTACCAAAATACTACTCGACCAGCTGCGCTCTGCCTGCGCTGAAAGCTGACCAAGTTTGAATCGGCGAGCTTTCAGCACACTTTATACGCTGGTGGAGAAGGGAAATGTCACTGCGCCCACTGATTCTGTCGACACCTCCCCCTGCCACGCCACCACGTGGCGCCTCAGGCCACGAAAATACCAAACTGGCTGTACGCCGGGCTCCGCCAGACGAAAATACAACTGCGCGGGGTCCGCCACCCTCTGCCGCGTCCCTGGTGTACACGAAAATTGAGCCCCAAGTGTGTATAAAGTACAGCTCATTTACTTGGCTGGTAGTAATCATAGATCCGGACGACAGCGGGCTTCAGGTTCTGCACTGGGAGCTCCTGTATGAGCTCTAACTCATGACTGATGGATACGTCCTTTGGTAACTGATGACAGACAAAAAGATAATGTTATTAGCAAAAAATCTGCACATCTGAGTACTGTCCTTTTTACTCACTGTGATTCCTCTCACCTCATTAAGATACACCACAACATGATCTTTCTTTTCCTCGACACGGTCCACCAGCAGGGCTCGTTTGAGCTGTGTGGAGACAGCAGTCAGCTGGATTAACATCAGCTTCATCAGGACAATAATGAATGATCAGGTTTGAGATTGCTGTTTCAAAAAAGTCTACCTTCTTCAAAGACTCGGGGTCTGGGACAAACCCAGAGAGCATTTTGAGATCCACAATCACCATGTTTGTAGTCCTCTCTTCACCAAAGTATCTGTAGTAAAACATCAAAAGTAAGTTACTGATAACACCTCCTTTTCTCAATTTTACTTTCTTTTGCTATTACATGTGCCTTTATACAGCAGTCAGTCCATGAATGCTGATATAAAGTACAACTTTCTTTGATGTGTATCATGACATAAAAGTGAATTAAAGTAACTATAAGTCATAAAGCCTGCAAACTTCACAATCAGACTGTACGTGAAATACATTTTTCTCAAGCATGATTTCTGTTTCTGTGCTTACTAGTTCTTGTCATGCTTACTTATTTTTTAGTGTTCAGTTTGTTAACACTTTATTTGACACCTATCTTTGTAGTGCATTATAAATATATGTATAGTGCATTATAATCACGTTATGGCACTGTATTACTATAGTTATAAACACTCATAAATGATCATAATGCTTTATAGCACTAATAATAACAAATTATAAAGCATTTTATCATAACTTACAAGGCCAAGTATTTTTATGTGTTATAACTGTTAACAACTCACTGACAATGCCCACATAGATAATGCAATGCTTCTGTTGAGTTTTACTAACCAGTTTAATTTTAATCTGTTGCCATAAAAAGGAGTAAGATGCCATGTTTGACAGTACCGTCACCATATGCAGTGCAGGTGCATCACAGAACACGGGGGGCTCTATTTTCGTTCGCGCCGGTGAGGCGGCGAGCCCCGCGCAGTTGTATTTCGTCTGGCGGAGCCCAGCGTAAGGCGAGTTTGGTATTTTCGTGGACTGAGTCGCACGGAGGCGAGCCGAGATCCGCCAAGCTGGGCGTGGTGGCGTGGCAGGGGGAGGTGTTGACAGAATCAGCTGGCGCAGTGACATTTTCGTGCTCGCCACCGGCGTGTAACGTGCGCTGAAAGCTCGCCGATTCAAACCTGGTCAGCTTTCAGCGCAAGGCGGAACGCAGCTGGTCTTGTAGTATTTTGGTAGACCGGCGGCGTATCGACATACGTCACTGATGCCTCACCGGCAGGTTTCCACAGTGTCAGGCACATTTCAGTGCAATAAATAATCATCAACAACTATTAATCTGAGTCAGCACATACATTTAGATCTATATAGATATATTCTGATCTATATCTGATCTGATGAGCGCGTTTGGCACGCGTTTGGCACGCGTTTGGGCACACAACCTGACCGAATCAATACAGCTGAAACTGCATCAAATTAAATTAAATATCTAGTAAATAAACACACATGATGAAGTTAACAAGATATTTAATGTGTCTCCCTCCTTTTCTTTCTTCCTCTTATTTCTCGCACAGCTCGACCTGGACACGTCTCCGTGTCCTCTGTCCGTCTTGCTTGCTGCTGCGGCTGAACAGATGATTTGTTTCAGTGCTCAGTTGCGTTATCTACTTTAAGCCGACATTCGGATATTATAATATTCAGTTTTGTGGGCCAAATTTATTTTATATGCCAACATCTATGAAAGAAAGAGCCAGGCCACGGAGCGCGATGCGTCATTTACGCACAGATGGTTCCGATTTTAATGCCTTTTTGGAGTTTATGTTGTGATCTGTGCGCTAAACCCACCTTTGTCACGTGAGGTTTGAATATGAGCAACTTTATGAGAGTGTCTTTATTTGTGGAAAAGGGTGATTGTCTTACCAGTGGGTCCAACATTACGCACACCAAATCTATCTGTGCTCAGATGAGAGAGTGGGGAGGACACTTGTTGAGCAGCTGCCCTCTGTCGCCATCGTGTGGCATAGCTGTCTTCAGACATCTCTTGATCTCTTTGACTACTTAATGAAAATAGTAATACGCCTCGCCGGTGGCGGATTTAAAGGCGAGGAGAGGAGCTTATGTGATTGGTGAAAACAGGTCTCGGCTGTGTTAAACCCCTATAAGCCCTCTCTCCTCCCCTTCTATGATTTATGCTGCCGGGAGGAGCTGAGTTAGGGAGGGGGGATACTTACGCCGGGCTGCGCGGCTCACCAAAATACCAAAATGTGCTTGGGAACGCCTTGTCAGCGCGGCGGATCTGATTGACTCTGCGCTTGCGGCACGTCTCCGGCGAGGCACCAAAATAGAGCCCTAACAATGAGAGACGGTGTAACAGGAAGATGACAGTAAGGCCAGATTTGAGCCAGTGTTTAAACTCACAGTGTTTTGGTTTTCAGGGTCAGCCTGCGTCTGTTAGAGGAGCTGTCACATTTGGCTTCTGGTTTGACCTCCACTCTGAGCGTGGTGCCAGCAGTAGGAGTTGGGATGTTGTAGTGAAGAGAAATCTGATAAACAGATCAGGGCATTTCCTTTATCAATATGAAGATAAATAGCCAAACCCTGTCCTCTCAAACCAGTGAACTCTGAGCATGAGAAGCTTTTTACCACATTTGCATTTTTGGCACATGTTAAAAATCTAAAACATAAAAAAAACCCCAGCAACAATACAGCCAACAAAGCAATCATCTGTGAAAATCACATGCGCTTGTGTATCACATAAGAAATATTAGAAAACACAGTGCTCTTCAATATATAAACAATAAAAATGTCCAAAAAACATGTTTTCTTGATAACTTCACAGATTTCTACGATTCTAACTAGAAATTAGGTGAAGGTTCAGGGGTGGCCAAATACAATGTTTTGGGCCCACCTTAGGCCAATTCTGTGGACACACCCCTGGGCTAAAGCCCTCCCTCAAAAAACAGAACAGCATGTTCACTAACCTGCATTGAAGCACATGCAGTTCCTCTCACTTCCAGGCTGTACTTTCCTTCGCCGTCCTTCAGCACCTCCTCCTGGTAGAGAAGTTTGTTGTCCGGGTTTACACCAAATGACAACTGACCGCTGGGAGCCTGGATAGTCACGGTACTTGAACCCTCTGGACTGAACACGCGAGTGGAATAAAGAGCCAGAGCCTGAAGAGCCACCACTGTGTCCTAAAACACACAAACAGAAATGTTATTATGAAGGAGAAGTGTTATTTTATGATGGAGAGATTGCAGCTCTCTGTTTGACAAAGACGTAAGGATGCTCAAAATTCATAAAGATATTGACAATAGCCCATTATTTTTAAACACACACACAAACACAAACTGAGATCAGTGTTTATAGGTCAATATATTCTCCATTTTGTCTAATCTTTAAAGTAAGATAATTCCCTGATCAGAGCCTTTAGAGAGCACATTTTTCAGAGAAACAGACATTTTGAAGAACATTATCTGTCTCTCATATCTGTCCCATATTTGCTCCAGTTTACTTTGTTTCTGTGGTACCTGTGTGGAGGAAAAGCCTCCATAATGGTTCTGCTGGGTGGTCAGCCATCTGACAATGCGGGTGGAGTAGCCGAGCTCTTCGACAGACGGAGGGACGCTGAGTTTGGCCAACAGCACATAAGAGCTGATCTCCATAGACAGAGAGGACGAGGTGTCTGTTGCTGTCTGAGACCAGTGGAGGTACCCTCCTAAAATCAGCCACAATCAGGGAAACAGACACTGGGTGAGCTACATGCTCAGGGATGATACCAGAGGGAATTATTTGAGCTGGTTACCGACCTTCATGTATCGCAACTGTGTCAAGATGCCTCAGAAGTTGAGCTCGGGTGTCCGTGTCTCCTGCCAGAGTGAAGACGTACGCCATCAGAGCCGTGGCGTAGGTGTTGCTGAGGTCACCCAGGGACGCTCTAAGGCAGGACAGACCTTTTTCCACTACAGGATCCTGTGATCAATCACCTTAAAATCTTCACTTTCCTGAAAGGACTGAGCCCTTCACAACTTTTTTGAACACTTTACCATAAAAAACATTTCTACCATTCTCAGGAAAACTCATTAAAATTGTATCCAGCACATCTTCAATTCAAGAGCAGGGTCGTGAAATGGATTTACATTTTTTAAAAGAACTTTCATTGTAAATTCAAGAAAAAACATAAAAAGGTTACAAGTGAACAAAACTCTATGTCTCACTGCGTTTTTACAGGATGTACATCCAATGGTTTTAAGTTAATAAGCAGGACAAGTTCCTCTTACAAAACTAGGAAAAACAAGAAAAAGACCTGAGCTGTTTGTCCTTTAAGAGTCTACTCACACTAACAGACGAGTTCATCTCCAGGAAGGCAGCAATAATGTACGCACTGAGGGTCACTTCATCAGACACACCACCCTGTACAGAGGAAGTTTTATGACAGAAAGTTAACATCACTGACCCTCCAACATCCGGACTAAAATCTCTCATTCATGTGACTGTCAGTAAAACAGCTGTGGATGCTGGAATAGGAGAATTATTCTGAAAAACAAAGACATCACTCCAACTACTAACAGGCTCTTTATGACCTAATAATACTTCTTCATTTCATTTAGTCTGAAGTCCATATTTCAATCAAAGCTGAAAAAGGTTGACTGGTATTATTTTTACACATTTATTTCGCTATTTAAGTATGGTAAGGAGCTCTGCTTGGTTTAACTTTTTTTCATAAAACCGTAATTATACACAATGTTTAACTATAACCTGGGGATGTTCAAAAACCGTTTCTTTCTTTATCATTTGTGATGATATTAATGTCTGACCAGCAAACCACATCTGTCATCTGCCATGTGATTGGTCCTTGTGTGTTTGTTTACATCTGGAGAGTTGAGCATTAACAGCATTGAGGCAGTTGTCATTAACCAGTGCTACAGTCCTAGCTAATGGTGGAAAGTTGCACTACAGCTTAGACAAAACACATGATCAACAATTCATGCCTACAAGAATAAAAATATTGATGACATGTTTAACTGGAGCAGATCCCATCATGTTCTTGATTAAAAGTGACATTTGTAAAGAATAACTTGACAATAGAAGGGCGTCATGGCAGGATGTACGATTTCAGTGGCCGTATTCATAGCTGCATTAGACCTACTGCTCAAAGTAGGAAGATCACAGTGCAGGGGCCCGAAAGCAGAGGACGGCACAACATCTTTAGCATCCAAGGCTCAGACATCCCAAGAATTTGAGAGTAAGTCATCAGGGGCATTGGAAAGGCCTACGACAGCTCCCTTAGGGACAACAATAACCTCACCAGTACCAAAGCTCAGCTTAACACATGGCTTCAGGCGATCGACAACAGCTGGGGAGGTTCCAGGTGTGGTGTTTTCAATATGGAATCATATCTCAACTGCAGTGGCCCTTTTTGCTCTATGATTTACCCATGTCCCAAGTAGAAGGGATGGAGAGGCTCTGTAGCAAGCTCTTGCTGAAATGGCTGGGCGTCCCTCCATCTTTCAGCTCAGTCAATCTTTACAGCAAGACCTCAAAGCTTTCCCTACCAGTAACATCGGTGGCTGAGGAATTCAAAGCTGCCAAGTCGAGGGCAGTCAGTACACTCTGCTTATCTGAAGATGGGAAAGTGAGGCATGCAAGTAAGAACATCAAGTGCGGCAGGTAGTGGAGGCCTCAGCAGACAGTGACATCAGGAGATTGTCGGCATGGTATGTCAAGGCCGCTTAGGTCTTGGAAACTATAGCAGAAAGAGGTAGAGCAAAGCCAACGCCAGAGCCAAAAGAGCACTAGTAATAGGGCTAGCTTCCTAAGGTAGGTGGACACAGTAGGACCAGGCACTGGAGCAACCACTGTCCTGGAAGGACCTATGGCAAACTGACCAGGGGAATTGTCTTTCCTCCTACAAGCAGTGGCTGATCTGCTGCCAACCCCAAGCAACCTAAAGATTTGGGGTGCAGAGGAAGATCCATCTTGCAAACAGTTTGGAGCGGCCTACTGCACACTGAATCACAATCTGACTGGTTGTCCTAAAGCATTAGCAGAGGGACGCTACAGGTGGAGGCATGACAAGGTCCTCATGGAGATTGCCAAGTGAACGTAGCAGCAGAGGACTAAGGCGAACAACAACCACACCCAACCACCCAATGCCATAGGATTCCTGAGGGAGGGTGGCAAGGCCCCTAAGAGCAGAACAACAGCTAAAAACCTACCTTTCATCCTGCAGAAAGCCTCTGGCTGGGAGTTGAACATGGACCTGAAGAGGAAACTCATCTTCCCTCAAGATGTAGTGGCAACATCCCTCCTACAAGATCTGGTCCTCCTATCCAAGAGCACTAAAACCATCATAGTGGCAGAACTTACCCTTGCCCTGGGAGGAGAGGCTAGCCACATCCCACCATCTGAAAAAAGCCAAGTACCAAGACCTGATTGATAAGGCAGCTCTAAAAAGGGTGGCATGAAACCATTTTCCCCATTGAGGTCGGCTGCCGTGGGTTCCCAGCAAAATAGGTGTGCTACTTCCTCCAGAGAATTGGTTTGGAGCCCAAACAGCTGAAGAAAGTCACCAGGGACATAGCCACAATGGCAGAATCCAGCTCGAGATGGTTGTGGCCGAAGAGGGCCCAAAGTTGGAACCCTTCTGCAGGCAATGGCTAACCAGCCTCCGCAGCCCCACTCAGGCAAGGTGCACTGGTTAAGGGGTGAAAAATCTGCAACCCTGAGATACCTGCTGATGATGCAGAAGGGTTCCCAACAAAACAGGTGAGCATAGGAACGCGACCGAGGATCCAGCCTACATAGTTTGTATTTGCTGCTTGTAGCATAGCATCTCTGATGTTTTTTTCACAAAACATCAGTGTCAATGACACCACACGAAAATTTGGTAACCAAAGATTATAACTGCACTAGCGAACACATAATTGACAAGATATGTAGCAATTTATACTGTTAATGAATATTACTATGTAAAAAAAAAAAGGTGTTCAGAAATATAAAGAAGATTAGGTATGCCTTTAACTATGCATTGGATTATTTCACTCCAAAAAGATAAAAAAAAATTAGAAATATCAGCCCTCCAACACGAGACATCTCCACTTGTTCATTCATTCATTTCACCTGTGTACATGAAAAATTTATTAGCACACAAAGAAAAAGTGAGTGTGAAGGTGTGGTGGACAAAGTTCAGTTAAATTAGTGCAAAAAGTTCAGTTTAAAAGATGAAAACAAAAAACAACAACACAATATTACCTTCATTCTGTTGTTGAAAAGTTTCCCAGACTTTACAAAGCAGCCGGTTTCCCGTTGCTGATTTTTCAGCCAGGATGTTGACTGTCTGATGTGTCTTGGGTCAATGAAGACAAAATTCTGAGCTCTGGCAAAAGATCTCAACACAAAAGCCGTCAGCCTGAGGATAACAAACACAGAATCACATGGTCTGGATGAATACTTGTTTTTGATTGGTTAAGAAGTGTTCATTATTTCATATTAATCACTTCTTCTATCTATCCACCCGTTCATTTCAGCTTCATTTCAGCCTGTATCATAACAGTGTACAAAAATATCAATGGAATGACGGCTCCCCAAAAGTTAAGCCTACTGACAAGCTGCATGACAGATCATGAAGCTTATCTCCTCCAAGTTAACAGGGTCAAACTTCAAATTCAGTTTATATCCAATAAATTCTTCCCAATTTTGTTTCTAGTCAGGGCCACATTAGACACAATATTGTTTGGCATTCAAGTTTTATCTGGCAGTTAAAGCTGCTCCTGGGGTTTTCTCTCCTCCTCGTCATGAGTATGTTGAATGCCAAAGCCTGATGATGGGAGAGCACACCTCCCTTTATATTATGTGCATGACAGACAACAGTGAAAATACATTTGACAGAGTGGTCTGCAAAGGAGTCGGCAGGCTAAAGCAGTTAATAAAGAACTCCTGTTTTGATGTGTAAAAGATAAATGACAGAGCTCTAAGTTGATATGGGCTGACCCTGAGATCAGCTTCCATATATGGACTGAGTTTAACTTTGTGGCCTAACTGTCAGAAAACTTAAAAAAACTCTAACAGACACATCAGTCATTAAACTGTCGAGAAAATGTCTCTTTGAAACCAACATAACACCCCTGAGGGATCACTGGACTACCCCCTGACTTTACTCATATCCAGGATTACATAAGTGGTCATATTTCAAATACTCTGACAGTCAGCACAAAATACAAGCCTTTAAACTTATGCAGAAACATCAGTGTATTATTTAAGCAAACATCCAATTATGATTCAGAAATATTTTCACCAGGTGTTTCCTGATCCCGTTCCAAACGTGCTGTAAGCACCTTCACTGTGCTTGTAGTTCAGCTGTCTCTGGTAGCCTGTGACAGAGGAAGAAATACCTGCTATTATCACTTAAACATTTACACATCGGATCAGATTTTACTGAGGTCCAGGTGTGGTAATGTAGATTCTGCATTTTTACATAAACTTTGTTGCTATGAATGAGTTTAATATTGGCTGAAGGGAAGCACAGAGGTGAAAAAGTTGAAGTCATAGTACTATCAGTTTTATCTTGGTTGGTGGAGTTTCTTATTTTGTTTGTCTACGATATTAAAACTGCAGACACACACCACTGGTCAGGAAGTTAGAAGCCTTCTCCATGATTTTTGGGGTCAGTTGCTGGGTGTTTTTCAGGTATTGGAGGATGTAGATGTTGGGGGCCAGAAGGGCCATGTTCTGCTCTCCGCATCCATATGGCATTTGCAGAAGCCCATCCAGGTTCTTCAGAGCTCGACCCAGGATATCACCTGCACAAAAACACAGTTTTCTACTGTCTCTTCAGGAAGGCATCCCATGTTGAAAAGAAGCACCACTCGAGCACTAGTAGATCACTCAAATGAGAGACATCCCTTTACCCAGGACAGAAACAAGCGCACGCGCAGATCCTTCAATCACATTATCAGGGAGCTGTATGTCTACTTCCTCTGTCAAAGCCTCATCTGTTGACAGAGAACAAAACCTTCATTGAGATAAACTGAAAAACTCAGTACTTAAAGATCTTAATTTACAATGACATGATAAGATTGGGATGTTGATGATCTTTTTACAAACCACACAGACCTTTTGGACAAAGCAGCCAGTTGTGGGTTTTTGTCACTTCGGTTCCTTCAGCCTGAGGGCCGAGAAAACAATGTTTGTATCAGAGTTCCTGTTTTTGACAAAATGCTGTGGATAAAACTGTTACCCTTAAAAGAAGAGCTGATCCAAGTTAAATAAAATAATTTCTGCTGGCAAGTCAAGGCAAGGTCTAAATAGATTTTTGCCACCCTGAATGCAGATCTAGCTTTTTGTTATGCTTCCTCTCTCTGTTCCTCCTCAGTCCCCGACTGATCCTGGATATAGAGCTCTACAGCAGCCTCATTTGTCGACAAAGCTGTCAATCACCTAACTATAATGACAGAAAACCTTTTTAAAATGAAAACTGTTGACATGTATCTTATGACCTTAACTGCAGCCAGTCATTCAGGGAGCCATAGAGGATTTGGTTTCATGTTTAAGAGCTGTCTCCTTCTTTTATATGGAATAAAGTTTCAAGGTGCTAACCTTTACTATGAGGGATTTGGTGACCACATCGATGCGACCTCTCTCTGGGACGCTCACAATCTCATTGTCACAGGAAGCGTGGGACGCCACAGCCTCGGCGCTCACAGTCACATTCATAACACCTAAAAATACAAAAAACAAACTCCTCTTTAGTCTTTACATCTCACTGTTGGATTTTACTGGTATAAAAAGAATGTATCTTTTACAAAGCAAAAAAAACAAAAATCTATGCTGTAGATGTTGTAGTAATAGTTTGGTTTGTAAAGCCTCAATGAGATGTTAGGATGATATACATTTGTTATTATGTGCAATCTATTGTCCTGATTCAGGAAAGGGTTACAGAGACAGCATGTAAATAACAAAGCATACATGAAGAGTTCAAAGTAAACAGCATGTCAATATTGTCTGCACAAAAATTTATGTAAATCCATGAATGATTAATTTGGGCCCAAATCAGCCCCTTTCTTTGCCAATGAAACTCATTCACAGTCATACACAGATAGTGCGAAGGTTTTTTTAACATGCTGTATGAATTGGATCTAAGACATATCAGTTAGCGAGAATAAATGCACATTTTAACTGCTTACTAATGCCCACAATCCATTCAGTGGACCCCTTTCTGTGTTTTGTTTCTGCTTTGGTTTACGGTCACTTTTTTTTAAAATGGTGCTTTCATTGGCCTGTTTTGGGCAGGACATGTTATTGCGTGACACACTGTTTTAGCAATAATAACAAAAAGGCAATGTAGATGAAATATTTGTTCCAGTCATTATTTGTTTTTACAGCTCAGATCCGTTAAGAACAAATCATAGCCATTATAGCAACTCTCTGGGCCTTTTCATCTCCATTGTTTTATTGCCCTCTCGCTGCCATATTTAAACGGCCCTATTTTCAATCTTTAACTTGTCAACACAGGTGGGAACAAAAGCCTGACCCTCACCTAAAGCTGAGGGGTCCATGTTCCAGCTGAGGGTCTTGCGCTCATTGCCACACAAACACGATGTGTACTGGTCACCAGAGAGGGGGGTGAGGGTGTAATCCAAAGATGGGGTTGGAGTCACGGTAACCTGTTCAAAAGAGACAAATTCATATTTTATAAATTAATTGTAAAAAGTCATCAAGATAAAAGAGTTTAAAACAGACTATTTTTAAAGCTTTGAAGAGCTCTTCATCTGAAAAGACACCTCAATAACAGAATTTAATAAAACAGTCTGATCGATGCCGTTCTGGGGAAAAAATTACAAGCAAGTTGTTACAGCAGCACAAAAGAAGACTTTTCCATTATCATCTCCTCTACCACACAGGGGTGATGAACTTCTTTATTTTACACATATATCTGAAGAGCCTTGTTTTGTTTTAGCTTTACTGGATTTTATTTTTTTAAGACACGCAGTTTTACTTTAATTTTTATAAACTTTATTTCCGGCATTAATTACCATGATGCAGCTGCTCATGTAGTTAAAGACAGTCGCCTTCAGCTCAAAAGTCTCCCCTCGGATTATGGAGTAAGGCAGGCTGAGCTCCAGGAAGAAGGGCTGGAAGACAGTGAACTCTTTACGAGGAGCCAAGCCGAAACCTTGAGGAGACAAACAGAAAGCCTCCGTCTCCCAGGTGGTGATGGTGTCAGGGACGGTGAGGGGCACATCTATTGTTCCAGTCTCTCTGAATGAGCAGAAACACACATGCCTCTTCTTAGAGCTGGAGGAGCAGGGACCTCAGAAACAAAAATTTCATACCAGAAATGTACCACTTATCTTCACATTCAAGGGGCGATTCTAACATTTTATACAGAGAAGAACTCAGCTGTTTTACAATGAGTGCAGTGTTAAATAGGGCAAAAACATCTTACTGGAAAATCATACATCATACAATCATGTACAAAAGTTAGAAAATCTCTGATACAGTTTGCCGTCAAGTGATGGAAACCTACCCAACATCCACCAGGTCCCATATCCAAGTCTCAGGGAAAAAACTGCGGACTGTCTCTACAGGTGCAGCTTCTGGTGCAGCTCCTAACACTCTTGATTTCATCATCACTCGAGGAGAACTGTTTAATCTCATCCCCCACCTTGGACTATTTGTATGACGGAAAACAGGACCTGTAAAGAAACCACAAAATATTTTATCAGAAATTAAAAACGTCTCCAGATTTGAGAAAAGACAACCTACAAGAAACCATCATCAGAGACTGAGTGCACATGCAGAGCTGACGCCTGAGGTGCATCCTTACGTGCCACTTGGAGCTATAAGTTATGACAGCTCTAAAGACTGGTCCTGTGCACCAGTTACAAAAGTTGGTATCTCATACTAAGGAGTACTGACATGTGAAAGCTTACCATCATAGCCGCGGTGGAACTCCTCTCCTCTGAATCTGATGCAGGTAGGTGTTCTAATGAACAAATTGGTCGCCATTTTCAATCCAACATTCTGGATAATTGAGCAAAAACAAAAAAGAGTGAAGGTTTATGAAACAAATAAAATTTTAGCACTGAAATATAGTGTAAAAACTACCTTGAAAACGTTGTATGCATCATCAGAGGCACGGCGTGGGTACGGCCAAATTGATCTTCTATATCTCATCTGGAAGCATCCTTGATCCTCTTCAACTTCGTGTGGAATAGGAGAAGCTTTTTTAACAGGCAACAGATTGAATATCTGAAAAGAAAGGGATGGTTACAATCCTGGAGCAGCAAAAAGGAGTTTCCTTCAGGAGAAATATTTTTCCTGTCAGAGGGAGTCAGTGGAGTGGTTCGGGTCCTTTGCAAACCTACCTGGATGGTAAGCAAACACCAGCAGCCTCTGGTGTTTAAATCTGAGCTAATGCTAGAGAGCATAAGGAAACTATTGTTAGCTACTGTCGAATGTCAGCTAAAAAAGTGGTGTGATGTGGTTTTCCACTTGAAATATCAGACAATTCAATTAGATAGTTTTCATTTTTTCCCCCGATCAGTTTGAAATATAAATATTACAAAGTTGTCCAATTTCCTTTTGTATCAAGGATTTGATAAGTGTGCAAAGCAACCTTCACCCTCTCAGCACATTAATGTGTGTAATATGTGGGCTCCTTTACCTAGTTTGGACAATTTTGCCTCTCCCACAATGCAATGCTGCTGTGCAGTTACTTCTAGCTTACTATCAAAATTATCACGCAGCACTTTCCATCAATGGCTCCAAGGCATTTGGTACTGTTAACAGTGACATTTAATGTCACAGATTGTGAGGTAAAGGCCTCTCAGACCAATCCATTGACTGGCTTAACTACATTCAGTATGTGCAGCTCAGTGGCCTGTGCTCCAGTTTTGTCAACATTACAATAGGCGTGCCACAAAGTTTAGTCATAGGACCCACAGTCTGTACTATTAATGGGTTTCATTCGTAACATGTTGGTAAATGTATGCGTAGACTTACACATAAACATCATTGGTAATAAAAAAAAACTTTACTCCTGATTCATGAACACTGTGGAAAACCCTGGATTTGATTGAAGTGGCATGAATAACTTTATGAATGTCAATTGATTAAGGAGTGACTGTACTCTCCTGATAGCTACTACTCAGTCAAATTTCCACCCAGAATCAGTCTTAGTCTGTAGTGGGTATATAAGGAGCTCAAGCTGAGAGTGTGGCAGGTCTGTGGAGTGAACAACCACAGCTTCAGTGGGTTACCCTGTCCTCGATTGATAGGTTAGAGTTCTAGTTAAAATATATATGTTTACATCCCCGAAGCAACATGGTAAATGAAAAAATAATTACGTCAAAAATCCCTGAGTATGGATAACAATCTGTGTGTGCCGACCGCGAATGCATGTGCATGAGACTACGACTGGCTATTTTCATAAACATTTCACCCTCTCTGTTTACAAAAAAAAGAAAAAAAAAAAGAAAGCACACCACTACTTTTTCAGAAAAGTTTTCATTTACACTAACCCATGTATATATGCCGTCAAGAGCATATCAAACATGTGGGTAGCAGTGTAGTGAGAAGCTCAAGCCCACGTTAGCCAATCAGAATCTTGCATAGCAGCAACAACGTCCCTTCCTTCTTTCCTGCACATAATCTGCCGTCGGTTACCCAGATCTCTGTTTTTCTCTGTTTACATGCAAATGTGCAAACAGAGTTTTCTGAAATCTCCACTTTGGCCAGAGTTTTTATAAAGCATCATTTTTCGGTGCAAATTCTCTGTTTGGCTCTAAACGAAGGGTGCAAATGATGGTTTATGTCTCTGTTTTAAAAATAACCGGGTATGTATATACCAGGCCTGAATCTACACGTTTTTCTTTTCTTGATCTGGTACCTGAGGACTCAGTAAATATGCAAGGATGTAAACAGGGTATCTTCTAAATTTTATACGTCTCCATGTACTATTGTTGATTGTTTGTGTCTCTTTGAACACTGTATTCTTGTGTGGGAACCTTGTGTGGCTCTCCATGCCTTCCTCTTTTTCTCTCTTGATAAAAAATCTAATTTATGAGAGTTTTCAGGATGGGTAGGGGAGGAAGGGATAACTTTAAACTTCCACACAAGGTGGGATAAAGTGATTTTACATGTCTTATGTGAAACAACACTCATTATACCCTCCCTGAGGCAGGGACTTTTTGAGGGGTGGATCAAAGTCAGTATTTAGACTCTGTTTCTGCAGTCAAAATAGGTTGAATTCTTCAAAGGGGTTCCTATGGGAAAAGTTCCTGCTGTCAAAAAGCAAATAGCAGGGTGCAGTGGATGGCTGCCTTAAGCCAACCATGGCTTTGTAAGAATCAAAGAGGTTTCCATCTGTTCTGATGTTGCCTGGTCCTAAAAGAAGACCAAAAGGCATCTGGTTGATTTCAGTCTTTACCTTGTCTGTGTCCAAAGTTTTCCCGGGCTCCTTGATGAGAACGCTCTGGTCGACAGCACTCAGGCCGCACAGAGAGCCTGGATGGGTGGTCACCTGCAGAGTGTTGGCCTCTCCTGGGACTGCTGAAGATGGGGAAAACTCCAGTGACACCTAACACACAGAAAACAAGTACCGTTAATGTGACACAACATTGTATTGACCTCTACCATTACATCCCCTAACACCTACATCAGCCTGCACACTGACCTTGTGACTGAAGCATTTCTCGGTGGTGAACGCAGCGCTGTGGGCAATCACCGTCTCACTGGGGAGAACGGTGTACGCCACAACTTGAACCTCTGGGGTCATATCTGGAGACACTGCTAACTTAAAGGACATCTGACCCTCAGTCACTGAAACAGGAAAACAATTTAAACATATTACAAAACAGCTTATAGCTGATTCATGTAGTTCAAAGCATGCATGCTAAAGTTGGTTCATAGTTTCACATTAATTTATGACTGCACAATAAAAGAGAATTTCCTCCTACTTAGTTTATCCTGGACTTCAATCTGCTCAATTCCTTGCATCACAATAGCTCCTCTGGATAAGACCTGCCCAATTTAATGACACAGAAGAACAGTAGCACCTCCTAGCTTTGAAAGCACAGTATTTTTTGTTTGTCTGTTTTTAAAAGTTACTGCACTGATAAATAGCTTACATACCAGATACATCACGTCTGCAGTGCCCTGGACTTCACCAATGATAAAAAACTTGATGTAAATGTCCTCCACTGTGTTACAGGCAAATGGTTTATCCTTCTTCTGCACCTCCAGGGAGCTGATTGTTTTAACATCTGGAGTTAAAGGTTTGGCCAACGACACTTTGTGCCTTCCAGATTGAAAAACCGGAGATCGATACCCTTCAGGCTTAAACACAGGTTGGTCGCTTGCCTGGATAAAGAAGTAAAAACTTCAAATAGTAGCATGTCTCTGCTTAGCTTGCATTAATATTCAAAGGGACAGTTTAGTCTTTTTAAAGTGGCGCTGTATGAGGTCCCTCTAAATATTGAATGAATGAAAAACAAGCCAAAAAATAAGCATGGAAACAAGGATATCAATCTCCAGACAGTTTAACTCTACCAGTTAATTTAGATAATTTGAAGAAACTTCAACCCAAACACTGATCTCAGTGTTAGTCAAAATGGACTGAAAACAAGAATTTGGACATGGTTTGCAAAGATTTAGTTGTGCTTAGAAACACAAATGAGACCCAATATGTTTACATGGTAAAAATAGTCTGTGTTGGCTATAAAAGGGGAAGACTGAGCTGTAATAACTGTAATATCACAGAAATAACTGTGTCTGCCAGATAGTCTCAGGCATTTAGCGCTGAAAATTAAGTTAAACCAAGATGAAAAAATAAAAATCAATTTCACAATATATCAGTAATTTGTACATCATAGAATCTGTTGACAGGGTAACTGTGGATTGTGGATTTACAGCAGCAGTTTTTCAGAGCTATAAACCCAGAGAAACAAATACATGAAGAAGTCTCCATTTCCACTTACCACAAGGTCGATATCCCCATGAAACTCAGCTGTGCTAATCGAGAAAGTGGCAATACCCTCGTTGTCAGTAGTTACATTCTGCAGCACATCTGTGGACCGTAGACTATTAAGCAGGTACACCGGTTTGTTGGGGATAGGTGTGTTATCATAATTAACTGCTTTGACCTGTAAACAGCACAAAGTTTAATGACAAAGAGCTCAAGGTAGAAATGTGTGAAGGATCTAATTAGAAAGTGGTGAGCGCTGGAACTTACTTTTCCCTCTACGTTTGATCCTCGCTCATAAATCTTGGGGGCCTCAATAAAGATAAACTTTCCAATGACATAGGATATCTCCATCTTCTTGTGATTTAGGTGTGAAATACCTGCACGAAACACACAGGATTAAGTGAATGGTTATGTAAATCAGGTTGTGCAAATCAGAATTCGATCCCTGCTCACTTTGTCTGGATTCTTTTGTGCATAACCACCTGCTCAGTTTGGATTATATCATACTTGTACCTCTCCAATGACATGACTGTCCTTTTAAAAAGGTAAAAGTAAGACTTGCCTGTCCCCTCTTCTTCCACACTGGCCTTGAGCTGCAGAGCATCTTTCACAAGTGTATTGTCAAGTTTTGTGAAAGTGGACATCTTGACGACAAAGGTAGTACAGCCACTTTTATCTGTCTGGAAAGTTCAATTAGATGAAATAAATTAAAATCAAATCCAGGCTATACAGTAAGCTTTAACAAAATGTTATGAATATAACTTCTTTTGCCTGAAGGAGTGGAACGAGGTACAACACATATAGTATGGGATATCACGCCCCCGCATTTCCTGACTGAAGACACCTTTATTCCTTTTTTTGCGGCAGATGATCAGTGGTGACGCAACCCAGTGTTGTACCTTGTTCCTCTCCTTCAGGGAACAGAAGTTATATTCATAACATTTCGTTCCCTTTCAGTCCATTCACTCAACACAACACATATAGCAGTGGTCTCCATATGGCGGACCGCGGTCCACTTCCGGACCGGGAAAGAGTCCAATACGGACCCGAGCCTACCGCAGAAAAATGTATGTTTTTTTCTCTCTTGCAGGCCTGCACGATGTACGTGTGTGCGATAGTCACATCGCAGAGCCTACGATGTCGGAAGTGAATGAACTCAGTTAATTTCAAGGGTAGCTGACTGAGATACACTGCATGTGACTCTGCATGTGCTGTGCAGCGATCCACCAATCACCTTTGTCCTTTACTCAGTTGCCAATCAGACTCAGTTCTCAGTTGCCAATCAGACTACCCTGCCAGCTGTCAATCAAAATCAGAGAGGAGGAAACCCACCCCTGCACATGTTCTGCACATGGAGTGAGACGCGTGTCCGCTGAGAATTACTTTCGGAACTTTACTGACTGTTAAGCCCAACAAATAAGAACTGTATGGGTTTTAAATTGTACATTTCCGTGGACCACTCTACTATAAGCGGTGCGCGTTTTGCGAGATGCATGCAATTCTCGGAGGACATGCGTTTCTCGGCACAACACCGCTAACAACAACAACAACGATTGCAAAATGAGCAACGAACAAGAGAAAACCACCGAAAATTAAGTTTTGTTGCCAAAAAGAAAAGGAAAGTCAATTATCTGGAATTATTTCGGTTAAAAGAAGGATGATGTCGACCAAAACACGTGTTCTGTGTTCATCTGTCGCCACAATAACTCCCAGCACAATAAAAGCTAAAAATGTCTCTGAGACAGACAGAAGCCATTCTAACATCCACAAAAAGAGGTAAGATCAGTGCAGGTTAACTGTCCTCAAGACTTCAGCAGTGCAGTATAACATTAAATGCTATTTAGGTCATCTGGTGAAAATTCCTATATTTTTAATATCGCAATATATATCGCAGGGTTGAAAAAAATCGCAATGTTAGTTTTTTCCAATATCGTGCAGCCTTACTCTCTTGCTTTGTGCCTGGTTCAGTAAACTGCACGTGCAATTTCAGCAAGGCATTACATCACTTGCTTACTCGCTTGACTTGTCAATCAAATCAGACCTTTTAGCCTACTCGACACACGAAGATTACCGAGCAATCCCGATGTTGAAAACTGTCAGGCGGCAGACTGAGGAGAAAGTTGTAGCAGCAGCTAAACATGTCGGCTTAAAAACCACGAAAGGTAGAGAATGAGAACAGGGTGTTTTATGGCGAGTGGACAGAGTCGTTTGCATTCATTTTACCCGCAGGAAGCACACAGCCAATTGAAAGTAGGCAGTTATTGGCAATACAAATGAAGTGAATATTTCAAAAGAGTAATGCACTGTAAAAAAATAAATAAATAAAAATCCCTGGACCCAGGCCTGCAGGCATTTCATTCAGGTGGACCCACTGAAAATTTATATGAAGACCCCTGACATATAGTATGGGACATACATACACACCTCGCAGAGCAGCCACCGAACCGGAGTCAAACCTCCAAAACTTTGGTGCATCGCAGACCCAGCAGAAAGGACAGAGTAAGCCACTGAAGGGGCTGTCACATCCAAACAATAAAACCAAACAAAAGTTTGCAGTGATGACCAACTGGCTGCAGTGCAGATATCTCTCAGAGAAACCCCTTTAAACAAGGCCCATAAGGCCGCCATGCCCCTGGCTGAATGTGCCCTCACACCTTGGGGCAACGGAAGACCCCTACTGCTGTATGCTAGGTAGATAGCCTCCACAATCCAGTGGGAAAGCTGCTGTTTAGACAGCGCCTTGCCCTTGGCTGGATTAGCAAAACAGACAAACAACTGGTCACATAAGCGCACACTCTGAGTGCGGTCTATGTAATTGCGTAGTGCACGCACAGGGCACAAAGGATGCAACCTCCTCTGCTTGTCAGATGTAAATAGAGGGGACAAAAGCTTAAAAGAGAAAAACTGATAGAACTATAGACTGTGGGGATAATTTTAGGCAATTATGCCGCATTTGGGCGCAATGTTACCTTAGCTCCATCCAGAGTGAACTGGATACAAGGGGGATGTACAGACAATGCATGAAGGTCGCCCACTTGCTTTGCAGATGTCAGAGTAGCAGTGGCAGCGCTGTCTTGCATGAAAGTAATTTCATGTCTGTGGACTCATTAGGCTCAAATGGGGGTCCACCAAGAGCCTCAAGCACCAGCGGCAAACCCCATGAGGGAATGCTGGGTTTAACCACAGGTTCAAGCCTGCTGACTTCCTTTAGGAAGCCCATAGCAAGAGGCCTGGCGTCAAACCATCAAAGCCAACATGGCATGCAGATATAGCCGCCAAATAGACCTTAATTGTTTAGAAAGAGAGACTCTTATCCAGCAGCTCCTGAAGAAATGTTAAAACATCCACAACAGAACACTAGAATGGGGGTACAGTTCGGTCCTGACACCACTGCTCAAACATCCACCATTTGAAGGCAAATAGGCCCCTAGTAAATGATATCCTTGCAGTCTGGATTGTTGCCACCACAGTTGGGGTCAGACCCTGAGCGATTAGGTTGGACCTCTCAACAGATAGGCATGTAGTCACTACAGTTCTGGGCGCAGGTGAATCACCTCTCCTCCCACCTGGGAGAGGAGGTCCCTTCAAAGAGGGAGCTTCCAGGGTCTTGCTGCCAGCAGACTGATCATCTCAGGGAACCCAGAATCAGGGAGAGCCCCTGCTGGCACACCCTCTCCAGAACAGACATTCATTTCCACTGGGGAAAATGCATATAGCACCATGTTAGGCCATGTGTGAGCTAATGCATCCATTTCCAAGGGAGCATTGCAGTCTGATATGGAAAAGAACAGGGGGCAATGGGTGTTTGCTCTGGAGGTAAAAAGATCTACTTCTGCCCTGCCGAAGCGGTCCCACATCGGAGCCACCACTAGTGAGTGCAATCTCCACTGTCTCACAAGAGGCCCTCCCCTGGAGAGAAGATCCAGCCCAAGGTTTAAGTGACCTGGAATATGTGTGGCTCTGAGAAACAGAAAATGAGCACTGCACCATAGCAAAAGAGAGTGAGACAGTTTTAACAGGGGAAGAGAGCGTGTCCCTCCCTGCTTGTTTATGTAGGAAACCACAGTCGTGTCATCAGTCCTGATCAGAACTTGATAGCCTGTCAGAACGGGATTAAAATGCTTCAGAGCCAAAAGGGTAGCTGATGCAGTGCCGGAAAGCCGTGCCTCTACCCAGAGAGAGCACTGCACAGCGGAACACTCAGGGGATTTAATCCGTGGTGTCACTAACCTCGTTAAGGAGATGGGATAGCATGTCTGAAGCATGGTGACGGACCTCAGTGCACAAGACGTACTTCCCTGAGTCCTGTATATCTTCTCCAGCTTTGACGCGGAGAACCTGCAGTGCTTGGACAGGAGTGTGATTGGGCCACCAACATCATAGTTCAGTTCCAGGCCAGATAGGCTGCCAGGGACACCTCCATAGGCAGAGGGTTAACCAAACCAGCTTTTTCAGCTCCATCCAGGTCCAAAAACTGTCCACTGTGGCACGGGTGGACAGCAGCTTGTTCCATGTCGATGCTAGGTCCATGACAAAATCCGGGAACATGGGAAGGCTGTTCTTAACAGTCTTCAGCCCAAGTGGAAGATAAAACCCAGCTGCACGGCGGTACAGTGAAAAGAAGGATGTGTTGTCTAGGTCAACCGGCCCAGCAGTGGCGGTGTACCTGGAGACAGTAGCTCCTGCACATCCTCCGAAAAACTCTGCACATCCAGGCTGATGTCCAGCACGTCATCCTCCTCCTGGTAACAGGCTAGCCCAGAGAGCAGCTGGCCAGCGCCCTCAGAGGGCCCGGCTCAAATCCAGCTGACCCATCAGCACACTCCATATGGTCTGCCTACCTTCCAACTAAGCCTTTGACCATGAAGTTTTGCCACCGGACTCGGACAAAGCCGGTTGCCTGGACTCAGAGAGGAGGGGGTCATGCAGTGTAATAGTGGTATTCCCTAACGCTCTCTTTCCACAAGCTTGACCCACCTTTCCAGGGTTGAGCTCTGAAGCTGGTGACAGGACTCACACGACTCAGGCTCAGTCTATGCTTTCCTGAAGACATGGCCAAACAAAAGACTTCCTCTTCACTTTCCTGGGCTCTGAGACACAAAAACTGAAGTGAATGAAGTTAGTACTCTGTGGGTATCCAGCGGCTAACACCAACAGGGACACTTGTGATAACTTTGAACCAGCAGTAGCAACTATCAAGACCAAGCTTACAAACAGCAGCTAGTTAGCCAGACTCGGTGGAGGTATTCTCATCGAGGTAAGGAGCATAAGAAGTGAAGGATGACTGTGGTGTTGGACCATAGACTGTATATTAGATGGACAGAGTCTGCCGCCTCGCTGGGTGAAGCCACTCCGAGAACAGCACCCTCTGATGGTGGGCTGCAGTACAGGTCATAAATCCCGCCTCCACCAGCAAAGCTTATGGGACTGTGGACAAACTTTAGAAATTTATTACACAGAACATAATTTTTTCTCCCCCCTGGTTGTGATGTTGACATATAGTTACAGTAAGACTGGTTTGTGCCCAAGTGCTTTTTTTTCTGTACAGCCCCGTTTTTAAAAGTTATTAGGGGGTTCATGTTTTCAATGATTGACACCTGGTACAGCCTATGGGCGTTCAGGGATTCCGTAGCTCTCCCGAGGGGATACGCTGTTTGAACCGAGCGTCATCACAGGGACTCTCGGCGACTGCGCGGCCGAATGCGCACAATGCTGCACAGCTCTGGTTTCAAGGAAGCGGAGAAAAACCCGGAATTACTGAGAGCTTTTTGGCTTCAAAGCCGTATGGAGGCAGAAGGCGGAACCACGGTGTCCATCTTATATACAGTCTATGTGTTGGACGTATATATGTGCAGGCAGGGCCTCACAGAAGTCACTACAGATCATCTGCCGTAAAGGCGAGAATAAAGGTGTCTTCAGTCAGGCCACAGAGGGGCGTGGTTATGTGTTGTACCAAGTGAATTGACTGAAAGGGAATAACAATATTATTGTTTCCTGCAGCACTCACATCTGGCTCATATTAATAAGAGCATCAGACCTATAACTGTATCCATCTATATCCATATATCCACCATCTGCATATGCTGAGTGCAAGAGTAAGGAGAGGCAGAAGCACAACAACAGTAATTCTTAGTTAAAAGTTGGAAGAAACAGGCAACTGAAAACCATGAGTTTGATGATGAGGTGCACCATGTTGGAGCTGCTGAACTCTTGGCTCAAAGATGACCAGAGTTCAGTTGACTCCAATGATAAGTCAAGTGAACTATCTGTTTTAAGTGTGGTCAAAAATAATGTCAAAGCAATATTTAAACAGCCCTAAAAGGTGGTCTTTGTTGCTAAATGGTGACCAGTCTTAGGTTTAACCTCTTTCTCCAGCAGAAAGAAGAGCAGCTGTACCTGTTTCATCTCCTTGTGGACTGGAGCAGTTGGATCAGAAATTGATGAACGGAATCTTTGATAGTCACTAAGAGGTCTTTGTAACTCAATTGTAACATTTCCCAGCACAGGCTGTCCATATGTATACCTACATGGGTAAAGAAAACAAAATGTTGGTCAAACATGAAGTTTTTGGGGATTGGTAGCAGCTTGTATCTTCAAGCCACAAAGACAGCTCAAATCAAAGACTGATAAACCAGCTGCAATCATATCAATGCACAGAAAGAAGTCCTGTTGTTTTGTGGTCTGTCAGGTCTTAATGGTGGGAAAAGGACAAAAGAGACAACAGCTAAGAAAATGCTGGGAAGGGTAAAGACACATAAACTGTACAATTAAAGGTGGTGCATGAAGTAAACATTCAACATGGTACAGGATGTGAAAGTGTTCAGAAACTGATTAACAGAAAAAAAGAAATTAAGAACTCTGTTTCACACCTGTTACCTAAAAAAAGTTATTAAATGTTTTAATTCAGTTTTGATTATTCAAGAGTGAAGGAGTGACAGAGTTTGGACTTACTTTGCACATATTTGAGCTTCAATGTCTTGCACGATACTAATTGTCTCAGCAGCTTCAATTTTTACTTCAAATCTTGGCAAAACTGTGAATGAAGTTACATTTTTCAACAGTGCTGCTTCACTGCAAACATCTTTCAGTGAAAGGTTCTATGATTTACAGTAACTTACCGTATTTCTCCACCTTAAAACTGTGTTCAATTTTCTCTCCTTCAATTTGCACAACCACCTTATAGGTTCCTTCACGAGCCTCTGAGTTCAGTGAGTAAGACAGCTGCAATATTTTGCCATTTGAGCTTTTTTTCAGCCACTGTCCAATTCTGTTACCTTGAGAATCCTGTTTGCATGACATAAAGGTGAAACTGATGTTAAATTTTTGCTACCCTCTTTCCTCCTAAATGTTAAGTGAAACTGGGCCACACATTTGAGAAAAATTGACTTTTTGAAAATCATCAGTTTAAAAATTCATCTTCTTTCAAGGCACTCAAAGAAAGCTTTACCAGTTTGAATCTGCACTGAAAAATAAATGGTGTGTCTTACCGCAATTTCAATGACTTTGTACTGAAAAAAGAGGAAATGTAGAGAAATATGTTAAAGGACATTTTTGTCTCTATTTTTATAGAAACAGAAAACTGTTGTGTTGAGGTTCATTATTTGAAGAATAGATTGCACAGTGGGCAAATCGAGAACAGCCCAGTTGTATTCTGGATAGCCATCAAGATACTCATTACGTGAAAATGCAGCAACTTAACTCCTAATTTAAATCCACTGAAATATACTAAGATTTATTCTGTCTGCATCCAATTAAAAAAAAATTATCAAAGGAAGGAAAGGATTTCAAAATACTCACTAAGAGATTGGCAGGTCTCAACTTGCTGTCCAGTGAGACGACTCTGAAATGCACTGAAGAATACAAAATGATTACTTGCACCTCTTAAAGTTTATCCACTCTGACAAACCTCCACAGGCATCAAGGAGGTATATCATGAAGGGAAATAAGCATAAGAAGATTTCTCTTTTGGAATAATAATTTAAAACATGTGAAAATTGGTTAATATTACGAATCTAGCAGCTCATGGTGATAAATGAGCCTGTAGAGTCAATGAGTTGAAATACTCTCCATTAGGATTATAGATCTGGAAATGAGAGCACACCACACACACACAGCATGCCTATCACAAGGACAATAATTTCAGAACAATGATCTAACCTCTTTATTGGGATATGTATTATTGACACCAAACATTTTATCGTGGCTCTAGTGGGGATTTAATGGTTTGTGGACTTCTGAGAAACTGCAGGTTTTTGCACTTTCACGATGGCTTCATTTTTTAATCATGGGGAGGTCACCGCTTGAGCATTTCATACACATCAAGACACAAAGATAGAATACAGGGTTAATGTTTTTTGGGATTATAGAAAAAATTACACTCTAATCTTAAAAAATGTTGATTTTAATTCAGTCCAAAGAGATACTCAAAATTAATAGATTCTTAAAAAAACACATGTAACAGACTGAAATACTACCCATGTCAAAATTACCTGTTTGTCCCGGGAGGTAGACCGGTTTATCTGTTTGGATGAATGTTCTGGGTTTATAGGTTTTGATCATGACTTTTTTGATATCTTTTGAGTAAAATGTTTGTCCTCGAACCTCCACCACCAACACCTGAAATTGACTCTGCACAAGAGGGGGCTGTGGACAAAAGATCATTTTAATGCAGTTAGAAAAATAATTATCTGTAATTATTATCATGGGTAATTATGATTTTGGGCTTTTGTAAGCATCTCACGCTAAAACTCGTTTCTGCTGGCAACTGTCACTTTTTAGTATTAAGTAAATATTACTGTGTCTAGAGCTGCTGATTTTACTTCAGAGTGTTTACTTTGACTTGGCACAAAGTGACTTTGAGATCCTTTTGAGTGAAGCACAATAGCTCTGTCTTACTCTCATTCAAAACACCTCCTGATGACTTCCTGTATTTTAAATGTGAACCAGTCAAAAACAAAGATGTATGCTCCAAACTGATCCCACATTGATCTGGCACTTCAATGCTAGCTTATAAAAAAGAAAGAGAAATTCCCCTTTATCTCAAGGGTCTTTGAGAAAGACCGTCCTTTCACAGGTTTGGATGGTTTGCAAATCACCTAGTCGTACTCTCATTTCAAATTTGATTCCAGCATTTCATTCCTAAAAGGTTGGGACAACAGCAACATACCATCAATCATGGACACTGCATAATCCACTCTAAAGAGGAGATGGACCACCACAAGCTAACTTCTAAAGCTAGAAGCCCTGATGGTAAGGGGATGCAAAGGTGGAGCAGCATATGCTGTCAGACAATGTTTTTTTTTCAGGGGAGACCTTTCATAATGCAGCAAAAACATGCCAGGTCACGTAGGCAAAGCAAAAGAGTCCAGGTGATAAAATGGCCTGCCAACAGTCCGCCTTCGCACTTGTTTGAAACATTTGGCACATCATAACACAGAAATACACAGAAAAAAAAGAGGCCAAACTGTTGAGCAGCTGGGATCCTAAGAATGGGAAAAAACTTCACCTTCAAAACTCCAGTAACTGGTCAGTTGGTACCCAAACATTTACACAGTTTTGTTAAAGGTTGTTATGCAACACAACGGTAAACATGACCCCAGCTAAAATGTCAAATAAAAAAGAAACATATTTTTTAATCTACAAAAATCTGTTTCAACATTGAATATGTTGTCCTTGTACCATTTTCAGTTCATTATAGGTTTTCAATGATTACGAAAAATCTTGACCTTTTTTTTTCAGAATATTTTACAAAGCCTATGATCTTTGGATACTGATGTTTTTACAATATTGATAATAACAACAACAGACTGTTGCTTTATGATTATTGATGGAGAGAACTATGATTTATTATTTGGAGGCTAAATTAACGACCACTTCTACAAGTTTTCCAAGAATTTTGAGGACATTTGCAAAATCACTCAGCAGACCTGAAATTTAATGCAGGTGTGAAATGCCTGGCTGGACGTCTCCTCCATTAGGGTCATATTTTGATCTCCGAACCTTAAAGTGACGGTCATGACCAGAGTCTCATTTGGCTTCAAGAGACTTGCACAGAGAGGTGTTTCAGTTCCTGCTTCGATGATCGCAGGAATGGCCACCATGTACTGCCTACACACAGAGAGAAAAACATTTAAGTACGGTCAAGTTCTTGACAGAGTTTCTTATACTGGAGCAAATAAAATAAAGTCTTTTAACTCTGCTTGCTGCAACAAATATTTGAATCTGATTAATTTGAAAGTATTTTGAGTAAACTTACGGCCTTGCCGCTGCTTGATTCACACATATCCAACTCAGGCAGACAAACAGTGTCCATGTCCACATCTGAACCCAATGGCGACTCATGACTGACTGTGGTGATCTGCAGAGACGGCCTTTGTTAAATAAACTCTGTCAAAAATCAATACACTTTTGACCCACATCACACAAACCCACTCATCATTTCCGGGTAGCCATTCAGTAGGTAGTTAGTCACTTACAGTAAAGGACAAAACCAAATACAAATACCTTTATTTGTTCAGCACTTCCCAAAAATGTGTGGAAAAAAACCAAAGTGCTCGAAAAATAGTTAAGTTAAAACAAGGTAGAAAACAGTTTTAACAAGGCAAATACCAAACAAAAAAAGCACAGATAGGTATCAAGACAACAATAAAACAGGGCAAAAGATGAAAAACATGAGCTACTTGGATATTGGTATAATCCCTGGACATGGTCCTATCTGGATGACGTTAACAGACATGCCCACTCAAAAGCTGGAAAGCCCATGTCATCTCTTAGTAAGACTGAACAATATGGACAACATTTCATATCTTGCTTTTCATGCCAGATATCTCGATATTGATACAATACGATATAAATTTGGGTTCAGACAAAATAATGCATTTGTCAGGAAAACAAAACCATCATCATGCAAAAGGTTGTGGAAAGTGCAGTTCTATTGATTAGAACTCAGAGAAAATCTCAGAGAAATTGTTGATTCTGTGATATTATTATCTTGAATGTTCATATCCCACCATAGACATGGTAACGACATATCTTTCAGCCCTACCTCTTGGCACTCTAGTGTTCTTTTAATTGGGAAGAAAAGTCGCAGCTATTTTCTTTCCCCCAAAGATGAAGAAAATGGTGGGCAGTTTTAAAATATTTTAAGGACAACAACAACTACCACAGAGCTGTTTGTGCACACCACTTCACTGATGGCTCCTTGGTGAACAGCGGCAATTATAAGCTGAATTGACCCAGGGCTGTTTTATCAATAAAGATCTTGTTGAACGCTCAGATGTACAAGCTGTAGGAGAGGAGAAAATAAAGGGGGACAACTGTGTACCTTGTTCGAAAGGAATGAAATATAATAATGAAATGAGTATGTAAAACAACTGGTAATATCATAATTGTTACTGCTGATAGTCTTACCAAAAAGCTAACAGCTAACTCAAGTCATTTTTGTGACGACATAGCTTTCAAGTCCATTCATGGCAACAAAGCTGAGTGAAAAGTAAAAGTCAAGTCTTTTTTCAGCCCAAAGCAACTCTATGGGTGTCCCAGACTGACACAATGAAAGGTATTATTAAAAGTTTTATTGGTCACATTTGAGATTTTTAAAAATAAACTGTAAAACCTTAAATTAAAACACTCACTGATAGTCAGTGCGGGGCAGCATGGACTGATGCTGTATGATTGCTTCGCTTCCTTTTACCAAAATCCTGGCTGCATCATTTTGAATCAGTGTTTGGATGTTACACTTTTAAAAAATAAATTCCACTCTCATCTATATCCAGTTTTAATTAAATAACATAGTGAAGACAGCTAGATTTATTATGTCAATGGATTTAAACAACATGGGCTCTATTTTCGTGCCTCGCCGGAGACGTGCCGCAGGTGCAGCGTAAGTCAGGTCCGCCGCATCGACAAGGCGTTCCCAAGCACAATTTGGTATTTTGGTGAGCAGCGCAGCCTGGCGTAAGTATCCCCCCTCCCTAATTCAGCTCCTCCCAGCGGCGTAAGTCATAGCGAGGGAGGAGAAAGGGCGTGGAGTGGGTTTAACACAGCCGAGACCTGTTTTCACCAATCACATCAGCTCCTCTTCTTGCCTTTAAATCCGCCAGAGGCGAGGCGTATTACTATTTTCATGAAGTAGTCAAAGAGATCAAGAGATGTCTGAAGACAGTAATGCCACAAGATGGCGACAGAAGGCAGATCCTCAATAAGTGTCACTGTAAGCGCTGCATTGGGCATCCTCCACACTCTCTCATATGAACACAGATGGATTTGGTATGTGTAATGTTGGACCCACTGGTAAGACAAACACCCTTTTCCACAAATAAAGACACTCACATAAAGTTGCATATATTCAAACCTCACGTGACAAAGGTGGGTTGTGTGCACAGATCACAACATAAACTCCAAAAATGGCATTAAAATCGGAACCATCTGTGCGTAAATGACGCATCGTGCTCCGTGGCCTGGCTCTTTCTTTCATTGATGTTGACATATGAAATAAATTTGCCTCAAAAAACTGAATATTATAATATCCCTATGTCGGCTAAAAGTAAATAACTCATCTGATCACTGAAACAAATCATCTGTTCAGCCGCCGCAGCAGCAGGACGGAGAGAGGACACGGAGACATGTCCAGGTCGAGCTGCGCGAGAAATAAGAGGAAGAAAGAAAAGGAGGGAGATGAATTACGTATCTTGTTAACTTCATCATGTGTGTTTATTTACTAGATATTTAATTTAATTTAATGCGGTTTCAGCTGCGTTGATTCGGTCAGGTTGTGTGTCCAAACGCGTGCCAAACACGCTCATCAGATCAGATATAGATCAGAATATAGCTATATAGATCTAAATGTATGTGCTGACTCAGATTATTAGTTGTTGATGATTATTTATTGCACTGAAATCTGCCTGACACTGTGGAAACCTGCCGGTGAGGCATCAGTGACCTATGCCGATACGCCGCCAGTCTACCAAAATACTACTAGACCAGCTGCGCTCTGCCTGCGCTGAAAGCTGACCAGGTTTGAATTGGCGAGCTTTCAGCGCACTTTACACGCCAATGGCGAGCACGAAAATGTCACTGCGCCCGCTGATTCTGTCGACACTTCCCCCTGCCACGCCACCATGCCCAGCTTGGCGGATCTCGGTTCGCCTCTGTGCGCCTCAGATTATCCAGGCAAAGGCAGCAGAACTGGTGAGTACATCTTTAATAAAGTTAACAATAATTTTGAAGAAGAAAGCAAGTAGTTGTGATAAAAGCAACAGTATTAAAGTTGTAAATTTTGCCTGGTTTATTTGAAATTTGTGTCAACCGTAAAAGCTCAGAGAGGAAGACAATAACTGCTGACACTCATCTTAGCAGTCAAAAACATAACCATCAATGACAAATGTTCTTCTGGCTTTAGTCTCAGAATTCTGTTTTTTTTTTTTCCTCCGAATAATAATCATAAAAAGATTCATTGAACCCTTTTTTGTCTGGTGGCCTGAATCCTTTTTTGTACCAAACCATGGGAAAATCCTGTAGAAATTTGGGGAGTCATGATTGATGTTGTTGGCGTCACCTACCTTCCTCACTAGAAATTAATGCACTGGAGGCACATGGGGGGACCCATCAAAGATGCCAGCCATGCTGATACGTCAGTTTCAATAGGCAGCATCAGTCTATGAGGCGTCTATGTATATTATGTCTAAATTCTAACCAACAAATTCATGTGAACGTCTAAACACAACATGCTGGAACAACTTTCCACCGATTGATTTGGTCCTATATACAGTGTATGGTTATGACTTGTAATCTGCCTGTCCCTAACGTTATGCAGTTAATAAATTACGTTGAAGAGTTTTGATCAATACTAGTAAGGAATTTTTACACATGTAGGGGCAAAAAGATTCAGTCATGTCAAATGAAAAGGAACAATTCATGAATTAAAAAAACAATGAAAAACACAATTCACACATGACTTTGAACAAAATGGAGGTTTATTTGAATCTTCCTGGGACCATCAAGAAAAAACACAGGTGTTTAAGCTGTAAACAAGAGGAAAAAAACATGTTAGAGCATGCATTCATTCATTAATCTTTATTTTTGGTGTTATTTTTGGGTTCCAATTTATTTAGACAGAAATTGACAAAATATTATATGTTCTCTAGATTGTCCAGCTGATAGCCATGAAATGAAAAAGACTGGTTGATGTCATAAAAAAAGGGAAGACCACCTGATTAAAGTGTGTTTAATACAAGTTACAGAGAGATTAGGACTTTCTTTTGAAGTTTCTGAGAACATATGCAAAAGGGTCTATTTAAGGCAGTGGTGTAGTCTAGTTTTTTTTTTTTTTTTTTGTAGTTGATTCGATCCCCCTTTAACCCTCTCACTAATAGGAATGCCCCCTGAAGATCAGGAAAATACATCCTATCCTTTTGCCTGAGACGCAGACACTTTTTCCAGGTAGCAATGCGCTTACATTAGTGCCACCACCACATCCATGGACACTAATGTAAGCGCAAGATCACCTGCTATTTACACAAAGTGTGGAATCTGGGCATTAAACTGCATCAGGTAATAAATAACAATAACACTTATAATAGGACTTTGATACACATGTCAATCCTCAGCAAAGCAGGTGAACCGCGACTCATCCAACGCAGCATAATAGATTAATACATTTTTCTGACCTTAAAACATACAGGCTTGACATCTATTCGTTGCTCTGTCACTTTAGAAACGAAGACCAGCTTTTATCCAGGATCTCAGGAACGGCGCTGGATCAAAAGTTTCTGCTATATGACCAAAAGTTATGAATGTCAGGTCCTTCAAAATTTCCTCAGTTAAGGATGTTATCAAATTGAAAAAGTTAACCCTGTGAACAGTTGTGAAGTTGTGGTCAGAACTTTGGTTGTTACATGTCTTTGCACATTTTCAAGTACTTTTCTAGTATATGCGTATCATCTAGACTACACCACTGATTCAAGGTTACAATAAAATGCTCTGGAACAAGTAAGTCCCTAGAGTCTTTTAATTACTATTTCTGCCTTTCGGAACACAAAGGTCCCCTTTCTTCTCAATCCTAAATTAAATAGGGGTCTTTGAGAAAAACACCCAACCTCTTAGGCTGGTTTAAGGATATTTGTGAAGTAATCAACCCTGTCGTGGACTATTACCTGCACAGGGATAGGTGTACTGGGTTTCAGCCTGGTCATCTAGAAGAGAAAAAAAGGAAAAGTCAAATTAGAGGAAGAGAGAGACCAGGAACTAAACAGAAATGAGTACTGCTGTTTGTAAATAAGAAAGCTTTGCAAAGTACAAAAAAGGGCAAATTATGCCTTAAAATGATCCCATAATAACAGAGATGCTATCTGCTCTGAAGTGCAGTTTTTAGGTGCATCTAACTGTGAGTGACTGCTTTGTAAAGTATGATATTGTATTTGCTCATTTGCATGGGTTAAGTGGGCGAAAAAGCTGCACAATTCTTTACTTCCTTGCTTTCCTTTCCTCAAACTAAAGTGATAATACGTGATGTTTTCCATCCAAGTACTGAACATCTGAGACATAACTTTGAGTTTTAGGATTTGATATCAAACACCAAGTGTGTGTAAAGTAAACAGCTCATTTACTTGGCTGGTAGTAATCGTAGATCTGGACGACAGCAGGCTTCAGGTTCTGCACTGGGAGCTCCTGTATGAGCTCTAACTCATGATTGATGGATATGTCCTTTGGTAACTGATGACAGACAAAAAGATAATGTTAGAAAAGTAGCAAATCTGCACCTTTGAGTACTGCTCTTTTTACTCACTGTGATTCCTCTCACCTCATTAAGATACACCACAACATGATCTTTCTTTTCCTCGACACGATCCACCAGCAGGGCTCGTTTGAGCTGTGTGGAGACAGCAGTCAGCTGGATTAACATCAGCTTCATCATGACAATAATGAATGATCAGGTTTGAGATTGCTGTTTCAAAAAAGTCTACCTTCTTCAAAGACTCGGGGTCTGGGACAAACCCAGAGAGCATTTTGAGATCCACAATCACCATGTTTGTAGTCCTCTCTTCACCAAAGTATCTGTAGCAGAACATCAAAAGTAAGTTACTGAAAACACCTCCTTTTCTCAATTTTACTTTCTTTTGCTATTACATGTGCCTTTATACAGCAGTCAGTCCATGAATGCTGATATAAAGTACAACTTTCTTTGATGTGTATCATGATATAAAAGTGAATTTAAGTAACTATATGAAAAGAATGGTAAGATTAAAGCTCCCTAAATATAAAGCCAAAACTTTCAGAGCTCTCCCTACTGACTGGTCACTGTGTAAGTCATAAAGCCTGCAAACTTCACAATCAGACTGTACGTGAAATACATTTTTTTCAAGCATGATTTCTGTTTCTGTGCTTACTAGTTCTTTTCATGCTTATTTATTTTTTAGTGTTCCGTTTGTTAACGCTTTACTTGACACCTATCTCTATAACACATTATAAATATATGTATAGTGCGTTATAATCACGTTATGGCACTGTATAACTATGGTTATAAACACTCATAAATGATCATAATGCTTTATAGCACTAATAATGACAAACTACAACGCATTTTATCATAACTTACAAGGCCAAGTATTATAATGTGTTATAACTGTTAACAACTCACTGACAATGCCCACATACACAACAGGCCAAAAGGTTTGGAAGCAGATTTGTACAAAAAAAATCATAGTTTCATATATATAATTTGCAACACAATAAACATGGCTATTGTGTAAAGAGTAACTTATCAGAAGACATTTTGACTATAATTAATTAGGTATTTAAGTTATTGTTGCTTAGACTTTGCTTTCTTTAAAGTAACCTCCTCTGGCTTTAACAACAGCTTGGCATATACCAGGCATTCGTTCCACAAGTTTTTTAAGTTATGTTCCAGGGATTGCATTCCAAGCTTTCTTAATTTCATTAAAAAGAGACTGCTGATTCGTGGGACATGTTTTTCTGACCGATCGATCCAATTCATCCCGCACAAGCTCAGTTGAGAAAAATCTGGAGACTGAGGGGGCCAAACCATCTTTTGAAGAACACCTTCCTCTTCTTTTTGTCTAGGTAACCCTGACAGAGCTTGGCAGAGTGCTTAGGGTCATTGTCTTGCTGCAAAACAAACTTATGAGCCACAAGTCTGAGTCCAGATGGAACAGCATGGTGCTGGAGGATGGAGTGGTACTGGTACTGTTCCTTCTTCATGATACCCTTTACTTCAAACAAATCTTCTACTCCATCACCTGCAAAACATCCCCATGCCATGGAACTACCACCTTGTGGGTGTAACACATGGTGCTTTCAGACGTTCACCAGTTTGTCTGTGGACATAGACTCTGCATTTTGAACCAAACAGTGCAAACTTGTTTCTAGTCATCATAAGTCCAATTTTTGTGAGCTTTTACCCACTCATATTTCTTTTTCTTGTTCTTTGGATGAAGTAGTGTTTTTTTGCAGATACACAGATTTTTGCAGGGTTTCGACCTTGTCATGTTGATTTCCTCCCCTATTTTTGGTGCTGTCTTTCGCTGATCTCTGTTACTGGTGACAATGATATGTTTATCCTCTGCTTTTGTAGTAACTCTCTTTTGTCCAGGTCTTTTTCTATCATCATAACTTCCAGGTTCCTCTAGTCTCTTCAGAGTGTAGTGGACTCCTTTGTTAAACACCTTTAGGCGTTTTGCAATTTCTCTTTCTGTGAATCCTTCTTTCCTCAGTGTACAAATCAGTACTTTTGTTTCTTTACTCAGTTGCTTCTTTCTAGCCATTTCTGCAGTAGTTTGAACGCAGTTGAGATTTATTAGGATTTTGTCTGCAGACTCTCAAATGCCAAAAAGTTAAAGTGAATAAACTAACCGTGATTTGTTTTTTTGCCTTTGCACTGAAGTTGTGACTCTTGCAAATGTTTTCAACCCTAAAACTAAGCCCTTATTGTCTTTTACTGACATATATTTAGCAATGGTCTGTTAACATCAATGTACACTCACCGGCCACTTTATTAGGTACACCTGTCCAACTGCTTGTTAACACTTAATTTCTAATCAGCCAATCACATGGCGGCAACTTAGTGCATTTAGGCATGCAGACATGGTCAAGACAATCTCCTGCAGTTCAAACCGAGCATCAGTATGGGGAAGAAAGGTGATTTGAGTGACTTTGAACGTGGCATGGTTGTTGGTGCCAGAAGGGCTGGTCTGAGTATTTCAGAAACTGCTGATCTACTGGGATTTTCACGCACAACCATCTCTAGGGTTTACAGAGAATGGTCCGAAAAAGAAAAAATATCCAGTGAGCGGCAGTTCTGTGGGCGGAAATGCCTTGTTGATGCCAGAGGTCAGAGGAGAATGGCCAGACTGGTTCGAGCTGATAGAAAGGTAACAGTGACTCAAATAACCACCCGTTACAACCAAGGTAGGCAGAAGAGCATCTCTGAACGCACAGTACGTCGAACTTTGAGGCAGATGGGCTACAGCAGCAGATGACCACGCCGGGTGCCACTCCTTTCAGCTAAGAACAGGAAACTGAGGCTACAATTTGCACAAGCTCATCGAAATTGGACAATAGAAGAATGGAAAAACGTTGCCTGGTCTGATGAGTCTCGATTTCTGCTGCGACGTTCGGATGGTAGGGTCAAAATTTGGCGTCAACAACATGAAAGCATGGATCCATCCTGCCTTGTATCAACGGTTCAGGCTGGTGGTGGTGGTGTCATGGTGTGGGGAATATTTTCTTGGCACTCTTTGGGCCCCTTGGTACCAATTGAGCATCGTTGCAACGCCACAGCCTACCTGAGTATTGTTGCTGACCATGTCCATCCCTTTATGACCACAATGTACCCAACTTCTGATGGCTACTTTCAGCAGGATAATGCGCCATGTCATAAAGCTGGAATCATCTCAGACTGGTTTCTTGAACATGACAATGAGTTCACTGTACTCAAATGGCCTCCACAGTCACCAGATCTCAATCCAATAGAGCATCTTTGGGATGTGGTGGAACGGGAGATTCGCATCATGGATGTGCAGCCGACAAATCTGCGGCAACTGTGTGATGCCATCATGTCAATATGGACCAAGCCCTCTGAGGAATGCTTCTAGCACCTTGTTGAATCTATGCCAAGAAGAATTGAGGCAGTTCTGAAGGCAAAAGGGGGTCCAACCCGTTACTAGCATGGTGTACCTAATAAAGTGGCCGGTGAGTGTATATCTAAAGGTAAATGGAGTAAAATGGTGCATTTCCATGAAAGCAACATCTGATCATGGAGTAAATACATCCCAAAATACATAAAATCATGCTGGATTTTAAAAAAAGCATTGTGAACAAAATGTGAAGTCACTCCCAACTGTTCGGCCTGTCATGGCCTTGCCTCCAAACTTTTGGCCTGTAGTGTAGATAATGCAATTCCTCTGTTGTTAACAGTTATAATACATTATAATACTTGGCCTTGTAAGTTATGATAAAATGCTTTATAATTTGTTATTATTAGTGCTATAAAGCATTATGATCATTTATGAGTGTTTATAACTATAGTAATACAGTGCTATAACATGATTATAACACATTATAAATATATTTCTAATGCATTCTAGAGATAGGTGTATAATAAAGTGCTACCTTAAGTTTTACTAACCAGTTTAATTTTAATCTGTTGCCATAAAAAGGAGTAAGATGCCATGTTTTACAGTACCGTCACCATATGCAGTGCAGGTGCATCACAGAACACTAACAGTGAGAGACGGTGTAACAGGAAGATGACAGTAAGGCCAGATTTGAGCCAGTGTTTAAACTCACAGTGTTTTGGTTTTCAGGGTCAGCCTGCGTCTGTTAGAGGAGCTGTCACATTTGGCTTCTGGTTTGACCTCCACTCTGAGCGTGGTGCCAGCAGTAGGAGTTGGGATGTTGTAGTGAAGAGAAATCTGATAAACAGATCAGGGCATTTCCTCTATCAATATGAAGATAAATAGCCAAACCCTGTCCTCTCAATTCAGTAAACTCTGAGCATGAGAAGCTTTTTACCACATTTGCATTTTTGGCACATGTTAAAAGTCTAATACATGAAAAAAAATCCAGCAACATTACAGCCAACAAAGCAATCATCTGTGAAAATAACATGCGCTTGTACCTTTAATTGTATCACATAAGAAATATTAGAAAACAGAGTGCTCTTCAATATATAAACAATGAAAATATCCAAAAAACATGTTTTCTTGATAACTTCTGCTCTCCCTCAAAAAACAAAACAGCATGTTCACTAACCTGCATTGAAGCACACCCAGTTCCTTTCACCTGCAGGCTGTACTTTCCTTCGCCGTCCTTCAGCACCTCCTCCTGGTAGAGAAGTTTGTTCTGCGGGTTTACATCGAATGACAACTGACTGCTAGGAGCCTGGATAGTCACAGTACTTGAACCCTCTGGACTGAACACATGAGTGGAATAAAGAGCCAGAGCCTGAAGAGCCACCACTGTGTCCTAAAACACACAAACAGAAATGTTTTTGAGGGATAAGTGTTATTTTATGATGGAGAGATTGCAGCTCTCTGTTTGACAAAGACGTAAGGATGCTCAAAATTCATAAAGATATTAACAATAGCCTGTTATTTTTAAACACACACACAAACACAAACTGAGATCAGTATTTATAGGTCAATATATTCTCCATTTTGTCTAATCTTTAATGTAAGATAATTCCCTGATCAGAGCCTTTAGAGAGCACATTTTTCAGAGAAACAGACATTTTGAAGAACACTATCTGTCTCTCATATCTGTTCCATATTTGCTCCAGTTTACTTTGTTTCTGTGGTACCTGTGTGGAGGAAAAGCCTCCATAATAGTTCTGCTGGGTGGTCAGCCATCTGACAATGCGGGTGGAGTAGCCCAGCTCTTCGACAGACGGAGGGGCGCTGAGTATGGCCAACAGCACATAAGAGCTGATCTCCACAGACAGAGAGGACGAGGTGTCTGTTGCTGTCTGAGACCAGTGGAGGTACCCTCCTAAAATCAGCCACAAACAGGGAAACAGACACAGGGTGAGCTACATGCTCAGGGATGATACCAGAAAGAATTATTTGAGCTGGTTACAGACCTTTTTGTAACGCAACTGTGTCAAGATGCCTCAGAAGTTGAGCTCGGGTCTCCATGTCTCCTGCCAGAGTGAAGACGTACGCCATCAGAGCCGTGGCGTAGGTGTTGCTGAGGTCACCCAGGGACGCTCTGAGGCAGGACAGACCGTTTTCCACCACAGGATTCTACAATAATAATAAAAAAGAACAGGATTATTAATCCCACAGCCTCAGTCTTTACACATCTAAAAGTACATTTGGTTCATGCTGAGAAGACCACCCCTATCATGCTCGATCGTAGCAGCTGTGAGCCAGCAGCATCCCCACACAACATGCATCAACATTCTGTATGTTCAGGTAAAAGAGCCATTCATCACCCCTTTGAGCTTTATCTCTTACAAGTCTTGTCAGATTTCACATGGCCCTGAAGTTCTAAGCTCTTTTATCACCATTAGAGGGTCATATACTTAAAAATTAAGAAAAATGAATTTTAACCTCACATAAAGGACATTATCATTTTAAACAGAGAAGGGATGAATCCTTTAGTTCACAAGTGGGGGCATGAGTCTTATTTCAACTTTCATTAGGATCTTTCTTCATGAAAATTAAGGGGGGGGGTTACTGTGAAAGAAGACCAGTGTCTCTATGTGATCTTATGTGATGTACTGGCTGCTGTGGTTTTTAGTCAAGAACTGGGACAGTTTCCACAGCAGGATCAACTATAACCAAGTTCTTTATAATTCAAGAGTCTACTCACACTCACGGATGAGTTCATCTCCAGGAAGGCAGCAATGATGTACGCACTGAGGGTCACTTCATCAGACACACCGCCCTGTTAAGAAAAAGTTTTTAATGGACAGTTAACATTATGGGACCTCCAAACCTCCACTTATGCTGGTCTGACCATTAAAACGGCCTTTGCTTTTAATTTCCTTAAATGATATTTATGAAAACAAGAGAAGCATACTGAGGCCATCTCTTTTAATTGTTTGCTGGTTAAAATCTTTAATTTTTTTGTTTGTCTCTTAATTAAAATTAAAACAGCATATAAAAAATACAAGGCACACAGAGAAAATCTAAACACTTGTGACTTGATGTGGTGGAAGTCCAGAGATGAGAACAAAAACACCAAACATGAAATTGCAGAAATGTAGTTGATATATTGAGAAAATAAATCTGTTTTTAGAGGGTTTGGCCCCTGGAGCTAGCATGTGTCTGTTACCTTCATTCTGTTGTTGAAAAGTTTTCCTGACTTTTCAAAGCAGCCTTGTTCCCGCTGCTTGCTCTCCAGCCAGAGCTTTGACTCACTGATCTTCTCTGGATCGATGAAGACGAAGGACTGAGCTTTGGCAAAAGATCTCAGCACAAAAGCCGTCAGCCTGAGTATATCAACAAATGATTATAATAAGGTCTGAGGGAATTCTTGATTCTGATTGGTCTTCTGAAAAACGGTTTACCTTTCCAAATAATTAAACTGACTGTGTATCAGCCGGGATAAAGGAAAGATAACACGACAGCTCCTCAAAAGTGAAGCCTGTCTCTTCCATGTTAACAGATGAGGCATGGGTTTGACTTTTCTGTCATTTTAGTTAGTTATTATTATCCGCGTGTTCATTTCTCTGAAAAAAGGTAGCTTTAACTTGTTAGAGCCACATGATTGGCAGCTCTGTTGAGAAATGAGGTTTCCATGGTGCTGTGGGCATTAGATTAGCAGAGTAAAAGATGAACAAGAGGAGAAAACATCACCAGCATAAGGACAGGAGTCACTGAACTTTGAGTCAGTGAGTGTGTGTGTGCTTTAAACAAGCACAGTGATCAGCTGTGGACTGTACAAACTTAAAGGATCACTGAACTGTTCTCTGAACTTCATTACACTGGGATTACATAATCGACCACATTTCAGCACCAATAGAAAAACATATAATGGATAAAATAAAATATATTCTGACCAAAAATGAAAGTTTGTTTTTTGTGAGGCTTGTTTACTTTTGATTCTGTGAATAGCCTGACAGACGCTGGTGTATATATAAATCAGAGATGCTCTCACCAGGTGTTCCCTGATCCCGTTCCAAACGTGCTGTAAGCACCTCCACTGTGCTTGTAGTTCAGCTGTCTCTGGTAGCCTGTGACAGAGGAATAAATACTTGTCATCACTTTAAGTTCCTCTCCACAGTGAGGAGTTTGGTATTCTCTGAACCTCTCTGAAAATTTATTCCCATTGCTCTTTTGAAATGTTTATGTCTCCCTCTTTGTTTAAATCTTAATATATTTTCTTTATTGAGGGATTGAAGACTGAAGTATGGTTTTAAAATCACTTTTTTGAAGGGTTTATCTTTGTATGCTTGTCCTAATACTTGATACAGTTCATTTTCAGCATCAATGTTTTTAGTAATTTTTTCCCATATATTCTTTAATTTGTCTTACTTTTCTCAAAGTTGACAGATTGTGACGCTTTTTGTTTTTTTCCACATTCGTCATGATATTATTGTTTTTGTGATATTTCATGACGTGAGTGTCAGATTTCATAATGGCCCTATTCCAATATTAAAACTGCAGACACACACCACTGGTCAGGAAGTTAGAAGCCTTCTCCATGATTTTTGGGGTCAGTTGCTGGGTGTTTTTCAGGTATTGGAGGATGTAGATGTTGGGGGCCAGAAGGGCCATGTTCTGCTCTCCACATCCATATGGCATTTGCAGAAGCCCGTCCAGGTTCTTCAGAGCTCGACCCAGGATATCACCTACACAAAAACACAGAATCAGAAGCAGCCCGCATGTAACTGAACTCACTTTAACTTCTATATGGGTTTGTGGAGTATAATCTTGTTGAAATAGTCAAAATAGGGCTGATTCTACTGCTGCTTGGCTGACTTTTACCCCCTCGCACCAGTTCAAGCCATTTCAATCACACTTTAAAAATTGTCTGGTCTTGTTTGCTTGTGTACATCATATAAATACATCAGTGTAAATTCTTCATCTATTTCATAAACATCAAAAAACATCTTCACAGGAGCTTTAAAGTTGTCAATCACACAAAGAACATTAGTCATGATGTTTCGGAGGAGCCAGGTCTGTTATTGTATGTATTCATTTTACCCAGGACTGAAACAAGCACACGAGCAGATCCTTCAATCACATTATCAGGGAGCTGTATGTCTACTTCCTCCATCAGAGTTTCATCTGTAAATGCAGATCAGACACCTTGTTCAGAGGAACCGAGGTAACACTCAGTGCTAAAACAAAGATGTGAAATCATTTGACATAATGGATTTGCAGAGTCAGCTTTTACACTAACCACACTGACCTTTTGGACAGAGCAGCCAGTTGTGGGTCTTCGTCACTTCGGTTCCTTCAGCCTGCAAGGGGGATAGTGTTTGTATCAGAGTTTTCATTCTGGATCACATGCCATGGTTAAGACACTTGGGTCCACTCAAAATAAATACAAAGTCCTTTCTACTTTTCCAAAGAGAGGTGATTTCCACCAGCTAAACCACACATTTCACTCGTGTTTTCTTACTTTATGCTTCCTGTATTCAGCTAATAACCTGCACAGAGCACTGCAGGAGCCTCATTTATCAATTACATCTATCTGTTAAGCATCCGATACTTAATTAAAACTAAGACTTGGAAGAAAATAAACTCTTAGATGTGGCTCTGCATGAAAAGAGCCAACTGCTCTGAAAATCGTATTAGTGAACATAGGTGAGGTGGGCATCATGACCAGTCAATAGGGGGAGCTCTAAAATTTTTGCATCATTGCAAGAGAGCTGTCATCTCGTCCATCTTTTTATAGTCTATGGTTTCAATGTACTTACCTTTACTATGAGGGATTTGGTGACCACGTCGATGCGACCTCTCTCTGGGACGCTCACAATCTCATTGTCACAGGAAGCGTGGGACACCACAGCCTCGGCGCTCACAGTCACATTCACAACACCTAAAAAAATGATTAAAAAAAAACACAGACGGGAAAGATCTTTATTGTCAGTTTCCACTTGGATGTAACTTTTGAATTTTTCTTGGAGTCAGAAAAAAAACTTCACAACCGGATGTTTTAGTCGCAATTTTTGATTCTATAGGCTCAAAGAAACATGAGTATGATACGTTCATTTAGTTTCATTTGTGGTCTGTGCGTCTTGCTTAAACTTTGTTTCCTTAAAATGATTTTTTTGGGCTTGACCCACTCCTCTCTGTGGCCTCTGAACCCAAAGTTGTCTACCAGTGTGTCCCTGTGGCTGTTACTGTCCTGCTGCAAACCTCCAACACAGGTGGGAACAAAAGCCTGACCCTCACCTAAAGCCGAGGGGTCCATGTTCCAGCTGAGGGTCTTGCGCTCATTGCCACACAAACAGGATGTGTACTGGTCACCAGAGAGGGGGGTGAGGGTGTATTCCAAAGACGGGGTTGGAGTCACGGTAACCTGTTTAAAAGAGATTGTAAGGGTTGTAATATCTGCACAATTTTTGCGGGAAGCTGCAAATACAACTATATCATTGTGCATTTTGTGTGCATGTCTAATGTGTGCCAGCATTAGACATTTAAAAAAATATATTCTGCAACTCCCTGTACCCAAGATATTATTTCTGGTTGCCTGATAATGCAGCCAAGTGTAACATTTTGGTATTATAACAACGCCTTTTGTGATCATAAAAAAACTGCAATTTACTGTGCAGCCCTACTAACAAACATTAATTACCATGATGCAGCTGCTCATGTAGTTAAAGACAGTCGCCTTCAGCTCAAAGGTCTCCCCTCGGATTATGGAGTAAGGCAGGCTGAGCTCCAGGAAGAAAGGCTGGAAGACAGTGAACTCTTTACGAGGAGCCAAGCCGAAACCTTGAGGAGACAGACAGAAAGCCTCCGTCTCCCAGGTGGTGATGGTGTCAGGGACGGTGAGGGGCACATCTTTTGTTCCAGTCGCTCTGAATGAGCAGAAACACAGAAACACACAGGCCTCGTCTTTAAAGGTGAGGGAATTACAAAAGCTTCAGTATCACAGATTTCTTACCTGAAATTTCACACTACTCGTCAGACTCGAGGGACTACTTCACTAGTTTAAAACATAACAGCTTCATGAAGAGTGCACCACCAAAATAAGGTTGAACTGTCTTGTTAGATCAATTGTCTAGAAAAATCCTCATACAATCATGTGCAAATGTTAAATATTCTCTGATAGTTTGCTGTCATGTCACAGAAACTCACCCAACTTCAACCAGGTCCCATATCCAAGTCTCAGGGAAAAAACTGCGGACCGTTTCTATAGGTGCAGCTTCCATTCCATGTCCAGCGGGTCCCATTGGACCAGCCATGCCCATTCTGGCCATCGTAGGAACCATGTCATACGCCTGAGGATAAACTTCAGAGAAACCAGAACGTTTTCAAAGGTAACAATAAAAGACTGCTTCAGATTGTGGTAAAGATAATCAACAAAGTACGACCAGAATCTCAATCTAACGGGGAATATGTATGTAGTGGTCTGATGAGTTATTGAGTGTAGATAAGATCACAATTTTACATGATAAAAGTCTTTTTAATTTCCTTAGTAACAAGCCTTCACATCTTAAACAGCTAGTGATTCTCTGTAACTAAATAAGAAGAAGAAAGAGAAGAATAAAAAAAAGAAGCAGAAGAAGAAGAAGAAGAAGAAGAAGAAGAAGAAAAGGAAGAAGAAGAAGGTAATTACAGAATAAACATGTTTTTACTGGTGTAGTTGACACTTGCGAAGTGTGTTCTGCAAGCACTCAGAGAGGAAGTGAAGAGTCCTTGCTATCCTGCAGTTGTTACTTAAGTTGGTATAACTAGAGAAGCAAGCGGTCAGCAACATACATCTCTTAAGGTGTGTTTGATGCTAACTTAATTTTACGCCAGAATATCCCTTTAATGCGAGGAAGTACTGGTACTGAAAGCACTCATGTAAAAAAATCTTACTTCCATAGCTCCGGTGGTATTCCTCTCCCCGGTACATGAGGCACGAAGGTGTTCGAATAAACAAATTGGTTGCCATCTTCAGACCCACATTCTGGATAACCCAAGAAAAACAACAAACAAAAAAGAGACTGCTTAAAAGTTTGCTCAACACAACAAAATAAACTTGAGCAAAGTACACATTGTGTAAAACATTACCTGGAAAACATTATATGCGTCGTCTGTGGAGCGGCGTGGAGGGTATGGCAGATAAGATCTTTTTGATCTCACCAGGAGGCACTCCTGATTGTCTTCTGCATCGTATGGAATATAAGTCGATTTTCTAACAGGCAACAGATTGAATATCTGGAAAATGAGAAGCACAGTTTAGGACCTGCCAACACAGCCAGACTAAATCGTTTGCTGATCAGGATGTTTCTGTTTGAGAAACACCAGATCCAAATAAACCGACCAGTTGAAGGTGGCTATCAAGTCAGCCTGTGCTTGTCTTAAACTGGAACACTCATGTTTCCTTGAACTGGAACACCCATGTTTCCTTTTTATCTGCTTTAACTTTAGAGCAGATTACAGACAGGTTAGCAGTGAGGTTGAATCCCCAAAGTGTAGCCCCCTAGGTGACCACCTATTCCACTGTACCTCAAGCTATCTCCGGGAACCCAAAGTGGATGCTGCCTTTAAAAATGTTTCCTGCCTCTGAAGGGAGATCAAAAGGCACCTGGTTGAGTCCAGCCTTTACCTTGTCTGTGTCCAAAGTTTTCCCAGGCTCTTTGATGAGGACGCTCTGGTCGACAGCGCTCAGGCCGCACAGAGAGTCTGGAAGGGCAGTCACCTGCAGAGTGTTTTCCTCTCCTGGAACAGCTGAGGATGGAGAAAACTCCAAAGACACCTATTACAGAGGAAAAAAGATCTTGTGAATCACTCTTTTGGGAGATATCTGTGCACCGTGGGCCTGATTCATTAAGAAGCGGACAGCTTCTGCACCAGCTAAACCTGTGTGATTGAGCTGAAAGACATGGTCCGACTCACCCCAGGCAAAGTTTTTTATGCTGCTCAAATTGTGCTTCAGAGCAATAAACACATCTCAGTGGACCAGCATTGTTTGCTATCGATTTAATAAGCCAAAGTAAATTGATTTGCAGCAAAATATAACTCTTTGTGCGCAAATAAACCCCATAGCAAAATAAACCTCCTCACTCTATTTAGCTCAGCATAAATGTGTGTTAAACCTGTCATCTCTGTCAAAATCAGACACAAAACTGGAGCAAACTGTACAGAGCTGCAGAAATATGTGGGTGATTTTCAGCTAAACAGCACTGGTGCAGTTTGCTTTGTGAATTAGATCTTCTAGACCTTTTAAACTGTTACATCACTTTATACCAATATCAGCCTGCACACTGACCTTGTGGCTGAAGCATTTCTCAGTGGTGAACTCAGCACTGTGTGCAATCACTGTCTCACTGGGGAGGATGGCGTAGGTCACAATTTGTACATCTGGGGCCATCTCTGGGGACATTCTCAATGTAAAGGACATCTGACCCTCAGTCACTGAAACAGAAAAAATAACAGCTTCAGGTAAGTGTAATCAGCTTCCATGATATGTGTCAACTCTACACCGTCAGAGTTTTCTGAAATTTACGGACAATATTTTAAATTCAGATGGTAGCTGGCTTTTTTATCACACTTTTAGGTGCTCACTGTAACAGGCACCCTGTGTTACATAATACTAAGATAATGCTGGATGCAGCTACCAGTGGCTTTGAACCAAAGTTCAGTCAATATTTGCAGAGTGAAAAACCTCTGGGTTGACTGGGAACTCCATTTATGGACCATAAACCTGACTCACTCATTTGACCTTTAACCTTTAACCTGAGAAGTGAAAAAAATTACATTTGAAGCCCTCATAGTTAGAAACCAAGCAATTCCTCAATAGTACATATTTGGAGCCAATTTCATCTTACCTGGTTTATCCTGGACTTCAACCTGTTTAAATCCTTGCATCACAATGGCTCCTCTTGCTAAGACCTACAAAGTTTCAAAGACACATAAAATAGGAGTCCTTCCTTACTGGGGTTGTCATTCTTTTTTAAAGCACCGAAAAAAGGTGTTTTTCTTTTGAGGAACAATAATGCACTTTTAAATTATCCACCTACCAGATACATCACATCTGCAGTGCCTTGGGCTTCCCCAACAACCACATACTTGATGTGGATGTCCTCCTCTGCATCACAGGCAAATGGTTTGTCTTTCTTCTGCACCTCCAGGGTGCTGATTGTTTTAATGTCTGTAGTAAACGTTTGGGCTGACGACATTGTGTGCTCTCCAGTTTGATAGTACGGAGTCCGATGGCCTTCATACCTCACGTCAGGCTTGCTGTTTGCCTAGATCAGGGAGTTATAAACACAAAAAATTAACCTCTGTCTCCTGAGCTAAAATCAAGTTCTGAGAGAAAAATTTACAAGTGATGTGTTTTATTGCATGCTCACACCATACGTACCAAGAGCTGGATGTCTTTTTTAAACTCGGCTGTGCTGATGGTGAAAGTGGCGACTCCCTCACTGTTGGTTGTGAGATTCTGCAGCAGGCGTGCTGACCACCTCTCACCCTCAAACAGGTGCACCCGAAAATCAGGGATTGGTGTATCATCGTGACTGAGTACTTTGACCTGCAAACAGCACAAAGTTTTATGACTAAGAGCTCATGGTGGGAATGTGTACATGATCTGTGGGTAACACTTTACAAAAACCATAATTTATAAATGGTAAATAGATAGTTTATTAATATTAGTTAATAGTTACTTTACCATTAACAAGCAACGTAATTATGATTAATAATTTTCATTAATTATTAATGGACCATTTATTAAAGGTTTATATGGGGTTTAAATATTGGTTGTAAAACATCTAGATTAAAATGTGTGTCAGTCACACTTTGTAAATGGTCAATATTTGGTTTTTAAACCATCTATAAACATTACTTAGATGGTTATTGTAAAGTTGCAACTGATGTTTGTAATACTTTGTAAATGATTAATAAGTGGTTTATAAACTTAAATATTACTTAGATGGTTGTTGCAAAGTTAGGGTTAGGGTTAGGTTTTTTAAATTGCAAAATTTACAATTTATTAATAGTCCATATGCTTTTTATAAATGATGATTACGCATTAATAAACTATCTGCTTACCATTTATTAATGGTCTATTTACCATTTATAAGTTACGGTTATTGTAAAGTGTTACCGATCTGGGTTACAGTGAGTGCCTGCACTTACTTTTCCCTCCACGTTTGATCCTGACTCATAAAGCTTGGGTGTGTCGACAAAGAGTAACTGTCCAATAACATAGGAAATCTCCATCCTCTTCTGACTGTGGTGTGAGATACCTGCACACGAAGCCTGAGAGTTACATCTCTGTGTAAAACATGTAATATGGTTATGTGAAATGGAGTCAAGACAGGGTGAGATGGGACCCTGGAGGGATTCTATTTCTAGATATAGTTCCTGTGATTTAACAGCAGGTAGCACTTCACTGGCAACTAATTCTGGACCACCTGGTGCAGGTTGATTTGACTTCAAACTGGACTTTTTGATTCACGTTGAAGTCAGAGTCCAACATTATCCTTGTTATTGAAGTGATAAAAATAAAAGGGTTCCAGTCACCCGTTCCATCCTCTACATTTCTTAATCTGTTCACTGTAAGCTATTCTCTACTTTTGCTACCCCTGTGAAGTTAAAACATAGGACTGAGGCTTGCCTGTTCCCTCCTCCTCCACACTGGCTTTGAGTTGCAGAGAGTCTCGCAACACTTTCTGGTCCAGTTTTGTGAAAGTGGATAACTTGACCACAAAGTCTGCACAGCCGGTCCTATCTGCCTGTGAAGTTCAGTCAAAGAAGATGAATTAGATGGGTTTACCACCAACACTGCAGATAGTTAATATGGAGAGTTCAAAAAGTTTGGCTTCATTTCTGAGGAGTTATGGTGTTATCAAACTTTTCATCAGTCTACGCCCAAATGAAAACTCTTCCAACAAACGTGTGAGCATGTCATCGCTGTACCTGTTTGATCTCCTTGTGGGAGGGGGCTGTTATCTCAGGGACACCATCTGGTTGGTCGGGGGATCTCTCGATGGCTCTGCTATAAAAACGACTCAGAGGTCGTAGCAACTCGATTTTAACATTGCCTGGCACAGGCTGTCCATATGTATACCTGGAATGTAAATATTCAATTTAGTTCAATGCAGTTTTAGCAACTTTGATCGTCCCTATAAACCCTTTTAGTGTTAGTTCACAGTGTGACTTTTTCAGGTGGACAGGGCTTAGCTGGGGGAGAAAATCCCATGCAGCCTGGAGCCTCCCACCTCAGGCACAGCTGTCTCATTTCAAAATGGCTATAGAGTAAACTGCCCCATGGGTGCACATCAAACTGTGAGTGTAAAGGACTTTTATCGCAATTTTTAAATCAATAAAATCATTTCCTAATCAGCTTTTATGTCAAGTGAATGATTAGAAGCTGTTCAATCAGAGGCATGTAGTGAGATGTGGTTGAGTATTCTGGATAAGACCTGCTCACTCTGTCAAGGTTACAGTCTGATATAACAACCTGCTCACTATACATTACCCCTCACTCGAATAGTGGTTGGTTTTACAAGCTGGTATGACATAAAAGCATCCTGAGAGGCACTTTAAGACTTTCACTTAAACATAGGAAAATTAAGTCATAATGTCATGAGATGAGTGTATGGGGAGTGAGAGTTTGGACTTACTTTGCACATATTTTAGCTTTGATTTCTTCCTGCCCAATGCTGACTTTGTCTGCAGCTTCTACTTTCACTTCAAATCTTGGCAAAACTGGGGATAAAATATACATTTTTTAAAGTATTCTTGCTTTGCAACAAAAATGTTTAAATCAAAGGTTTGAAGATAAACAGTAACTTACCGTATTTCTCCACCTTAAAGTTGTGATATATTTTCTCCTCTCCGATCTGCACAATGACACTGTAGGTTCCCTCACGAGCCTCTGAGTTCAGTGAGTAAGACAGCTGCAATATTTTGCCATTTGAGCTTTTTTCCAACCACTGACCGATTCTGTTACTGGCAGGGTCCTGTTTGTGTAACATAAAAGTGAGACTGATGTTAAATTGTTGTTACTTTTTTACATGTTTGGGGAAACTGGGTTATATGTTTGGCATTAAAAATGCACTTTTTTTGCACAATTTACACTTGAAAATAAATCATGTACTTTCTTACCTCAAGCTCAATGATTTTGTACTGTGAAAAAGAGAAGGAGAGAAAGATGTTTGAGGACCTTGTGATGTAATGCCACTGATGTTGGTGTCTTTATGATTCTACGATGATTTTGCAACTTTAAAGTAATTGTAATCATGTGTAAACTGGCCTAATGGTTTTTACGAAAGGCACAGGTTGCACAGTGAACAATTAAAGGGCAGTCAAGCTGTATTGTGGATAGTCATGAACATGAACTAAACAATAGCCTTCAATGAAATAATCAGTTAAAATATATGAAGATAATTTAATGAAACCGGTTTTTAATTAATCTAAAAATCGATCTACAAAAGTGTTCCAACACTCACCAACCGATTAGCTGGTCTCAACTTGCTGTCCAGTGAGACAACCCTAAAATGCACTGAGAAATACATAAAGAGATTATTTGCACCTTTGAAAGATCATCCACTGAAGTAAAACAATCTTAACAAAACCCCAAAACTGCATCAAGAGAATTACACAACAGACAGAGATACACACAAGAAGATTTCTGACATGGAATAATCTGTAAGAAAAAGTTCAAATATCACGATAGCTATTTTTCCTAGGTTTAAAGGCTAATGGACTCAAATCATGTAGACTTGGGTCTTAATCTATGCAAAGTTAGATTTTTGCAAAGAAACTGAGCAAACAGGGTTACTGCGTGTTTGTAGGTGTTTAACAAAGTCAGCAACACTTGCTGTTAAAAAGCTAAAGTCAACCCTTAAAGGCCAAATACGGCATCACACTTGGAGCTCGATACAACAGCCGAGGAAACCCTGTCAGAGGGCTCATCAAAATGTCCAAATTTATATCAGTAATTATCATGTTCAGGCTCAACACTGGTCATACTGGCTGGAAATGTTGATTTAAACAAGTCACTGAACGTGGCTTTTTCTGCTTCAAAATTCAACATTTTAATATGAGCTCAGCCCCAAGTGGACAGTGGTGGAACTGCAGCGTTATGCATTTCATATTGACTCCATTTTGCAACACCATAGCTAATGTTTGTGCATTTTTATGTGCTCATATCTTGATGATAGGTTTTTATTTTTACTGTACCATGGAATAAGGTTTATTTAAGGGGCTTGGGAAAACTTAATTTTGGTGCCTCCTTGGACATTTAAAGTCTCAACATGGAAAGAAAATCTGTTTCTGGAGCATGTTGTTTTGTCCTACGCTTGGCAGTAGTGACAGATTTTAGAAACAGTGATAAAAGTAAGGTTAATTTCTTACTAATGATCTCATTTGCTTTTTTTTTCCAACAAGAGGTACAAGCGTCAATTCAAGTTCAATTCATATCGACCCCAAAATCTCTCCTCAGGAGTTTTAAAACAGCTGTATTGTAATTTCTTTGGTTTAATTTATATCGAGCAAAAACTGCATGCTTTTCAAACCAATCACCAATCACAAAACACTCAAAACTATTTGATCTGATTATCAAATTCACATGTGACTGAGATATTTTCCTCTTTTGAGTGCATGACCAATTCCCAGATAAACTAATCAAGATTACCTGTTTGTCCTGGGAGATAGATTGGTTTATCTGTTTGGACGAATGTGCTCGGTTCGTAGGTTTTAACCATAACTTTTCTGACTTCTTTTGAGTAAAATGTTTGTCCTCGGACCTCGACCTCCAACTTCCAAACTTTGCTTTTCACCAGCGGAGTCTAAAAAAAAAAAAAAAGATGTTTTTTTAGACACCAGGGGAAATGAGCAATTTAAGTTAGTATGTTCAATCATATTTTTTTATTCTTACAGTAAATTTGAAAACTCATTTTAGAATTTAAAAGCAAAATATCACCTTTATTTTTCAATAGTACAAACTGACCCACTACTGATCAGACCTGTGTCTTGGAGTGTTTTATGAATCACAGTTCAGAGAGTCTAACTTAGGGACTGTGTCTACACATTTTCTGAGAATTTTCAGAAAATAAGCAAAAGTAAATCAGCAGACCTGAAACTTCACGCAGGTGTGAAATGCCTGACTGGACGTCTCCTCCATTAGGGTTATATTTTGTTCCTGGGACCTTAAAGAGACGGTCATGACCAGAGTCTCATTGGGCTTCAGGAGACTTGCACAGAAAGGTGTTTGAGTCCCCGCTTCGATGGTCGCTGGAATGGCCACCATGTACTGCCTACACACACAAATACACATGCACTAAATACCTAATCAGATCTTACATTCAAGAATTCCCTGCAGTGGAGCAAAAAACACCCAAAACAAAACATATTTTGTGTGTGTTCAGAGTCAGTATGACAAATATTTCAATCTGATGCATTTTTTTTTTAAATATTACAAGTAAACTTACGGTCCGGCCACTGCTTGAACCACACATATCCAACTCAGGCAGACAAGCAGTGTCCGTGTCCACATCTGAACCCCAGGAAGACCCATGGCTGACTGTGGTGAACCGCAGAGAAGGCCTGTGTTAAATAAACTCTGTCAAAAATCAATACACCTCTCACCGACATCACGCAAACCCACTCATCATTTCTGGGTAGTCCTTTAGTCAATCATTCATAGTAAAGACAAAGTCCCCCCTTCCAGTCCGAGGACATGGATAAAAATTTAGCCTTGCATTTACATTTAACCCCTCGACTGTATATAGACCTATATACTACTGCTATTCACAGTCTATGATTTAATCTCAATTCTCTTGAGTATGAGTTGCTCAAAGATCCAACTCACAGAAGTCCCATCCTGATCAGATGCCCAAATCCCATCAACTGGCAAAATTCAAGATAGAGGACTAGCAGCAGCCCTCTGAGCTTCCTCTGGATGTCTGTGCTCCAAACCCTATCTCTAAAGCTTAACATGGCCACTGGAACTCTCAATTCAGCAGCTTGAATCTGGATCCGAATTTTTCCGTCAACACCCACAACTCTTGACCATCGGACCATAGATGGGCTGGTGAATCAAGAACTTTCCCTTTATCACGGCTGCATTGTACAATGCCTGCATTACTGCAGACACTACACCTACACAAATGTACCTGCTGTGATTGGCAGGTATCTGACCTAGCTTTGAGTCAGAGATGAGGAGGACTGGCTGCTTTGATAGGAGGACAAGTTACCCTTGTTTGGGATCACCTGATACCAGACGTGGGCGAGTAAGTTCAAAGGGAAGTCTATCAAGTTGCACAAGCTTTTTTACCATAATGATTACTAAATAAAGAAAACATGGAGACTTTTACCACACACTAAATTACTGTTGGTTGCCAGGAAGGGAATTTTTTCAGGCATTGGGTATCCTCCTACCTCAGGTCAGTCACCACCCTCTCATCCATATATGGTCACTTTTTTAAAGGATTTATTTTGGGCTTATCTACTTTTATTGATAGAGGAACAGGAAGTGACGCCCAAGCCGCCTGCCTAAAGGGTGTGCTTAGTTAGCCTTCTAGGCCATTTATGCCCCAAATATGGTCACCAATAGCTTAAAAAAAAAAAAGAAAAGAAACGAGCATACGCCCAACCCCAAATTTGGGGTGAACGTCACGTTTTATGAGATGTGATCATGACAGAGACTTGCCTTCAGAAGTACGGTATGAAGGAGTCATTTCAACACTGTTTAATGCACAAATCAACACTGAAGTTCAATCTCTCTGTCCTATTCTGCTTAGGCAGATCAAATCATGTAAATTCAGAATGAAGGATGTATCAAGAGCAATTGGCACCAAACAAGGACCGTCCTCAGATTGCAGTTTCAAAAGGATTTACCAGAGAATCTTTTTAACTGGCACTCACACTGGGTCCAAGTTATCTGTTACAGATTTGAACTGAAGACAAAAATGTGCTTAACAATGATTAAATATCTATGCCTGAGGAAGGAAAATGTACGCTTTTCTTACATTTAATGTACATTTTAATCCAAACTACATAATAATGCATACACCCCTATGATAAGCTGTAAAAACTGCCAGAAACAATCTTCTTCTACACAATCTAAAAAGTTTCCCTAATCTAGTGCACGCATTTTGTCACTCACCATAAACTCTGAATCAGCGCCCTTTAAACCTTGTGGGATGCCTAACGGTAAACAAACCCGTGTGATCTGGAGGAGTTGCAACACATGAAACTGAAACACCCACACATCTGCACACATCTTTTTTTTAAATGCAGAGGTAAACAGAAATGCTTTAGCAAGCAACAAAGTCCAGCATGTCAAATGTAAACAGTGTGGGAGGAGAAGATGGAACAGATGGTTTGGAGGAGAAGTGGAGAAGACAGAGCAGCTTTCGTCACTTAAGCTGGATTTACGCCTGATGGGGAGGGTTGTGGGAGTCAATACAAAATCACCTACAATAAAGAATTTAGCTCTAAGCATCCTGCAACCCAGGATAAATCTGACAAACCAGATTAGGGTGCACTGCTGTAAGTGTGTGCTATATTCTGTAGCAGCAATAAGAGCACTCCTCTCACTGGAAAAATGTCTACAGGGATAAAAATGTCCAGTCACTTTGTCTGGACTATTTCTGATACATGATATAAGTTTTGGCATTTGATACAACCTAATTTATGGTACTTAATCTCTGCAAAAATACGATACCATAATTTATTAGACCACAGAACACACAACAAGCAGTTTCAGGTTGATAGAGTGCCAAAAACAAAGCAGTCTGTGTTCAACCCTGCACAGGACTGTCTGTTTTTCGGTAGGCCCCATGCCAGAGGCTCAAAAAAAAAAAGAGCCATCACCAAAAAGTGGCATCATTCAAAATCATCTAAACATATGCAAGCCATGTCTGATATTCATTTGTAGCTGATTTTTTGAAAAAATAACTTCTCAGAAACTGCATGCAAATCTTCATGATGATAAATAACCAATGATGGAAACATAATTTCAGTGGTTATTGACAAGAGTTCTTTGAACTTAAAGTTTGACTTAGGCTCCATCTGTTGATGTGGAAGAAGAACCATTCATTCAGCAAACACCACATGTTTTAAAGTCTATGCAGCGCAGCTGACATCAAAAAGAAGAATTTATGATGGGGCATTGTGACCCTTTGTTTACTGAAGACAAGTTTACCAGCTCAGCACAACTAATTCCCCAATATCCAGCTTGAATTTTTGATGCAGTAGACCAAACAACAGCCAAATAAATTCAGGTTTGTTGGGATCACAGCCCACTTACCTTACATTTTCAGTTTTTACATAGATTTTAAATGTTCCCTGGGGAGAACGTACACCACTATTATATTCATTTCAGTGCATGTGAATTAGCTGTAAGACCCCAGGTAAGGCTGCCTCTTACGTTATATGTCCACTACTTCATTCTTGTCATTTGCAAAAATCATCCTATTTGTTATGGTGGATTAATGCTCATGCCACTATTATAATTAACCTCTGAAGCAGCTTGGATCATAGTGTCCAGTACAGCATTGCTGAGACTAACTGGTTAAGACTGTGCAGAAAAACCACTAGGCCCCCAAAAGTAAATCAATAATGACTGCTTAGGTGCCTGTTTTTGTACTGGGAATAGATTTTCCATCAGTAATCTTCAAAATGAATCAGCAACGCAAATAAAACCAAGGGCCCTACTTTACTGACCTAAAACACATTGTTCAAAGTGTGTTAGGATGAGTCTATCTTTTATTAATCAGTGCATTATCCATGTGCTAAGTGGGATCAAGTCCCCTCATTGTGTGCAGGTGTGTTTAGGGAACAGCAGGATAAACTCATCAGTGTCCGCTCCATATAAGAGTGAGGAACGTGGTCTTCCTCTACATAGCACATTTCTTTGTTTAGACCAGTTTAGACCATGTCATGTGACCTCTTTTTTATATAATGCTCCCAAAAGCAAGAAAATCAAAAACATGAAAAAATAGGAAAATATTTAAGTTTGAACACAGAGGTACCGCCGTTATTGTTGGCTGTAGCTGATCTATTATTATCAATACTTCAGTTGGTCTTAACTCAGATTTTCATGCATGGTTAACAGGACCTTCAACCTCAAAACTACATGTGCGTATTGATTTCAGATCAGATCTCCGGAAGCTTTCAGTGCGCTGCTCTTTGTTACGTTATATGAATGAATGTAAATACAGCTTAAGTACAGGAGTCACCTTTCCAGTGAGGTGAAGGAACCTGTTGTTACAGAATGTAAACGCAGTTAATGTAAGGGACATAGGTCACTTGTTAATCTTCAACAGTGATGGCTTAATCTATCCACAAAACCCCTTTTGAAAGGGTTGAAAGATGAGAGGTTAAAGATCAGTGAGTCAGGTATTACGAGTTATGTAATTACATGTAGTTAGTTTGTTCCATTGAGTCTGAATCATTCTGAAAAAAACAAACAAACAAAAAACACAATGCTAAAAAATCAGAAGAGATGGCTTCATTTCTATCAAATATATAACACACTTTTTGAAAATTTCTGTCAAGTGACCTGCAACACATCAGGCCAGATAATGACTGATAGCTTTCCACAGTTTTTCTGTGGAAAGCTATCAAAGTTCATTGAAAACATAGTTTACAACCCTCTAATTCACACAGTACTGGCTCACAAAATCTAGAAAATCTGGCAGATACTATAGAAAAAAAAACAAGACTTGTTTAAAGGTGAAGTTATCCATATGTATTGTTGACTGGGCATGTGTAGCATGTTTCAAATGTACAGTCATTACACAGGGGGTGCTCTTCTTCTTAGATCGAACCCCCATCAGCGAGGAGGCGAGGACTGACCACACTTTAACCTCCAACCTGAAAAAGAGAGAATAAAACATCAATATTTTATCAAAGATACACAGTCTGCTTTCACAGTTTGTTTGCTGCAGTTTGTTTACAACAATCTCCCCTCTTCCTGCCCCTCAGCAAGGTTAGAATATGAAAGCTCGTGGTTTGGGATAAAAAATGTTCTCAAAGGAATCTTGTGGTGTTTCTGTATGTTGAAGTGTATTGTCACCTCTATACACGGATGACGGTAAACTTTCTCGTTTTGATCAGCTGAAAGAAAAAGAGGAGACACACCTTAAACCTCTGTTGGGGAGCAGAGTTTATTGAAATATGAAGTTGTCTTTGAAATACAGTCTCATATTGACCTGGCTGGTAGTAGTCATAGATCTGGACTGGGGCTGCTTTCAAAGGCGACACTGAATACTTCTGCAGAAGCTGTAATGTGAAGACTTCGGGTTCCTCTTTTCGTAACTGTTAGAGGGAAAAAGAGAGAGAGGAAAAATATGAACAAAGTCCTACATTTCTCTGATGGAAAATCCTAATGACAAAATGATGTTTGAAGATCGACCCTGGGTCTACTTTAAAACGACCCAAGACTCTATTCAATCACAGACACTTTCCATCTGTCAAACATTAGAGAGTCTACTGACCGGCGCAATGGGAGGTCAATAACGTGGTTTATCCAGTGAAATTCACCTCACCTCTTTAATGTACAGCAGGATGTGGTCATCTTTTTGATCAATACGCTCCACAGTTTCATCTTTAAGCTGTAAGTAAAAACAGTCAGCTGAAATACCATCAATACATCAAGATGTTATCGCTTCATGGCAGCTCACTTCAAAACCAATTTTAACAATGATGTCTTAAAAGTGGGGTAGGCCGGAATCCATTAAAGAAGCATCTTTTTTGTGGTGTATCTACAAAAAAGCTTTTAATATCAGTCAATAGCTATTAGTTATTGAGGACATTTGAGAATATAACAATATCGCCGTGTTTTGTTCTGTGTGTGTAGTCAACATTTTAAAATTTCAGAGCGCTCCGCTCTTTCTGACTGTAAACAAAGCCGTTCCCCGCCTCCCCCAGCCTCATTGGTTGTGAGGCAGACGCAGCTCCCCCGAGATGTTGATGAGCTCAAACAAAGTTAGCGTGCTACAATATCAGACAGTAGAAACCAACCAGAAAGTACAGAAAATTGTCTGAATCTTCCTTTAGCCAAGACTGCCAACACAAGCAAGAAAACAAACTAACTACCGGAGACTCTGGCAGAATAACGGGCGCTTAAAAAGGAGGTAGACCACCCGAACAAGAGCTAAGAAGCCAGGTCAACATCAATGAATCTGGGGGATGCTTCGGGATCTTATGGACCCTGTAACCTTCCTGCTGGACAGGGAAACCGCTTTAACAAAGTAAGCTAAGTGTCTGTAACAGAAGTGTTTCTTGTCAAACGGGACCTGCTGCGTGTTGTAGTGCTGCTAAACTGTTTACCTCGGTCCTGGAGTATGTCACTTTGTACTAGTTGTAGAAGTCCTGCAAACATTGTGTTTGCTGGTAGTCTGTTGGCATCAAAGTAGCACTAATGCTTTTTACTTTCACGTTGACTGGGCTCCATTTGTAATTATCTGAAGTATTTATCTGATTTTAATTTGAACAATACGAGAGAGCAGGAGCGTCTGTTTGTGGGCGGGTCTTGCTGGAGCAAAGATGGAGGGGAGAGGCAGAGCTGAAGGGAAAACTGGTTAGGAGGGGGAGTGTTTACTTTCAAGATTTCTCTCCAAAACTGGCACTTCCTCAGATCCTGACTACCCCACCTTTAAATTTAAGAGAACAAAGCTCTCAAGTGACGAGGGTGTCATCAATTTCTGAGACTGCAATGAGCAAACTAAAATAAGGTTTCAAACTGGTGAAAATTGAGACAGAGACTTACGACTGTAAGGTAAATTTACAAAAAATGAGTTGTGATATCTGAGGATAAAATAATTTTAAAAAACTAACCATCTTCAAAGACTGAGGCTCTGGGACAAATCCAGAGAGCATTTTGATATCCAGGATCACCATATTTGTAGCCACCTCATTTCCCGTGTATCTGTAACACAACAATAAAACATTGATTTGATTCTTGAAACCTTGTTGTTTGATTAGACACTTAAAATCTAAGGTTGTAGAGAGGGGTCGTCTAAAGTTAGTAAATATTTGAGCAGATGAGTATCTATCCCAGTTAAAACATATACCACCTGTACCTTCATCAGCTGCTACAGCCACTTCACACTGGAAGACTTAAAAAGGATGTCTATAGTCCTGACACCTTTTCCCATCATGAGCTATCACACAACAGGGTCTCTGTTTGAGTCAAAAAACTACAACTGGATCATTAAGAGACTACTTTTCATCACTCTGCAAAGATGAATAAACAATGAGGCCAAACCAGCAGCAGCTCTTGTCTAAAGCTGCCCTCATTTACATTGAGTTTCAATAGATTTGTGTGATGAGCACCAGTGTGAGCTAGGCACATTAACGACATAAAAAATAGGGGGGTGCAGGTAGCCTAGCCCTCTCTAGCTGGGAGACTGGACTGTCACAGTGCTTGAACCTAAGGCGCAGCCCATGTAGGCGGACGACCCGGGTTTGAATCCCCCTGTGGTGTCTTTAACGCCCATATCTTCTCCCACCTAGATTACTGTAACTCACTTCTTCCCGGTTTTACACAGAAATCTCTTTCCCGCCTTCAACTTGTCCAGAATGCAGCAGCTATGCTTCTGGCAGGTTTTCACAGACGACATCACATTACCCCTATTTTAGCATCTTAACATTGGCTTCCAGTTAGTTTTAGAATTGATTTTAAGATTTTAATCATTACTTGTAAGGCAGTAAAGGGTCTGGCTCCAATCTATATAACAGAACTTTTCACCCCCTATGAGCCAGCCCACACCCTGAGATCTTTGGGTGGGGACCTGCTGGTTGTTCCAAGGTCGAGACTTGTAACTAAAGGTGACAGGGCCTTCTCCTTCAGGGCCCTTCGACTTTGGAACGACCTCCCCACGGAGATCAGGTGTGCAGAGACAGTCACTGCTTTCAAATCACATCTTAAAACTAATTTTTATAGACTTGCTTTTATGTGATTTTGTCTTCTTAAAAACCTTTTATACACTTCTTATTCATGTTTTATAATAGTCCCCTTGGTCTCAGGTTTTTGTGATTGGGTTCCTGTGTTGGCTGGGCATCATGGGCTCTTATGATGTTTTAATGTCTTCATTTTAATGACCTCTCAGCTCATGTGACATTCATCAAAGCTTTTATGTCTTCTACGGATTTTTATTCTATTTTATTTTATGTCTTTATTGCCAGTAATGCATTATTTCCTCCAAGTGTTCCCTTGTTGTTGTTATGTTGTTTTTATCTTCTTTGTTTTCCTTCATGTTAAAGCACTTTGTAATCTCTTGTTATTAAAAGTGCTACATAAATAAAGTTAATAATATTATTATTATTGTTATTGTCAACTGGCAGACACTGAAATCTCATGTTTCAACATGCTCAGTAAACTGTGCTGTTATTACTGTTTGTCCTCTGTGTGCAGATTTAGGAATAGTTCAAGCTGCAGAGGGTTAAGACATGTTTTTTAGCATAGCTCTATTATTCCTCCATTGCTGCGTCATTTGTAGCTGGTTATTGTTGTTGTTGTTGAGGATCACTTACGTGCAAATCATTTTCAGAGTCAGTGTGAAGTTGTTACTTTCGCAGTTAGCTTTGGCAACAGTATCTAATCTGAGATTTGTTTCCGTAGGAGGAGAGAGGATATTGTAGTGATGAGAAATCTGGAAAAAAAATTGGACAAAGATGATCATTCACTTCATAAAAACCCCAACAAAGGTGAATTTTAACCTGCTTTGATTTGTGGATTTATTCCTATCTTGTTTTAATCTTAAATTGCTGTTACTTATGGCTTATGTTGTTTGATCTTTATTTTACTGAGAGCACTTAAGGTCCTTACACACCGAGGCCAACGCGAATATGGAACGTGAAATTACGAAATATTCAGAGGCGAATTTTGACGCACCTAACTATACACATCAAGCCTGGTGCGGTTTGCAACTTTCTGAGGGGGAAAAAGAGGCATCCCGGGGAAGACTTTTCCCTGGGAAAGTCCCGCCTCCTTCACCTCTGATTGGATAGAAAGGCTGGAAACGTCCTCACACGCTCAAGCCAAACAGTCAGCACATATAGCCAATCAGAGGCGAAGGAGGGCGGGACCTTCCCTTACCATCCAACAGGGTCCGGGGTGGAAGCAAGAAGACAAACATTGAGTCTACTTCAACTTCAAGTGATGGCGAATTGGTACTTCTTTTGCTTTCTCAAAAGAAAAAGAAACGTAGCACATGGGTGCTTCCAATATTACAAAAAAGAAGAGAGCTTGGTGAGTTTCACTGCTTGGTTCAGGAGCTAAAACTGTACCACGGTCGCTTCAGAACCGATTTTCAGATGTCCGTTGGACAATTTGAAGTTCTGCTGAAACAATTAGCTCCAAGTATGAAGAGGCAAAGGATTAGACACTAGACACTAGTGTTGAGATGGCTTTCTGTCATGATAGCATGTACTGAGTCAGGGCCAGTACCAGATAAGCACATGAAACTATGGTAACAACCGTTAGCTTATGTTAGCACAGATGAAAGTTAAAACAAAGACGTTTAGAATAGAATAGAATAGAATAGAATAGAATATTAGAATTCTATTTTGGCAAACTGTTTCAGCACACAAACCACAAGTTGTCCTTCAGGTCGTTATCTTTGTAATGTTTGTGTCAAACAATCAGCCGGTCGGCCATGTTGGATGTACCAGTGAATCAGACGTCGCAACAACACACTATCTGATTGGTCAGAAGTGGACACACAGTATGCGAAACTTTGGAAAAATCGACCATGATCTGAAAAAATAAATGCCTAAATTTCACAGGACGGGCAAACGTCACTGATGTGAACGCTTGTATTGACAGGATATCGGTACGAAAAAAAATTCTGACGTCCGAAATAATCGCACGAAAAAAACAGTCCCGGTCTGTAAGGGCCTTTAAACTCTCTGAGTTATCACTCTAACCACTACATCAGTGGTTTTGTTGAGTTTCCACGGCGACTGACCTGCACTGAAGCACATGTTGTTCCCTTTACTTCCACTTTGTACTTTCCCGTGACATCTGTCAGCAGTTGCTCCTGGTAGAGCAGCTTGTTCTCCTGATTCACAACAAAATCAAGCTGACCACTGGGAGACTGGACCGTCACAGAGCTCGAACCCTCTGGGTTAAACACCAGAGTGGAGTACAGAGCTAGAGCCTGAAGAGCCACCACTGTGTCCTACAAAACAAATAAACAGGGAAAAAAAATAAAGGCGATTATTACAATGACAAATGTGTGAATATTTTAATATTTGAATTTTAATAAAACAGGGTTTCATTAAAAAATAAGCAATTCAAGGCCCTCAAATGTTAAGTCTATCCAAAGGAAGCATGTTTCTCCAGCTCTGGGCTGTTAAAGCAGCTGGTACCTGTGTGGAAGAGAAGCCTCCATAATAGTTCTGCTGGGTGGTCAGCCATCTGACGATTTGGTTGGCATAACCCAGATCTTCAATAGAAGGAGAGGCACTGAGGAGGGCCAGCAGCACGTAAGAGCTGATCTCCACAGACAGAGAGGAAGAAGAGTCTGTCGCTGTCTGGGACCAGTGGATGAATCCTCCTGACAACATTAAAAAAAAAGTACTGAATATGAGATTCACTTGTAGTTAACTGCAGCCATTCATGACCTGAAACACACCGATACATCATTTTACTAGCATTTGAGTTTTCTAGAAAATGGCTGTCATGAATGAAAACTGAAGGATTTCAATACGGACAATGACTTACCATGTTTTATTGCCACGTTGTCAAGGTGTGCCAAAAGCGTGGCACGGGTCTCCATGTCTCCTGCCAAGGTGAAGGTGTACGCCTGCAGAGCTGTGGCGTAGGTGTTGCTGAGATCACTGATATTTTTCTTCAGGCAAGAGAGGCTCTTAGAGACAGACTCCTGAAATAGAAGAACATCTGTTGATTTTCTGTTGAGTTTTCATCCAAAAAACAAAAACATGGAGAAGGAAAAAGAGACCTGGGCAGGTAAGGGAGCAGAATAAGGTTTAACATGGACTCAGTGGACTCACAGTTATAGTGGAGTTCATCTCCAAGAAGGCAGCTGTGATGTAAGCACTGATGGTCACCTCATCAGAAACACCACCCTGTACAGAAGGAGGATTGAACGGACATGATCATTACTGTAATAATAACACTCAGAAGCTTGATTTACTGGATGGTTTTTAATGCAAAGATTTTGGTTTGTGGCAGGGTCCTGTTTAAGTTATAATGTGTACTTCAAGATGGCAAGGTTTGCAGGAATGGGCTCAACAAACACAACAGAGATCTGTGCCAAACGATTTATAAACGTTCATTTTGGAATAAACCAACTGGATTGGATTATATCTTGAAAACTGGTTGTGAAAGGGAAAGAAAAATAAGAAAAATGTCTAAATCTCAGGCCGAGTGTGTCAAAACTTTTGAGGAATGTGAAAATTTTAGCCCTAAGTATCAGGAAAGTATCTAGCAGAAGGATTTATTCAGGCTGGATTACTGAAACAAAACATAAACAAACTTTTGATGTGATTACAAAATTTGTACAACAATGTTCCAACATTAGACATATTCACCACCCTTTGATTTATACAGACAATCGCTGCACTGGCATGGTCAATGCAGTGTACATAAGTTTGTTAAAAAAAACACATTTTGTTTTTATTAAGAGTTTCACCTAATAAGCTTTTGGTACATAATTTGTGATTGGCCATTGTAATTTTTTGTAAGTTTTAATTTCAGTTTTTTTGTGTGTCTCTCTCCGTTTTAATCTCATTGACAAAAATTATAATAACAAATGTTGGTCAATGACCTTTTTCTCCATGACAAAGATGAGATGATTAAATTACATCAACATCAGCTCCGATGTTTTCTCATCCATTTATCTTTTCTCATCCAGTAACAGTTTGAAACCCCGGTAGCCTCCTGTGTCAGTCCTCTCTGCTTACCTTCATAGCCTTGTTGAAGAGGTTCCCCTGCAGCTCATAACACCCACTGCTCTGCTGCTTGCTGACCAGCCACTCTTTGGCTTTATTAATGACGTCTGGATCAATGAAGATGAAATTCTGTGCTTTGGAGAAGCATCTCATCACAAAGGTGGTCAGCCTGCAGAGTTTGGAAAGTGAGATTAATAAGACTACAGAGGGCACTTCAATTTGGATCATTACATTACATTGCTTTCAATGAGGTTGTGTGAATACCATTTAAGTATGTTCTTATGCATTAAACCTGCTTTCTCTTCTCTGACTAAGAGCTGCTCTCCAAAAGAACAAAAAAGACTAATTAAGAGACACTTCTCTGTAGATGGGGGATCAATATGTTCTTACCAGGTGTTTGGTGTTCCTGATCCAAATGTGCTATATGCACCATTGTAATGTTTGTAGTTCATCTGTCCCTGGTAACCTGTTGAAAAAAGGAGTCATGTGCTTCAGGAGTATGACATTGTAATTAAGACCCTCTGCAGATGAAGAATATTAAACATTTCATGCACTGTGGTCATGGAGCAGACAGCTTTTCAAGAGCTGGTTTATGTAAACTCATGGATTTTAATCACACTTTATACGCTTTTTACACTTCTTTTACATCCTTCTCTCCCAGAAGACCCTTGCAGGTTAACTTTTTGCACTAACAAGCAATATTCAAAGTGTAATTAGTTTGTCAGTGATCATGAATCCACAAAACATTTCACTACTGTTGCATGATATTCTATTCCTTGAACTTTAACTTACTACAAATTCTGAATATAACAAAAAAGGTGCTATGCATGTCTTAAAATTTGCTCTGGTATTTCATATTTTGTGCACAGAAGAGCTCATAATCTGTCCTGTCCTGGTTTCTTCATTACATTCACTGAGACTCACCGTTGACCAGATAGCTGATACCCGTCTCTCTGACGGCTGGGGTCAGCTGATTTGTGTCTTTCAGGTATTGGAGGATGTAGATATTGGGGGCCATGAGCGCCATGTTCTGCTCACCACACCCATATGGCATCTGCAGCAGCCCATCCAGGTTGTTCAGGGCTCGGCCCAGAATGTCACCTGCACAGGAACATAGGTTTATTCAAAGCGCGTGTGCATCTAAACTGAGTATAAAGTTCAAAATGATCCCACAGGTTTCCTTGATCCTGGACCAAGCAGATAACAACGATGCCTCAATGGAGCTAAGCCTCTCCAGACAATGAACATCCATTATCTTACCAATGACTGAAACAAGAGCACGACTTGATCCATCAACCACATTTACAGGGAGCTCTATTTCTGTCTCCTCAGTCAAAATCTCATCTGTGAACAGGGAACAAACACCTCATATAAGGAACTCAAGCACATATAAGAACAGGAACAAAGTATCATTAAGGTAAAATTAGTGATTTTTTTGGTCAGAAACTGCACAGTGGAAACATGGTACAATTTTCAAGAGGTTATGAAGCCAGACAAGTTATCTTCAAACTGACCTTTTGGACAGAGAAGCCAGTTTGAGGTCATTGTCCTCTCAATTCCTTCAGCCTGATGTGAAAAAATAGTATTTATAAGACTACATGAAGCATAGATGTAAAATCACAGAGATGTTCCTTGTTGGTTTGTAATGAGGCGTTATGAAGCCCACAAATGATAGTCACTGTATTGGAAATGTTAACTCTTGAGCTAGAAACCAGCAGAGGTAGAATCAACTGTATTCCCACATCCCAAAGCGGCCAACTTCTCAGAGTGGGAAAGTCCTATGTCATTATTAAGTGTTATCACAGTGCTCCAGGTAGTAAATCGTATGAACGTCGGTCCAAAGTCTGTGTCGCTGCTCATTCAGAAACGAGCTGTGAAATGACCACAGTTCGTCAAAATTTTGAGGTTCATACGACCTACATCCCAGAGCACAATACACTGAATTATGCAAATTTATGAGGAACTCGTCACCATAACTGATCATAATGGCCTCATTTTTAAGGACAAAAACAATTTTCTGTACTAGACTTGAATGACGGTCAGTTTTGCTGTAACTCTGGGCATTTTAAATGGGACTGATGGGGATTCCTTGACTTTAAGAGCCAGCCACCTGTGGTCACTCCAGGAACTGCGTTTTTTATGTTTGTCACACTGGTTTAATCTTTCAACAGTGGAGGTTGCAAACTTGAGGGAGAATCTTTTACTTTTTAATGTCCTATATGATACAAACCTTTACTTTGAGCCTTCTTGACACTGTGTCGATACGACCTCTCTCTGGCACAGTCACAACCTCATTGCTACATGTGATATGGGACTCAAGAGCCTCAGCGGTCACAGAAACCGACACATCCCCTAAAAAAAAGAAAAGAAACACAACATGAATCACACTTTTTCAAGAGTATCAAACCAATTTTTTCATGGTGGTGGAGCTTGCTGACACCCTTCAGATGAATTTAGGTAACAGTGGGAGCACAGGAAAAGCTGTTCCTCCCTCTTGGCACCATTTATTGCTGCAGTGTGGATGACGTTTGGACCCTCACCTAAAGCAGTAGGGGCCAGGGTCCACCTGAAGGTCTTGCGGTTATTGCTACACAGACAGGTCGTGTACTCGTCTTCAGGTCTCGGGGTAAGTGTGTAATCTGAGGAGGGCGCTGGGGTAACAGTGACCTGTACAATAAGAATAAGACTATGGTTTACAAGTGGAGATTCTAGGAAATCAGTTAAAAACTCCAGCCTAATTTATAAAGCATGAAGAGATACGAGTGCTCATGTTGGGTGAGTGTGGGGGGGACTACAAGACTTTGTGGAGTCATTACAAGCATATGAGGGCTCTGGCATGAATATTTGTGTCATGTTAAACATTGATCACCATGATGCAGCTGTTCAGGTAGTTGAAGACAGTCGCCTTCAGCTCAAAGTTCTCCCCTCGGATGATGGAGTAAGGCAGATGAAGCTCCAGGAAGAAGGGCTGGAAGACGGTGAGCTTTTTACGAGGAGCCAAGCCGAAACCTTGAGGAGACAAACAGAAAGCCTCCGTCTCCCAGGTGGTGATGGTGTCAGGGACGGTGAGGGGCACATCCTTTGTTCCAGTCTCTCTGAATTAGCAGAAACACAGAAAAGGTTTACCATGTGCCAAGATTTGTATTTTTTCCTTTTGAGGTTTCTAGTTCTGGGTCAGTCAAGCTTAAAGGTGAGGTAGTCAGGATCTAAGGAAGTGCCAGTTTTGGGGAGAATCTTGAATGTAAACTCTACCCCTCCCAACCAGTTTTGCCCTCAGCTCCTCCTCTCCCCTCCCTCTCTGCTCCAGCAAGCCCCACCCACAAACAGACGCTCCTGCTCGATTGTATCGTTCCAATTGAATTCAGATATAATGCAGATAAATACTTCAGATAATTACAAATGGGGCCCAGTCAACGTGAAAGTAAACAGTATTGGTGCTACTGTAAAGGCCAACAGACTACCAACAAACTCAATGTTTGCAGGACTACAACTAGGATAAAGTGACAAACTCCAGGACCAAAGGTAAACAGTTGAGCCGCACTACAACAGGCAGCAGGTCCCATTTGACAAGAAACACTTCTGTTACAGACACTTGGCTTACTTTGTTAAAGCGGTTTACCTGTCCAGCAAAAAGGTTACAGGGTCTGTAAGATCCTGAAGCATCCCCCATCATTGTTGACCCGGCTTCTCAGCTCTTGTCCGGGTGGTCTACCTCCTTTTTAAGCGTACTTACTTCGACAATTTTCTGTACTTTCTGGTTGGTGTCTACTGTCCGATTTTGTAGCAAGCTAACTTTGTTTGGGCCCCTGAACACGGGGGAAGCAGCATCTGCCAATCAGCACTAAGGAGAAGCGTCCGCCTCTCAACCAATCAGAATGGGGGAGGCAGGGAATGGCTTTGTTTACAGTTGGAAAGAGCGGAGCGCTCTGAAATTTTAAAATGTTGACTACAAAGACACAACAAAACACGGTAATATCGTTATATTCTGAAATGTTATCAATGACTAATAGCTATGGACTGATATAAAAAGCTTTTTTGTACATACACCACAAAAAAAAGATGCTTCTTTATTGGATTCCTGCCTATCCCACCTTTTAAGCCACATCTTTCCTCATTTCATGCACATCACAAACACATCCATGAAGAAGCTCACCCTGTTTCTACCAGGCTCCAGATCCATGTTTCTGGGAAGAATGTCCGAACTGTCTCTATTGGTTCAAGTGCACTTGTCACAAAAGCCACATCAGATTCAAGCTCATAACTCATGGCAACGATTCCGTCATCATCTGAAGAGAAACCAACAAATATTCCATCAGAGGCACTAAGCAGTGATGCACCACACACACACACACACACACACACACACACACACACACACACATATATATATATATATATATATATATATATATATATACATATACATATACATATACATATACATATATATATATATATATATACACAGCAGAAAATTGATTGTTATTGTATTTGATGGAGAAGGAGAAGAGGAAAATGCGGTTACCACGACCATGGAAGTATTCTCTTCCGTTATATTTCACACATGTGGGGACTTTGATGTTCAAATTTGTTATGATCTTCAGACCCACATTCTAGATAATCAAAAACATAGAGGTATCACTAAGAGGCAAACTATAGATAGATAGATAGATAGATAGATAGATAGATAGATAGATAGATAGATAGATAGATAGATAGATAGATAGATAGATAGATAGATAGATAGATAGATAGATAGATAGATAGATAGATAGATAGATAGATAGATAGATAGATAGGTTTTTATGAAGTTAATACCTGGAAAACTCTGAATACATCGTTTATTATACTGCTAGGAGAAACATATCTCCTGGATCTCACAACCAAACACTCCTCTGGATCTTGAGCCTCATATGGAATGTAGGATAGTTTTTGGATGGGCAACAAGTCAAATATCTGAAATGAAAGAAGTTAAGGTTAAATGAGGGCTAACTACAGAAAAATTCATCCTATTAAACAGATATCTGAATTTAAGTGCAGTTAACTTTTCATTCTGCATTAAATATTTGAACTTGAGTGACTCCTGTACTTGATATGGTGCTGTAAAAGCCAATCAGCCAATTTTCCCTGACTACCTGAAACACATTTAAGAATTTAAAGATTCTGTCTGCCATTCAAGAAACATTGCAATCAAGTCATTTTTTCATATAAATTTGCATCATTATGCAGTCATGTCAGAGACAAAAGTGCACAAAAATCACAAGAAAAGTGTCGTTGTTTTCCAGGTTCATACAAGGGGTCTGTGCAACTTAATATTTACAGTGAACCTGAGACTCACCGGGAAAAGATAGACAGGTGGTACATGCAGCTTAGAAATAAGTGATGATTTATTTTTGGATCCAAGCGCACACATTGTTACTTCATCAACAGCTAATACCAACCATAACAAGCTAAACCAGTGGCTACACTACAGCTATCTCCTTCATAGATCGGTTGCTTTGTAGAAAATGCACCAAGTTTGAAACAAAAGAAACTGGCTATAAGCAGAGCTACCTGTTTGTGGTTGATTTCAGCGTTTACCTTGTCTATGTCCAGAGTTTTCCCCGGCTCTTTTATGAGGACGCTCTGATCAACAGCACTCAGACCGCACAGAGAGCCAGGATTGGCCGTCACCTTCAGGATGTTTTCTTCTCCAGGGACAGCTGAGGATGGAGAAAACTCCAGGGACACCTAACATGCAGAAACATGTTTTTTTATGCCTCCTCATTGATTTTTACTTCAATCACATCAGCGGCAAGTGTTTATGATCAACAAAGCAGGAGCTCTGTTTCAGGTTTTGGTTTTAGTGTCTGGTCCGGATATTATCGTCTGCCTGAGGAAAACAGTCTGGGGATGCAACCCGTCCTAATGTAATCTGATGTCAAGACCTAACCCAGTGGCTGTATTTTAGAATCAATCTTTTGTTATTATATTCTTGAACAGATCTCTGCACAGACCTGTAGTCAACAGCAGCTTTCAAACTTTTCTCCACCCAAGTTTTGTTCTGACCACCAGTCGGTTTGTTGTATGGAGAGCAAAAGCAGGAAGAACACAAATCTGCTTGATGGTGTTGGTGTCTTCAAAGAAGGTTGCATTCACTTCCCATCTGTTGTATTTCCCAAACCTTCTGTCAAAGTTTTCTGAAAGTTTGAGGTTATCAATGTGATGTGTCTGGAGATATTTTCAGAAACTGAGCAGCACAAAGACTCCAGTTTGCAGTGTACGCATTATCGTTACTGACGGTGTTTGTAAGTTAGAGTCCCACTAAGAAGGAGGGCAACTGGGAAGGACAGAAAAGTTATCAAGTTGGGAGATGGGGTCCTGTTCAGACCTCATTTTTTCATTTTGAATCATTAGATAATTAACTAATAATAAACCAAAGAGTTATCTCACTACATCTTCTCCCAATACTGACCTTGTTGCGGAAGCATCTCTCAGTGACAAACTCAGCACTGTGGGCGATCACTGTCTCACTGGGGAGGATGGCATATACTAAGACTTGGACCTCTGGGGCCATCTCTGGAGACACCAACAACTTAATGGACATCTGACCTTCGGTCACTGAAACAAAGAAACTGATTTGATGATCAAGCATTGTTATTCACATATCTCCAAAAAGTGTATCTGTCATTGATAAAAATTGTGGCAACAAATGTTCGTAGACGGTTGTTTTCTTTTCATAAAGACTAGACAATGACAGGCTAACCAAAAAAGACAAATACATGCTTTTTTCATGAATGAGATGCTTTAATAGCCATGACATCTTCTCCAAGTGTCTCTGTCACTCATTGAAACCTCCAGCAGTCCTTATCAGGCCAAGCTATCTGATGGGTGCAGTGTTTTTGTCAATTTTCCGCAACAAGCAACAACAAATTCTTATTTTACTGTCAATGACTTGATTTCCAAATGAAATATATGCAATAAATAATACCTCTGACAGTCAAAATTCAGCAGGATAAGATTTTTTTTTGTCAAAAATCACTACTCAATCATGCGGAGGACAAAATACGCAAAGACTGCTTTGTTCACAGGGGACGCCAAACCTGAGAGTTCCTCGCGGAAGTTTCCAACGACTAAAAATTGGTAAAGTTATTAGATTTTTGGTTGACTAAAACTATGAGGGGGAAAATAGATAAAATGAAACCAACCACAAGAAGTTCTAGACAGTTCTGGACAAACTAAAACTGAATCCAAAAGAAATCGTCACTGCCCCCCCAAGATCAACAAAAATGCATTTTAAAGATTATTTTGAAGTTTAATATGAGGTATCATTTGTTGTCCACCTGTTTTAAGTTGCACCGGAATCGTAGAGTCTCCTTGTTTGATGATGGCTCCTCTGGATAAGATCTGAGGAATTTAGGGCAAAGAACCAGAAATGCAGTTTCTTCATCGGCAGATTACAACACTGTCTTCAGGAGTTTAAAGTCATTTTTTTGTCTTCAGGGTCACTGGCTTGACTAAACCAAACTGGGGGCAATGTCTTCAGAATAAAACTGATTGGATTAAAGCTATCAACTTACATCAACCCTTAGACTTGGGTTATTGAAAAGACAAAGGATAACAGCATTTGACAAAATCAGGTCATAGAATTTAGTTTTTTTATTGAATAAGCCTCCAGTTTGTGTTGCTTAAAACCTCTCTGCGGTACTGAGAAATATTTAGCCTAAATAATCAGAAGTATTCTGATCCCAAAAGGCCGGATTCAGGCCGGATTACAGAAACAAGATGTGACACAACTTGTACCTACGTCAATATGGCACAAAGGTAATTTAAAAAATATCTTCCCTTAGAGTTCATCTCCCACTTACCACATATATTAAATCAGCAGAGCCCCACTTCTCTCCGACGATAGTGTACTTGACAGTAATGTCCTCTTCTGTGTCACAGGGAATCGGTTTATCTTTTGTCTGCACCTGCAGAGAGCTGACTGCTGTAACTGTTGGAGAAGCTTCTTGAGCCAGAGATACCACATGATGACCAGCCTCTACATGTCCACTTTGATAATTGGAGTACATCCCTTCCATCTCCTCTTTGTCACTTGCCTACATTGTGGAGGAAGGAGAAACATCATGAATCAGCTCATAGTGGTCCAGGTAGCTGTTCAGTTTGACTGCTGTGAATCTGGGCTTGATTCACAAAAAGATCGCAAAGCCTCTGTGCCCATTAAACCTGTGCAAAAAAACAAAAAGATACCATCAAACTTGCAAGCAAACCGTTAAATGCATCACAAACTGCACGTCAAATCTGTTACATTTGCAAGTATTCTGTGGGGCAAATTTAGCCTCTTTTCATGCAACCTAACCTTTTTATCAGTGTTTTGTGTTGTTAACCAGAGAGTCTTAAGACACTAAGGGCCTGATCTACTAAAGGTCTGTATATAGAAAAAGACACGCAAATTCGATAGCTGATCTACGAACCGGATGCACCGAGAATTGCGTCTGTCATGTCAGCAAAACAGTCCATTCAGCATGTTTACCTTCATAAATATGCAGAATGTATGTGGATCATTAGAACATGCAAAATACTGGGAGAAGGAGATGCAAATGGAATAATTTAGCACCAAAGTGACTTATAAAACCGTGACAATGATTGCAGTCACTGCTTTGTGCCTGTATTTAGTACGTTGGCAAGGCATCATACTGACTGATAATTAATACCCATTATTTTTCATGCTCTGTAACTGTAATGTTTTATCATCATCTGACTATACGCCTTCCGCCTTACAAACTAAACAGGGGATGTCCAGGCAATGTTAGCTGTAAAAAGCTGTAATTTTCCTCCTATTAATGGAGCACTACACAAAGTGATCATATAATCATCCAAGTACAACTACGAGTCTCCACAAAAGTGTTGTATTGGCTTAAAGATAATAAGTACTCACCCAGAGGCTGATGCGCTGTTTGGATTCAGCTGTGCTGTATCTGAAAGTTGCCACACCGTTGCTGTCAGTTGTGAGCTGCTGTATCTTACTTGCCTCCCACCTGTTGCCCTCAAACAGGTACACCGTCATGTCAGGGATGGGGGTATCATTGTAATGAACAGCTTTGACCTGTTGGATACACAGAGCTGTTTCACTCACAGTGATCAACACTTCAGTTGTTTGATGTAGAGTCGACATATGGACCAGATCAATTTTCCATTCCAGTCTCTTTGACCTTTTTCAAACTTTAAAACTGCTTCCGAAAAGACTTTTCTAACTAAAACATTTGGCAAATTAAATTAGATTTTTGTTTTTTTAGCAGAGACATGCATTGTTATTGTTACCCCATTCTACCTTATTAATACCACCAATCTAATTTGCTACGGTGGTGGCAAACTGTTTTTAGACAATAACTTTTGGAGGTGATTTTGGCCCCATGCAGTGATTTGCACCACAGAGTCATGGCTGTTTTTAATGCAGAAGATCCAGCCAGCCAGCCAGTCCCAGTTGTCAGCCTGGACTGTAGATGACTAAATCCACAAATTCATGGATATTTTATCCTGAGAAATATTCTGAAATTGCTGAACTCCTTTCTCACGCAGTCTCTCACAGAGTGGTGAACCTCTTTTCTTCTGAGAAACTAAGCCCCTCTGGTATGTCCTTTTATACCCAGGCATGTCCTTAACCTGTTGAAAATTACCCTTCCTATATGGGAGATGGTCCTCTGTTGTTGCTCTGTTAAATAAGCTTTATTTTACAGAGCTTTATAGGCTTTGAATGACTCTCATGGAATGAGGGATGTTAATAACACATGCAACATATTACACATCTAAGATGTTGTACATTGATCATTTCTTAACTAGCCGATAAGTGAGTGGTATCAAAGACACACAAATACTAAATATTTGACTTGTTGCAATGTACCATTGTCATTCAGCAGACGCTTTGATCTAAAGCGGTGTACGTGCGAGAACAACAAAAGCAAAGATCGAGACAAGAGGAAACAAGATCAGTAAGAGCAATTAAGTACTTCAAGTCCGATTGGACACAGGTACTGCCACACTGTTTAAAAGGCCCTGCACAACACTGAGTAAGAAATTATCTAATTATCTATTTTTTCATCAACAGGAAGCTGTCATCACCTATCGTCACCATCAAATAAATTGTCATCACCACAAAATACCAAGGTACCAAGTGCTGGGACTTAAATTCAATCAACGTGCATACTATTGTAATTTAAGTTGATTTGAATCCCAAAACATCAGGCTTTCCCTCCACATTCAAAAACTACGCCAACTTTAAGGCCAGATAAAAATTTAAAATAAAAACAGTTTCCTGATCAGTTAAAAAAAAATGACATGATGAGAAATGTAATTCCAGCACCAGGCGCTTTAGGCTGGACTTCCTTTCACTTTAATGTATTTACAGGGTAAAACCTATAAGATAATAGCTTATAGGTCCTTAACATTGGATTAACTCCTGAGTCTATTTCAGGGCCAACAAGTCAAGGTGAAATTGTCTAATAAATAAATGCTAAATACTTAATTCTTTTACATTATTTATTTTTTGCTCAAACTAATTTTTAACACTCTGAAACACCTAGAACTACATTTAGACAAAGAAAATGAAGATGTATTAGCCTCCTTATGTTTCTCATTATTCCCAAAAGGTAATCATACAGACCTGACGTTGTGAATCACACTGTTAAAGTAAATGAAAGCTGCACTTACTTTTCCCACCACATCAGAACCCTGCTCGTAGATCTTGGGAGTTTCGATAAAGGCCAGTCTTGCAATGACAAAGGAAATCTCCATGTACTTCTCTAGCTGGTGTGTTATTTCTGCAGAAGATACCCCCACGTCACAACTATTTTCAGTTTTATCAGATTTGAACCAACAATTTCTATCCTCTCCTTTCAACATACAGATATCATATGACGAAATTATGAACTTGCCTGTCCCCTCCTCCTCCACTTTGGCAACGAGATGCAGTGAATTTTGCAAATATTTAGGGTCAAGATTTTTGAAATTGGACATCATGACGTCAAAAGTAGCACAGCCAGACTTGTCCGCCTACAACACAGGATACAATATTCTTAAAGACATGGTTTCATTAGAGGGATGAGCCTGTTGCTATGGAAACTGTACCTTTTTTGTCTCCTTTACACAGGGGGCAGTTACCCCCTCTGTATCCATGCGAAGATATGAATAAAAGGGTCGGCACATCTCAATGTGGACTTCTCCTGGCACAGACTGTCCGTATGTATACCTGAATAAATGGATACAGATGTTTTTAGACAGGGTTATACAGCGACTGCAGATCACTCCAGGGAGGGAATGGAGGTTTGACTTACTTCCCACAAACTTCAACTTTAACCACTTCCTGCCCAATATTCACTTTCTCCAGTGCATTTATTGTCACTTCAAATTTAGGCAAAACTGCAAACAAAATATGAAAATTAATACAGAGAATTTATTTCAAATACTCTGAAATGACTTAAAAAGGAAACAAGCCACCACTTACCATATTTCTCCACCTTAAAGCTGTGGCGAAGTTTATCCTGTCCAATCTGCAGAGTGACATGGTATGTTCCCTCACTGGCCTCAGAGTGCAACGAGTAAGAAAGCTGCAGGATTTTTCCATTAGATGTTTGATTCAACCACTGTTCAATCTTGTTGTGGTTAGGATCCTGTTCAGTGCGAAGCGAAAAAAAAGAAGAGATGAGATAAAAGTCTATGACCATGCTGCAGTGTGCAAATGTGTTAAAAAAAACTAGACTGTCCTGAAAAAGTTCCTTTTTCCCATAATTTAATTGTAAAAGTTCCATTTATTCTAGATTTAACACACACAAAGGGAAATAGTTCAAGACTTTTTTTTTTTTTTCAAATCTTGAGGGTAACAGCTTACAGCTCACAAAAATCAAAACTTCACTCTTTCAAAGCATCGGAACATTGTGAAAAAATCCAGTGTTTTGTCAGTTCCATCAGTCCTGAAAAATATCTAAATAGGGATAAGAAGAAAAAAAACTGGACTATTGCTGAGCGGTATATAGTCCTGTGTTTAGATGAAAGCCAATTTGCATCTTATTTAGAAATCGCGGACCCAAAGTCTGGAGAAAGATCTGAGAGGCCCAGAATTCGAGGTGCTTGAAGTCCAGCATGCAGTTTCCACAGTGTGTGGTGATTTTGGGTGCCATGTCATCTGCTGCTGTTAGTCTACTGTGCTTTATCAAGTCCAGAGTCGGTGCAGCCTAAAGTCTACCAGGAGATTTTAGAACTTGTTCTGCCTCCATCTGCTGGGAAACTTTATGGAGAAACAGATTTCCTTTTCCAGCAGGACCTGGCACCTGCCCAAGCGCCAAAACTCCCAGAAACTGGTTTGCTAGCTCTGGTACGACTGAGCTTGATTGGCCAGCCTACTCACCAGACATTAACCCTAACGATGAACTCCTGAGCTGCAAACAATGAATCAGAAAAAACAAAGCCATAAAGATCGAGATCGAGCGATATATCTAAATGTCTCCCTTTCAGGTAGCTGCAGCTTCTCATTGATCAGGAGATAAAAAGGAAAAATATGAAGGAAAACTGTCTCACCTCAATGTGGATTTTATCGTACTGCAAAGAGAGAAAAAATGTGTTAAAAGACGATTTATACCCTGTTGTCCAAAAAAATGTCACCTCTGGTTTAAAGAGCTGTAACTTTTTATACATTTGGCCACAACAGCCAAGTTAGATCATCAGAAGTCATCAAAGTGACACACTTAATTAATAATAGAGTTTTGGATGCATTCAAACATACATGGATTAATAGTGACAGGGGTTTAAATGGTGTAAATGAGAGCTGGGAGACAGGAAGGGATGTTTTAATTTTTGTGAACAACTTTTTTATTGTTTTTTTTTTCTTTATGAGTGAACAACAGTGCAATCACAATGCGATCAGAAATCAAATATACTGCAAAAGGGCAGGAGGAGATGTTGAAATACTCACCAGCAGGCTGGCAGGTCTGAACTTGGTGTCAATGGTGACGACTCTGAAATTTACTGAGAGAGAGAGACAGAGAGAGAGAGAGAGAGAGAGAAAGAGAGAAAGAGAAAGAGACAAAGATCAAATGAAGTTGCTGCTCTGTATTATTATTTTTTTCTCCTTGTTTTATTCAGTTCTGTAAATACACACCTATTTAATCCCTATAAACAAAATTTCCCCTTTTCTTTTTTGTTTATATCTTATTTATTCCAATTTGACTCTAAACCTACTTTCTGTCTTTGTTTGCACCTATGCTGCTCGGGGGGAAGCTTCATTATTTCATTGTGTTGCACAATGAAACTAAAGACTTGAATCTTGTTTCTTATATCCTGATTCTCAGACACATCACCACAATCAAAATTACACACCCATAAAGAGGGTGGAGCCAGGTGAACAACATAGACCTAAATTCCAGCTGCATCCTCAGCTTTAATCCTTTTTTTCAGCTTTCATCATTTGTTCATTTTAGTGTTGTTGAAAGTGTGACGAAAATGATGGTTGTTGCCTTATTTTCCTAAATGCTTTTTGCAGCAACCAGTTAAGTTATACTTAAATATGCAACTTTAGCCCATTTTACTTTTCATACAGAAGTGAATTGGTGCATCATGAGCTGTGCAGAGACACCTTGAAGGCATCTGGTTGAATCATCCCATAAGGTTACCTGTTTGTCCGGGGAGGTAGATCGGTTTATCTGTTTGGATGAATGTCATCGGCTGGTAGGTTTTGATCATGACTTTTTTGATTTCTTTTCTGTGAAACGTTTGTCCTTGGACATCCACCTCCAGCTCTGCCACTTCATTGTGTGCTAATGGAACCTGGGTCAAAGACAAGTGTCTGTTAAACAGCAGACAGAGGAAAATCTTGATGTAAACTTGGTGTCTGTGTGTGGGAAAAACTGGCAAAATCTGCTCTTGCTGTCATGTTTGCACACCTCTATTTAGCGACAAGTGTAAAAGACATAATGTCATCAAACAAGAGAGGTAAAGGGCAGAAAGTGTCCTCTACTGTTAAGAGGAGGCTGTTGATTTTATGCTAAGTCATAGTTCTGTCTGTAGTTTTTAGCTAGTGCAGTTCTCACAGTTTCCATTGAGTTGAGCCGCAAAAGACAAAGAGGTCATCGAAATGCTCATTTTACAGCAGGAATTAATGTTTACGGCCTCTTACTGTAAATCTGTTCTGGTCTTAGAAGCTCATTGCTTCATTTTGGGGGTGATTTTCTGTAAGTCACTTATTTAGGCTCAAGAATCTGCATGCTGAGTTGACCAGTAAGTGCGCCAAGCGTAAGGCCCGCCTTGGCTTCACCTCTTTGCTCATAAATCTTTAAATGGCCTGGCTCCTTCTTACCTCTCTGAGCTTCTCCACCCCTACACCCCAGCTCGGTGCCTCAGGTCAGCTGATCAGCTGCTCCTGGAGGTACCGAGGTCCAAACGGAAGCTCAGAGGGGATAGATCTTTTTCTGTTGCAGCCCCAAATTTATGGAACGAGCTACCCCTCCAAATTAGACAAGCCCCCACACTGTCCATTTTTAAAAGTCGTCTTAAAACCCATTTTTATTCATTGGCTTTTAACCCTCCATGAGACTCGGCTCCTTTTTTAGTGTTTTATGGTTTGTTTTTAGTTATTTGTTTCTATGTTTTTAAATTAGTTTTTAAAAACATTGAAACTATATTTTACTTTTAATTCTGCTTTTATTTTATCCATTGTTTTAATTGTTTTTTGATTGTTTTTTATCTTGTTGTTTTGTCTAGTTATGTACAGCACTTTGTTCAGCTGTGGTTGTTTTAAAGTGCTTAACAAATAAAGTTGAGCTGAGGAGGAGGATAGTTAGGTTGACTCACCAGTTCTGATTTGGTGACTGTTTCTGGGCCACATCTTTAGAGGTCAATGAGGGACATCGCTGAGACTACATTTATGTTTAATCCAGTTTACAAAAAAACAGGAAAGAAAAATTGGATTCAAACTATTTTGTTACTTTTAAGTCATTTACTGTCTGCTGGCCACTGTTTGGATTGAAGGCTATTCTGTGTTTGAGTTTTCTGTGGTTTCACATCTTTGAAGTTTGTTAACAGAGAAGGTGAAAAATGTCTGACCTTAAATTTAGTGTAGCTGTGAAATGTCACAGTGGACATGTCTTTAATCAGGGTTTTGTTCTCTTTTTCCGTCCGTAAAGTGACAGTCAAGCGCACGCTTTCGTTGGGCATTAGGACACTTCCACAGATTTGGGTTTCGGCTCCGGCTTCAAGAACTGCAGGGAAGGTCACCATGTAATGCCTATACACAGAGAGGGAGAGAAATCGACACACAAACAGAAGAAAAGAAAACTGATTGAAACTTCAGGATCAAGCACCAAAAAGATACTCAATGTTAACTAGGATTTGCCTTTGGTTAACTGTATGGTTAAATATCATCGCACTGACAACATTTACTAGATTTTACTAGAGCCAAATTGAATAAATTGTGCTCAATTTCAACTGATTTCTAACTATTTTCCTACCTTTGAACTGGCTGGTTAGTCAGATTACAGTAATCAACAAACAGTAAAGTGGTCTCTTTGGGACCTCTGTGTTACAAACACACACACCTATAAATCCTTCATAAAGGGAGAACTTACATTCCTGGCGCTGCTTGAGTGACACTCATCCAGCTCAAGAAGACACAAATGAGGGTCCATGTCAACACCCGGGTCCCAGGATGATCCATGACTGATAGCAAAGAGCCTCAGATAGAACACTGGTTACATAGAGCCCAAAACAGAAATCCAGCCCCTGCACACACCCACATAAACACAAACACACCAGGCAAGTCCTCTGTTTGATTTCTCTTTTCTACCAGTGTCAACATTCATGAATTATGTGTTCAAGGTTCAACAAAATTGAATGAACTCCTCATTTTGCATATTTCCTGTAGAAATATTTAGTTCACCTGCAATCTACGTTTTAACAAATATGAAATATAATTCACAGGTTTTTGCAGAAGAGTGATCAACAGCTCCTTTCAATAGGTTAGTCCATTTTTATTTTTATATTTCTAACCCCTAACCCTAAAAGCAGGTCTAACACGACTGTTAATGACATTAAAACAGCTGAACATTCCTGTAAATAGTATTCTTGAGCTGTTTTGAGTTAATATCTTTTACTTCTAATTTTGTAAGGATATTTAAAGCATTTCTGCTCTCTGTTATTTTCCTCTGAGACGGAGCCAAGACGAGTGGGCTGTACTTAAATGCTTCCAGAAATCGATCCTGTGTAGGCAAAACACGGTCACACCAATTCTGCAACTTTGCACTTTACCCATGCAAACAGTTCTGCACCCAAGTAAACTTTTGGGCTGATAAAGCCTCCAGGCAGATTTTCAAATATTGATCCATCATGCAGGTCACCCCACAGTGAGTGGCTAAATTTGCTGATAGAATCTGAATGGATTTAAATTTTGTTTCACCTCACAGAGACGACGCACTCTCAAATGTTTCCAGTGAGGAGCATGATCGAGGATGGCACAGAGTCTCCATATTTTCAAAAGCAAACTCAAGACCTACCTCTTTAGTTAAGCTTATAACTGACTTTACTGTTTACTTATTTATATATTTAAAAGTTTTAATATTTCATACTGATTTGTATTCTATTCTTAGACTACATTATTATTATTTTGTCTGACTTTCTTGTCTGGTACCTTTTTATATGTGTTAATTGTCAGTTTAGATTTTAGTGTCTTATTGTTCTATTTATTATGGCATTTTATTTGTGTATTTTCTCAATCTGCAATTTAAACATTTTAGTCTGACCTCTGGCGTTTCCTCATTGCGATCTCGCACTTCTTCAGTCATTATACAATGTTTAAATTTCATTGATCAATTTATTAATTTATTTTTAACATGTTTATATATCTTTATATATATTTAAAAATATATAAACATTAAATAAATTTATTTATTTAGTATATATATATATATATATATATATATATATATATATATATATATATATATATATATACAGTGGATATAAAAAGTCTACACACCCCTGTTCAAATGCAAAGTTTTTGTCATGTAAAAAAATTACATCAAGATAAATAAATTCACAACTTCTTCCACCTTTAATGTGACCTATAACCTGTACAACACAATTTAAAATTAAACTGAAATCTTTCAGGGAGTTGAAGTTAAAATAAACAACTGAGATCATGTGGTTGCATAAGTGTGCACACCTTTCAATAACTGGGGATGTGGCTGTGTTCAGATTTAACCAATAAAATTCAAACTCAGGTTAAATTGGAGTCAGCACACACCTGTCACCAATTAAAGTGCCTCTGATCAACCCCAAATAAAGTTCTGCTGTTCTAGTTGCTTTTCCTGACATTTTTGTAGCCACATCTTTTAGCACAAGCTATGGTCCCCAGATAGCTTCCAAAGCATCAGAGGAATCTCATTAATTAAAGATATCAGTCAGGTGAGGGATACAAAAGAGTTTACATGGAATTAAATATCCATGGAACACAGTGAAGACCGTCATTATCAAGTGGAGAAAATATGGCACAACGGTGACATTACCAAGAACAGGACGTCCGTCCAAAATTGATGACAAGACGATACGAAAACTGGTCAGGGAGGCTGCCAAGAGGCCAACAGCAACACTGAGGGAGCTGCAGGAATCTCTGGCAAGTACTGGCTGTGTAGTAGATGAGACAACAATCTCCTGTCTTCTTCATATGTCTGGGCTATGGGGTAGGGTGGCAAGATGCAAGCCTCATCTTACAAAGAAAAACATCAAAGCCTGGCTTAATTTTGCAAAAAGACATCTGAAATCTCCCAAACACATGGGAAAATGTGTTATGGTCTAATGAAACCAAAGTTGAACATTTTGGGCATCATAGCAAAAGGTAAATTTGGCACAAAATCAACACTGCTCATCACCAAAAGAACACCATACCTACAGTGAAGCATGGTGGTGGCAGCATCATGCTTTGGGGCTGTTTTTCTTCAGCTGGAACTGGTGCCATAGTCAGGGTGGAAGGAATTATGAACAGTTCCAAATAACAGTCAGTGTTGGCACAAAACCTGCGGCCTTCTTTTAGAAAGCTGAAGATGAAGAGGAACCTTATCTTTCAGCATGACAATGACCCAAAGCACACATCTAAATCAACAAAAGAATGGCTTCAGAGGAATAAGATTGAGACTTTGGAATGGCCCAGTCAGAGCCCAGACCTGAATCCCATCGAACATTTGTGGGGTGATCTGAAGAGGGCTGTGCATAGGAGATGCCCTCGCAATCTGTCAGATTTGGAGCGGTTTTACAAAGAAGAATAGGCAAATATTGCCACATCAAGATGTGCCATGCTGATAGGCTCCTACCCAAAAAGACTGAGTGCTGTAATAAAAGCCAAAGGTGCTGCAACAAAGTATTAGTTTAAGGGTGTGCATATTTATGCAACCAGGTTATTTTAACTTTTCTATTTTTAATTTTTCCCCTTAAAGGTTTCAGTTTGTTTTTCAATTGCATTTTACAGGTTTTAGGTCACATTAAGGGCGGAAAAAGTTGTGAAAATATTTATCTTGCCGTCATTTTCTCACATCATTATAACCTGGCAGTTGAACAGGGGTGTGTCGACTTTTTATATCCACTGTAGATTTAATTGATATTATTCTATTTCTTATTTTTACTTGTCTGCTTGTCTTAATACTTTGATGATTCAGGTTTTGGATGCTTTGGATGATTTGTTTGTGTAAAGCATTATAGTGTAAAAAAATTAAGTCCAGTTGATTGATTGTAGCATCAAGACAACACACATTTGTTGCAGGAAAGGGGTCTTATCTGGTCCCAGGACACTGGATAATATAAATCTTCCTTTATAAATCTGTTTCATTTCAGAGTAATTACACAGATACAATGTGACACTCCAAACATAATGAGAATGTTTGTTTATTTCACCCACCCATTTCTTCCACCACAAAAACTAGTATTTGCAGGGGTTTTTAAAGTGACTCGGAAAACTCAAGGCTGCAGTTACATTATTCTGTCACAAGATGTCAATATTGATAAAGTGTTAGGAGTTTTACTGATCTTACTTTTGGCCTCATTAAGTTTTTCCAGGTCTGTACCCAACCCAGCTAGAGCAATTGAGGACTCTTTAAACAGATGGTTCGACTTCACTTTTTCAATATTTTTTTAAAAGGTGGCAGCAGTTCGAGACAAAACACACCGTAAGAGCTGAGCAAAGGAAAAAAGGCAAAAAGAAAAATTAATAAATTGATAATATTCATGAAAAAATAATAATAAATTGATAATATTCAGCTGACATAAACCAAGAAGAAAATCTACACCATAATCACGTAAAAGACAAAGTATTTCATAAAAAGGAAATACTAAAAAAAAAAAAAAAAACATTGAACCCATGTATCACATAACACTGAGATTCAGTTTATGGCACAACCCTAGTTAACGTGGAGTCTCCCTGAAAGCTGAGTGCTTTCTGAGAGGTGGGTTGGGGTTACACACATACACACACCAGCACCCACAACATGACCAGAACACACATTTCATGACACATAAATGGAAAAATACACACAACGCCAGCACCCGTCAAACCAAAATTATATCAAATTCGTACCTTGTTCCCTCACAAGCTGGAGTAGAAAGTAGAGTACAGTAGAAAGTTAGTGATGGGAAGTTTAGACTACCGAGTTGAAGGGGGCGTGTCTTGCATCAGTTTGCTGAAAATCACGTGACCAATTACAAACGACGTCTCGCATTACACAGGAAACGTCACTGGTTCATTTTGCGTGTCGTTTTTCAAAATAAAAACACGACGCAAACGCAGCGCTTTGAGGGGTTTATTAGGTGGTAGTGTTTTTTCGCAGCAGAGTTTATAATAGAATCAGCAGTGGTAGTCGTTGAAAACATAGGCTAAGTTAATTGCAGTAGAAGTAATGAATAAGTTGTAGTAGTAGTAGTAGTAGTAGTAGTAGTAGAAATAGTAAGAGTAGTTTAAGAGAAAAAATGATTACTTCCTCCACCCCCCACCCCCCAAAAAAATGCTGTACTGTCACCCGAGCACTGCACTTCCAACACACAACACCACCTATTGTGTTTAATGAATAATGAACACTGATAGCCATGAAAAGCACAAATTCATTTTCAATCACCGCTGAATCCGCACTGTGAAAACATTTGAAATATATCTGTATGACTTGGCTGTCACAGTTTAACTCTGGCAACAGATAGGGCGAGTGCCATAGACTGTATATACTAGTCTATGGCGAGTACGCACCGAATAAAGCTTCCAGTCGTCGTACAAACTTTTCAACTGCACTTCCCACTTCCGGTCTACTAGGCGTGCAAAGCAAACCCTGACCTTCAAGATAAAAGCACCACTTTCAAAATAAATCGGTACCATGCATTCCCCTTCCCGAACCATTTATCTTACAAAAAAGGTTCCTTTACAAGGTCAAATACAACATAAAGGAAACACAGACTACTTCTTTAGCTCCACTTCTCATTTGGTTGTTATACTCTCTAACAAGAGACTTTGGTGGTGTGGTCTGGTCTAGCAGAGCTGTGGCATCATTGAGTGAGCTCTACATTAGTGGTAGTTTTGTCTTTTTTTAAAAGGATGGTGCAGAAGTTTAATAATTTAACAATCACCTTTCTTTAAGTGCTTGCAGTTCTGTGGTTTTCCAACAATTGACCATCATTTCTTCCGACCCAGGGGTGAAAGTAAGCCGGTACGAAGCGGTACACCATACTGGGAAGACATAAACAGCAGTTTACAGCCAGTATTCTGTCAATCCATATATATATATATATATATATATATATATATATATATATATATATATACGTATATATACATATATAAAAGCCAAACACGTGCTGTCGGCTCTGTACATCAAACAGAACATTACATAACACTATCGCACTTCTGAATCTCCTTACCCTAACCCAAACCATAATCCTAACCCTAACCTGACAGACGATGACGTTTCACAACCATAAGCAATAATCAATAGAGGGAATTCACACTGACGTCACTCGACTTCCGGATTACATCTGGATCAGCAATTGCAGTGTATCCATGGCCACATCTCCATGTCAACTCTATGCAGAATCAGACTAGACACAAATCCAGTCTATAAGTTCAAAAGGTAACGTAAACATGTACTCTGTTTTCTGTTCACTATTCCTTTACTTGATTTTTAAATCAATCATTTATACTTTACCATTCAGAAATTATCTTAAATTTGGCTGGGAATCTCTGCTAGTGCTGCCGCTGCTGTCTGTCTGTCATCACATCACAGATGTGTCCGAAATCTCCAAGAACAATTCCTGCCCTTATTCAAGACAGAAAGAACAAACAGGAAAAGAGTTTTTTGGAGACTGAGACATTTCTACATATTATTTCAATATAATTCTTGTTCTTTTCAGAGTATGGAATTCACAAAGTCTCTTGTCCATCTGCCGTAAATGCGCTTTAATGATGTTGAAAGGATTGTGACTGAGTTTTCACACACACCACGTTCCAAACAGGACAAGGGCTACAAGTTCTTCAATGAACAGTACCTGTTTGATTATGAAGGTAAAGTGCTTTTGTCTTTGTTAGTAAATATCATCACCTGCAAAAACCTTGGTGCTTTCTGCAACAGCAATGGTTCGCAAATTGATAGCTATTAGGCTGTGGACCCCGATTTGAATATGTTTGAGCCTGAGACCCTGTGAGGAGAAGAAGATGATTTGTGTGAAAACTTGTCATAAGTCCAGATAGTTCACTATTGCTGCATTTTAATTACCTTTTTTTTTTTTTCCAACGAATTGCAAATCTACAAGCTCACAATTCTGACATGAGATTTATAGTGGTTAAACTGATTTTGATGCTATACTTATTGATGTTGGATAACCCATTCAAGGACCCCACTTTGAGAACTACATAATCAATACATAGAACATAAGTCAGTAATATGCATACTTAATCTTGAACACTTCTTCCCAAACAATGGAACACAGTCTCTAATGTAGTTGACCATGCTGTGACGGTTAGAGGACGAAGTCACTGCTCCACGAGAAAAAACGAGGAAGCTCACTCACTTCAGGTTTCTCAAAATGAATAGTTGTTATCCTGCTGCTGTTGCAGACTGATTTCCTGCGGTTGCAGGAGTGGTTTTACTAAACTACTAACTACTAAAGATGTTATTTTGGGTAGACAAATGGAAACTGAGAGATTCTGTTTGATCAAAATACATGTATTTGGTATGTTCTGCCCAGTCCTTGGCTTAGCAGTCCATGTATATCATTAACACTCATTGTTATTTCCCTATCAACAGGTGACATCTCATTCTGAAAAAGTTCCAGTGGAACTAAATGGCACTTGGTGCTCTTGCAGTGCTGGGCAGGTGTAACGCAACCACATAGTGGCGCTTCTGTTTCAGACGGCACACTACAGGTATGCCACAAAATGTTTTTTCTGTTTGTTTGTTTTTCATACCTACTATATGTAAATGTTCACTAAAAATACATATATTATGGAGAGAAAATCATTATAATTCCACAATATTCGAATTTTGGGGATTTACCTATACAGCACCTTAGAAGTAAAGTCAGTGCTATTACCTCTGGCATGCACCAGCTCTCTCCAAACCTGGCACCGGCCAAGGACACAGGTGAGATATTAATGTTTGCCTCGTGTATTGCCTCGTGTCCTCCTTCAGCGTGTCTTCCGTGCTAAGCTGAGCGGATTTCTTAAGTGTTGGTATGATGAGTGTTAACCCCCTTCAGAAAGCATCTTCTCAATTAAAAAGCCCTTGTCTGCCATTACTCCGTCTCCGAGCTCCAGCAACTGTAACAGCTGTGATTTACGAGTTATTTCTCTGTCCGCGATTGAGCCTGTATACAGTTTTGAAACAAATGTGACCACCTCACATGGAGAGATCCCTATCAACCCCTCAAAGGTGGTGTGGTTTTTCTAGAGGGAGAAGATTTCTGACTGGAGTGAGAGGGAGGAAGGCGTTTTGCAGCATATCTGTGTGCAGTCTATTATTACTCTGACTTCAGTGCAGTACAGGTTGAACTTGTCAGGCATTGTAGATTGTACTGGCTGTCTTGTCATTCACAGTGGTATGGACCCAAGAACAAGAAACAGGTAGCTCATCCAAATCAAGATGATGTGACAAACTGTGGACTGGCTAACCTTAAAGATCGATGACAATGTTCCAGCAGTCCAGCAGCAACACAACAGAGAACCATGAAGAACTCATCAATGAGTGGGAGTTTGTGACAAGGGATACAGGTAGGAAGATCTTGGGATGTTTGCTGGGCCTTGGACCAGTACACAATTTTTGAAGCAGATGGCTTAATGGACTCCCTAAACACATTAAAAACCTCCTTTGAGGCGAATCTTGTGTAAAATCTAAAGTCCTCATCTGTGACACAGTACTGGTATATGAGGGGCTGCACACCAACTTTAATCTGCTCCAGTTCCATTTCCAGGAATATGACTTTAAGCTCCAAGTCCTGTATTCTTCTCGAAGCACTGTCCAGTTTACCTTCAGAGGAAGAAAAAAATACATATCACTACTCCATCTATACATTTTGCAATTAAGTTCAGTCTTAAGCAGATTTGATTTTTAACTGAAGTACAAGTGTGTTGGTGGAGCAAACAATAAAGACACAGCTCCGGTATATAGCTCAAACTTATGTTCATTCATGCAATTTCTCCACCACTTCCTTTTAAAAACAACTTTTTTTTATAGTCATAACATGGTGAGTAGCAAAACTGTGTTCTTAGATAAATAAATTAGCTTTTCTTTCAGAATTGTAAACAGTCTGTGGTCGGGGGAGGATGCTCACCGCAGGCACGCGGAACAAGGAAACGACCTCCAGCAGGTCAAATTACGTCACAGTTCATTCATAGTGGAGTCGGTTTGAGGAGAGCCGTGATTATACTTAACGTTTTCCCAACTTTAACGGCTTCTGTGCTGCAGAAAACTCGCCGGTGACTCTTTCGTCACCAGCAGACTGAACCGGAGCAGCGACATGTCAGTGGGAGCGAGTTCTCCGGTAAGTTAACGAAGACCTGACTCTGTGTTTACACCAAGGATGAAGGTTCCTCAGTGCCCGGTGAGAACGAAATTGGAGCGCAGGGATTGGTCAATCTTTGTGCCAGTCACAGTGTTCCGTTTCCTCATTGGAAGACTGAACAGCTAGGATGCTTCTGTTCGACGTGAATACCAAGAGCTTGAAAAGAAAAGGCAAAAGAACACATTTAAAGTAAGCACTAAGTGTTTGTTGCCTCTACTTTCGTTTTTGACTCGGAATATCAATAATCTTATTGATTGAACTATTGAAACATACCCAGAGTGTAAATCTGAAGTCTTGTTTAGCCTACTTGTTCCCTGTCACTTGCCTTCAACACGTTTAAATAAACCAAATCTTTACGTTTTAATTGATAGATGCTTAACGATAATCAGCTAAGCAATCAATGGAGTAACGACGCACAATTTCCTCCTTTTTATTATGATTTATATCGTCCTTGACTCGGACACCACTGCTTTGTCCCGCCCACAAATCATCAGTGTATTCTTGGTAGCTGTTTGCCTACAGTTTCACTGTAATGTAGTTTTCTGAGAAACAAACCAACATAAAAAGAAATGACAGTTTATCTTTTTGCCACTTTTTCTGCAAAATAACTTCGTTATATTCTCTATAACGAAGTCGCCTGAAGTAAAGCAAACCAACATTAAACAATTAGATTTTGAATGAAACTTTGACAGAGACATCAAACAGAAAATTGATCAAATATTAACTTATTGTATTCTGTATGGTGGCAAAAAAATGAGTGAAAAGTACCTTCGGGTGTTGATTGAATCGTGTAAATACACACATGAGCGTACTCTAAACATCTAGAACATGAAAAATGAGAACTTGAAGTGACAGGTAAAAGCCGACTGTGTGTGGAGGGGTTTAAACTTTCATGATCTTTATTTTTACTTTTTAAAGTGATATAATTTCACTCAGGTAGTAATAAAACTTCACCAAAATAATAATATTTCTTCATTTGGATGGCAATATGTTTTAGTTGATGGGGTGATGATGATCATTATAACAATAAAAGAAGTGCATTGCCTCAGCACTGCATAACAGCACTTTGCCCAATTACACTCCAATTTATGTTGCTTTGGACAAAAGTTTCTGCTAACAGTAACATTGTAACATGACAATATTTGATAATCTCTTAATTTGGAGGTTTTCACTTGTTAACAAACCACCACTCGCAGAATACAAGGATTAAGTAGATTCAAGATTCAAGATTGGCTTATTTGTCATATGCAGGTTAAACAAGGTCAACAATGCAATGAAAGGCCCTGGATGAGAGGGACTGCTCGACCCAAAGAAGTACAGATAAAAACACACAATAAGTACTACTGTGTGTTAATCTCTACAAATTAAGAATTTAAACATTGAAGTACTGTTATATCTTAAGACAACATTTTTAACAAACATTAACTGACAAAAACTTATAAATAAAGGTTATAAATGGGGACTAATGAAGGAAATGATATTGAATGAACATGTATTGTGGACCTCTGTGACAACACCTCGAACACAGTCTGCCCCTCCCTGCCTTTAATAACGAACTCTATGAATTAGTGTGCTTATCTTTTGAACCAGAGATATGTTAGGGTGGGGGTCCTGCAGGGGGAGGGGGAGGAGTATAATCCAGTAAAAAAGACTACTGTTCAGTATCTTGAGTCTACATGACCTCAGCACATCTCCTCACTAAGACACAGCAGGCAGACAGGGGATACAATAGCCCACACAGCACGAGCTCTCACTGCAGACACTCAGGATTATGGAGGAAGGACCTTACAAGTACATCAGGGTGAGGCCAGCAGAGAAAACGCCTCAGCACATTTATAGAACAACTACAGAGGAGGTCGTTTCTGGTTTTCTATCTTTAAAAGGCTTCACAGGCTTCAACCCTATTTGTCTGTTTTCTCTTTTGTCATCACAGGATGGGAACGGACAGGTTAGTCGGGTGATCCGGATCGGAACCCGTCAGAGCCAGGTACAGTAACACCAGCCTAGATGCATTCAGTGCAGTCTTTAGTGTAATAGGACTCGTGTATCATTGAATATATTGGGAGGTTGTTGCTCCATGGTTATACACATCATGATAAAAATTGCACATGGCACATGGTGAGGACCCGCATTAACACCGAAAGGGGTTTTTGCACACTCAATACTATTATACAATACATAAAAAACTGATATTTAAATGATCATTGTGGGATCAGTGGTGGTGGCGTGGGCAATGTTCCTATCAGTGATGAGTAGTTTGAATGAATGTGAGCCTCACAGCCAGTGTCAGTTAAACATGAGTTATCTGGAGATGAATTGATTGGATGAATAAAAAAACATCATTGAAAAGTAATAAGATCAAAGTATGCACGTTCCAGGTTCTTAAATATGGAGATTTGTTGCAGCTTTGTCTTTTTTGTACAAATCGACACTGTCTGGATAACCCAAAAAGTAATTGAATTAGATGAACTTTGCAGGTCCCAAATATGGATGACAGAAAGCTATTGAGTTTTTGCTTTTTGAAAGAAATATGAAATGAATGAATGAACAAATCAAGCTAAAATGTTTTTCATTGAATGAAAGACAACTGTTTCAGGATCAGCTCTCTGTTAAATGATCATTTTTGCCATCAGTGTATCAGCTCTGATTCCCTCAGTCTTGGCTTATACACTAAATAATGAATACGTGAATGGATCTTTGATAATAACTGTTGGAACTGCAGCCCTAAATCGATCCGTTTCAAGCTGCTTCTTTGCTGTTTTAGTTTCAGCAGAGAGACATCTAAGGGTTCTCTAACAGAGATAAGAAAGTTGTGACTTTAAGATAACTCTTTTCCCTCCAGTCAGTCTGATCAGTTTGATTCTCTCTGACTCTGTGGAGTTTTTGATCATGTTTGAAACCATCAATATGATCCAGCTAAAGTGAAGCTCTTCTATTTTATCTTCTTGCAGTTGGCTCGCATCCAGACAGACAGCGTGGCCGACAAGCTGAAAGAGCTGTACAGTGATGTCCGCCTGGAAATAAGTGAGAATCACACCTTTATTTATTCAGATAAATTAATATTTATCAGAGAGGCCTTTACTTCCTGTCAGAGGATCCTGTTCAGGTGTTTAAGCTTCATTGTTATTTTCTTTGACTGCAGATTGAACCTCTAATGGATCCTGATCCATTTATCACTCTGGCAAATCATAAAGCTGCTAATCTGTAAAATATTTAATTATCAGAGTATCTGTTCCTGTTATGTGTCTGTTTAGACTCTAAAACAGATATATACTGTCACCTGTCTGTTCACCTTTATGCCTTCTCTCTTTTAGTTGGCATGACGACAACTGGAGACAAAATCCTGGACACAGCTTTATCAAAGGTGACGATCACAGGAAGACTTAGAGAATTATGACATGAGCAACATCTAGGAAGACAGTTTGGTGTTCGATGTTAACAAAAGACAATAAATGTTTGTTTGTTTGTTCCAGATCGGGGAGAAGAGTTTGTTCACTAAAGAGCTGGAGAACGCTCTGGAGAGGAACGAGTGAGTGTGAACAGAGTCATCTGTGTCTGACAGCACACAGGCTTCACAACACTGTGAACCATCAAACTGAAACAACAGTCTGAACACAGCAGTCACCATGGCAACATAAAACAGCAGCAGGATGAAGTTCACACTTATTTATCTGTTATGTTTGTGTACGACTCAACCATTCCTCTGCGTTCACAGTCCCAGGTCTTTTTAAGGCTTTATTTATGGGCTGTGTCCTGGTTTCTGAGTTTATTAGTCTGAGTAGTTTTGACCGATCACGTATGAGCATGCAGTAGTGTTTGGAAAACAGTCAGTATGGAGAGCAAAAGCAGGAGGAACACACTCAACTGTACGAACTTTAGTACTAAGAAAATGAAGCTCACCATCTGCTCTATATAATCATTTCAACCCAGGCAATAAGTCTGCTTCACACTGCGTCCTGAGAGACAATCAGCTCGTAGATTTAGTATTTTTCTTAATTTCATCAAATGTAATCAGTTAAACCTGCTCTGAACTTTCACTTTGTACAAATCTGTGTCACAAGTTTGTTATTGTGGAAAATTTCAGTCCTTAAATTTCAAGTAAATTACCTTTAAATGTGTTTCTTTATGGTAAGCCAGACTGAAGCCTCTGAGTGACATATGAGTGACAGTGAAACTGAGACTCACTGAAACCAGAGGAACAGGTGCTGCTCCAGGACTATAGTAAACTAAGACATTTTAACTGGCCGCAGCAGGATGCCTTAAAGTTAGTTATTATTCTCAGACACAGATAAAGATAACATGAGCTCATCACCCTAAAAAAGTTAAACTGTGTTATCTTGAAAATCTGGCCTCTGTAGCTTCTTCCTCATTACAAGTTACTTTCCTTCACTTGAGAGTTTATTGTTGGTGTTAAATAGATTTTAAAGTGGTCATTCAAAGTCCAAATCTGAAGACCACTGAAGATACCATGCTATCCAGAGGGAAACACTCTGAGTAGTTCCTCAGGTGTAGTGTGCGTTCCTGGTCTGAAGTGACCTCTAACCCTGTTCTCGTGTGTCCTTCAGGGTCGACCTGGTCGTTCACTCCCTCAAAGACCTCCCCACCACTCTGCCTCCAGGATTCACCATTGGCGCTGTGCTGAAGTAAGTCTCACATGTGTAGAGTTCATTGGTGGAGCTCCAATCACATGTTTGTTCTGTAGGTGTCTTCAGTTTTTATTCTTGAGGGGTTTTTTTGCACATCTGTAACCTCTGAGGGTTTTTTGTTTCCTGCTGCCTGTAGGAGAGAAAACCCCCATGATGCAGTGGTGCTCCACCCGAAACATAAAGGGAAAACTCTGGAGACTCTGCCAGAAAACAGGTTCAGTCACACAGACCCTTCAGCCCGTTGTGTTTTTGTTTTCCTCTCACCTCGTTGTTGTGGAGAAATAACTTGACTCCGTCCTGTGTGTTGATGCAGTGTGATCGGCACCAGCTCGCTGCGCCGCGCCGCTCAGCTGAAGAAGAGATTCCCTCACCTGGACTTCAAAGACATCGTATCCTTTCAAAGCCTTTCAGTGAAATGAGGAGATTTTTCAGACAAACTGATTATTTAGCTTTCAGAGGAGAGCGCTCACTTCTCAGGAGGAATATTTGTCTCTCAGATGTTTTTCCTGAGCTGTAGTTTTTTTAGCGTGGGAATCTGAACACACGTCTGAGGAAGCTGGATGAGAAGGACGACTTTGCTGCTATCATCCTGGCTGCTGCAGGCCTCAAAAGGATGGGCTGGGAAAACCGGATCAGTCAGGTACCAACAGTTCTTGATGATCTGAAGTCATCTGTGTGAGGGAGACATGTCTCATCTGACAGTCTGATCTTTTCCTCTGCTAGATCCTGGATCCTGAAGACTGCATGTACGCTGTTGGACAGGTATGAACGAGGGTCTGAGATACAGACTCACACATCCCTGTGAGCTCTAACTAGGATCCCAGCTTTGACTTTGGTAGAAAACAGGGTGAAATCAGACATAGTTCTGACAGTGTTTCTACTGCAGTTAGTGAAAGACCCTGAAGGGAGAAGGTTGTTGGACTCAAATCCAGCTCCAGCCTTCAATTTACCTTCACAAGTGGCAGTGATGCACTTTAACTCTCATTTGTTTGGCTTCAAAACTCCACTTTGAAACCTGATGGGTGTTTGATACAGTCTAACATCTGAAGAGATATTTTGTTAAGGACTGTGTTAAGATACAAAAAAAAAAAGGAATTTTTGAACCAGTTTCATTGTTTTCGACAGAAATATATATTTCTATATGTATTTTTGTATATATATATATATACATATATATATATACACACACATATATATGTATATATATATATATATATATATATATACACACACACACACACACACATATATACACACATATATATATATACACACATATATAAAGGTGTGTTTGTGTCTGTTGTCAGGGGGCTCTTGCTATAGAGGTCCGGGCCAGAGATGAAGACATCCTGGAGATGGTGTCAGTCCTCCATGACCCTGACACAGTTCTGCGCTGCATCGCTGAGAGAGCCTTCCTCAGACAACTGGTATACACACACACTCACAAACAAGTTCACACGTTCTTTGACTGGTTTGAAGAGTGTATGAATTTGGAGATGACTGTGGGTTTGGTGAATCTGTGTGTGTAGGAGGGAGGCTGTAGTGTTCCTGTGGCTGTTCACACTCAGGTGAAGGACTCTCAGGTGAGAATGCTCCACAAACACCAGAGTCTGTGAGGTCAACGTTTCCCCGCCAAAATAAAACACCAAGATAATATTGATAGTATAGCTTCAGCATATCCTTGCTTGTGATTTTTCCTCCTAAACTCCACCTGTTTGATGAATTCCTGCAGCTCCACCTGACAGGGGCCGTGTACAGTCTGGACGGATCGGACAGTCTGAAGGAAACCATGCAGACGAGCATCTCTGCTGCAGCTCAGAAGGTAACAGCTCAGAGCTCAGATGTGATTGTTGTAAACTCTTTAAACAAACTTAAAATGGATCATGTGTCCAACAGAGCCCAGAAGGAGTGGACGAGCTGCTCCAGCGAGTAGGAGTCACAGCCAGCAAGATCTCTGGTGAAGCCCAGGACCGGGCTGAGCGGCTGGGGATCGACCTGGCCGACTTACTCCTGAGCAAAGGAGCCAAGGAGATCCTGACGGTGGCCAGGAAGCTCAATGACGCCAGATAATCCTGATGGGGTGAGGGGCGGGTCTCCACGGCCTTGTATGGAGTAGATGCTTGAGTTTACTTTTCATGTTACTTGTTTGAAAGTTAATAAGAGAGAAAGAACAAGGACTTCTTATTATTTGAGCTCCAGAAGATACATTTTTGAGGACTTCAGCTTGGACCAAAGTTGTGCTCAGTTTGTTTGACTGCTGCTAAAATGACAAGTTCTTAAAGTCAGAACCTCAGAGAAGCTTCTCCTGAGCCGTGAAGCCTTACTGGGATCATCAGAGAGAAACACCAAACTGCCTTCAAACATGCTCACAGCTGTTAAATATCATCACTGACTGATATCCTCACTGTTGAATCTCTGTGTTGTTGTTTATGTACTCTCAGTATTTACAAGGAGAGCTCCCTAAACTCTGCCTTCACCGTTTACACTCAGCAGCTGCTTTTTCTGACATGGTGCTGAAACCAAGGAGATCAAATCTCCATGCAGAGCAGAGAAAGAATCACAGATATACATAAAAAGTTCAATAAGGAGCAAGATTGGTGCAAAATATCAAACCTTTTTATTCAGCAATCATAAACGACTTCTACCTCTTCACCTTCAGTACCTTCTCAGCCCATCAGAGGGCCTCAGCACCAACAGATAAAGTCAGAGATTTTTAGAAGTCGTGACCACTGTGTTTCACAGAAAACAAGTTCTTCAAACTTTAAGGGTGTTTTACAGCTAAACAGTCGCTCTTATTTCACTCACTCTAAATGTGATTGCAGGTCACTATGAAGCTGCTGCTTTAATGTCTATTTTATCATAATTTTAAGACATGCCTTGTTGAAGAAAACTTAAAACTAGTGGCTGAGGCAATAAACTTTTTGGAACATTTTATACTGAGGTAATAACACGTAAAAACTTTTTTAACCATTCATTTTCCCCCTGTTTGCTAAAGAGAACTTCTACCAGGTTTCTAAATGTTCAAACAGGCTGTTGTCAAACATATATTACAGATATAAAAGTCGTAGAGAAGAAAATCAAAGAAAGCAGAAAACTAAAAATGAACACCTAATATTTGCTGTAATGAAGACAAGCTGTACTCCATGTTTGAAAGCGAAGGATCCTCAAACATGTTGCTTTTGGTGTGAAATAAAATGCTACATGTGTCTTCAGTGTTGTCATTTGTATATTTAGTTTCTATCAAAGTTTTTTCTCAGGAAATAATTTTATTTCTGTCTTAGTAGACTACAAATCTGCAAGAGGAGATCAGTGTCTGTTTCAAAGTTTTAAGGCTCAAAGTTGATCAATTTTACAATTAGTGAGTCAGCTCTGTTTACACGTAAATAAGCACCGAACAGGACAAAAACATGACAAAAGTGCTAAACACTCACTGTAGTATTTTATTTCTGTTATTATATACAGTTAATTTAGATTTCCTCCCATGATGGAAGTTTGGTAATGTCAGCCATCTTTTCTTTAAAGCTCAATTGTTTATTTGACTGAATTCATAATGTGACGTTTTGCCCCTTTATGAAAACATGGAGGACAAATTAAACCACTGATGTCCAATGTCAATAAAACTGTGGAGCCATGTCCAGTTTTGTGTCCTACTCTCAAGGGTTAAGAGTAAATACTTGTAGTCAGAATCAGGCACATAATCAGCTGTACAGGTCAGGTTTGAGTGAACATAGAAGGAATTTAACGCCAGTACACTCAGCTCTCTGTACAACATTCACACAGATATTACAATAACTGTACACAGCTGTTTTAAATAAGTTTGGGGTTGACAAAAGTGCAAGGCTGTGAGCCCAAAGGATGGCGAATGACATTAAATATATACATATGGAATATCAATCAATCAATCAATCAATCAGTCTTTATTTATATAGCACTTTTCATACACAACATGTAGCACAAAGTGCATTATACAGAAAAAGGAATAAAAGAAACAAAGAATACCCAAATCTACCCCAACCCAACCTCTCATTCCTATCCCAAGATCTAATTGCAACAGAAACAATATTAAAATGCATAAACTTAAAATGTGGAATGTGCACGCTGAGGAAACATCATTTTAAAACTCAAGATAAGGAATATGTAATTATTCTAAGCGATGGGCTCAGTTTTATGAGGTAGACATAGTTGTACTCAGTACTTTTAGGTACATTTACTTGTATTTGAGTGACGTATCAGACTGGCAGTCTTACCTCTACTTCAAGCTTTCCATTTTTGTCAATTTGAACTGTTTGGTTTTGCCAATCCTGTCCTAAACATGCTTTAACAGTATCTTCTGACCAAAAATCTCAGTAGTTAGGCCTACTGCTGTTTTTTTTTTTATTTTTTGTGAACACTTAAAGCATAAAATGAAAAAATAAAACAGGATTGTTTCTCCTCTTGCACCTGTTGTAGGCATTAAACTAACAAAAACAGTCACTACTGTCCCTCATGGCTTTATTAGCTCATGGAGACAATGGAAAAGCATCAATATGAATTTCAGTGTGTTCCATAAACTAAGAAAAAAAACTTTACATGGGAGCTTTTCTCTACTTCCTGGTTTCATTAAATGCAGATTCTATCAGCCCACCTGGTGGCTTCACAGCAGACTCACAGGCAATCACCTTGATAAGGCGTCTTTCTTAGATATACTCTTGCACTGGTTTAGCTCAGTGGTTACTTCGAACAACAATTCTCACTGGAGAATACGCTGCTCTCTATCCCTCCCGGGGATCGAACCACGGGCGCTGTCCAGTGCTTTTCCTTCATCTCAACATCCAAGCTGTGTCTCAACTTTCTCTCATTGTTTACTCTATGTTGTTTGAAAAAGGGGTTTCATGTAGTCAAAATACACTTGGCTATCTTATTTACGGCGTTTAAACGTTTTTGTAGTGTCCACTTATGAATGTCAAATCGCAGCAAGGCGAACGCTTTCCTCTTGATTTTAGTCTGGACATCAAAATAACGCACTTTATCGTTGTCTGTGTCGTTTGTATTTTAATCCTTCATTATCTCATTCTTGTCTGTGTGGTATGTTCAGTATACTGCATCAATATAACATTGTCCAAGCTCGCTGGTTTCAGCAATGTAAACCTTAATTTTGTTCTCAAATCCAGTCTCGACTTTTATTTTGAAAAATCCCCCTGCGGAAAGGCACCACTTCAATGACGCTGGGATATTTGAGCTCCCTCAACGTTGTGCATATTTCTGAATTCCTGCACTGTTTGTAGAGATCTAAAGCAACATTAGGAAAGCGCCAAGATTTAATAATGATCTGTATACTGCTGGTTGCTGGTCACGGCACCGTCTTAGAGACTCAAATTAAGGTAAGAAGCTTTTAATGCTGCCGCGCCAAGAAGGTTAATAAGAGGCAGTGCAAAGTTCATGTGTGTTGTGAAGCGGTCATACTTGTGCAGCCTGAACTGCCTTACAAAGGTAGTCTCTTTTCTGCTGTAATCCCTGGCATCTGGCTTGTTTAGCTGTTAGACCTGGATCTAGCGACAAGGACGCTTAATTAATTATCCGTTTTTAAGATTTAAGATTTCCAGCTCTTACTGGACATATCTGGTGTAGATTTAAAGTCCCCGTGGGTAACTTTTAATTATTGACTGCCCCCCATAGAGAAAAACAGTACATCTCATTTTCTTGTTGATCTTGCCCTGTACTTGCTACAAGGCCAAAGAATCAGACTCACAACATAACTCCCCCCTGTAGTGATCCCTGGTTTAGATTAAAACGATTATGAAATTATAACATTTTATGCAACTCATTTGCATCTGTGTATGTACCATCATTTAGAGACATTAGTATTCATTTGATTATGTTTCAAACCAGCTGCAGTATTTTTCATTTTAACCTGTGGTTGATGTGTGCTTGTCAGTGTTTGATCTACATAATTTCCAAAAAGAATATATATACTGTATATAAATATATTTGTGTCAGACAAAAAGGACAGTTCTCCACTTTGATTTGATTCATTTAAAGTAATTTTAGCTCCAGAGAAGTTTTCAGCATTTCTTGATCATGTTACAGGGTAGAGTTGTTTCCAAAGAAACATTTTTCACTCTTGAAAGTGAATTTAGTCTGTCATAACCTTTATTAGAATTGTGTTCAGACCAAAAAAGATCATTTTAAATTTGTTTTATACATCAATTGTGGTATCTATGAGCTACAACATGAGGTCAAAAACCTGGTATAAAAGTCCACCATTTTAGCTTAGAGGACTTTTAAAGTCATAATAGTAGTTCTGGGGTAATTTCAGCCAGTTGCTCAAGTGAGAAAATAAAGGAGTCTGATGAGAGGATCAGAGTTTCACTTCAGATTGTTGAAATGTGTTACTTTTTCTTTACAAAAATACAACTGTGAATGTTCCTAATCACTTAAAGGCATTCTCATGATAAAATGGCTTTTTACAAAACAGCTTTTTAACAGTTATATGTAATAATAATAAAAATAATGATTGTATTTGTTAAATAGCGTATAATAAATAAAAATACACATGAATGTGAAGAAGTGACTGTTATTTAGGTAGAGGGAGGGCTGGGGTGGGTAGTAGGGATACGGCTTAACTTACCCCATTCCCCATGGCATACTATATTATCAAGACAGGTATATTGACTTCATTCTGTTGGTTTGCAGGGATGCACAACATCTTAAAATATATGCAGATTCACTAGTTAGAGACAAAACTATGACTGGCTTGATGTTGGGATCTGAAGTCTGAAAAATGGCTCATCTTACCCCACTCTCCCCTATATGGTTTACTCCTTTTCAAACCCAGTATGATGACACAGGCTTGTACAGCCACCTGACTGGGGTACCAAAGGCTTTACTTCCTGGTGTTGGAGGAAAGAAGATCCTCGACTTCTGGTGGGAAACTGTGAACATGTAAGTAATAGTAGCAAGTAATCCTGGAGGGAACGTGCCTGTTTCTTAATTCTCAGGTCAGATGTGTACAATGATGTCTGCTTTGTTGTAGCGCTACTTCCCCCCTCTTAGTCATTGACTTACAGTGTTGTTTTTCTTCAGGCGGCAGCTGTTCACAGAGGTGTATCTAGTCACCAATGCAGACAAGTGAGTCCTAACTCTATTATAAGTCCTTTGGTGCTGAATCCAGTAGTCTTGCTTCAGTTTTCTTCTCCTGTGACACTGGTCAGGTACAAACACTACGAGCGCTGGGCTACAGCAAATGACTTCCCAGTGGAGAATGTGGTGAATGACGGCAGCACCACTCTGGAGGACCGTCTAGGAGCTGTGTCTGACCTACAGTTAGTCATACGCAGCCGCAAGCTGCAGGACGATATCATGGTGGTGCGTTCAATGACACCTCTAATTTTGATATTGGCTGACATTTGACTGGTTGTATTTTAACAGAGTGCCTGATACACAGTATGGATGTGTTTTGTACAGATTGCAGGAGACATGCTGTGTGCAGACCAGAACTTTGACATCGCTCAAGTTATCCGCTTCTTCAGATCACAGGTGAGATTTACTACAAGCAGAAAACCTGAGTGAGTACTTGTTGCATACAGAAGTTAAATATAATCACATTTGTGGTCGTTTTTGTGTGGGGAGAAGGTGGTGTGTGACTCCCACTTATCCTTTGCTGTGTTTGTTTTTTAGTCTGGAGAGCTGATCATTTACTACGAGCTGGAGGAGGGTGAGAAAAGCAGCTCTCGAGGCATTGTGGAGGTTTGCCCCGACACCCACAGGTGAGGAGAAGAGTTATTCCCTTTATTCTGATACCAAAGAGAGCAACAGGTTCTCATATTTTGTATGTGCTGCTCTGTACTTTTATTGGTGTTAATCGTAATTCTCTTTTTGGGGGGGGATCAGGATCAATCGTTTCCTGGAGAAACCTAAGAATGGGTTGACATCATCCCGTCTGGCCAGTGTGGTGTTTTACTGCATCAGGAAAGACACGCTGTCCTACCTTTCTGACTTCCTCAACCTGAATCCTCAGTCCACAAACAAGACCTTTGGAGAGCTCTGGGTTTGTTAATGCTTATATACACCTACAGTAAATTTAAATTGGGACATTCAAGCACCTGTTATCATTATCATATTATTATCTCCTCAGGAGTGGCTTATTAATGTGAAGCAGCTGGACGTGTTTGGAATGAAGCTTCCCACTGGCTTCCAGCTCATTGGACAAGTGGTTTGTGTTAATAACTTTGCATTTTTTAAAATGTTTTTCATTCCCTTTAAATTTTCTGCACAGTCGAGTCGCCCTCTGCTGGCCAGAGAAGACTGTGAAGTATATCCAGCTTTTTATGAAGATTGGATCTGAATTTTTTTTAAAGTGTATTTTTTCCTTTTCTCTATCAACATGCCTCCTTTCAACATCTCAGGGTCTGTCAGACTACACAAAGTGGCTCACCCACTACTCCACCAAGCAGCAAGACAACCCTGCCAAACCAATCACATGCCGATCATACGCTCGGTAAGAAAACAGACTGCTCTCTCTCTCTTTGGTCTGAATTTGGCTCAGGTCACCTCTTCAAAATAAGAGCCCTTAAACATGAGTACACAGTCTGTCGGGCTCTGTGAGAACTGACTTCCAAATGTGGTGGCTCACAGGGTTGGACTCATGGGGAATCCCTCAGATGGCTTTAACGGGAAAACCATTGCCATGTCCATCACTAACTTCTGGGCTGAGGTCACTCTGGTGGAGAGCCAGACTTTGGTAACACCCACATAAAAGATGCAGCTCTTCATCCAGTAAATACATAAGAAAAAGTCATGTGACTGCTTTTCTCTGACTTTGCAGGTTTTGGTCCCTCATCCTCTCAATGATCCCACAGAGTTTGGAAGTTTACAGGATCTGTTTTGTATCAGCAGGAAGGAAGGGTGTGTACCACCGACTTTGTATAAAGATGAAAGATGTTGTGTTGTTCATCAATCACTCTTCATCTCACTAAAAGAAGTAAAATTCTCAGATGTGTTTATCCTTTAAATATGTTCAGTTTTTGATCCACTGTAGGTACTTAGGAGGTCTTCGGCTGCTGCAGGCCACCTGCAAGAAGTTCTACCAGTTCTGCTCCAAACAAGGGTAAGATAAAAACCTAATATTAGTGCTTCTGGGAATTTGGCTTGAAAACACCTCTGCAATTCCTGAAGCTCAGTGTGTGTGTGTGTGTGTGTGTGTGTGTGTGTGTGTGTGTGTGTGTGTGTGTGTGTGTGTGTGTGTGTGTGTGTGTTGATGCAGTATTGCTCTGACAAAGCAAAACTTCACACTAAAGTACGACACCAACATCCCCCGTCAAGTGGTGAGGATCCACTTTGACACTTGTTAATCATTCATACATGAAAAAATAACATCTTATTTTATGAAATGTATTAAATACACGTCTTTTTATTCCCTGTCTTCATGAAGGGCCTGGCTGGCAGCAGGTAAACAGTTGTTTTTGTATGATGTCTCATCTGTATAATCCAGTGTTTCAGCTGCTTTTCTCAATCTCTCCTGTTTTTTTTTCCCCACAGTGCCATCGTTTCAGCCACTCTAAAGTGTCTAATGAAATTCTACAACATCACTGACAATGTAAGGACTGTAGATATGCAGTATGTTACATGAGGGTTATATTTTAATATTATCAAGCTTAAGTTATAGTAGAAGCATGAAATTCCCCTCTTCAGAAGCAGCATCTTCCAGATTGAAATTGAGCTAATGGGGGGGGGGGGGGGAGTATAAAAAACTGCAGTTCCTCAAGGGTCCACTAGAGGCTGACTCCAAACAATAAACTTCATTTGGTCCAATACTGAAATCTTAATTTTGACAGTAAATACATGAATTAGTAATGTTTTTCATCATGCACTTCATTTTGCATGTGCCTTTATCTCATTTATTGTGGTCATATCAGGGGTAAGATTTATTTACAAGATGTTGTAATTGAGCTGTGGCAATTTCTGGGAGTTTGCCAGGAGGCTCAGACCCACCTCTGCTCCACCTCTTTGCAGGAGTTACATAGAAACAGCGTCCCAACTGCACTTAATCCAGTGGTTCTCAAGTCCAGTCCTCGAGCCCTCACTGTCCTGCATGTTTTGGATGTTTCACTGTTCCAACACACCTGATTCAAATGATCTGCTCGTTACCAAGCTCTGTAATGGCTTAGTAACGAGCTTATCATTTGAATCAGGTGTGTTGGAGCAGGGAAACATCCAAAACATGCAGGACAGGGGGGGCTCGAGGACTGGATTGAGAACCACTGACTTAATCCAAGTCACACACAGGCCCCCTGTTTGTTACAAAAGTAGTGAAGTCAAAGTAATATTGACAGACCTTATGCACAGCTATACTATTTCCAGGTCATTCAGAGTTGTGAAGAGTTTTAGTTGCATCAAGGTTTGTAAATACTCCAGGAATATTACCACCAGCTCTCAGCAGTCAGTAAATAATGGTTTGTGACTGGTGTTAGTGGATTCGGTGTTTATTCCAAAGAGACTTCTTTATATATACAGTGTATATATATATAGAGAGAGGAACATTTTGCTCTAAATAAATGCACAATGCTTAGTTTGAATTCAAACAACACTGACCCACGCAGATGTTATTTGCTCAGCAGTGCAGTTTAGGAAGTAATTAACATCCTGAGCTTGTTCTGTGAATTAGATTATGTCTTTTAGCTCTTTATCAGAAGTTTAGTGAACACAAAACCCTTCTGGGAATCCGACTACAGACATTTAAGGCAAACACAGTTCTGCTTTGCTTCATCAAATATCCTCTTTATTGGGTAAAAAATAATGTTTAAAATGGCTCAAAGCAAACCTCCTGCATTCCCATATATATTTGATTTTACTTTAGGATCTCCCGAAGCCAATCCGAGCCAACTTCATCCTCAACGTGGAGACTGATGAACTTTTCATCACAGCTGGCCTGCAGGACAGAGTCGTACAGGTAACAGAGTTAATATCAACCAAGTCCTGCGCACTGTTATCAAACCTATTATTAATTTAACAGGCTTTGTATAAGGACATGTTTGTCTGTGCAGGTCTATGAAGGCTTAGTCTACATGGATTTCAGTAAGAAGCTCATGGACGAGCAGGGATATGGTATTAAATCTTTATTATTCTGCAGCAGATGAGCAAGCACAAGTCTGTGAAAATGTGTGAGTGTGTGGGGGTGTTTTACATTTTCAGGAGACTATGTTTCAATGGACATGAGTGATCTCCCATCCTTCTGGCTGGCTTACCTGAGCGACCCCAGTGACTCTGGACGAATCCACAGCAACATCAGACAGCGCTGGCTCAGTGGTAGGGCTTCATACTAAACATAAAGTCAACATTCATACTGTGATTTCAGATTCTCTCAGCTCAAAACTCCTCACAAGACCTTTAAATGTTAACTCACAGGCTGTTTTATTGATCTTATGTGTTGCTCTATCTTCCCTCAGGAGAGCCTCTGGTGGTTGAAGCGATGAAAACTTTTGCTCAACTCACTGATCAAGCAAGGTTGGTTTTATTTCCTGAAAGCTGCAACCATGCATAAATGTGTGCAGCATGTAGCAGTGAATGTTGTGAAATAAAAGCAAACAGTGGACATAAAAGTGTAAGATTGATGTTCGTGAAAAGTGGACTCTGGTTTTACAGCACTGTTTCAATGCAGAAGTTACTTTATCTCAATCATATTTGAAGACCAGCTACAACTCCTGTGGTTTACCTGATGAGCTTGCGGTCTGACATCTAGTCTCAGGTCCTCAATGAAAGAACAATGTGACTTTTGTTAAGTGTGGTCCAGGGTTTGTTGAAGTAGAACTAGACTGCAACCTACTTATCAGACCAAACAATGTGTGACAAAGGTCAAAAGAATGAACTTTTCAGTGTGTGACCTTCTGGTTTCTTTCTCTATTCCTGTCAAGAGGTCTTTGGTTTCTCAGGACTTATATTAGCTGCATTTTTTCTGATTAAACATCTTTGCCATGGCACTTCAGATGTTTTAAAAAGAAAAAGAGCAACTGTCCCACTGACTGAAAATGTCCTCTTCAGGGTGGCTCTACAGGACAGAGACTGGACCCGCTTGGCACAGCTAATGGACCAGAATTTTGAGCTAAGGAGGTAAACAGTACTTTTTAATATGAGGCTTTTATAAAGCAGTCATGCTTATTGCTAAAGTACCAACATGTCACACAGGACTGTCTACACTGATGACTGTCTTGGCCCTGGCAATCTCAAGATGGTTCAGCTGGCGAAGCAGGTGGGTGATGAGTGTTTGCACAACGTGCTAACAGTGAGGGATGTTTTATTTCACACTATCTGCTCTGCGTCTGTGGATACATCCTAGAGACCCTTAAAATCAGGTATATGCCCCCTGTAGGTCAAAGGTGCTGGAAGTTTATGCACAGACCATACCGAGTCACCAACTCCTCTGCAGAACATTATGCAGCCTGTACTAAGAGGTTCCATTTTTACTACAGAATTCAAACAGCCTCTATCATGGCTGAGTCCTCCACACTTGAGGATCATTTTACTTATTCATAAATCTTCCAAATGTAAAAAGACAAGTGAAGGGGGCATGGATGTGAATAGCTCTGTGTGTGGTTTTCTGCTGATGCAGTTTTTCTGCTTCTTGCAGTTCGGTTCAGCGGTGAAGTTACCGGGCAGTGGAGGGGCTGTGGTGGGTCTGTGTCTGGATAATGACAGATTGGTAAGAATTTGTGACATGGAACAAGAAGTTTTAATGCTTCGACAGACACCTAAGTGAAAATCATGAGGTCAGCTTGATTAGCACCAGAATTAGCATTCCACTCACTCAACTTAAACAATCAATCTCCAATACCTGAAAGAGGGTAGGTCACCCAAGCAGCTGAAGAAACAGCTCTGAGACTATCAACAACAAGATTTACACAGCAGTTATTCAACAACACATTACTTGCACATGTAAAGGACAAGATCAGCAGAGGGATGAGAGGTATCCTTTTGTCCACATGGGGACAAAGCTTTAAAAAGCCCCATCTCGGTAAATTACATTTATGGATCTGAATTTTCATGTATTGATAAAAAAACCCCTTCCAGACTTCAGACACCAGGTTAAGCCTTTACTTTGGCATGTACACACCTTTCCTCAGTTTCTGATTGGCTAGTAACTGCCGGTGCAGGCACAGCCAAATGATGTATCAGCAAAACAAACATGGCAGTGATGAGTTTTGTCTTGAGGTAATGAAAAATTATAATTGAAGATTTAGATGGGAGAAAGCATCCAAATGCTGACTCATGAGCTTGTTTCATTGCTCCCTTGTCCTGTAAGGTGGCATTGACAGGCTGACACCAGCCAGAGCTGAGGACATGTTTCACATTTGCAATTACTCTGCTAAAGATGAGATTTATATATCATATCTGCAACAGGAAGTTTGTATGTAATTGTGCAATGAGCTGCAATGGTCTCATGTTCCTTTGATTAAAAAAAAATACCACACACAGTTTTCCTGCAAAAAACAAAACAGTTTACTCAGTGATATAAATAAATAGGATTCTCTGTGTGCTTGTAAACCTGTTATTCCTAATTTGATTTAAACTGGGATGAATCTAAAACCAGGTAATAAAATCATTTTATTTTGATACCAAAATTATTCTGATAATGTATTTTTTATTGACTCTGAGACAGAGAGCAAAACATTCTATGCAGTTTTTGAAGACACACCTGTTTTATGAAATAAATCAGTTGTTTGTTAGGTTTGTTGATTCCATATATGTGATTCAGTTCCCTGCTACATGATGCAGTTTGTCTTTTACCCACTAGGTGGAGATGAGGCAGGCTTTCCAGGAGGCAGGCTGTGTCTTCTGTGTCATCACACCGTACAACCCATCTGCCAGCACGGTCAGCGGCCAACACTGACTTCACATCTCTGCAGGACTCAGTCAGGCTACAAGAGGACACAAGGATGATTCACAGCCATCAAGATTACAACACAAAGAGCCTCTCAGAGACCCTCAGTGTCATCATAGGAATAATAACAACAGAGAACCACAGAGTGATCTGTGATATGAAATTATGAAGAAGCCACAAAAAATCAGGTTTGCTGCTGCAGGAATCATCTCTTTTAATGAAAGTTCAAATCATTGCTGACCAGAATGACTAAACAATGGGGTTCAAGCATTTAAGTGACTTTTGGGACTTAAATGAGGACATTTTTTGTTCTGTGAGGTGTAACATATGTATCAGACTTAACAATTTACAAAAACAAGTCTTCTCTTTCAACAAGTAATTATATAGTTTTCAGAGTTTGTCCTCTCTGTTTTATATTATTAATGTACTCAATGTTTACAAATGAAAGTCCAATTTTTAAGACTTTTTAAGAACTTTTACCAAAATTATCTAAAATAAAACATATACTGCGAAATAACATTTCAGTGATTTGTCACAGGCTGTATAAGATTTAAGAGAGTTACAGATGTGTGAAGTGCAATTTGTATCATACTGTACAATTTATGAATCGTATCTGTACATAAAATCATTTTTTAAATAATTAGAGAATTCGGACAGACTTTGTCCCATCACTTTTGTATAATTATTTTTTTATCCATAAATTAAACATAATGAAACCTTTTTTTTATTCTTGTCAAAATCATTTATTATATATATATATATATATATATATATATATATATATATATATATATATATATATATATATATATAAGAAATATCTTTTTTTTATGAAAGATCAGTGGATCTGGTCACCTGATCTGGTAGCAGGTGACCAGATCCACTGATTCTTCATATTTTGTTATTAGCTGTTTTTTGTTTTCAGTTAGGCAAGTTTATCGAAAGGACTTGTGAGGTAATCATTTTCCTGAGGAAGATCTTATTTCAATGATTATTTCAAATGATTTAGGAGTCGTGAGTGCATAAAATTGCAAAAAAAAAAGTATCTAAATGGAAAAATCATCCAACACGTTCAGTACTTGCACAATGTCAGAAATCTGTCTAGTCTTGAAAGTTAAATTAAAAATGTAGTTATTAAATTAATATTTTTGTTGCTGAATATCAGAAATTTTGACCTTAGTCTTATCAAACATTGCCACTCTACATCATTTTGGCACTTGATTTTATTGAGAGTAAATTCTTCTTCTTATTATAATTATTTTAAACCACATTGTTCTTCTACCATCTGTTTACAGTAAGGTACAAGGAAGAAAAGGGGGTTATAGGTCAGAGATTCATTGAACTACTATGGGCACCAAATTGGCTCCAGCCGGCCCCGTGTTTGTAAATACATCTGTAACTGTGTGGGCTGGTATCAGCTTGTACTGTTTAAACTGGGCTGATATGTTCATGTCATTCAAAGACCGTTTCCTCCCCCTACAGTCACGTACATTCTGCTCTGTTAAACTGTGCTCCACATTGAACGAGTGTATAGAGTGTATATATATATATATATATATATATACACACACACACACTCAGTGAACAGCTCTTATTCGCTGTTTCCTCCGGTAGGCGGAGTAGCAGCGCTCTATTCAGCCGCACAGCGCTACTCTCGGCTTCGCTTCGCTCGTCGCTGGTACCGTTACCTCTTCATTCATGCGGACCCAGCTGTAGCCCATGGTGTAGCCCGGAGGTTCGGTGGAGGATAGTACCCAGCGTATAGCGGATTGGGGGACTCGGTGCATGAACCATGGCTGCTAAAGAGGACCTCTACAGTAAAATCCTTCCTCGAAGGCTACGACAGAACCGACCAGGCTCTGTTAAATGTGGCTCCTCCAACCTGGATGTGCTGTTATCTATGGGCTTCCCTAGACCGAGAGCGTAAGTATTCAGACCCCAACAGTGTTTAACTATGGGCGTTTGTGTGTGAGCGGGATAAGGGGTCGTTTTATTTTTTTTTTATTATGGGTCCTCCTCGGTGACCGGACGGGGACTTTGTCGGAGTGGCACTAACGGTCAACAGTCGGGTCAAACGCAGCATCACTCCGTATTCACGTGGAGTCTGGAATAATTAGTTCCCTACTGGAAAAGAAGCTGTACCGGACTGGTCCCCTCAAGTCCGAAAGACATGAGAAAAGTCAGGAAAAAATGTGCCTCTTTTTGACCAGTTTTATTCACTAAGCTCATCTGAATGTTACGACCTTTCAATGATAATGCAAAAATATGGAGGCGATAAAATTAAGATAGATTTGGTGTCATTTACAGCTCAAGATATGACATTTAACCACGTTATTAATAACCAGGGGCGTGTTCAGAATTTTTTTTACAGGGGTGGCCTAGCCCCAGCATTGACTCATTCAGGAGTAGCATGTCCTGAGACTCCACTTTCTTTCACAATAAAATATTATTCAGTAAGGCTACTATTTTAGTCTCTGATGTCAGTGTTACTGCTTGAGTACTATACAGATGTTACTTTCCGTATTATATTTAAAAAAAAAAAAAAAAAACTATGCCAGGGCAGTTAAAGGGATATTGTGGTGTAAAATTAATTTAGGGTCAAACACAGTGCAACACCGAGCTAGACCCCCCTCGAGAGATGAATGTTGCCGACCGCTTGCTTCTCTAGTTATACCAACTTTAGTAACGACCACATAATAGCAATACACAGCAGTCTACGTCTCCACACGAAAACCTCAACCAACGCCACTCTACAGCTACAAATAATGCTCAGAACAGCACCTAACTTCATCAACAGTACATAGAGGAACCCAGCCACAACACTGGCCACCAAACATCTTTTTAGCTTCGCCTAATTTCTTTAGCAAAGAGACTAAACACAACTCACCTACCTACACGAGACCTCGGGTCAGTCCATTACGGACTGCGGTGGGGTGACGCAGCTCAAGGAAGAAGCGGTCGGCAACATTCATCTCTCGAGGGGGTGTCTAACTTGGTGTTACAGTGTGTTTGACCCTAAATTAATTTCACGCTGGAATATTCCTTTAAAGCCTGACGCAGCTAAATAAACCCACTGACCTTAGAAATGAATTTATCTCATATAGTGTAATAGTAAATGGCAATCAAGCTCACCCTGGCCACCCTGATGGACTTGCCCCATCTAACTACAAATGAAACATTTTTTTTCTTGATGTTGGAAGTATAGTGTACGGTATATTTACATCTTGTTTATTTATTGCCTGCTTTAAAGTAATCAATCCATGTACGTCTGAAAAATGTTATCCTTGGTCTGTTAGCCTAACATAAGTTACTTGTGAAATCCAGCATAGGTCGAAAGTTAGGAGTGGTTTGACTAAAACAGCTTGAACCACCAGAGAGCCATAATTTTCACTCTTTTACACCCTAAGGTTGTCATCAAATATTAAATTTTTATGTTCTATCAGATTATGACTGAAGGAAACTGTCTGGTAGTTGTCTTTCCATCATTTTATAGAGCTGTCATTTTCGGGAAACAGAAGTCAGGAGTCATGAAGTCATAACCATGTTTGTGTGTGTGTGTGTGTGTGTGTGTGTGTGTGTTTCTTTTGGAGGGGTGTTGTCATATGGTTCACCCCGTGTCCTCTGCGCTCAGTGAATGAAGGGACTGTCTTTGCCTTGGCCGGATCATTGAGTTCCCTTTCATGCGCTCAGTGTAAACACAACTCTAATGAATACTGTAGTACCACTTGTCTGGAAAGTAGCACTTAACACAGTCCTTACTGAGTGCTAAAATACAACTGTTGGGTTTTGACGTTTGTCTTCTTTTTACTTGATGTCTTTGTTTTTGAATTGTGTATAATATATAAAGATAGACAGGAGGGAGAAGTTGCTAGAACACTGTGCCAAAGAGAGCGAGTGGAGCCAGCAGAGTTGTTAATGGGCTGTAGGTCTGAGGTGGTGTCAGAGCTGACTCTGTGATTCAGTCAGTGCATCAGTCTGTGATTCAGTCTGTAAGCCCTTTTCACATACAAACTCCAAAATTTCAGGAATACCTCAAAGTGGGCAGCCCCTGAAATTTCTATAGATAAGGTTTCTCTGTCAAACAGGTGGGGCAGGGGTCTCAGGAGGCAAGACATGACACAGATAGGACACTATAGAGATCAATGTGTTGTAGGACTGCTCAGTTATGACAAAAATTACAGTTGTTTTGACTGAAACTGATATAACACACATTTATGCAACGTAAAACCTCTTTAAACCTTAAAATCTTCAAATCAAGTGGGAAAATATTGTTTCGCCATTTTTTTTGTTTACCTTCTGTCTGTAATTGGCTGATTCTGTCTGATTTTTGTAAAAAGGAATATGCAGTTTGTATTACTGCTGGAATCATGCATCCATTCTTTGCTTTACTTTAAGAGCTTTGGCTCAATTTTGATAAAACTAAATTTCACTTGTAGTAAAATATTTTTACACTTTTTTAAATGAAGATTTGAGCTTTTTCTGCTCTCATTTAATCAGCGATTCAATAAATAATTCAGTCAAATCTTGAGACTTGGGTTTGTTTTTTATTATGATTCAGATCGATGTTCCTACTTTCTAGAAACTTAGCTTGTTAGTTAGTTAGTTGGTCTGTGTGCAAGCTTGGGATTGCTCGTACCTGTTCTCATTCTGTCCCTCATTCACACACACACACACACACACACACACACACACACACACACACACACACACACACAGAAACACGCACCTGCCTCCTCCTGCTCCTCTCTCTGCTCTCCTCTGTCCAACTGTGGTTGGTGTTGCTTGTTCTGCTTGCAAAAAAATTCCCTCTGGAAACCTGTTTGATATGGTTTACTGGTAGGCTCTGTGATCCTGTGTTGTGCTGTGTTCAATATGTTGTGCGCGAGTTTGGCATTTTCTCATTTGGTTTGTCAGAACATGAGTTTTCCTGAAAAGGACAAGGATATAAGATACTTCACAGCATTCAGAGCTAAAAACAGTTTTTTAAAAATAATCATCATCATGTTCAATGTAATTAAAATTCATATCTAGGCTGAAACAGCAAGCCGAATAGCTTATATGTATGCAGGTGATACTACATGTATAATACCCAATGAAAAAGATATTTTGTTATGTCCAAACATTTAGGGGTTGTGCCTTTTTTGTACAAACAGCACCTACAACCTGACATTTTAAAGCACCTCTCCTTGCATTGTTGCTAAGTTACAAAACTTGTCCTGTTGTACTTCTTTTTCTCTCAGTAACCATCAAGTCTATTTTAAAATTCTCTGTATGCTTTAGATGCTTTCTTTAAGTCGCATTTTATGAATCAGTTTTAGTGTCCTATGTAAAGCCCATTATCTGTATATTTTACCTCGAAAAACATGTGCTTGATGCATGTGCAATTGTGGTTTACAAAGATAGTGTCAGAAGTCATCCTACCCATTCTTGAATTTGATTGATTGGTGGTCAGAAAGTGGCATTGATAAGCATAGTGATGTTTCAAATTTGAATTATTTTCAAAACCAGCTGATGCTCTTAGGTAAACTCTGAACTGTAGGGCTGGGCAATATGGCTGGAGTTGTTATACAACATATTTTGCATCAGTCAGTATTGAACACTTTCTTCATGACAAATATCAGATTATTACTTCTTTCAGATACCAGCTTCTTACATGGTGTGTCTACGGTATAATTTGCAGTGCAGATCCTAAAATGAAACAATTTATCACTCGTGACGGTATTTTCTTCCTATCATGCAGGCCTGAGCTCTGGCTCCTGTTTGTGTAACGTCATAACAAGGATTGTGCTTTAAGACACTTGTGTAGTTTAACCTTTTTAAAACCAAACTATTGTGCGTCATCTCTGACACTAACCAAGCAGAACAGAAAAGAGCTTTGATTGATGTCTGAAGGAAATATCTCACTTCTCCACTTTTATAGGTTTTACGAAACTGAGAAGGGTCTCCACTCCTTCCACTCAGACAGATGTCGTACGTCAAGAGTGTGTGTGCGTGCGTGTGTGTGGCTGTGTGAGAGAGTGTGTGAGAGTTATTCAGTGTTTGTGTGTGTCAGGGGGAAGTGTGTTGTGGTTTGCTGAATGGACATGGCAGATGATGATCAGCCCCCAGGCAGGCCAGTGTTGGTCTGGAACACAGTCCTTCAGGGAGGCCACAACCTCCTTTATTTCAGCCTGTGACTGCTTGGCCTCAACAGAGACACTCTCTTTCTCTGTCTTTGTCTCTCTCTCCCCCTTTTTTCTGTCTGAAGAGATTGACCTAGTAAATGTCCCATCTGACTTCAGGTGCTCTGGTTATGTTGTAATAGGATTATATCTTTGGAGGTAGATTAAATTCATTTGCAGTTTCTCTTTGCACCATTGTTCAGTATTGTCACAAAAGAGAGATATACCATCGGCCCCGGTGAAGACAGTGATGAATGACGACAGCGAGTGCTGCTAATGAAACAAAGCTGTGAAACAGAGAAATAAAAAATAGTTTTCTGATTATTTTTCAGGAGTTAGACTCTTGAGAACTTTTAAACACATCTCCAAAAACTGCATAAAAATGTGGAAAGGAGGAGGTAATTTGCAGCCAGCTTTGTGTCTCTCAGCTCTGTCCCACTGAAGGTCACACCTGCTGCTCCTACACAGCCAAGCAAAGAGTTCTTATAAACACAGGAAATGGGGTAAAATATACATATTTATGTTTAAATAAGTGTATTCCTACTTTAATGCAAAAAACATTTGTTTTCCCTTGACTTAGAGCTAAACTAGAGCAGCTCTCTTATACTTTGACCCCAGAATGAATAAATTGGTAACATTTGTCTTTTGTAACTAAATTTCTGTCAAAAGAATTTGCATTGATAGACATTTTTGATGGTAAAAACATGGGAAATGCACAAACTTCTCATAAGCCTCTTGTCCTTGAGAGTCACCATCCCTTCTAAAAATATATCATCAGGAGGGGTGAGCAAGGGAGCGATTCAGTCTGAAATTTGACCACTAAATACCACCAAATACTCCCATTTTTGCACACTGTACCTTAAGTGTGTTTTGCCTTTTTATGTCCTTGTGTAAAACAAATATACTACACTTCAGGAAAAATAGAGTCTGGTGTTCTCACTATAGGATGTAGGGGATGAACACAGCTGCAGGGGCTCTGTCCATCCACTTGAGTTTAAATCACTCTGAAAACGGTATTGATTGTACACATTATTCTTCCCTCAAGGGGAAAAAGATTCCCGTAAGTCACTGGGTGCATCTCTTTGACTTTGTAAATGACAATCAAGTGCATTCAGCTGGCTCTCTAAGTAATGATCAATTGGCCCTTAAACGGTCAGTCATGCTGGTGTTCACCAGAATATCCTGACTGAGCTGCTTCGACAGCTGCTTCATTCTGAGACTGAATGACCTGAGAGACCATAAAAACAGGAAGCTGACTTGGTATTACATAAAGCTTAAAAGAAGTTTGCCCTCTGTCAGATATTAGATTAGTCATCATAGATGCAGAAAAAATTTGAGGCACAGGCACCTCTTTGTACATATGAGCCTTCTGCTTTTCTGGCGGTGAAAAATTGGATCCCACTTACTATTCCTCACTAGAGTTCAGGGTTTTTGTTTTTCCCATTATGTGTCTAAGCTGTTTTTAAAGTGTTATCCTGGCTTCTCATGAGGAGAACAGACACGTACACATACTGTAGATGGAATTAAAACAAAAGAAAAAATATTAATCTTACTGTCATAATTAAACTGCATAATTCTACACATCATGATCATCCAAGTTTACTTTCAACATTCGTCAGTCTTCAATTTGATACGCTGCCAAATGGATTTATATTCAGAAAGATTAGGGCGATATCATCTTTGTGAGGGCTGATGCCAGTATGACGCAAATCATGTCAGAATGCCTTTAATCAGAAAAAATATTTGGTTTATCTGTAGCACTTTGCTTTCAACCAATACAAGCACGAGAAATATGCTTGTCCGTCTGTCGATCTGTTAGCGTCACCGCTACATGCTCCGAATATGTGAGTGAAGGGAGGCAGGGGCGCAGCCTTCAGAGTTGAATTAGCAGAATATGAAATAACAGGATGAATACCTGCAATTCGCCGCACAAACAGAGGTGATGGTTATTACAGCCTCCTTAGGAGATAACAGGAAAACACGCGGCAGCAACGTGATGCCTGCACAGGAGCCAATCCAAAGTTTTCTCATTGCACTGTCCATTTACATGTACCTCCTGTTAGCCATACAGCCAGTTTGAGACAAAGCCTCACAAACAGTGTGAGAGGGGGGTTCCAACTGTGCATGGTTGTTAGCAGAGTGGAGACACATCAATATGAAGACAGGAACACTTGAAACAGGGCTGGTAGCAGCTGGCAGCAAAGATGACTTTGAATCAACCAAAGAACATTTAAGAAAAAAAAAGAATTGCAGATCTCAAACTTACTCTGTTAACAGGGGATAAAAGGGGTCTGTGCAGCCTGAAGTGACTAATCTTGCTCTCTCTTTTTTTCCTGGCTTGATCGCCAGTCCAACACACTTAAAATCATCTGCACGAAGATGAAAAAGACAACGCAGAAGAAGCTTTTAGTGTCTGCAGTTTACTGTCTTTGTACAGCCGTCTTATTAGAGTGAAGGGATCCGTATCTTTACAGCGAGAGTTTCTGCTTCATAATTTAGGTTAGCTCTGTGCGCTTGGTTTCTGTCAGCTTGTCTTGTTCCCTAACTAGAGTTATAGGAGAAATGTTTGAGAACTCGACAAAGTGCGCCTGAGAGCGTTTCTAAGCTGCTAAAATTGGTCTGAATTCGTCTTGAAGTTTTTCCTTTTACTGACTTGAAGTCTTTGGGTGAATATTTTGTAACCTTTGTGATGTATGTGCAATGTTATTTCAGGTCAACACACAGCTGGTGATTCAGTTAGTTGATAAAGTAAGAAGTGAGTTCTTTCATCTGGACGCCCACTCACTTCCTGTGTAGATAATGTGTTTTTTTATGTTTGGTGCTGATGAAGCTGTAGTTCCAAACCAAAACTTCTATGCACAACTTGCAAATCTTCTTCGTAGTCATTAAATAGTGAAGCAGATCATCAACCAACATATTTGCATTTACAGTGCCACATTTGCACTTCACATTCTCAGTGCTGATAAAGTGTTTTCTCTCCTATTTCACAACAGCTGTCTGCATAGGAAGCACACTTTTGTGAGGCTCAGCTCGAGGGTTTGCATATTTGCTGATTTGAAGGAGGAAAAGAAAATGCCTACATACAGTTTGCGGGTTTAAGTGTGCTACATCTGTGAGAGCTGTATACAGTACTGTATATGGCAGCTCAGGGAACCCTGAAGTGCGGTGCAGTTGGTAACTCTCATGAATTATTGAGTCATCCCCTTGTTTTTATAGGCAAGTATCTTTGAAATGCAGATGAATATCAGCTCATTTGTCTTTTACTCTGCCTCCAGAAACCGTTTCAAGCTCTGGGACTGTAGTATGCCTGCATGATGTGAGAATATATGCTATTTACCTTTTCAATACTTTTAAGTTTGCTAAACAAATATTGGAGGGTACATATTTGCCTTAACTTGTTGTCTATGCTTATCTGCTGTCCTAAATATTTTACACAGGTCCTGCATTTGCAACACATCCCTTCTGAAGCCAAAATAAATTCAGACACTTCATTTTCACTGCTGAAGTGATATCAACCAATCTGAGGGTCGCTGAGCTCAAGCTTTATCTGACAACATCAAAAACTGTGCTGTGGCATGACCGTTATGCCCACGCCTTCATCTACTTGGTAAAATGTCAACATGCTGACTATATAAAAGGCGAGGCAAGTTTACAATAGAGCACACTATCGCAAAGGCAGTTCATGGGGCTTTAAGCAGACCTGGCATCTTTGGGGGAATTTTATTCAGGGTTTTTTTTAACTGAATGCATCATCTCCATGTTTGTTATTTTGTCTCTGGATAGAAGGCAGACCTGTTCCATAACCAGGGGAAACATGTAAATGCTAGAAGGAAGTGGCCCTAGAGGCGAGCTTTGGGGAACTCCACTTGTAATTATAGTCAGGTGTGAAGCTGCTTACAGATGTAAAGTAGTCTCTGACCTTTAAGTTAAGTTTAAACCAGTCGAGTACGGTGACTAGAAGTCACACCCAGTTCCCCAGATGGTCAAGTGGTATATTGTGGTCAGCTGTGTTGAAATCAGCTTTGAGATCAAGTTAGCTAAAAATAAAGGCGTTCATTGAACACACCTATATTTTGGTGAATGGTGAGCTGAGCTGCTCATTTTGAAACCCATGAACCAGAACATAGACTTCTGTGAATGAGTAAATGACTGCTGGGCGATATGGAAAAAAATGTATATCACGATATGGATCATTTTATATCACGATAACGATATATATCACGATATAGTTATGGTATGCGTTCAGTTCTATGAAAAATTTAAGTGTATACAGCTGCACTAGTACAGTGCCAGTACAAGACCAGCACTTAAAACTAGAAAAATGAATAAATAAATACGTGGCTGAAGTGTGTTCATGTCTGCGCTCACCCAAAGTTATGCAACACTCACAGAAAACGCCGATAGTGTGAGCCAAAGCACTCCATAATAATAATAATAATTATAATAATAATAAATTTAATTTGTAATGCACTTTAAATTTACAAAAAATCTCAAAGTGCTAAAGTACACCGTAAAAAAAGAGCAGCAACAATAAAAAAGCAATAGAATGACAGTCACAGATTGGCATAAAAAACGCAAAAAAGAATTAAAAAAATAAAGAATATAGAGTTGCAATGTAAGAGGCAAGGTAGTAAAAGCATAGAGGAAAGCTAACCAAAGGCTTTATTAAAAAGGTAGGTCTTTAGGGCTCTTTTGAAGAGGTTGTTCACACTGCTGGATGTTTCTCCTCCAAAGCTGCTCTCTGCCTCCATCATTGTTTACTTTACTCTTGAAGCACGTAGCAAGACCCGAGCATGAATCCGAGCGCTTTATTCGCCTATCAGGGGCAGACAGGTAAGGTGATTTGATTCGCCACGACTCCAGAAATGATTGAAAAACTACAGAATGTCACAAAATTACGTTTCCTCGCTCCTGACTTGAAGGGTTTGAAATACTGTCCTACTTTCGGTCAAAAGTACAGTTTTTATGTGTACAAGAAAAAATCAGTGAGAACCAATAAGAAATCTCACTGAGAGATGACTACAAAAATGGACGCACCTGTTCATCTTGTTGTTTAACACGGCTGAAAATGATCATCTATTAATGTTGTTCCCGCTCCTGCCCACTCCCGTTGCTGTTTTCCCCCGTCCCGTCCCGATCAAGGGGTTATTTAAAAATGACTCCCATCCCGTGGGATTCCCGCGGGAATCACGTGACCCACGGGAATTCCCGAAAAATGTCATCCTCTACAGGGAAGGTCCCGGAGCAGATGAAACAGGTGCCGGAGCGGCTGAAATAGGTCCCGGATCCGATCAAAAGAGGTCACAGAGCGCACTATCAGATTATGAGGCCATTGTCCCAGCTCAAATATCCCTTAAGTGTGTAACCCAGGTAACCCGCAACGGCGGGAGACGCTGGACACGAAGAGGGCACGTAAAGCGGCGTCATGTCGCAAAATCGAAAGAGAAATGCGAGCCAACATGTCAACGCATCCTTTTCTTTGTAAGAAAACATTGTTTTCTTTTCCGTTTGACACCAAATACACTTACTGAATGTGCAATTATTGTTGTTGTTACTATGAATCATCTGATGGCACAAGCCCTATGGATAAAATACAGCCTATCGCCAGAAACGATAAAAAATAAAAATGGCACGATAGACATTTTCTATCGTGCCCACGATATCTATCGTCCTATCGCCCAGCACTACTTCAGGGTGAACATAGCCCTGAAGTCTGTGAATGAGTGAATGACTGCTCACTTTCTGGGAGGATCTGGGAGATGTAAAGAGTTGCTGGAAGTTACTAAGTACTGTGTGTCACAGCAGGTGAAGTCAGACATACAGCACTCAGCTCCACTCGCTTTAGTCATCCAGCATATGTAATCAGAAGTTCCAGTGAAGCAGCTCTTTAGAATATTTGAAGTAGTTTCATCAACAAAAGCAACCGTGGATATTTCTTTCTTTAAAACAGAACTATGCAAACTAGTTCATTTTAAACTGTGTGAACTAAACATTGAGCCAGTTCACTTTCTGTGTTTACTTCCACAACACTTGATCTAGTAATGCTGAAATGCTATAGTTGTCAGTGTCTGAGTTAGAGATGTACCAATCATTTTTGTCCCGATCCAATCCGATACCGATACTTGGGCTGAGCATATCGGCCGATATCCGATACCGTTGCAACACTACTGTTGAGTAAATGAACTGTATACCTTGCCCTGTGAGTGAAGGCATCAGGCTTGACATTAGCGTTGTTAAAAAAAGGTAACAAATTAACACAGATATAATTTTACTTAATATTATTTATTAACAAATTACAAATTGCACATTAGGACACAGCAAAAAGAAGTAAGACTTTCATGCCATCATTTAGTGCAAAAGGATAATCATAATATAATATAATACAATATAATGTAATATAATATAATATAATATGAACTTGTCCAAAAATTAAAAAAAAAGAAGACTGGATCGGAACGCTGAATGGGCGTCATTCATCAGATAACCGATCCAGTTAATTTGTCAACATTGGAGCTGATATCCAATCCAAATATCGGAATATCAATGCATCCGTAGTTTGAGTGAATGTCGTTAAAAACCTTAACCAGAGTAGCCTCCATATCATCAGCAGTTATTAAGTTTCAGAAAGTTATTTAACTGTTGAAAAACTGCTTTTCACATGTGCATGACACCTAAAAATAAGGCGAATAAGTCAAATTTAACAAAAATTACATCTACAGGGTTTGAAATACTGTCCTACTTTCGGTCAAAAGTACAGTTTTTATATGTACAAGAAAAAATCAGTGAGAACCAATAAGAAATCTCAAAGATGATAGTAAAAATCAAAAGAAACCACATATTTTAAGATGTGTTATTGTTATACGCCTTCCTCATCGTGGAGCCTCTAACAAGGTCAAATAAATGTCTGTCTCCTTCCTGAAACAGGAGAAGTGCATCACTGTCTGAACGGAGCTGCCATCATTCACAGGAGCTCTTCAGCTGCAGCTCGGTGATCATATCACGGTTCACATTAAGCTCTGTCCGGAAGCAGGCAAACAGACAGCACTATCAGATTATGAGGCCATTGTCCCAGCTCAAATATCTCTCTGTATGATTGTGAGAAACCCAAGGTAGTGCAAGTGCCCTCAGTGAGTCACCCACAAACAAATAAATGTACCCTCTCTGAAGACAGGCTGAATGTGATGTGATTTTAAAAGCCTCTTGTTTGGTTTCGTATCTTAAAACACAGTCTCAGAGGTTTAAAGTGACCCTTGAGTTTAATGACACTCTCTGTCAGGATGATTTCACACTCATTCATTATTTTACTCTCCTGGAAGCAGCAGTCTGTCAATATCAGCTTCTGGCTTCAGGCGTAGATGGAGAGACGTGAGCAGCAGAGGAGATGAGTTTAGCAGTCAGCCAGTGAGGTTAGAGCGATGTGGTTGTTACTGTGAGTTCAATCAGAAGAGTGAGCCACATGAAGATACAAATTCACACTCCTGTAACGAGTTTTCATATTTCAGACTGAAATTAATACTGATTTCTTTTTATGACCTACTAAAGCAAACCATCAGAGACCATCAGCATAAATACTTACAGTTTATTCTTAACTCTGCAACCACAGCTGCTGCGGTGGTGATCAGACGAAGTGATAAACAGCCAGCTACAGAAACAGCCTTTTTTTTTTTTTTGCATTTACTTCAGAGATTCTGAATGTTCAGAGTAAGCAGGATGAGATTTTTTTCATGGGAAAACACATACAAAGAGAACGCAAAGAGAAAAGAGGGACCACTTTATCCACAGGAAAACACACATGACACAAACCTCAACTGAGAGTTTGTTCTCTAGTGTCCTTTCATAGCTTTCCCCATTAAGTGTAACATGTTTTTAAAGACACATTTTAGCTGCCTACCCTTGTTACATGCTCTCCGCTTGCTCACAGATCTTTAATAAATGGTGGCGATCTGCTGCAGTGTGCAGTTCTCAGGCAGCTGTCTGAGACCGACCACAGTTGGTGAGTCAGCAGCAGGTTTTGTGTCAGTCTGAAGGCCACTGGGACTGACAGCTGTCCTCCGCCTCCCTCTGCAGCAGAGTTAGCAAAGGCTAGTCATTAACTGCGTGAAGGTTATCACTTTTGACATGACGTGGAAAAGATTTTTCAAGGAGTGAGTTTTTATGAACAGAAGAGATAGAAGGCATACAGTCGGAACAAAGCAGTGAGAAAAAGCAGTACATTTTTTCGGCTAAAAAATCTGGCCAACAGAGAGTCTAAAGAAAACTGCTGTTCCTCATGTGTTCACTTGAGATCCAAAAACCAAGAAACTCTGTGATCTTTGAGCCTTTGCACAGAAATGGGTTCAAAACAGGCATAACTCAGTAGTGGAAATCACTGCATTAGCTCAAAGACCACTGTCTGTGAGCACATTGGAGGTTAGGACTGGACCATGCTTCGGGCAAAACTTAAAGGCATGGTTGACGATCTGGGAAGCAGTTGAAAAAAACTGAGCCATTGAGGCAAACTGCTCCACAATAACTCCCCCTCATACCTGTATCGCCCTCCCCACAACACAACCCCCTCTGGCAGAGCAAGAAGCTGGCTGGCAGAAGATCCAACGCTAACTTCAAATAGGATTCACCATGTCGGAGTGCTCGTGACTAGCAGCAGTAAACACCTGCTCTGTTAGCGAGCACCGTCTGCAGCTGCCTGGACAGCTACCATGTTGACATTGCTGGGATTACTATGAGTTATTTATGTAACAATTGCCACGACAAAAGGCAAAAATGACCTGTTCAACAAAAACTCTGCTGTCTTGGCGTCTGTTTTCAGGCTCAAATCCTGGCGGAGCTCTCTCCACCGCTTGGAGGATGACCCGATGTTTATTCGAGTTAGATTCCTCACTTGATCACATTTCCTCTTCGTCTCTGCCCTTTCTTCTGTCGGCTTGTATTTTCTTCCGACTTTCGGTGCTGGGGCAAGCAGAAGTGTTTTTTTTGTTCTTCTCCGTCACAGCTCCTGTAGTTAAGCTACTACGCTACTTTTAGCCACTTAGAGCTTCGAGGAGGCCCGGGAGAGTGGGAAGGGACGAGTCTGAACTACAGGAGAGGGGTGTGTCAAATACAGCGAGGTGATTGGATCGAGAGGCAGAGCAGGAGATTGACCAACAGGAGCTGTCCGGGATGGATGGCTCCCATTGGTCAATGTTTTTGCAGCCCTGCACCTGCTAAGGTGAATGGATTTTTTCCATTCTTCTTGATCGCACTATAGGATCATGATTGCCATATAAACAAGATTCATAATAATTACCAATTTCTCAATCGTCAACCATGCCTTCAACAAACATGATCCAGATTACCTGCACCTTTTTGTTAAGTTGCTAGTTGTCTAAGAGAGCGATGATGATGTTTCCTGATTTGATAATAACTGCAGAATCTTTCTCTCCACTAGCCTTGCCCATAAACCATGCTCCCCCGAACATTTAGAAATTCTCCTTCAGGCTTTCCTGTGAAGTTTAAATTCACGAAGTATGCAGAAAGACAGCCGGCAGAGAGCTGCGTCTGCACTGTGAGAGCAAGATAAGACTGTTGTGCTCTCTCTTTACACTCACTCTGGTTAGAGGGGGAGGAATTCGTCCTTGTCCCATCGTTTTCCCATTTTTTTCACAGTCTTTGATACACACGCATGCACACACAAACACACACACACACGGCTGATCTGTGAGCACAGTTGCTGTTTTTGTTTTAGATGTTTAAATGAGGGCACTACAGGGCTGGGGGATCAGAAACTAAAGTAGATTTGATGTGGCATTTAATCACATGCTCAATTTGATGTGGAATTTGTGTGTGTGCGTGCGTGTGTGTCTATGTGTGTTAAGGACATGTGTGTCTATGTGTGTTTAGCACATGTGTGTCTATGTGTGTGTCTATGTGTGTGTGTGTGTGTGTGTGTGTTCATTCACATATTTCATTTGGCTGCATACCGATTTGTTTGATTCTTGTTTGCTGCTGGTTGCACATTTGTGTGTTTGTGTGTCATCTTTATGAGTTTTTCTTTTTTTTGTGTGTGTGTGTGTGTGTGTGTGTGTGTGTGTGTGTGTGTGTGTGCGTGCTGAGTGATGCCTGAGCCATCTGTGCCTGTTGTACCTAGGCCAGTAGAGCGACTGGAGCGGCTCCAGCAGCCGGCTTCCTCGGGCTCCTGCCGTCTGCCCTCACATTCACTTCACTGAGACAGGAAAGGAAGCTTCTCCATCTTGGACCTTCTTCCTGCTCCGTCCCCCCTCACACTGCGCTCCAGTAATCCAGCTGGATTGAAATGATTAGTGGGGGGAAACAGATTTGATGAGACATTTAATTATAGGTCTTACTGGATGTGGACACTGCCTCTGTTACTGAGGGTTTGTTAGAACCAGGCAGTAAAGGAAAGGCTGGTGTGCTTCTTGGTGTTAAGATTTCAGGCTGCTACAGTGCATGTGATCACTTGGGTTGGTCAGGGGTGGAATTGCCCCCTCTTGGATCGAGGGGTTCCTTATGTTAGATTCACTGAAGTTGATTGTTGATGTTTTGTTGATGCTAGAAAATCTCTGCGCATTTTCCAAGACAGGTGTGCAGGAGAGGATTTGGTGCATTATAAATGGCAAGCATTGCCAGTGTGAGGAAGTTCGTTTGTATTGTATTTTTTTGGTTACCATATTGACCTGATAATGAGACCATTTTCCCTTCTTTGAAGTACATGTAAAAAAATCACATGTAAAGTGGGAAGGCAGGATATCAGATTATTGCTGATATCCAATGTGCTGATTTTGCCAAACTCTTATTGGCTGATATCTACACTGATACCGTGATGGTACCAATATAGACACAACTGTTTTGTCAATGTTAAGGATGCAAAGTTTCTCTTATGGCAAAATTTGCTCCTTTTATCATGACCGTTTATTCACTTTGGACCAAGATGAACAAAATTTGATTCTCCCATAAATGCTATGTATGTATTCTACATACAGACATTCAGTAATGCATCTGCTGTCTGTTTCCAACTCTTGAAACAGCAAACATGTGTAAGCTGTCAGCATGTACTTGATGCATCACCTCTTCAGCCGATAATTATATCTGCAGAAATGTTCATATCTGCCAATCCAGATATCATGCATCTCTTATCTCCTTAGAATAAAAAGCCAACGCAGATACTTGATTCTGATTGACCAATCATATACAAGTATTTGATACAAGTGTCTCCATTTTGAAATTGCCATCATTTTTTTGCATTATCGTGAAACACTGATCTTGAAGTTAGTATAAATCTAGCTCAGATTTGTAGATGAAGTTGTGTTGCACATGTTCTGCTGACTTTAATGTGTTTGACTGAGCATAAACCATTGTGTTAGAGCCCCTGACACTTCCACAGTAGATGAGAGCAATTGTGTCAATCGCTCCAGGTAACTGCATAGCTTTTTAATGGTTCAGTCTTGTACAGTGATCTAATATTTATCATGGTGTTGCACAGTAGTGGTGCTACAAATAGCAGCATTGGTTTGCCTCTTTTTCTCAGCAGCTTGGGGAAAGCGACGCTGTTTTCTGAATTAAAAAGCTTTTCTGTAACCAAAGTAGTGTGGTAGTAGCTTTACAAGTTACATGTTCCCACAACAAAACCACATTGCATTTACTGCTGAAGTCTGAAATAAAGTTGTCAAGGATCACTTAAGAACCAAAGCCAGCATGTGAACTCCTATTTGTAGATTCGTCCACCAGCGTCTTCTCTCTCAGTTGATGCTTGTGACATGCATGCTTGTCCCCTTGTGTTCTTGTGAAACATGTGGGCTGCATCTCTGCATGTTTAACACATTTATTCATGCAGACAGACACAGTCGTATCATTCATCCATGAGTTTATCTGTTCGCAGTGCTTTTAGTTTTGAGGGCAAACATCTAGGTCAACACCACGATACAAAGCAGAAGTAAAACCCTGCGTATTTAAATTTGACTCAAATTGGCATGAAATGTAAGCTGACTGCAGCTTAAACCACAAACTCTTTTTACAGGGATTTGCCCTCATCTTTGGCAACCAGTTTGAGCTGCGTTCAAATGTACCTTTGTCTATCTTTGTGTGCCCTTGTGAGGCCGGAGCCTCCCTGAAACAATGTACAGCACCTCAGGAAAAAGATTATCAGTCCTATTATTGTGAAGAAGGAAGTTTGTATCCCCACCCGCCACACATCACAATGTTGGCTCAGTATAGAAACAAAGTCTGTGAGAACAAACACACACACTTCTGCCAATACATCCAGAAAAATCCTCCTGTTAACCAGAACATCCGACACACAGCACACACTGCTGTCAGCCAGCTCCTCTCTGATGGCCCTGTGCTGCATTTTTACTGCTGAGAGCTGAAATGAAATACAGAGTGTGATCTTCAGACTGGTTTGTGATTTTATAACAAGGTACTGTCTGGATGGAAAGACCTGTGTGCATTGTTCAGCAAGAATGTAGCCTTTCCAGACCTGTAAAATATCCATGCCATAGGTGCTGATGCCTCCTGACAGCGTCATAGATACTGGCATTTGAGCTGTGTGTTCATTAGATGATGAGTGGTCCCTTCCTTCTTTAGGCTGGATCACATTGGGTCCATGAACTCTAAATAGAATATCTGACCACAGGACGCTTCACACTTCACCTCAATTCAACCTTGCCAGCATTTCTGGATCCTGTTTAGATTTGATTTCCTCTTATATGGTGCCGTTTTTACCTGTAATGTGGATGCAGCTGTGAACTTTGTCAGATAGTGTTTTATTTCTGGAAGTGATTTTGACCCCATGCGGAGATTTCCACTACAGAGTCATGTCAGATTTTTGATGCAGTGAGAGTCAAAACCAACACAAACTGAAAGTTCCTCACAAGAAATTAAATAAAAGGGAAGCTGTTTCAGTATTTCTCTGTAAATTTATTTCAAACATGATTTCTGGTTTAGAGTTTTAATGAATCTGATTTAACTGCATTAAATCCTTCAAAATGTTTTCCTTGGAGTTTGAACTGGGGACGAACTGGAGAGTGAAATAATTATGTGAGACAGGAATATGTCTTTTCAATTATACTGAAAAGAACTCATACTAATGGGTTAGTGTGACTTCTGAGTGTGAGAGACTCCTGCCCAATACATGAGTGTATGACCAGTTTGTAGTTTAATGTCTCTGCCATGTGTGTGTGTGTGTGTGTGTGTGTGTGTGTGTGTGTGTGTGTGTGTGTGTGTGTGTGTGTGTACGTGTGTGTGTGTGCGCACGCGCGTGTGGTCGTTTATTTGTCTACCTCCTTGCATGTGTGTGTGAGTGTTTGTAAACAGGAAGTTTGAGGATGCCTGCAGTCAGAGGACACAGAGCCATGGGATTTCCCACAGTGACAGAACTGTAGCTGAACGTGGCTTCCCGTGTGTGTGTGTGTGTGTGGTGTGTGTGTTTCCTTTAACTGGGATGGGTTTAAAGGCTGTGTGAACTCTATACATCTGACTGAAAGTATAAGAGTTAGAGAAATGTTTGATTTATGTCATGTTTAAACTTCCCAGACTACAGGACTTTTACTAACTCCATTTCCAGTGAAGTTGGGACGTGGTGTGAAACTTAAACAAAAACAGAATACAAAATTTGAATATCCTTTTGGAGCTCTATCAATTGACTACACTACAAAGGCGAGATATTTAATGTTCAAACTGATAAACTTTAAATTTGATGCCTGCAAGTTTGACATGCAGCATCACTGCTTCATGAGCACATGTTTGTGTTGGGCACGTCGGGTGCATTATGAGATACTGTGTGACTTCCAGCTTAATAAAACATCCACTGTTAATTCTGAGCGAGATTGGTGCTAAATGCTAAGTAAAAAAAATACTTTTTGATAACATGTAACAGGAGCTCTGATCCTTCAAGTAACCCGAAACATCAAACACACTTTGTTCCTGAATGTCTGGAACATTTTGGTGTCTCGGTTGTTTGGAAAATAAACGAGTAAAGCTGTAGGCGCGTATTGAGAGTCACGGTAAACTCAGGTTTTTGTTGTGTTGACAGGAGGGAGTTTATTTCCCCTTTATACCGTGAGTCATGGGACTCCATGATGGCGACAAAGCCCCGCTGCATAATAGATGCAAGATGATGAAGCCTGATTAAGTGATCAATGGAAATGCCATGCAGCAGCGCATTAATCATTCAAGCTTTTTCAATAAACAGCAAACGTGCATCATATCTTAGCAGAGCTCTGCTGAGGAGGGTAAAAGAAAAAATCGATGCACTTGAGAGGCTCTTTAGCAAAAGACAAAAATCAAAATGTTTGATCGTTTTAGAAGATAAATGACTCAACTGCCCCATGAATTTGCTGACACTGTAACACCTTATTTCATGATAATAAGAGTCTACCATCTAATCCAAAGGAACTCACTTAGTTTTTAAATGAAGAAAAGTATCAGTCGTTTTTCCACTTATTTTTAATTTTCTTTATCTGAAACATAGTAAATGAACCTCATGTTTTCAATTCTTGGTGACAGCTTTTCCACAACTACTCTTTGACCCCCAGATTTATATTTTTTATGTCATATTTGTTCTTGTCAAGATTTGGAAAAGTGCTCTTTTTATAAGCTCTCTCTAATACAAAACAAACTATCAATAAATTGAAAAACAGGGCGAGATAAGTTTATATATATTTCACATTTTGGTAGTAAAAAAATAAAATAAAATCAAGGTTTTAAAAAACATCTTGTAAAATCAAAAATGACTAAAACATGAAACTTGAAACAAGCTTTTAAAAATCAAAGCAAGAAAAAATAAAATCAGCAGAAACAGAGGGTTCAAATATGCAGCTGTAAGAGAATTTTAAAATGAAAAGAAACACTTGAAGGTGCTCTGTAATGAACAGTTGAAACACAAGGACTATAGAGTCTAAAAAAACAGTTCCCTTGTAATACTGACAAAGTCCTAAAGCTTAAAAGGATTTTAATTCATTTACAGTCTGCTCATATGTCTGATGCCTGTACAGGACCTTCGAAAATTGATATAATGAATGTAATAAGTTTAGAGTTTTCCGGATGTCTTTAGATTTTATTTCAGGTAATGGTTTTCTACGTGGTTTCCAAGGCTGATAGAAATAGTTTTAAAGCTGCACCTGAGGTTTCTGCCGTGTGAATGCTGGAAACACCCTAATCTTATTAGCAGTCTGAGCTCCAGGAACGCTCATTGTTTTATCTAAGTTTTCGCTTTCAAGTTTCACATCTTTTGGTTTAAAATTCAAGTAAAGCTGTAGGTATAACCCTAAAAAGTAGATTTTATAGAGATGAGAAAAAGCACACTAAAAATAGGCCTCACCTTTTGTACAAGACATTAAAGCATCAGCAGTAAGACAGAAAACATTGCTTTAAGCTAAAGCATGTAAGCTGAAGTCAAAAAATGTTTCGTACAAAGTTAAGTGTGTATATTTCATGGTAGCTAATTATTCACAAACAGTAAAATAATTTATAAAAAGCACTGCTGATTTAGTTAATTTCCCCCAAAAAATGTATTACACCATGCAAAATGTATATTGCACATTGAAAATTGAGTATTGCATCCTCAGTAAGAAGTTAAATATTCATCAAGTAAACAATGTGTGTTGCACCACTAAACCAGCAGTATATTTCCTACGAGGTAATCCAAAAGGGCAAAGTTTAAAAGTTCACCAGATGTAACTCACAATAAAAAGGTAAATTGTGTACAGTATAAAAATCATAATTTGGGATAAAAAAAACAACAATGCACAGTAAAAATATATATTTAATTTTAACTTATAATAGTTGGTGGTAGTTATCAAAAATGCACAAGAAAAAATGCAATAATTGCACAGAAGGTAACTTACTGCACCAAAGATTGTGCTTTGCATGCTACATTTTATGTACTGGCCAAAAAGAGAATACTGGACAGTAACAAAGATTATTTGCATCATGGTACATATTGTACAGTAAATGCATGGTAAATTGCACCAACATTTTTTTTATTGTGCAATTGAAAAACATTTCCTGTGAGTAGCTGAATGCAGGTCATGTGTATTTTATGTAAACAAGGAGTGTAAGTATTTGGCATTGATGTAAAAACATCTTGCTTATGGCATTGTGGTTAAAACTGTGACTGAAATGGCCTTTAAATGTAATTTGTTTTATAATTCCTAAAAGTAGGATTATGGTTAGTAAAATAAATACACTTTGGAATAGATAAAAAAAACTGTTTTGATTATTTTGCAGATTAAATGTAAAATTAAAACCCTTTTTATCACAAAAAAGAGCTATACCTCTACTTCAAACATCCTAGCCCAAATCCAAGGTCACACATATTTGCATTGTCAATATTACATTGCAATGACCTTCTCTTGTAAGGTGACCTTGAGTGCTTTAAAAGGCGCCTTTTTATAAAATGCATTAGTATTATTATAAAAGGGATTTTTAAAGGGGAAAAACAGGAGGACTCACTGTAGCTGTCATGGAGCGCAGGGATCTTCGCCCTGCTCTGAATTTTACAGCCACACTCTAATTCTTTATACAAGGTGCAGGTTTTTTACAGCAAGTCTGCCAAATACAATTCTCCAGCATGCATTATTGACGAATATAGTTTGCTATGAACAGTTTGAGACCTCGGTTAACCCTCATGTGGATTAAGAATAAAGACTTTTTCTTCTCACTTGAAGCTACAAATCAGAACACAGACTCTTCTCACTGTACTCGCTGGTTTTTGCTTCAGTATTGACAGATTTTTTGAAGGATTGTCTCTCGTACTTCTCTCTCAATATATATTTTATTGTGATTACACATTGTGCTCAGGCCAGCAGGCTATAAAAAACTTATTTTAGAGAGAAACTTGCTGCACGTTGCTCAGGTCTGAGCAGTGTTGTGTTGCGTGGGCGTGTTGCTTACTGCCTTGTCTGTTTCTCTTCCTGTCTCTGTGAGTCGAGCTGCTCATAGAGAATCTTTTCGGTTGGAAAACTTGTTTTCATATCTCTGTAGGCGACAGTGGGCAGGTGTTTTCTCACAGTTAAAGCCTTTTAAGCTAGCAGACTGACTGTATGTGTTAACCAAGTGACAAAAATGCTTAAAGCTTCCTGAAGCTCTGTTTACATCTTTGGCAAGAGTCGAAGCTGAAGTATTTTTGTGTACTTTGAATTGTTAGACTCAGCAGCTCAGGAGGAAATTGTTCGAATGTGAAAACCAGTTTATCTCTTAAGCACCATGTTTTGTTCTTTTTTATTATTAATAAGAAAAAAAAATCATCAAGGAGCAATTTCCTATGAAGACCCATTTATTGAGTCAGCTCTCGGCCCCGCTGCTCTGTCTAAACTCACAGGTGGAGAGACTCAGAGGGCTTTTGTTAGACTTAAGGGACGTAAAACAGCTGTGGAGCATTTGTTTCATCCTGGGGATTATCACGTGGCGTGATAACCTCCAGAATCTGACAAATACATGGGGTTGAGATTAGGCCTGCATAACGCAAAAAAAAAATGCAACGTGTTACATGTTTTTCAGTGTTGTGACATGAGTATGAAGTAAATAAACCTATTAAAGAGAGAGACTGAAGCTTGAATGTCTTTCTGCTGTATACTTAGTTTACACTATACCTGCTTGATGCATGTTCCTCATGAATAAAAAAAAATCCATCATGCAGTATTATTTTTTCCAATGTCTTTATTATTATTGTTTTTTTTTAATTTACATCAGTTCATCTGAGAGTCACTGATAGTTTGAGCTTCATCTGTCTGCATAAATACAGTTGAAGATCTCATACGATGAAGAACCAGTTTTTCTTAGAAATCCTGAGCTTTCATGAGGCAATTAAGGATGTCTCCTGTGGTGATGTAACAACAAGGAGTATTTTTATAAACCACTCCACTAATTTTAACCTGAGAAATGATTTCATAACATTACTGCAACACTTCAACAGTTCCCTTAAACAGTCCCCTGCTCCTGTTCAGGCTTAGATTCGGGATCATATCAGTGGTATACAAGATTACGTTCTTCTGGAGCTCTCGTCGTATTTGTTTTGCTGTTTTTCCGCCTCTTTTCCAGCATTCATCTGCATTAACATTACCATAGCATACCCCTCAGCTTGATCACTACATGGATGTTGAGTTCATAAACTGAGAGGCTGCAGATCCTCCAAAGAGGTTTGATTTGTGATGTGTTTTTGCAACTGTATTCTTTAAGTGACTGTATTAAAAACTATTCAGTAAATTCATACTTTGGTGACGTATTTGAGATTCTTCTGATGATTGAGAATACTTGTGTTGGGAAAACCTTGTAAATGTTAATAGTTGTACAGCCCTTGTTATTGATGATGTTTGCCTAGTTCTAGACTACAAAATTTCAGTTAGGAAAGTTCATATTAAAGAGTGATATGTGTCTGATTGGCTGATTGCTTTAATGACATGGTAACACAGTATTGTATAGAAACAGAATGGTTAGATCTTTGTAATATGGTTTCATATCTTTCTGTGTAAATCTCATCTCTCTTTTATTACTCTTCAGGGTTCAAAGAAGTCTAATAGTTTCATAGAATTCCCTTTAATTTGGTGATGGGGAGGATGATGCAGTGCAGTGTTTGAGAGACTTCATGAACTACATGAAGCACTCTCTGGAGCATTGGTACTTTTCAAAGCTTACTTCTTCAAGTTCCAGTACTTTTTATTAAAACAGCACGGTTCACACTAGTAGAGCAAGTTACCGTAACTCGATGTTTGTTTGTTTTTTTAACCTATGAAGATTAAAGTAGTGAGAGTGTTGCTTAGTTCCCAGCAGAGGGACTGATCACTTCATGCATAAGTGAGAAGACATCAGATATGACTCATGGTTTGATTCCTTTCATAATTCAGAAGGCTTTCAAAAAGGCTTCTCTCTGTGCTTTCACAGGACCCACAGGAGTCCCTGCTCACCCATAACAGACACGTTTGACTCATCTTAGGGTTCACCTAATGAAACAAGAACAGCCCACGGCTGTGGAAACCCTGACAGGCAGCAGGAAGTGTGGGTTCAACATGGGGTTCCATATGAATATGATTTATTTAGGTGTATAATTTATTGATTCATATTTTTTTCTGTTGCTTTTCAAGTCAGGAACAGACAGGGGGATGTTGTGAGTGGGGTGGCCCCAGTCTGGAGTACTGACTCATCCTGGGTATTGGGTGTGTGTGCTCACACACATTGACTATTTCAGTGTCCTCTAATCCTTCATCTGCTAACATGAAGGTATCATACATAAGATACATCAGGCAAAATCTGCCTTTAACTTGAGTGCTTCTCTAGACACACCCCTGGGAGAGGTATGAAGAAGAAAGGGTGATTTAAAATTCACTCTTGTTTGATTTCTTGTCTTTATTATGTAAAAAGTTCATAAACAGCACCGAAGATGGGTCAAGATTTTCCACAGAGAACAAGAAGTCTGAACCTCATTAACGATTCTGTTTTAAAAGTTGGAAATTTCACAGTAACATCAGAACTGAGAGAGTAAAACTGAAGTCCATGTCTTTAAATGTATTCATAAATTCAGTTTGAACATCTTTTTCAGAGAGGTATTCAGCCTCAAAAAACATGATTTTATCTTTTGAAATATATCAGATTTAAACGCTTCACTTTAAATTTCAGTAAACAGTAAAAACGCATGGATGCTATCTGAGCTGACTGACTCAGTGCAGAGGATGTGTGGGAGCTGCTGTTGCAGGCCCTTCAAAAAGTCTGAATTTCTTTGTCTTCTGGTGGAAACTTTTTTTAGACAACATAACCCTGTGTTGCTTAACATTGGTTTATACCCTCAAAACCTTTTATTACCTCTCAAACAGAGCCATTAAAGGATTTTGAGCTAAGCAGTTTTATGTGCTTCAAAGAAGGCATGGACAATCAGGTCAGTTTTCTATCTTAAGCTTTCATTTTCCTTTCAGAGTTTTCATCCAAACATCAAACACAAATCTTTGATGGCATTAAACCTACAGAGGTCTGTGCGTTAGACAGCTGACAGTCTCTGTTAACAGTGAGCACAAATGTAAAGAGGCTTACAGAGCGACACCAGGCTTTATGATTAAATGGTTTCTTGATACCTGATACGGATTTAAGACGGTCGTGGAGACATTTCCCAAACTATCCCCAGTGTCAATGTTTGTGTTTTATAAAGTATGAGAAAATTCTAGTATATTAAACACAACAGGTGCTACTTTTCCTTCCTGATTATTTTTGGTTGTGAAAGCCTGAAGAGTTTCACACAGAGATGAGATCATCAATAATGTTAACCAGGTGTCGGTTAGCATCTACAGAGTGTGTGTGAGAGAGAGAGGGTGTGTGTGTGTGTGTGTGTGTGTGTGTGTGTGTGTGTGTGTGTGTGTGTGTGTGTGTGTTAGTGGTAAGGCCATGTCTTAAACAGCCTCCTCTCTCTCTCTCGTCCATCTTTTTGATTTTCTCTCACACAGACACACACGAGTATCAGCTCTTGTGGTCAGAGCTGCTGCTCACTGAGCTCACTGTGGTGAAGTCCCACAGAAACAGTGTGGGCGTTCAGCTTTCCGGGTTGATATCATTTGTATTTTCTGTATTCAGACCAGTTTTACTTCGAGCTTCCAGTGCAAGTATCATGAAACGACATCAAGTTTGTGCTCTGCTGATGTGATACTAACGGTCATATTTATCAGATTCACCTGGGTCAGGTCTGTCAGGACTACATTAGGACCCCTGGATCCATGAATATGGAGTGATCAGGGGTCGTTTGTTTTAATGATAATAATAATAATAATAACAATAATAATAATAATAATAATAATACAGTTGATAGTGCATGGTAAGGCAGCTTTACTTGCATTTTGTTCTCTGAGACAATTAAACACATCAGTGTCATGAAAGAACATAAGAAAGATGTAGAAGGTGAATTCAAACAAAATACAAGTATTAAACAGTTTCAATTCACCAGATTTTTTAGAACAAAAGTGCAGACTGAAGGTAAAATAATCAGAATTAAATTTCAATAAATGTAAGTGAAAAAACAGGAATGATAGCAAAATGAAAATAGAGCTGAAAGAAACAGATATTTGAAACTACAGAAGCATAAATAACACTTGAAAACAGACAGTTATTGTTAAAAATGAATCAAACCAGGGCTGAGGTTAAAATAAGACTAAAGATGACAATTTTTATCACATTAAAAGAGAAACATATGGTGTTGTAATGTCCTTCTATAAACATCCATGTCCACTGTATAACTGCACAAACTCAATGTGAGTTCAGTACATGCCTCTGTAGATGTAGCATGTTATGTTTTTATGTTTTATTAGAAATAAAAACTTGTACTGTCATTGATAAAAAAAACCCACACATTTATATACAATAAATGTGTGTAAAAAGTAGTAATTGTCTGTTTCTTGCGTTGTCAGTCGCTGTGGTTTCTGTTGTGGGTCGTTGCTGTAGATTTTGTGTTTTTCATTAGCTCACAGGAGGAGTAACATTCTGGGCTAAAATCATCACTCGTGAAGAGGATGTGTCCTCAGCAAACACCAGCTTTACCCATTTCTCAGTCTGGCTGTTGAGACACATAATCAGGGTACATTTGTGGGTGAGTTGAGGCTCACAGTAAAATAAAAGCAGCTGCTCTACAAATCTGTACTCATTAAATCTGAATATATAGTCATGCTGCTTTCAATCCTGCAGATTCACTCTCTGTAGCACCTCCACCTGTCTGTCCCACAGGAAGCACAGCTCAGGGCTTACTGAGGAAGCTCCACGCTCCCCAGAGATTAAATCACTTCAGCGTGTACCAGCGCTTATCTGTGAGCGGTGGCTAATTAGATTTTGTGGCGCTGATATGAATTATCTGATCTGCTGCTTATCAGAGACGCCTCCAGGTGCGGCTGAGGTAAGAATGGGAACGAAGACCGGTAAAATCTCTGCTTGTTTTTCTTTTAATCTCTGTTGTTGCAGTAAATATTGAGAAACCATTCTTCCCTTCATTCATTCACGACTTTACAAGTACATTCAAGTCAAGACAAATAATCACAACAGAAGACAAGTGCTGAGAAAAGGAGGCAAATTGACACACACAAAAAAAAATCAAAGCAGTAGTACAGCTACATCTAAGAAGCTGATTTGGCCTGTACAGTACATGAACTCAGTGTTTAAGAAACCCAGTTTGTGTTTGAGCTTGAGTGCTTTTATTCTGAAGGGACTCTTAAAGCACTTCTGCAAGATCATAGAGATATTAAGTAAAAACAGCTGAAAAATGTAGAAGATATTAACACCAGAAATATGCAGCAAGTAGCTTACTATATAATACAAAGCCATCATTGTCTGTTATTTGTTGGCCTTAGATGCAGGGCATATGTTGTGTAGCATAGCCACCCTCTACAAGCCTTGGCTGTCGCTCTGGTCAGTGTCAGTATCTTGTAGAGAATCACAGTCGGATGGTATGTTAATGTGGAAATCTGGGGTTGCATCTTCAGCTGAACAAACTTCACTTGCAGTCGCCTCTATCCCACAGATTTTTGTTGTCTTGTGAGGTACCGTATGTACATCCTTGTGCTACATGGTTATGAATAGCAGCCGCTTGATATAGATGAGTGACTATTTCCAGAGTAACTATGAGTCTTAAGTTCAGGTAAAGAGGAGTCACTGGATTCCCTTCGCTGAAAGGAGTCCGTGTAAATGTCCTCCTACACACACACATTCACTGCTGTGTGAGCTCAGGGGAACTGCTGGTTTCTCAGATTTGTGATGTGTATTGTTCTGCCCCCACACTCAGTGAGCCACACAGGGTGTTACTCAATTCTGTCTTTCTCAGTTCCTGATTGAGACATTAATACGAGTTACTCACTGATTCACCATGACCTTTCACATTAAAGAGGAAGAGAGGGGGAAAAAGTATCAAATATTCTCTTGAAATTAAATCAGTTACCGTGCGATGGTCCGGAAACTGAGTTGAAAAAATTCATTGTTAAACAGTGAGTTCAGACCAAATAATCTGATTGGACAAGAGGTCGTGCACGTGCGTTGATGTGAAGAACAGCAGCTCTTCTCTCACTGTGAGTCAGTCTGCCTCAGAACGCAGTTTGTTTTACAGTGTTTGTCGAGGTAACTCAAAGCTTAAAATCAGGTAATAGACTTCAATATGACGTAAGGACAGAAAACAAAGTAATACATAATAATGAATTATATATAATATTTATTATGGGTCATTATTCTGCTCTAATTTTGATTATTAAAAAAAACAAAAACTGAAAAACATGCCCTCATACTTGTTGTAAAGTCAATGGTTAAAATTCTTAAACACAAAAAAATTACATTTCTCACAAACTAAACGCACTGAGTCATGCTCACTTTCTCATCTGTAATATCTGTTACAAAAAAGTTGGAAATTAAGTATTGAAAAGGAACCCAAGCCCAATCAGTTTAATTCTTTTCTCTAGTCGTTTTTGGGATTTTTTTTTTTGTTAAGGACAGGCAAAGAGACTTTCCCCCAGTCAGTCAAACCATTATATACCAATTTTTTTTGGTGAGAGAATCAGTCTAAAGAAATAGCCCTGTTTTTACAATTTCCACTTGAAATATTCACAATAGATGATTAATTGGATCACAAGTCAGCAGGTTTATGCGGTGTGCCAGAAAAGCAAATAGGGGGCGCCAATGTTGAGACAAACCGAAAGTTCCTCACAGGAGCTTTAAGTGATAATGCACCCAGCTCCATGAATATTTTTGCATGATAAAACCTATTGCATTTGTTATCCAATTTGGAAAATCATGTTATTTGTTTAACTGTTTAACTTTCTAAGGCTGTTCCAAAGTTTGACTCCCAAAACTAAATCATATTTGTATTTTACGTGATTTCTTTTCTGATGATCAGTACCTTGCACTCTTGCTGGTTTTATATCTAAAAATTGACTTGACCAGATACATCATACTAATAACATCCTATTTTCACCTTAAACTGACTATTTCAGTTAAAAGTAACAGGTTAGGTGATTAGGACTCTAACTTTCTGTTGACATTTCTGTCCTCATTGAGCTCTCCTCAGAGTTAAAGTAGTGCTATTTCTATACTGTTGGTGATATCACTACCTTTACCTGGTTAAGTTACTTTTTTAGTAGCTGACCACTCAGGAATGCTCTCACAATCTCTAATGCTGGTGCACAGATTGCAGGACAAAAATGTTTGAGGCCCAGTAGCTCCCCAGGCTGCTCTCACATCTTTGCTCACCTACTGTCATTATTGCCACACACTCAGGACCAGTTTGAGAAATGTAAACAGGCTGTCAAAGAGTTGCTTTTGCTGCTGAGAATTAACAATACTTTTTAAGTGATTTTGACCCTTCAAAATCAATCACCAGACACAGCCAGGAAAAACGTTGACAGATTTCTTAGAGTTGATTTAGATTAAAGCAGATTTAATGTGTGAAGCTTTAATCCAATGCTCATATGTGGTTTTATTTTAATGTCTAAGAGGACATAGTAATTATAACACCTTCTTATGGTCCTTTTTTAAATTTTTGACTCAAAATTAAAAGCAGTTTTATGTTGACGTTAGTTTTTATATGAAACTATATTAAGTTTCTCTTGACCAGTATCTATTGCCTCTTGTGATGTTTTACCTCAAACAAATGATGATTCAGGAAGTTAAATGAATCAGAAGTCAAAAATTAACAGATGTGCTGATTTGGATGAGAATACAATACTTTTCTCAGTCACCTGAGCGAGCACAGAGCAAAAAAAAACTGCATTTTTATTTGACATTGTGAGCTGCTGAATTGCTGGTAAGATATTCACTTCAGTCTGCAAAACGCTGAATAATTCACCGGGTTTCTTTTTCCACAACCCTGTTTGTCCTGAGCTCTTGTGGCAGTTCTCTTCAGTCGACAACTTTCAAACTTTTCCACCTTTTTTTCTTTCCCTGACTCCAGCTGTTTCAGACTTTCCAAAAAAGTGTGGATGCAGAACAGTTCTCCTTTTATTGACAGAAACCTCCTGAGGATGCAGACTCATGTACAGAGAATTAGATCAGTGTGCTCCTCGGCACACTCTGCTGCATTTTGACTGACTGCACTTATTCATTCATAAGAGCTGATCACTTATTATGAAAACAAATCTGAAAGTGTTGTTGAAAGAAAGGACATAAATATGTGTTTTAAAAAGCGTTTGTTTGTGCTCTCTTACAGACTAAAAGCTCTGGTGTCAACAGGAGGTCGGAGTGTACAAGCAGCATGTGACTGGTAAGTTTCAACTACTTATGTGTAGCCAAAACGTCCACGCCAGAAGTCTGGGAGGATAAGTGAGTATCATACTGCCCCCTACTGTAGAGAAGTGCATTATGTTGTTCTCAGTGACCAGAAAGTCTCTCACTCTGTCTTCTATGGATAATTAGGGCCCGAGCGTAGCTGCTAAGCAGCTGCGAGAGCCCTATTATTCCCCAAGGGGTTTTTCTTTGTTTCTTTTTTCTTTTTCCTCCCCTTTGAACTGGAAAATGGCCCACTTCCCACTGGCGAAAACTCATGAAATTTGGCAGGACGACCGGGCCTGGTGAAAAATTTGATATTCCGAAGTCGCCCAAACAAGAAAATGCAAAATGGCTCCATAGCGCCCCCTAAGGTGAAAATTCACACTATTGAGTGTCACGCCTGTACGCTTTGTCAAAATGACACAAAATTTGACACACACATGTATCTCAATAAGATCTACAAAAAAGTCAGTGCGGGCGTATCTGTCAAATGTACGGTTAAAGGGTTATTTCGCATTTTTTGCCGATCCGCACACATTGGAATTTCGCTAACTCCTCCGAAGGCTTTCGTTCCACCGGCACCACATTTGCTCAGGCCAATCTACACCCCATGGCCATTAAAAGTTATTCAAATCATGACGCTGCACCCCACGGTTTAGGTTCTAGGGGGCGCCAAAGATAACCCTAAAATCCACATATTTAAAAGTCTTATAACTTTTTATTTTTGCCCTCACTGGCCTCCAAGTTTTCTAGGATGATGCAATGTCCAGCCATCAACACATTTGTGAAGGAATTTTTACTCCCCAAAAGAGCGCCCCCCATGGCAGGAGAAAAAAGTCCATTTTTTCTTGTCCCCTAAGGTGAAAATACACATTGTTGAGTGTCACGCCTGTACGCTTTGTCAAAATGACACAAAAATTGACACACACATGTATCTCAATAAGATCTACAAAAAAGTCCATGCGCGCGTATCTGTCAAATGTACGGTAAAAGGGTTATTCCGCATTTTTTGCCGATTCGCACACATTGGAATTTCGCTAACTCCTCCGAAGGCTTTCGTTCCACCGGCACCACATTTGCTCAGGCCAATCTACACCCCATGGCCATTAAAAGTTATTCAAATCATGACGCTGCACCCCACGGTTTACGTTCTAGGGGGCGCCAAAGATAACCCAAAAAATCCACATTTTTAAAAGTCTTATAACTTTTTATTTTTGTCCTCACTGGCCTCCAAGTTTTCTAGGATGATGCAATGTCCAGCCATCAACACATTTGTGAAGGAATTTTTACTCCCTAAAAGAGCGCCCCCCATGGCAGGAGAAAAAAGTCCATTTTTTCTTGTCCCCTAAGGTGAAAATACACATTGTTGACTGTCACGCCTGTACGCTTTGGCAAAATGACACAAAAATTGACAATCACGTGTATCTCAATTAGATCTACGAAAAAGTCAAAGAGCGCGTATCTGTATAATGTACGGTAAAAGGGCTATTTTGCATTTTTTGCCGATTCGCACACATTGGAATTTCGCTAACTCCTCCTAAGGCTTTCGTCCCACTGACACCAAATTTGCTCAGGCCAATCTACACTCCATGGCCATTCAAAGTTGTAAAAATCATGACGCTGCACCCCACGGTTTACGTTTTAGGGGGCGCCAAAGATGACCCAAATATACATTACAGTAGACAAAGTAGTTTTGCCCACTGAGTGGCGCCAAAGGGACTTGTCTGTGGAGTCTGTGAGTCACTATTGGCCGTTTTTGACTACTTTAGATTTTACCTTTATATTTCCTCTTACAAAATTTTTACCTTGCCTTGCCTGGTATCATTTTTTTCAGCACAACCTCACCTGTGTCAATTTACAGTTATTTTATCATTTTGACATACTATATTTACACATTGGACCCAAATTCACACACAAAACATAAAATCCGAGTGGAAAAAAGTAACGTTTTTACTGTGAAAACCACAAATATGTGTGATGAACTGTTTTTAAAACTTAAACTTCAAATAAAAATTGTAAACTTCAAAACATATGCAAATTTTTAACAAAGAACATAGTAATTTACCTCTATTGACATCAAAATGCAGGCAATGGCCCAGGTGTTCTTTGTAAAATTATTTACAAAACACTGTATAGTCTCACAAATGTCACTTTTTATTTATGCCACTACAAAAAAACATGATGTAAATGATGCATGATGTAAAACATGATGTAAAAAACTTGTGTAGATCCTCCTCTATGTTAGTCCATGTGTAATTTTTCCATAATTCTTTGTTTTTTGCAGCATTTTTGTTAGTGTAACTGCAGATTGTGCTGACAGTGTCTATGGCAAAAAAAAAAAAAAAAAAAACTGAAAATGCCTCAACATGAACCCCTGGTGGTCTCTGAGGGTGAAACCTGCTAACTGCTGCAGCTCTGTCAGCTTCAGTCTCCCATGCAGAGCTCGGAGCGCATGTGTGGCTCTGCACCCTTAGCAGCGTTGCTAACTCCTCAGTAAGGAAAGCCTGCTTCATGTCAGAGTCTCTAAACTCCAGAAGAAGTCGATAAAAGTCACTTTCTTTCTAAAAAAGTCGTTAGGGGGTCTGAAAAGTCATTGAATCTAACAACAAAGTCGCTAGGTTTGCAACTACGTGTCCCAGACTGCATCCCTGCTGAGAGTCCCTCCCTCCCTTCTCATATTGCAGGAAGAACGTAAGTTCCCGCCCCTTGTCAATCAGTTACCATATAATTTTGGATTGGTTGTTGTGGTGAAGTTTTCCACCAATAGGAGAGATGTTGTGGTGTGTATTTTTTTTCCTTTGGCAAGCCTTTTCCGCCTGTAAGACCTGTCGCTAATGTCTGCATGCTATGTTTTCCTGTCTCATACAGCGCAATCGAGCGCCGAACGTGATCAAAATAAGCAGAAAACAAGTATCGCGGACATAATTTATCATAACTCTGGTTTTATTTGGCCTATCAACACAATTTAAAAACTGGTATATAGGTTGAGGTCCTCACTTTTGAGATAAATTGAAACGGAGAGTCAACGAGGCTCCGTCTTGCAGCTACATCCGGTTAAATATGTCATGTGACTCGAACGCACACACACACACACACACAGACACACACACACACGCACACACACACACTCAGAATCTGGTTTGTAGCACCTGCAAAAACATGCTATTTACATATTTGACAAGAATGCAGAGGCTCCTTTTGCCCCTGAAAAAAATCAAATTTCAAACACAACTTGACTGGTCATTTCTCCAAAAGACAACCATGAAGCTCCATCCAAACCTGAAGCAGGCAGTTGGTGCATGTGTACAGTAACCTGAGGGGAGTGAGGTGACTGCTTCTGAGGAGAACATGAGCAGTGAAGATTTACCTTAGAGCTAGAACAGAGACGTGCACATGATTATACAGGGGCAGGGGCTCAAGTTTTTTCCAGTCGTTTATACAATTTGGAAATTAATGTGAAATTAAAACACAAAGTATTAATAGAAAGGTAATGACTGTCCTGTGTAGGTGACAGTGATATCCAATAGGCTAGGCACTCACGAGGCTGGCTGTGGCAAGTGTAAGTGAAAGCAACACGCACCAGCAGGAAGAACAGCAAACGCTGATGAAGGAAATGGGTCTTTGCAGTGATGGGCGTTACCAGAGAGGGCGATGGCCAGAGGACACAAATGGGACGGGGAGGCAGCACGTTGGGGGGGGGACGCGACACAGCTCGGGCCCGCCAGTGCCCCAACGGGGTCCTAGTTTAGCCTTGTTCTATTATCTTTTTGTTTTAATCAGTAATCCACTTCTTTCTCTGCATCATATGTTTTCATATACACACTCTTTTACCAGAAAAGTTCCATTAACACTCAAAATCTTATTTTTTAACCTCAGAGGAATGCAAAGTTTTAGACATCATTGAATAAGTAAACAAAGATCATTTGAAGATTAGAGGAACAGTGGAAATGGAAATGTGTAGAAATATCCATCTGTCTGGCTCTAAACTAAATGGTCCCTTTGGTCTCTTACTCACTCCTCCTGTTTGTGAATCTATGGTGGCCTTTAAGGACGAAGGAAGAAGCTCTTGTAATGTATGATGAATATGGTCCTTCATTAGTCAATTTTTCACAATCAGAAATGTATAAAAAGTTCAAGAATCCAAGTCAGCAATAACAACCACATTGTTTATATTTATGTGAAATTACACCAGTTTAAACAGGGTTACAAATATAATACTCCAGATTCTACCAAGCACTATACATCGTACCGTTTTCATATTTGTTTTTGACAGCATTATTCATCTGAATGTTTTCCTGGTTAGTTTGTTTTAACAAGTTGTGATAAAACTTGATACAACTCTGACACAGCTCTGACTTTAATATGCTGTAAAGTATGACATGGATTTAATACTACTGTAGTTGTGGTTTATTGCCTTGAATATTCTTTAAGCTTAGGGTGTACAGATTTTAAATAACTGGGAGAAAAATATCAAGTAGTAGACTGGTCTCTGTTCAGCTCTGAAGTTTAAGATTTTTATTTTGTTCCTCAACTGTTTCTACTACTCATCTTACAAACTATCAAGCACAAACATGAATGAACAAACAGGTCCAGACTTTGAGAACTATCTGATCAGATGGAAGTTATCAGGAGATTAAATTGTCCAGGTTTTACCAGGATTTAATCTCGTTTGTATCGTTAAAAACTCGAGTATAATTTAATCATTAAGATCTAATATCAAAATGATCCTGATCCCTGCAAGGACTTGGATCCAGACCAGATTACAAGACTCTAAAAGGTCCAAAGGTCTGCTTATAGGTCACTGTTTGGACAAATGTTCAGGACAAGAGTGAGCTGTTTTACTTGATCCTGAATAGTTACAAGCACAATTTGAATCCTTTTATTCAGATTTTACCCCCTGAGTCCAGTTCCCTTCTCCTCTGTCTCTCCTCAGGCTGTTTTCCCACGTAGATGACCCGTTCCTGGACGACCCTCTGCCCAGAGAGTTTGTCCTCTACCTGAGACCCAGCGGACCCCTTCAGAACCAGCTCTCCCACTTCTGGCAGCAGAGTCGGGTCACATGTGGCAAAAACAAAGCTCACAACATCTTCCCACACATTACACTCTGCCAGTTCTTCATGGTAAGAGTGAAAACTTTTTTCTCGCACAAATTATAACCATTAAAGGTCAAAGGTCATCATACAGGATGCCAAAATTAACTGCCTCTCCAGTAAGCAAATTCCACACAGCAGCCAGTGAGTTTGGTGATTGGTTCATTCTGAAAGTGTTATAAAAGTTTTACAGACAATGCTTTTGGCTAGCTTGTTATTAAATCAATCAGCTTAACAGACTATTTTGCTAAAAGTCTAAGAAACATTCAAAGCAGATACTAAACATGAAAAAAGGAAGTTTATTTTTGTTTGAAATGTCTTAAAATGACTAAATAGCTACTGTGACATAGTAGAGTTGGTACCCATAAAACAAACAAACCTCTGTCAATGCCAAACATCAAATTCTCAATTAAAAGTATCATGTAGACCTTAAAAATGAACAGGTTTAAAAAATATGGAATGACCCTTTAATGTTGCTTTCTTATTCCTTTTCTCACTCAGTGTGCAGACCACAAAGCAGAAGGCTTATGTGAGGCCCTCAAGGCCACCGTCCAGCAGTGGCGGGGTCGATTTCCAAGCCCTCTTCCTCTGGAGCTCTACACATCCTCCAACTTCATCGGGCTGTTTGTGGAGGAGCAGGTCGCAGACGTCCTGAAGCAGTTTGCAGCCGAGTTCGCGGCAGAAGCAGCCAGGAAAGCAGGTGGGCAGCAGCTTATCACATTACTCAGCGTGTAATGTTTGCTGACAAGCTCTCTCTTCCAGCAGTGGCAGTAAACGACAGATTAGGATGAAGGTCATGTTTGGTTATTAAAGCGCTCACTCAATCTGTCCCTGCAGCCTTTTTTAAACACATGAGACCAACTGCCAAACAGCATTTCAGGCTGCTCAGAGCCAAATCAGATTAGAGCTGTGCAGTTAGCTCTGACGCTCTGTCATATCTCTGTTTCATGGTGGGGAGAGAGGTTTGAGCGCATCGACCTCAGACTGTATAAATAGATGGGTGACTCACTGCACCTCAAGAGTGAACCCAAAGCATTTGGAACTCCCCATACCGACTGTCTGCAGTATAGGTGATAAACCTGCCCTCTCCATGTTGACAGATGAGACATGAGCCAAACTCTAAATTTAAGAGCAAGTCTGATCAAATTCTGTTTGTCTTTCAGGTTAGCTCTTATTATGTGTCATTATATGTCAATGTTTGACCAGAAAAGTCAAATTTCAATCAGCTTTTTGATGATGTTTAAAGAAGAATATTACTGTGATTGACAGAACTGTTGACAGATGGCGTTCCTGTGGTGCTGTATGCACCAGACTTGCAGAGTAGATGAGGAGCAAAGAGAGTCAATGAACTTTACATAACTGTGAATGTCTGCTTCAAACTGCTACAAGGCTGCAGTGGACTGTACCAAACTGAAGAATCTTTGCTGGTTTGTTGAACTGGATATCTCTGCAGCCCCAGAGTCTGCAGATTCAGGACTCCTTTTCTCAGACTGCAGTTGTACGACCCTTGTTGTTTGCAGCAGCACAATCTAGTGCATCGGATTGCCAGCAACTGTATACTAATGCTACGTTCCAGTTGTAATCAGAAGTTAGGATTTCCGAGCTCTGAGTCGGAAATTCATCTGGAACACCCCCCTGAAGTCAGATTTCCGACTTGGAAAGTCGGACAATCCTCACCAACCCCGACTTGAAGACAACATCATAATCCAAGGCTGCAGCACAGTGCATCAACAGTAAAGAGTAACAATGAAAGCACTCGTGGTGTATTATTTATTAGCACTTCTGTTTTGTTTTTGTGAAATTGAATAAGTGGTATATGTTGTACTGCCCAATGTCTAACTGTGAACACGGTGCTACGGTGTTTGCACACGTGTATCATTGTTTTAACGAGGTTAAAATCATGTATTGAATTAGCAGTTCAACCTCATCACCGTCAGCCAATCTTTGCACGGGTTCTGGATCCAAATGTGCAAGATTACAACACCTGTGACAAAAGCTAGTTTGTCCTCACTTTTGTATAACAGCTGTGCCATCCTTCTGTATATACAGTCAATTGTGTTCACAAAACCTATTATGGAGTTTCTGGGTGATGTCTGGTTACTACCACTCATGTTTTTCTGTGGTTTTACCTCTTTTTCATCTCAACTTTTTGTTTAGATAACATTAGTTGCTTTTTATTTCAGTTAATGATTGTGATATACTGAATGTACTCGACAAATCTTTAAAAAGCCTCATCTTTCTTCTCTAGAAGTCCATGTGGAGCCTCACAAGAAGCAGCTCCATGTAACTTTGGCCTACAATTTTCCCACCAATCACCTCCCGTCTCTGGAAAAACTGGCCAAAGGCATCGAGGTGAAACTGGGCTGTGATTGGCTGGCAGTGCTGTTCTCCCGGGACATTCGATTTGCCAACCATGAGGTAGAAAATGTTTAACTGACCATGTTTTTTTTTATTGTTGAACATGTTTGGAAGATCTAGTTTTCATCTGCTGTTTGTATGTTTTAACTTTTAATCATTGTTCTGACGGAAAAAGAAGGGGTGCAAAAAAGCTGAACAATTGCTGAATGATGTCAAATTGAAAACATGCAAAAACAGCTGCAGTTACTGAGGCTGTTATTTTGCAGCATATTCCCACTGTTTTAGGTCCCCATGGAAGGTGGTCCCTAAAAATGTCCTGAAAGCTGTAAAATATTAAAAACAGCACTTTGCTCATGCAACAAAATTACCTGATACCTGAACACTGTGAAGCTCCAGACAGTAACTTCTACTCTGTCCTGTTGTGTTTCTGCAGACCCTGAGAGTGATGTACCCCTACCTCCCTCAAAACGACGACGAGCTGGAGCTGATTCCAGGTGATTTCGTCTTCATGTCTCCGGTGGATCAGGCTAGCACCAGCGAGGGCTGGGTGTATGGGACCTCGCTGGCCACGGGGCTGTCCGGCCTGCTGCCTGAGAACTACGTCAGTCTGGCTGATGAGTCTGACACCTGGGTCTTCCACGGGTGAGTAGAGAGCAATTATTGAGAGACGGAGGAATGGCATCAGCTCTCTACATGATTATGACATAAAAAGATGATCTGTCATCAAATATCAGTCAATAGGATCAGAGATTAATGTGAAATAAATTAGGGCTGAGCGATAAACCGAAAATTTACCGATACCGAAATTTACAACAGTAGACGAAGTTAATGTGGGAGGGGGTGAGCAGCTTTTGGAGTAGTTATCGTCCATTTATCATTATCAAGATGGACTGCTCAATATATCGTAATTTGAGGCCATATCGCCCAGCCCCAAAATCAATTCCTGTGGCACCTTAACTTTTACTGATTATTTATAGAAATGTTAAACTGACGTCTATCTTTTTGGCTCTCCACAGATCTCACTCGTTCTTTAGCTGTGAGCCCAGTGACAGGACCAGCAAAGACAGAGGGATGTTTGACGGACTGCTGGACAGCCGACGCACTGATAACACGAGTCCTGGAGACACACCCACCCTCAGTCTTATCTGTCATCCCATGCAGGTACTTCTGTGTTCGCCACAGATTCCTTAGAGTCTTTGCAGCTAGCGTTGCACATTTCTCAAATCGTTTCATCGCCATCAGGTCCTGCGGATCAGCGGGAGTCACTCTCGGCAGCCAAAGAGGACGCTTTTTGTGTGCCGACATGGTGAGAGGATGGACGTAGTCTTTGGCAAACACTGGCTCACCCTCTGCTCCGACAGTAAAGGTGAGAAGTTTTGTTTTGTTTACAGCTTTTAAAAAAAACTCTTGTATGGTGGATCTTTAGAAGTCATTGTCCCTCTTCCTAACTTAAAGCTCCTTTAATTCATGTGTTTGTTTGTTTTTTTGCTGTGCAGGTAGATATGTCCGTTCCAATCTGAACATGCCTCCCAGTTTGCCGCTGTGGGGAGGTCAGAGGGATTATGACATGGACGCTCCCATCACTGTGTTTGGATCCACACAGGCTCGACTTGTAGGTGCGTCACCGGCAAAGATCTGATCACTGTTCAAGGGTATGAAAGAAGGATTATGAATGATTGATCTGTGCTTTTCCAGGTGAGGCCCTGTTGGAGAGTAACACTGTGATAGACTTTGTGTACTGCTCTCCTTCACTGCGGTGCGTTCAGACGGCGCAGAACATCCTGAAAGGTAAGAAGCAGAAACATTCATTCATGCTTTTACATAATTTGATCTCTGAAAGGGCTAAAAATAAAGTGAGCAGGATATGTGTCATTTCTAAACTGTGCTGGTTTGAATCATGGTTGTGATAACAGGCCTGCAGCAGGATGGAAAGCTGAAGGTGCGAGTGGAACCGGGACTTTTTGAATGGACCAAGTGGGTCTCTGGGAACTCACTACCTGCGTGGATCCCTCCCACTGACTTGGCTGCAGCTCACTTCAGTGTGGACACAACATACAGGTCTGCAGAAACACACACTCTGTTCTCAACTTGTGAAAAACTTGGACGTGGTTTTTATAAGTGCTGGTTGGTGCTTGTGTCCAAACAGACCTCTGATCCCAGTCAGCAAGCTTACAGTGTCCGAACCCTTTGAGACCTACATGAGCCGGAGCTACCAAGTGACCAAAGACATCCTGTCTGACTGCAAAAACACTGGTAAGAAACTCTCTGCAGAGCTCCAGAAGGTTTGGGGAGTTGTGTAGCTGAACTTTTGTTTTATTGTTTGACTTTCTCATGAGTCTTCTCTGTGCTGATGCTGCATCCTGCCTGGGTTTCCACACTCTCTGTGCAGGAAACAACGTGCTGATTGTAGCCCACGCGTCCTCCTTGGAGGCCTGCACACGCCAGCTGCAAGGCCGCAGCCCACCGAGCATCAAGGACTTCATTCAAGTAGTCCGAAAGGTCTGTTCACTGCATGTCCATCTGATTTTTCCCTTTAGGTCCACCACAGAATGTGCTGTCCATAAGTACCTCCTCCTTCTTGCTGCTTGGTCTTTTCACTGCATTTCTCCCTGATAAAGTGACCATTCATTCCTGTTTTTGGACCTCAGATCCCGTACCTGGGCTTCTGCTCGAGTGAGGAGCAGGGAGACACAGGGGTGTGGCAGTTGGTGGACCCTCCTATCATGCCCCTCACTCATGGACCAAACCACAGCTTTGACTGGAGAGAGACACTTCTGCAGGAATGACACCGGCCTGCTTTGCCAGCCTGATGGAGCTGCACTCTCACAGAGGACGTTTTAGACTGCTATCTGCTGAACTTCTGGATCCTTCTTGAGTGGAGTTGCAAAGACTTGTCCTTCTATAAGACAAAAAAACGAGACTTAGCCAGAGGAACTGTTGCTGCTCTGATGAAGTCCCTGAAATGAGGCTGGTTTCAACCATTTAACAAAAACTCTCTCTCAAATAGTTTCATTGCAACATGTTTTTCCTCCATAATGAGGGAGATTCAAGCAGCTCTCAGAGCTGAATAAAGAGTCATTCCAGCATCAGAACATTTTGTTGGATCAGCATGTGTTATAATGTGCACAAATTAGTGAGAAAAACCTGAATGTAACATGAAGTGTGCTGGACTTGGGTGTCATGTAACACTGATGCAATGATATCTAAAGCAAAAAACGTTTAAGTCTGAGATTTTCAGCTTCAGTCAAGCAGCAGGTTTTATTTTCTCTTCAAAAGTTCAGCAGAATACTGAATAGTGAGGTTCACGAATCCAAACAGTTTAAGTTCAAATCACCACAGAGCCCTGAAGAAGTCTGCAGGGACTGCAGGGTGTTTAAAGTCTCACAATGATCTTTTTCTACATCCAACAAAGCTGTTGGTATTGTACCACAAAAACAGGACTTTTGTAGAACTTAACAGCCGAAGTACAGGGTAGTATTAGGTCATAACAATGTTAGGGTCACAAAGACTTTATCAAAGAGGCAGAAAAGTTGACGTCTTCAATCTGTATTGATCACTGTATCAGCATCACACGAATCAAAGCCAAATCCTCCTTCACAGTCAATCTGACTCATTCAAAGTAAATCTCTTACGAAAAACCTGGAGTTTGTTTTGGATTCGATGCCATTTTGTTCACAAAGCAATGCTTCCTAATTGCTCTCCCACACATTTTAAAGTTGTGTTTTAAACACAGAGATCTTATCCTGCCATTTTAACAGTAAGTTATTTCACTCACTGAGTATCTTAGCTGTGACAAATGTAAAAAAAAAAAAACGTCTTTCCTCAGGGTGTCCCTACAGGTGCAGTGAGTGATATCTAACAGGAATTAGCAGAACAGACTTGATAAATGATAAATGGACTAAAATAATCACAAATATGTTTAAATTAGTGCATAATCAAAGTAAAGCAAGGTAATTTATGTAGCACATTTACAGAGCAAGGTAGTTCAAAGTGCTTCACACAGCATAGTAAAAATAAAATCATTCCTCGAATGTTGCGCTTCCATGTTTCTACGGCAGCACAGAATGGACAAACTTGAAAAAAGGCCCAGTCGAAAGCTGAAGAAGAAAGTGTGAAGAGTGATTGTGCTCAAAAGAACTTGTTTTGATGGTAATAATTTGATTGATGGAGGGTTGCTCTTATCCAGCATCACTGGCGCATACTGTCCTCCAAGGCCACCGTTGCTTCACAAGTGGCAGGGGTGAGCATGGGAGCTTTAATCTTGAATCTTTGAACCTGACTGCCAGATATCTCTAAATGTTTCCATTTCTACACACTGTACCATTAATCATTTAGTCTGTCAGCTACTCCACAGCCAATATTTAAAACATCGGAATAACCAGTTCTTATCCTGAGAGTCTTGTTTTACCGAAAGATTTAGCTTTAAATGGACTCTTTTCTAAAAACTGCTTACAGAAGCTTTAAAGAAAATGTGAAAGTAACGACTGAGTCTGCGAGTAGATCAAAAAACAGCGTTAGATACTCTCTCTGCTGGTCATTAGGGAGAATGCAGGTGAAGGGCTCTTTCTTTTAGTGTAGTACAGTGGTTCTCAAGTCCAGTCCTTGAGGCCCATGTTTCCCTGCTCCAACACACCTGATCCAAATGATTAGCTCGTTATTAAGCCATTACAGAGGTTGATAACGAGCTGATCATTTGAATCAGGTGTGTTGGAGAAGGGAAACATCCAAAACATGCAGGACAGTAGGCCTTGAGGACTGGACTTGAGAACCACTGGTCTAGTCATAAACCAGAGGTGAAGCTTCGTCCACTCCTTATACAGTCTCGGGTAAAAAAGAAAAAAAAAGTAAGTTTTGACATTTGGTCCCAGTTTGGATTCTTTAGTTTGGTGTGTGAACCATGAGCTTCTGGGCTTCCTGCAAAACCTCCAGCCCCTGACAGGAGCTCAAACAGAGCATCTCCTGTCATGAGGGAAAACTTAAACTCTGCTTGCTCTAAGTCCTCATCGGGGACTCTTCAGATACTCCAAACAAACCACATATTGTTTCCAGTTTAGCACCATATGTAGCACATTCAGTACAGCTGTGTCCTCTCTCATTCTCATCTGTACAAATGAAGCAACTTCAGCAGCACAACCTGCACTATTGACAATCAGACAGTAGCTCGTGTTTGTGGTCCAGCACATTTTCAAGTCTTTGTTAAATGTTATTCAAAGGTTCAGAGGGGATGTAGATATCCATGTTCTGAAAAATGTATTCCTGCTGCTTTTTTTTTTGGTCATATTTTTCAAGCAAAAATATTATGAAAAGAGGATTTTAACTTCTTATCGCATGCAACTATGTATTTATGCTCTTTATCTCAGGTTTTGACTGCATTGATGACATGAGTGTGTATGCAGCCTTGAAAGTTATTACACTGATTGAGCCGCTGTGGCGTCCAAACAAAGACTGATCAGTCGACGTGGATCATAAGATCATGTTCTCGTGACCGGATTTGGGCGATGAGGTGTACACATATCATGAAGTGTCCTGTTGTGATTGACAGGTTGGGATGATAATGACTTGTTTGAAAGTGTCTCCTCCTCTACTGTCATGTTTACTCTTAATGGGACCATAGTTTACCAAATACATGTCTATCATTTTGGAAGGCTTCAAAATAACTCTTTAAATCATTAACTTACAAGGGAAAAGGTTCATTTCTTCTTCTGGTGTCGTATAAATAATCTCTGGCTGTGCCCTGTAGTCATACTAAGTATGGCGTCTTATTAAGCGTATAGCATGTTAGCTGTATATGTTAATGTCTGTCATTTAATTCTATGAGCAGCCCAACCAGTGTGCAAGTTATACCATCATAGTTTGGACTAGACATGTGAATGATGAAGTCACAACAAAGATGACATGCATTAGTAGTCTACAGCTCACTAACTATCAAGTTAGCATGCAGTATGCAGCACATACTTTGAGTATGTAAGGTTGTATGTTAGTGTGCAGTTTCAGACACAGCCTCAGTTGCGGTGGAGTCGCCCCCTACCGGCTAAAGGACAGAGTGCACTTTTCAATGACTTTTATTTCTGTAAGCTAAAGGCTGGATGGACTTCCCGTAAATAGTCAGTGTGTGTGAGTGTCTGTTGGAATTGGCAGAGATACATGGTTCACTCAGGCTCAGGACACACACATCACATCACATCAAACACGTAGCTTAATGACGAGCGTGCTCCCCATCACAGCCTCTTTTTGGACTCCTGTCATATTATGAGCCACTGAGAGATGTTTGGCTTCATACAGGGCTGACTGTCTCTAACATCAAGTGCTCTCTCTTTTTTTTTACATACTTAAGCAGAAAAATAATTTCCCAAAGAACACAGTCACAGTATGACAAGATTAAAGTCCTAGTATTGTGGGAATAAAGTCTCAAGATTTAGTAGATATTTGTGAAATCCAGAGTTTTCCTGTTTGTAAAGCAGTAATCCGTTACTCTTCTGTTATCTCCCTCAAAGAAGCTAAAAAAGAAAAAATATTCTATTAACAAAATGACTTCTGATAATTTTGTTCTCATAACTTTGTTACAAAACCACTTAATTCTAAAAAATACAAATGACATTATTATCATAACATAACGTTATGCTCCTCACAAAACAACCTTAATCTTTAAGCATTTCTCAAAAAATAATGTCTTTCTTCTTAAAGAAAAACTTTGTTTTTAGAAAAATAACTTAATTCTCATCATATATCAGCTTCATTTGTATTATTTTATTCTCATATCAATTTTGTTCTCGTAACAAAATGACTTATCGTTATCATGACTTTAACATAAAGATAACAATATAACGACTTTAACCTCAAAACAAATGAACTCTTTTCTTTATGAAAATGTAACAGCTTTATTGCCTGACATAAAAACGTTTACCTGAAAGCAAAAGGACTGTCCTCATTACATTGACTTTGCTCTCAAGACAAAGTAACTTACTTCAAACCATGACATCTTCTTAATAATTAAATATTAAAATGTAAAACTTAACTTTTAAAGCATAATGGCTTTAATCTCAGAGCAGAATAAGTAACTTCTCAAAACATAAAGACTTTATTCTTGTTGCATAACAGTTTTAAACTGATGTAAAAACTTTTAATTCAGTCAGTTTTTTACAAAAAACTTTGTAATTGTAACTAAAAGACTCTTCATCGTGGTGTATCACAGCTTTGTCTGATAAAAATGGATTATTGTCCTGTAACAACTTTTTTCTCTATAATATAGATTTTGTTCTCGTTATATAATGATTATAAACTTGTTACAGAAATGTTTTTTTTATGACATAACTTTATTCAGGCAACACACCAACATCAGGACTTGATTCTTGTTGCCAAACATCTTTCCTCTTGAGACATTTGGACTTTGTTCCCACAACATCAGGACTTTATTCTGGTAAGACAGGGCTGAATTCTTGTAACATTGCGACTTTATTCTTGTAACATAACAAATTTGTTCTCGTGATATCAGGACTTTTTGAGGTTATACAACTTTTTGCTGCAAAATCCTTGCCACATAACTTAATTCTACTGACATTACGAACTTGTTGTGAACTTAATAAGGTAACATTCAGAATTGACTCTGGTAACATTATGACTTTTGCTTTGAAACGTGCTGTATATCAGGAGGCTCTAACACTCTGTCAGCAGAAGAAGAAAAAGAGCCATGTGAAACAAGAAGCTATGTTGTTCATGTTTTATTTATTGTCTGAACATATCACCAAAACGTGAAAATAATCATTTTTAAATCTGTTGTCTCTGTTTTGGATGAAGCGTGTGTGCAGGTTTTATGTTCATTTATATGTTTTTGAAATCATCTTCTGTTGTTGGAAGTGTATAAAAGAAAAGATGTTTTTTTTCTTTTAAAAAGTTTGTGTTTTGATGAATTATAGGCTCAGGTAGGAAAGTAAGGAACACGACAGTGCGGGATTTGTGGCGACACTTTTTGTTTTTACTTCTCTTCTGACAAAAGATGAAAATAAAGTATTTTTTTCTACAAAGCAAAAACATTGTGAACCCGCAGGTGTGCAGTCATGATTCACCTGTTTCAGCACCGATGCAAACTCTGTAGAAGCAAACAAACTCAATAAAAAGCTACATTCTTTTGTTTTGTGAGAGTATCCTTGGTGAAAGATGCTCTTAAACAACTGATGTGCTGATGACGGACATTATTATGTATGTTTTTTTTAATTTAAAAAAAATATATATATATATATATATACATTTTAGTTACAGACTCTCATGCTCCTCATGATTTTGGTGATTAAGTGGCTCAGCCCCTTACTGTTGACTATTTTGATGCTAGGAAGGGCTGGGCGATAAAACGATAATGATATATATTGAAAATTAATTTCCCTTAATATCAATATAAAACAAGGTCAATATTCTTTTCGATAGTCGGCATTCTGACACGTTTTGGTAGACTATACGAATAGCCAATGAAAAGGGGATTTGCTCCGGGTCCGCACCGCGCTGAACCAATCATGTGCTGAATAAGAACCAAATAGCAAACAACTGTGTAGTAACAGGCTGCAGCTACACGCAACCATAGCACTTTAACAAGTGAAGCTGACAGCACTGTCAGTGAGAAAAAAAGAAAATGAGTGCTACCCCCGGCAGAAATGCAGATGAAGGCTCAACAGATGACGACATCGTCGACAACACTGGTACGAAAACACCGGTGGTGTGGAGGTATTTTGGTTTTTTGAGGTCGGACATGAAGCAGGGTAATGTGTACTGCAAATTAGGTAGTGCACATGTTTTCAAAAAGTTGGAGAATACCTCAAATCTTTTTCACCACCTGAAGCAGTGCCACATGGCAGAGCATGCACAACGCAAAAGGTTACAAACCCCAAGCGAAGCAAGGAGCCCATGGCGCCTGTGCAGCCGACTATTCAGTCCACGTTCTCTAGCGCAACGCCTAGGAGCTTATTGTATTGCAAAAGACATGCTACTAATAAGCACTGTTAATTTTCAATTTTTATATTGCGATTTACATTGATATCGACTGATATGAAAAAACTAAATTGTGATGAACTTTTTCCCATATCGCCCAGCCCTAGGCCAATAAATACTCTTCAAACATCTCTTTCGCTGCATCTTTTTTCATCATTCAAAACACTCAAACCATCGTTGCACATTTAAAAAAGTTTGTTAGTTTATTTTTCAATCCAGAACCCAGAGGTTTCTTTCAACAATTCCTCTGACAGTTTGTTTCATAAAATAAGTCTCAAAACCAGACATGACTCCATAGCTTAATTGATATTTGTCTCTTAACATCAGTGGTTTAACTTGATCTCCATGTTCTCATAAAGAAGCAAAACAAAGTCACATTCAAATAAACATTAAAGCTTTAAAACAAACATGGCTGACATTACCTAACTTCTAGGTTGAAAGGAAGTTAACATTATTTGTACAGAATAAAAGAAAGAAATAAAATAAAGTATCATGACGGGTGTTCAGATGGTAAACTGGAGAGCAGCATGGATGGAAATTTAGTGATTGTTTGACAAAAGAAATCTGCACTCGTAGATCTTCATAGATGGACAAAGAGAAATAATACTTTCTGAGATGGCTTTTTGAGAGAAACTTCAAGGCAAACAGCTGCACTGAAGACACATTTAGTATTTTGTTTCCCACTAAAGGCAACAGGTTTGAGGATCCTTGCTTTTAAAACACTCCTGGTTTCGAACATGGAGTACAGCATATCTTTATAACAGCAAATATTAATAATCATCTTTAGTTTTCTGCTTTTTTATAACTTAAACACTAAAATTGATAGTTTTCAATATGTGCCAACTACACTGCATCCCTCAAAGTGTAAACTCTCCTCTTTATGACTTTGATATCTTTTATTTATGGTTTATTGTAACTGTGTCAGCCTCTTTCATTATGTGGAAACATCACAGACAGTCTTGAGGACACAGACCTCATGTTCTTCCTTTTAGCCAGCAGGGGGCATCATCAATGTTTGAAAACAGACTCAGTTCATACTGACCTTGAATCACATTTAGAGTGAGTGAAATGAGAGCGACTGTTCAGCTGTAAAACACTCTTAAAGTTTAAAGAAATCTTCAGTCAATTTCTGTTACATGTGGTGGACTCCACTTCTTAAATCTCTGACTTCATCTATTTATCTGTAAGAGCTGAGGCCCCCTGGTGGGCTGAGAAAATACTGCAAGTGAGGAGGTAGAAGTCGTTAATGATTGATGAATAAAAAGGTTTGATATTTTGCACTAATCTTGCCACTGAATGAATTTTTTATGTTAATGTGTCACTCTTTCTCTGCTCGGCATGGAGATCTGATCTCAGCACCACGTCAGAGAAAGCAGCTGCTGAGTGTAAACGGTAAAAGCGAGTAAATATTCAAGGATGCAGAGTTTAAAGTGCTCTCATTGTAAATACTGAGAGTACATAAACAACAACACAGAGATTCAACAGTGAGGATATCAGTCAGTGATGATATTCAACAGCTGTGAGCATGTTTGAAGGCAGTTTGGTGTTTCTCTCTGATGATCCCACTAAGGCTTCACGGCTCAGGAGAAGCTTCTCTGAGGTTCTGACTTTAAGAACTTGCAGGAACCAAAACCAGGAGTGCTACAGACTCAGTGGTTTTAGCAGCAGTCAAACAAACTGAGCACAACTTTGGTACAAACTGAAGTCCTCAAAAATGTATCTTCTGGAGCTCAAATAATAAGAAGTTCTTGTTCTAACATGAAAAGTAAACTCAAGCATCTACTCCATACAAGGCCGTGGAGACCCGCCCCTCACCCCGTCAGGATTATCTGGCGTCATTGAGCTGTCTGGCCACCGTCAGGATCTCCTTGGCTCCTTTGCTCAGGAGTAAGTCGGCCAGGTCGATCCCCAGCCGCTCAGCCCGGTCCTGGGCTTCACCAGAGATCTTGCTGGCTGTGACTCCCACTCGCTGGAGCAGCTCGTCCACTCCTTCTGGGCTCTTTTTGGACACATGATCCATTTTAAGTTTGTTTAAAGAGTTTACAACAATCACATCTGAGCTCTGAGCTGTTACCTTCTGAGCTGCAGCAGAGATGCTCGTCTGCATGGTTTCCTTCAGACTGTCTGATCCGTCCAGACTGTACACGGCCCCCGTCAGATAGAGCTGCAGGAATTCATCAAACAGGCGGAGTTTAAGGGGAAAAATCACAAGCAAGGATATGCTGAAGCTATACTATCAATATTATCTTGGTGTTTTATTTTGGCGGGGAAACGTTGACCTCACAGACTCTGGTGTTTGTGGAGCGTTCTCACCTGAGAGTCCTTCACCTGAGTGTGAACAGCCACAGGAACACTACAGCCTCCCTCCTACAAACACAGATTCACCAAACCCACAGTCATCTCCAAATTCATACACTCTTCAAACCAGTCAAAGAACGTGTGAACTTGCGTGTGTGTGTGTGTGTGTGTGTGTGTGTGTGTGTGTGTCCGTGTGTGCGTGTGTGCGTGTGTGCGTGTGTGTACCAGGTGTCTGAGGAAGGCTCTCTCAGCGATGCAGCGCAGAACTGTGTCAGGGTCATGGAGGACTGACACCATCTCCAGGATGTCTTCATCTCTGGCCCGGACCTCTATAGCAAGAGCCCCCTGACAACAGACACACAAACACACCTTTATATTTATATATATATATATAAATGAACAGTATGTGGGATACAACAGACAGACATGGGATTCAGGTAAAAAACGCTCACACTTATTTTTCTGTCGAAAACAATGAAACTGGTTCAAAAATTCCTTTTTTTTTTGTATCTTAACACAGTCCTTAACAAAATATCTCTTCAGATGTTAGACTGTATCAAACACCCAGCAGGTTTCAAAGTGGAGTTTTGAAGCCAAACAAATGAGAGTTGAAGTGCATTACTTCCACCTGTGAAGGTAAACTAAAGGCTGGCGCTGGATTTGAGTCCAACAACCTTCTCCCTTCAGGGTCTTTCACTAACTGCAGTAGAAACACTGTCAGAACTATGTCTGATTTCACCCTGTTTTCTACCAAAGTCAAAGCTGGGATCCTAGTTAGAGCTCACAGGGATGTGTGAGTCTGTATCTCAGACCCTCGTTCGTACCTGTCCAACAGCGTACATGCAGTCTTCAGGATCCAGGATCTAGCAGAGGAAAAGATCAGACTGTCAGATGAGACATGTCTCCCTCACACAGATGACTTCAGATCATAAAGAACTGTTGGTACCTGACTGATCCGGTTTTCCCAGCCCATCCTTTTGAGGCCTGCAGCAGCCAGGATGATAGCAGCAAAGTCGTCCTTCTCATCCAGCTTCCTCAGACGTGTGTTCAGATTCCCACGCTAAAAAAACTACAGCTCAGGAAAAACATCTGACAGACAAATATTCCTCCTGAGAAGTGAGCGCTCTCCTCTGAAAGCTAAATAATCAGTTTGTCTGAAAAATCTCCTCATTTCACTGAAAGGCTTTGAAAGGATACGATGTCTTTGAAGTCCAGGTGAGGGAATCTCTTCTTCAGCTGAGCGGCGCGGCGCAGCGAGCTGGTGCCGATCACACTGCATCAACACACAGGACGGAGTCAAGTTATTTCTCCACAACAACGAGGTGAGAGGAAAACAAAAACACAACGGGCTGAAGGGTCTGTTTGACTGAACCTGTTTTCTGGCAGAGTCTCCAGAGTTTTCCCTTTATGTTTCGGGTGAAGCACCACTGCATCATGGGGGTTTTCTCTCCTACAGGCAGCAGGAAACAAAAAACCCTCAGAGGTTACAGATGTGCAAAAAAAACCCTCAAGAATAAAAACTGAAGACACCTACAGAACAAACATGTGATTGGAGCTCCACCAATGAACTCTACACATGTGAGACTTACTTCAGCACAGCGCCAATGGTGAATCCTGGAGGCAGAGTGGTGGGGAGGTCTTTGAGGGAGTGAACGACCAGGTCGACTCTGAAGGACACGAGAACACGGTTAGAGGTCACTTCAGACCAGGAACACATAATACACCTGAGGAACCACTCAGAGTGCTTCCCTCTGGATAGCAGGATATCTTCAGTGGTCTTCCGATTTGGACTTTGAATGACCACTTTAAAATCTATTTAACACCAACAATAAACTCTCAAGTGAAGGAAAGTAACTTGTAATGAGGAAGAAGCTACAGAGGCCAGATTTTCAAGGTAACACAGTTTAACTTTTTTAGGGTGATGAGCTCATGTTATCTTTATCTGTGTCTGAGAATAATAACTAACTTTAAGGCATCCTGCTGCGGCCAGTTAAAATGTCTTAGTTTACTACAGTCCTGGAGCAGCACCTGTTCCTCTGGTTTCAGTGAGTCGCAGTTTCACTGTCACTCATATGTCACTCAGAGGCTTCAGTCTGGCTTACCATAAAGAAACACATTTAAAGGTAATTTACTTGAAATTTAAGGACTGAAATTTTCCACAATAACAAACTTGTGACACAGATTTGTACAAAGTGAAAGTTCAGAGCAGGTTCAACTGATTAACTTTGATGAAATTAAGAAAAATACTTAATCTACGAGCTGATTGTCTCTCAGGATGCAGTGTGAAGCAGACTTATTGCCTGGGCTGAAATGATTATATAGAGCACATGGTGAGCTTCATTTTCTTAGTACTAAAGTTCGTACAGTTGAGTGTGTTCCTCCTGCTTTTGCTCTCCATGCTGACTGTTTTTCAAACACTACAGCATGCTCATATGTGATCGGTCAAAACTTTTCAGACTAATAATCTCAAAACCAGAACACAGCCCATAAATAAAGCCTTAAAAAGACCTGGGACTGTGAACGCAGAGGAATGGTTGAGTCGTACACAAACATAACAGATAAATAAGTGTGAACTTCATCCTGCTGCTGTTTTATGTTGCCATGGTGACTGCTGTGTTCAGACTGTTGTTTCAGTTTGATGGTTCACAGTGTTGTGAAGCCTGTGTGCTGTCAGACACAGCTGACTCTGTTCACACTCACTCGTTCCTCTCCAGAGCGTTCTCCAACTCTTTAGTGAACAAACTCTTCTGCCCGATCTGGAACAGACATACAAACTTTTACCCTCTTTTGTTACCATTAAGCATAAAACTGTCTAATGTTGCTCATGTCACATATTATTTTAAGTCTTCCTGTTATTGTCACCTTTGATAAAGCTTTGTCCAGGATTTTGTCTCCAGTCGTCGTCATGCCAACTAAAAGAGAGAAGACACAAACGTGAACAGACAGGTGACAGTATATATCTGGTTTAGAATCTAAAAAGAAATCTTGAAATTGAGTCAAAGAAAATAACGATGAAGCTTAAACACCTGAACAGGATCCTCTGACAGGAAGTAAAGGCCTCTCTGATAAATATTAATTTATCTGAATAAATAAAGGTGTGATTCTTACCTATTTCCAGGTGGACATCACTGTACAGCTCTTTCAGCTTGTCGGCCACGCTGTCTGTCTGGATGCGAGCCAACTGCAAAAGGATAAAACAGAAGAGCTTTACTTTAGCTGGATCATATTGATGGTTTCAAACATGATTAAAAACTCCACAGAGTCAGAGAAAATAAGTTAATGGGCACAAAAAGAATATGTTGTTCTCACCGATTGAAGCTTGAGTCTGAATCAATCACTAATATATAAACGCCAAACATGCAGACCCTCAAACAAGTGAAATATTTAGAAATTAGACTGGTGATTTAAAAAAAAAAAGTGTTTCTGTACCTGGCTCTGACGGGTTCCCATCCTGATCACACGACTGGCTTTTCCTTTCCCGTCCTGTGAGGACTAAAGAGAAACCAGACAAAAGGGTTCAATCTCACTCTCTGTAAAGCCACTTATAGATTTAAAACCAGAAACAACTTCCTCTGTAGTTGTTCAATAAATGTCACCCTGACATACTTTGTAAGGCCTTTCCTCAACAATCCTCCCAAGTAGCAGGTAACTAAGTGTTTCTCTAAGTAGTATTGAAACATTTTTTCAGCGCTTTTATCTACAGGCAAGATTCAGACCACATTTTATACAAGTAAGGGAGAATAGGGAGCAGTTTGTCAGCATCCGTTTCAAGCCCACTTCTAGTAACTGTGCCGCTTATATAATATTATAATCGGGGTGAATTATTAAATATTTATCAAACTATCAGTCAATTTATGACTGATATATGCCCCTAATTTAACTGAATCCACAACTGTATGCTTAGATGTTACGTTTCCCTGTTATTTATTATTGGCCACTGTCTTTCAGAGACACGTCACCACATCATAATTGTCCATATCTATGTCAAAACTGCATTAAAAATATAAGCATTTAATGTTTATTTGCTTTACTTCAGGTAAAAGACACTTTAGGTTTTATTAAGGTTTATTAAAGTAGAACAATTGCCATAATTCTTTAGTCTTTCATTCGGCCTGACAGTAACAGTAGCAAACAGAGCTGAGCCTGATGAACTTTTGTATTTTTCTGTGTTGGATCGTTTCATAGAATATATCGTTACAGTTAAACTGCGCACTATTTTCCACCAAAAAAGCATTGATGATCGGTGGGCGGGTCAGACTTGGCTCGAACCGGGGAATCAAATGATCTTTAATAGGGGAAAAGATCATAAGTATATCCGTGTGTTTTTCGCCAAATGTCGTTAAAGAGAGAGCAAAAAGATGCGGTACATGAAAAGCGTCAGTGGTTATGAAGTTAGACTGCACAGTATACGGTAACGTAAACATAGCCTCTGATTTGATCTCTGCGTTATGTTTTTACTTATTGATCTCTGCGTTATGTTTTTACTTATTTTCACTCACACACTTAACAGTTCGACAAAGAGGCGTACAAACACTGGCCACCGAATCAACTAGGAGGTCTAAACTAAGTTATTTCACCGTAAGGCTTTTAACTTGTTCATTTGCCTTTTCTAGCTCCTCGGTGTAAACCGCTGACAGCTTCGCGTCCAATAGGAGAACAAAACTGTGTGACTGACGCAAAGAGGAACCAATCATCACGCTCCTAATGACAGCAAATGCGGAAATGGCGCTCTGTGAAGGTGCTTCATGCATGCTGCTAACCATCAGGTCAGTACGAGTTAAACTTACCGGAGAACTTGCCTCAGCTTCCGCAGACATGACGCTGATCCGGTTCAGTCTGTTGACACTGCAAGAACTAATAGCGAGGTTTTTCACCTGAAAGACAGCATTAAAACATGGCAATGTTGAAAATAATCCCAGCACTCCTCAAACCAGCCCCTCGATGAATGAAGGCTGAACTCCTGACGTCATATGACCCAGTAGAGGTCGTGTCCTCTTTCCGCGTGTGAGCGCCCCCTGCAGTCTGAGTGAGAATAGAATAGGATTGCCATTGAACTAGTAGGGGAGACTGTGGTAAGATGAGGCATTTTTCATATTTCAGATCACTACATCAGGGCGGTTATAGTTTTGTCTCTAACTAGTGTATTTGCATATATTTCAGGATGTTGTGCATCCCTGCAAACCAACAGAATGAGTGTAAACATAACTGTCTTGATAATATGGCATGCCAAAAAAAAAAGGTCTCCTACGGTCAACTTACCCCCCCCCCCCCCCCCAACACATTTCAACAATGTGAACTGAAACTCTGATCCTCTCATCAGACTCCTTTACTTACTCAGTTGAGTCACTGGTTCAACTTACCCCTAAACTACCATTATGACTTTATTAGTCCTCTGAGCTAAAATGATGGACTTTAATGCTAGGTTTTTTACCTCAGGTTGTAGCCCATAGATACCACAATTGATGTATAAAACAAATGTAAAATGATCTTTTTTGGTCCGAACACAATTCTAATAAAACTTATGACAGACTAAATTCACTTTTAAGGGTGAAAAAACTTTTTTTGGAAATAAATGTCTTACCCTTTTACCCATGTGCTTCAAATGTTCACAGACTCCTTGAATTGATGTCCATCTCCTAAATATTTGGTCACATGATCAATTTCTTTTACCATTTCCAAGCAACAGGGGGTGGCTCAACTTACCCTTTGGCTCAACTTACCCCACTCTCCCCTACAATACATAAATGCTACAGCTGTGCATAGATGTTCATTGCCATATGCACAGGTACAGCACAGTGCAGGCACATAGGAATTTCTCATCAGCTCTATAAAAACAAACAACAACAACAACAAAAAAACATGTAAAAGGGGAAGAAAATATTACACATTGTTATTACTGTACAGTGTTATTGGTGGACATTAGTATTCTACAGTGATATTACAGCACTATTTTCTTTCTTTTTGCACACTGAGGTAGTTATTAGTCCTTTAAGGTGAAGTATTTCCTTCCAGTCTAAATGTCCTGTAATATTAGTAAAACAGCAGCTGGAAAGAAGCTTATGTGGAAACAAACCTTGTGTACTGAGATGCCCTCGGGCTTGTGGTGTCTCAGTTACAGCCTGAGTCCTTCCAGCTGAACAGAGCATAAGCTGAATGGTGTTTATCAGTAGTTACCTCTGAATATTCAGCTTAACTTGATAATGTTATTGCTTTTTATTATTATTTTTTTCTTACAACTATTTACCACATCGATAACTTCAAATGACTATTTGGATCATAAATACCTTCAATTAAATTTTGGTACTGTGTGGTCTATGTCTAGGGCTCTACTTTTTCAGTAGTCTATGCTAATGTAGTTTCGTTGTCTTAGCCATGTGACATTAGTGTTATTTTTTAATATGCTTAAAATTCTGCAAACACAAAAAGAAGTCAGCTCCAGGCCAAACTTATGGCATTTTTAACAGTGAAGCACTATGCCATTGCATAAGGGAGAAGGATAAGAAAGGTGTTAAAACAAGCCTTTTTAAAAATGAACTTTTATACACAGTCAAGAATTGGAAATGTATTAATACATACTTTATTTACTACAGTTACGTTTGTCAGGAATACTTTTTGTCTTTTTTTGTAAGTGTATTAATAAAGCTTGTTCATAAGAGAGGGAAGAGGAGTTTTCCTGTCAAATAAAGATGAGAGATAGTTTTTTTTTTTCCATTTATGCTGTCAGCAGATGATGTGGCCGTAGAGACGAATAGTACTTGTACAAAACCCAATTCCATTAAGGTTGGGAAATTGTGATAAATGTAAATAAAAACAGAATACAATGATTTGCATCTTCAACCTATATTCAATTGAAAACACTACAAAGGCAAGATATTTCATGTTCAAACTCATAAACTTAATTTTTATTTTTTTTTGCAAATAATAATTAACTCAGAATTTCATGGCTGCAACATGTGCCAAAGTAGTTGGGACAGAGTCATGTTCACCACTGTGTTACATCACCTTTCCTTTTAACAACACTCAATAAACTTTTGTGAACTGAGGAGACTAATTGATGAAGCTTTGAAGGTGGAATTCTTTCCCATTCTTGCTTGATGTACAGCTTCAGTTGTTCAACAGTCCGGCGTCTCTGTTGTTGTATTTTACGCTTTATAATGCGCCACACAATTTCAATGGGAGACAGGTCTGGACTGCAGGCAGGCCAGTCGAATACCCGCACTCTTTTACTACGAAGCCACACTGTTGTAACACGTGCAGAATGTGGTTTGGCATTGTCTTGCTGAAATAAGCAGGGGCGTCCATGAAAAAGATGTTTTCACGGATGGCAGCATATGTTGCTCCAAAACCTGTATGTACCTTTCAGCATTAATGTTGCCTTCACAGATGTGTAAGTTACCCATGCCTTGGGCACTAATGCACCCCCATACCATCACAGATGCTGGCTTTTGAGCTTTGCGTCGATAACAGTCCGGATGGTTCTTTTCCTCTGTGGCCCGGAGGACACAACGTCCACTATTTCCAAAAACAATTTGAAATGTGGACTCGTCAGACCACAGAACACTTTCCCACTTTGCATCAGTCCATCTTAGATGAGCTCGGGCCCAGAGAAGCCGGCGGTGTTTTCCTGGATGTTGTTAATAAATGGCTTTCACTTTGCATAGTAGAGTTTTAACTTGCACTTACAGATGTAGCGACGAACTGTATTTACTGACAGTGGTTTTCTGAAGTGTTACTGTGCCCATGTGGTGATATCCTTTACACATTGATGTCGGTTTTTGCTACAGTGCCGCCTGAGGGACCGAAGGTCACGTGCATTCAATGTTGGTTTCTGGCCGTGCCGCTTCCGTGCAGTGATTTCTCCAGATTCTCTGAACCTTTTGATGATATTATGGACCATAGATGCTGAAATCCCTAAATTCCTTGCAATTGTACTTTGAGAAACATTGTTCTTTAACTGTTCGACTATTTGTTCACGCAAATAGTGGTGCTAAGTCGTGAACCTCGCCCCATCCTTGCGAATGACTGAGAATTTTTGGAGAAGCTGCATTTATACCCAATCACGGCACCCACCTGTTCCCAATTGGCCTGCTCACCTGTGGGATGTTCTAAATATGTGTTTGATAAGCATTCCTCAAATTTCTCAGTATCTTTTGCCACCTTTCCCAACTTCTTTGTCACTTGTTGCTGCCATCAAATCCTAAAGTTAATGATTATTTGCAAAAACAATAAAGTTTATCAGTTTGAACAATGAATATGTTGTCTTTGTAGTATATTCAATTGAATATAGGTTGAAAAGGATTTGCAAATCATTGTATTCCATTTTTATTTACGATTTACACATCCTCCCAACTACATTGGAACTGGGCTTTACATACTGTGCTGCACCTTAAAAAAAACAGCGGCCACAGCCTCCATGAGAGGATTATGAGGAGAAATTTTGAGAGACTCTGGATGTAGACAGTAAAGGATACGGGTTAACATAAAGCATAGTAACGTCATCTGCCAACATTTTTTCCTTTGACTAAACAGAGCTGGAAGTTTGCTTCGCTTATCTGGAGACCTCAAACACTCTTTCTATTGGTGTGTAGAACAGCAGCATCTGGTGGCCATGAGTAGTCACTGCAACATTAATGAAACAGGGTTGTGACCTTACAACAAACGCCATTTTTACCGTTAAAACACCAAAAGTTAAATTTAACTTCGAAAAATAAAAAATAAATACTTTTAAATGGACAATTTGCTTTAATTAGCAGTGCAACTAACGGATCTAAAACACAACTAACGGGTTTTTAGGTGTATTATTTGTGAACCAGCTCACTATTTGTATCTGTTGATCTGAAGCCCTTAACTGACAGTAGTATTAAAAAAAAAAAAAAAAAACAACCAGGCTGACGGCCGTGAAAAAAATAAACACAAGAATGTTACTTGATTAAACATCAGGCCACCATTTTGGGTCCCACGTCATTGGTTTCCACAGCGCGGCTCTTCCGGTGGAGACGTGGCTCTGCGCTGCTGCCATATTGACGCTAACTAGCTAACAATCACACAACTTGTAGTCAGCTCAATATTCCCACCGTGCCGTTCTTGAGTGAATACGCCTCATCAAAGCGAGACAAAACGAGACACAGAGGATCGTGGTGACCAAAATGGTAAGTGACGGTCGAAAATATGCACATTTCTTTGGCTTTAATCGGGCCTTAGAAATGATCATAACACTGGCTAACATGAAGGTAGCTCAGCTAAGTGGTAGTTAACCAGGTCCCCTAGGAGCGATATCTGGAAATATTGCACTTCACGTGGCTGACAGTGTTACACAGTTGTTGAGTTGCTAAACTGGGGATATTAATCGATCATATTTTTATGTTAGAAGCTGAAAATGTAAGTGAGTAGGCGGAAAATGAATGTGCAGACATTGCTGACGTTAACTCAGCGTTAGCATTAGCTCCTGTCACTGATCCGGGCTAACGTTACCTGCTGTCAAATAGAATAGACTCAGTTTTGCAATTTTATTATTATATACATGTATATTAGCATGTTGATACACTATTATCTGCAGTAATATGTGTCCTAGATGGTCGCTGTCGTGTGGATCTGTCGTAGTCGATCATTCATTTCTAACTTTAGCTCATTGTCAACGTGGAATAACTGCACTTCCTTAATCCACAGACCTGAGTGGAATAAAAACTTAATTTACGTTTAAATTCATGTATACGATCTAATGTAAATGTGAACTATTACTGCTCCACTGTCCGTGTACTTTTTGCTGAACAGCCAAGACCAAAATCACTTTCGTAATGACTCCGATCAATATTAAAATCAAGGTGATCAATTCCAGGTAGGGTAATTGGATGACTTATTTTAATCCTGATGAAACAGTGTCTGGATTTGGAAATTATGTTATATTAATATGGTGTACAATAAGATCTTGACTTTTAGAAAGAGGTAAGAACAACTCATCCAACACGTGAGCTTGTTAATAGTTTTTAGTTAACATTTTAACTATTAACCTGATAATTATGTATGAAAATAACAGGTATGTCCATGTCAATGCCCCCTAATAGTCCAAAGGTCCGTCTCCCCTCGTGCTGCATGATCCAATTCCAGTGAGAAAATTAATACACTATATCCACAGAGGTAGATATATCCCTTCACATTCACAGTGGCTGTCTGATCTTGTTTAACTAGTGTAGGATCCATCATACTATTTAAGAGCAGGGCTTGAGATTGTCTTTCTTCTCACTACGTAAATGATCATTAAGATGGAAATCCAGCCTGTTTTGTGTTTCAGATCATTTGGCTCAGCAACAATCAGCTCCTCTGGCTCACAAACGGTTTCACTTGGGTTCCAGAGGCGCGTCAATTTGTGACGAACAAATCACAAATTCTGAAGTTTGGCATAAAGGCTGTTTGCTGCCACAGCCAGTCAGATAACACAGAAATTACAACACTAAAGAAAACTGAAATTAAAAGAAGATAAAGGTTTTAACAATCTTATTTCGATTAAGTTTCTAAAGAGGCATGTAATGATGAACAGATGTGTGCCCAGCTCTGCTTTTGAATTTGCTTTTGAATTCATCTTGCAATCCTACATCTGACCTGTATTTCCTGCAAGTTTTACATTCTGGAAGATTTTAAGTGTCATCATTTTTTACCCTGTTAGTCTGCTTATTAAAAATAGGGAGAGGTTCAGAGGTTCCTGCAGCACAGAATTATGATGGATCAGATCAACAGACAACAGAGGGTTCTTTTTTTGTATTGATATAATAGTTGAAAATGATTCAGTGTAAATATTTGCCTCGTTCCGTATCATACCCACCTCTGGAAGACAGGAGCTGAAATGTCATGACGTTAACATGACCTTACTGTTGTCTGTTGGTCCTTCAGCATCACATACTCTTGACTCTGTTTCTTTCTCTCTCTGCGTCACTGACTTTTTACAGCAAATATACTTTTATCCTTTTTTTTTTTATCAGTGTTTGTTCTTTAATGTTTGGTAGTCCCCTTGAACATCATGTCAATAATCTACAGACACATGGATAAAGTGGAAGTTGAGTGACATTAAAACAGACATTTGATCAGGAGGAGGGACAAATAGACAATTAATCATGGAGTCTGTTGTTGCTGTAACCAGGAGGTCTGTCAGTGAAAGACATATACAGCCAGTTGGGCCCCGTTAACAGAAACAAACAGTGACGTCTGCCTCTTAGACACTCTCCTCATAAGCTGAATGTGTGTTTTGAGATCAGCAAATGCACGTCAGCAGCCAGGGACTCCCTTGCCTGTAGCACATAATGCTGTCTGCAGGAAACTGTATACTTTTCTTCTTCTTTGGCTCTGCCTTTTCTGCTGCACAGGATTGATTCAGATGAAACACCGCCACCACCACACTGGTGTAATACTGTTAGAAATGACATTCATCGAGTGTTGTTCTTGGGAAATAGTCTTTGTTATAAAAACACCTGTCAGTGCTGACATGGACTTGGGGTGGAACAAAAAGCCACTCCAACCAAGATTATGACAGTCTTCTGTTTCCCTCTGTGTGCTTGCCATAAAGCACTTAGGATCAGCCAAGTGCTATATAAATAAAGTTGATTTGATTTATTTCAATTAAAATTAGGCTGAAACAGCTGTCCCCCACTTATATACACTTCTAGAAAAAAACGCTGACTATTAGGGTTGGGAAGATATGCTTTTCCCCCAATTCAATTCTTCTATGAATTTTTGAATGCCAATTCAATTTAAATTGCAATTCTACGATATTGTCAATTTTCTCTATTTTTATTCTGCATTTTTAACACCAGTGAAACAGTTGAATGATTATGATGGTCTACTGACTATTCCAGGAACCATATTTCCCCCAAAAATACACATCACGTATTGTACGTCAGTTTTTAAGATTTATTCTTAAATTTGAAGGGGGAAAAAAACGATTTTTCAACATAAAAATCAATTTTAAAATTGTTAGATAAAAAAATCGCAATACTTATGTAAATTGATTTTTTTCTCCCACCCCTACTGACTATGGTGGTGATCTTGGTTGTCAATGATGAGACATTTCATGGGTCTCTCATCACAGTTTTTTTACTTCAGTTTATCAAACTGTCGCTGTCGTTCACTTGTCCACTTAAATCTGTCACTGTATGGTTGGCATCCTGACGTTACTCATAAGATCCTCTCAAAGTGGAGAGAAAACCCTCACCCTTTCTGACAGAAATCATTTAATTTTTTAAAACGACATGTAAACTTGAGGCATTTCCAAATCTGTTCTCTTCTCTCATGGAGATGTGTTTTGACTTTTACTGATTTTATAGACTATATCCTCCCTTTACTCTAGCTTTTTTTGTGTGTATTTCCAATCCCATAGCTTGTTATTACTGAGCTGTTAACATGACACAAAGTCTTCTTCTTTGCTTTGAACCAAGTTCAAACATAGTAACATGTTTATTATAGCAGCAATCATTTGTTGAAGTTTTTGCTTCAACCTCTTTTTAAACAGGACAGTAAATTCAACAAGCAATAATACTCTGATAACATTTCCTCTCAAGACAATACAATAACCACTGATCTGTAACTTGGTAAGACTTGTTCTCCCAAGAAAGTTCCTTCAGCTCTGTGGTGATCTTGTGTCTTATAATAGCTGCACGCCTAAAATAACTGAAAATATAATCTGCTTACTCCCCATTGAAGTGGTTCTGGAATAATCAGAGAAATTATTTTCTAAGTGAAAAAAAAATACCTGAAGGCTTGTATAAATCGACACAAAAAGTGTCCAAATACTCACCTGAATTTTCTGATTATCCATAATTAGGCAGAAACATGGCCAACTGAAACTATTCAAAGAGCACATGACTGTAGAGTCACTTCACCCTCTTGTCCCTTCTTGCAGGTGCTGTTGGCAGCGGCGGTGTGCACCAAGGCCGGTAAGGCCATTGTATCACGGCAGTTTGTGGAAATGACCCGGACACGCATCGAGGGTCTCCTGGCTGCTTTCCCCAAATTGATGAACACGGGCAAGCAGCACACCTTCGTGGAAACAGACAGCGTTCGCTATGTGTACCAGCCGCTGGAGAAACTGTACATGGTCCTCATCACCACCAAGAACAGCAACATCCTGGAGGACCTGGAGACACTCAGACTCTTCTCCCGTGTGGTGAGAATCATGGAGCGGACTTCCTGTTTCTATCCCCAGAAGTTTGATAACATGTTAAAAACCTCACAGTGAGAATGACTACAGTCCTGAAGCTGTGGAGTTATAACTCTGATTCCACATAATATGGGATGCTATGTAAAGTGTTAAGTCAGATTTAGAAGTTTCAACATATCAAATATGGAAACCAAAAGAGGTGTTTGGGAAAAAATTCAAGCTAATTTTGCCTTTTATGCCAGCAACATGCTTCAAAATAAGTTGTGTCAACATGGAAAACACAGAACAGTTGTGTAATGTGTAAAAAACAACAAACAAAAGAACCCTCACCAAGAGGAACATCCCCTATTAGGGTAATTTACAACATAAGTGGGTATAAAAAGGGCCCTCCAGGAAGACTGGTGCTCGCAAAAGTAATGATAAAGAGGTTTACTCATAGACTGTATAAAGCAGTGGTTCTCAAGTCCAGTCCTCGAGGCCCACTGTCCTGCATGTTTTGGATGTCTCCCTGCTCCAACACACCTGATTCAAATGATTAGCTCGTTAATAAGCCATTACAGAGCTTGATAACGAGCTGATCATTTGAATCAGGTGTGTTGGAGCAGGGAAACATCCAAAACATGCAGGACAGTGGGACTGGACTGGACTTGAGAACCAGAGAATCCCGGAAATACCGTGAGCTATTTGGCTTTAAATCCATATAAAGGCGGGAGGCGGAACCAAGTTGTCCATAGTATATACAGTCTAGGAGTACGTCGACACGACAAATTCATCGACACGAAAACGAAGCGTCGAGGCATCGTGTTATTGTTGTTAAGAATCACATGCTGGCGCCTCATGCTCATCTATAACTGCAGTGCACTACAGGATGTGCTGGGGGCAGTAGCGCTCGCTGTTTACATCCCGCGAGCAAACACAGAAGAAGAGTGCACACATTATGGCAGAACAAACTGAAAAAGACGCTCCAAAACTCCGACCCAAAACTTCAAAAGTTTGGGAACATTTTACGGAGAACAAACCAAAAAAACACGTTGATCAAAGCTCAGCTTTCCTACCATGGCAGGCGATGCATGAGCACCTGAAACGCCGACACCCCGAAATAGGTGATTATAAATAAAGAAGATAGTGATTAATCGTGATTAATCAGACGATTAGTCGATAGATTAGTCGACAAAAAAATAATCGTTAGTTGCAGCACTAATACAGTCTACGGTTTTACTACTCTGGGAGACTGTGCAAGCGGATGATTCAACAAAGTCATAACAATGTTTTTCAGTGTCAAAAGGCAAATAATGTACAGATTCCATCATCTACAGATCACATATCATTTTAGAGTCGGAGAGTTTGGGGAAATCTCAGTACAGGAGGGTAAAAACGGACACTGGATGATTTTCTGGCCCTGCTATTAAAAAGACTCAGTAGTAGAAATCACAGCATGGGCTCTAAATCACCCCTAAAACAATGTCTGTGAACACAGTTAGTCACTGCATCCACAAATGCAGATCAGAGGTGTATCATGCAAAGAGAAAAACACATATTTAGATGTATAAACAGGGTTCCTACACGGTCTGAAAACAGCATTTTTTTACTGTGGTAATAGTCTGGAAAACTAAATATTTTCCCATACTTTATTTTTTATTTACCATATTTTTTAAGACCTGGAAATTGATCAGATTACTTCCATACTTTCCATACTTGCGTAGGAACCCTGTAACCCTGCATAAAGCATCCTGACTCTTCTGGTATTGAGGTGAAAGATGACTGCTCTGAAATAGTAGATATTTTTCATACATGCCTTTTAATCATGCATGGTAGCAGGTAACTCACTGCAGGCTCTTTATAAAAACAGTTTTTTCTGCTGTGGTTTGATGGTCTGTGACTCTTCCACTGTTCCAGATCCCTGAATACTGCCGTGTGCTGGAGGAGAGCGAGATATCGGAGCACTGTTTTGACCTCATCTTCGCCTTTGATGAGATTGTGGCACTTGGCTACAGAGAGAACGTAAACCTGGCTCAGATTCGAACCTTCACAGAGATGGACTCCCACGAGGAGAAAGTTTTCCGTGCTGTCAGAGAGGTGAGATTCCACGGCTGGGTCTTTTCTGGTTTATGGGATACACTATTGTTGATTAGTCCTAGGATGAAAGTCTTTGGATTTCTATCTTTCATCTGTTTCCCCCTGAAGGAGTGTGTAATCCTGTGAGCTTTAGGTTTAGTAGTGAAGCTCAGCCTGTGGTTATTTGGATACAAACTCACTGCCGGTGATCAATTCGCTGAGATCACGCTACACACCACCTCTGCTCAGTCTTTCTAATCAAACCAGCCTCCCACAGGGTTTATTAACTTTGCAGTATACTTTTGTTTTCTTATAATGCAGGTTTATTTCTTAATAAAGGAGAAAAGCTTAAAAAAAGTGCAGCTGCTGGACTGTTCCACCATACTTTGTATTCAGCAGCTTTCCACAGGGCTCTTCTGGGAAACATCTCCTGGATAAAATACTGTCAGACATTAAAAAAACTCTCTGGTATTCTGGTCACGCTATTATCACTCTTGGGCGTATGAACACATTGCATTATGAACTGAAAAATTACACCAAATTACACTCTGGGAACTACAACTCTCTCAAAGCCTGAAACAAACCACAACCATCCCTTAATCCAACAGATAGTCTCAGTACCTGAACAAACGGAGCTGGTAATAATCAAACATTCAGCTGTGTAAGCTCTCTAACACACACACATTTACCTTGTGAGCTGGTTCTTGTAGCTAAATGCTTTCTCTGCTGGATGACATGTTTATTTACACGCTCCGGGCTGATCTGCCAGCTCGGTGTTTGACAATTGTCAGAGCCGTGAGTGAATTAACAAATTAGACTTTGTAATTTAGGCAAGGTAAAGGTGTAATGTGATTTGTAAATTTGTTAGTTACTTTCTTTTATTGAATTATTTCATTCTGTGGTCATAGTCAGCAGAAAAATCTGAGGATCATGTGGGTTTGGGGGTGTTGTATTGGTTTAATTCAACAGGAAGTGGAAGAAAGTTAGAAATCTGGGTCGCTGTATTATTTTGTGGGCCTCTGTTTTTGATCGTCATGGTGATTGTGATTCAGAGTTCTGTGCATGTTATCCTGAGTTAGTGCAGATATTTATTTTGTCAACAAAAGGTGAAGCTCATTTTTCAGATCTCAGTCCAACCTGAGCCTCTCAGTGACGTAGTTACACGCAATTTTTAAAACTATCTTTTAAGGTGATGTCAGAAAGCAGCTGACAGCATTGAACTCAAAGCCAGCTGGGCAGCCTTAGCACAGCTCCCTTATGTCATGGCTGTAAAGCTCTGTTGTTTAGGTTTACCCATAAGATTTTTTACCCTTCAAATAAACCACATTACATGATCTCAGCGTTCAGGGCAGAAATATTGCACAGCCTTTAGGGAAGGTAAGCGATATGCAGTTTGTAAGACATGTTCTAGAGACATGTCCCTGAGAGAGGGACTAGGGACTGATTAAATCAAATCAAATTTATTTATATTGGCACGGAAAAATTTCCTTTTAACAGGTAGAAACCTTGAACAGAACCAGAGTCATGCTGGACAGGCACCAAGCCGCTGCTGGGTTGGGGAGGAGAGAGAGAGAGGAGTACCTATACATCAGATCTCTTTGCGTATTTAAATATCACACAGAAAAAATACAACGAAGCAATCCAAAAGACTTACAATAGCATCTAAATTAATACCTTAAACATCCATATCAGCTCTGATTTTCAAGTTGGTGCATTTCCTCAGAGTTTTACATTGTAGGCCTATTTTGGGACCCCGAAAAATGGACTTTACAACAAAACACTGATTCCAATTTCACACTTTGGATGCTTTCTTGACCTACAAGGAGCAAACCAGAACAACAGAAATGTGGTTGCCATTAATGCACGCCGCTCACTTTGTTAGCTTCATCACCTAAAGCATCAAATATTTTGTTTTTTGATCCACAGACTCAGGAAAGAGAGGCCAAGGCGGAGATGAGGAGGAAGGCCAAAGAGCTGCAGCAGGCTAGGAGGGATGCTGAGCGCTCAGGAAAAAAGGTGCCACCTTACGGCGGCTTTGGCAGCGCCGGCATGACCAGTGTCTCCTCAGGGTCCATCATCACAGACAACATCGTGGAGCCGGAGAAACCCAAGATCACACCAACTCCAGTCAGGTACCAAACACTTAGAGGTTAACCACAAGATTTAGTTTTGATAAGAGGCGTTTAGATGATGCTGTACTCTTTTCATGGCTGATCTCAAAGGATGTTTTTTGTTTCTTTTCAGACCAAGTGGACCCAGCAAGGCCCTGAAACTGGGCGCAAAAGGGAAAGAAGTGGACAACTTTGTCGACAAACTCAAGTCAGAGGGTGAAACCATCATGCCCTCCACAGGGAAGAGAGGCTCAGATGTTTCTAAAGTTTTACCACCACCTGTCAACGTGGAGAGGTGCGCACCAATCACCATTTATACCGTCCAGATCTGCTAAATTTGTAAACTGATAAAACTGCTGTTCATGAATCTCGTTACATCAGATCCATGCAGAGCTAGCTCTCTCATGTATGTATCAGAATACCATCTGAGTCTTGAGTGTAAAGGGTGTTTGTTTCCCTCTCAGTGTACATCTGCGTGTGGAGGAGAAAATCACATTGACATGTGGCCGTGATGGCGGCCTTCAGAACATGGAGGTGCTGGGTCTGGTGACGCTCCGAGTCACAGACGACAAAAACGGGCGTATCCGTCTCATTATCAACAACAATGACAACAAAGGACTTCAACTGCAGGTGCGTTGATCACACATTATTACATTTACATGCCGTGCAACAGTTCAGCTTCAAGTTACATAACTTATCTTAACTCAAGACTTTTTTTTCCATGAGTTTGCTGAATTTTGCGTCTGTCATGTCTCCTCAGACACATCCCAACGTGGACAAGAAGTTGTTCACAGCCGAATCAGTGATCGGCCTGAAGAACCCGGAGAAGTCCTTCCCCCTCAACAACGATGTTGGTGTCCTGAAGTGGAGACTACAGACCACAGACGAGTCCCTCATACCTCTAACTAGTAAGTCCTGAGACGAGAACCTCGCTGAATGAGATTCTGCACTTAGCTACATCAATTAAGACACTTGTCTCATGAGCCTGATAAATATGTCTGTCTTCTTCCTTTGTCCTGCAACAGTAAACTGCTGGCCTTCAGAGAGCGGTAGTGGCTGTGATGTCAACATTGAATATGAGCTGCAGGAGGAGAGTCTCGAACTCAATGATGTGGTGATCAGCATCCCTGTACCGTAAGTGTCTCTGCTGGACTGATGAATCCAATCTAATCCACTGTATTTATATTGCACATTTTAAGAAATGTTCAAGTGCTGCACAATAAAATCAAAAGAACAAACACTGCAGAAAACATCAAGATGAAATAAAGGCAAAAAACATTTAAAATGAAATAAAATAAATAAAATAAAAACAGAAAAGCACAGAAGAAATAAAAGTGATAAAAGGACAGGGATCACACAACTCTCATGCTGAGCTAAAAGCCAAGAAATAAAAACGAGTTTAAAGACGCGATTTAAAAGTAGAAAGAGTGGGGGATGATTTAATCTGGAGTGGAAATTCATTCCATTATCCACTCTGTATACTTCAACACATACCTGTAAAAGGCATGATTCTCTCTGCTTTTAGAACAAACATTGTTATGAGCTGTGACCCCTAGTTCCAGGAGTAGACAATGACTGTACATAAAAATTAGTCTAGTCTTGAACTCACTGCTGTCTGCATCAAAAGCTCAGAGAAATGACCTCCGGTCCCAGAGGCTGTAGTGTGAACTTGTTGGTGTTACCGTCTGCAGGTCTGGTGTCGGAGCTCCTGTGATCGGTGATCTAGACGGAGAGTACAAACACGACAGCAGGCGAAACGTCCTGGAGTGGTGCCTACCTGTCATCGATGCCAACAACAAGACCGGCAGCCTGGAGTTCAGCGTCGCCGGGCAGCCCAATGACTTTTTCCCCATCAACGTGTCCTTTGTGTCCAAACGCAACTACTGCGACATCCAGGTGGGTAACTGGAGACAGGTTTGTCCTGTCTAGAACAGCTGAAAACAATATTTCAAATAGAGCTCTTAACCTGAATTTATGATCGGCATTAATGTTCGGTTTAAAGTGAACAGCTGATTGTGTTTAATCGCTTGTGTTTGTTTGATTAATCTGTTGAATTCAAGGCTGTTTGTTTCCTGTTTTTTTTTTTCCAGGTTACCAAAGTGAATCACGTAGAAGGCGACAGCCCCGTTAGATTCTCTTCAGAAACCTCCTTTGTTGTTGACAAATATGAAATCCTGTAAAAATATTCAGAAAAAAACAACAACAAAAAAATCACCAACGGGGAAAAAAAGTCCAAATCTATGCTACAGAGAAAGATTGAAGATTTTCTTGCCTGCCCACCCTGTCTACTATTTCAGAGACTGTGTACATCAACAGGACTTTGCCTCTTCCTGTAGTGTGAGCAGAGCAGCGGTGGTGTATTTATATGTTTGTATGAGAGAGGATCATCTATATATAGAGTTAATTGAACAGGAAAGCCCAACAAACACACACACACAAACAAGGAAAAACCCACACTGATGCTGTTGTGTTGGCTGGACAGAACTGTAAAGACTGCGGGGGTCTTCTTCATCGATTAAAAACCTGAGACCAGAGGCCACGCTGTCTGCCTCCGCTAGAGATAATGAGTAGTTTCGCTTCCTCCACAACCTTTTCTTCTTCACTCTCAATGGTTCATCCATTAATCTCTAACTGGGGTTCTTCTTGCTTTCTTTAATTTCAGAGTTTCTTATTCATAATAACTGCAGAATTGTAGCTGTGTCAATCATTGTAATCCATTGTGATTTGATTATTGATATCTTATTTCTCTCTCTCTTTCTCTCTCTCGTGAGAAGTTTTTGGTCCTTCTCTGAATGAAAATCTGACTCTGTGCTTGGTATGACGTCTGTTCTGTCTGCAGTTATCATCAGCAAAACATGTCCTTTTTATTTTAAATATTTTTTACTGTTTGCTGTATAATTTGTTAAATGTTTACCACTAATCTGGATTTTGAAGTTTGGCAGGAAAGATCAGGACAATAGCAGAGTTACCCACCATCAAACATTGAAAAATCTCATCTGTTTGGCTTAGGATCTTTTTTTTTCCCCCCCTAACACCATTGCAGCCACTCCTCACTTTGTACAAAAGAGACGCCATGTTTTTCTCTGGTCCATTTAAGTCAGACGATCAGCGCTCAAATCTCACAGAGCATTAAATACTTTGAACACAGCCCAGAAACAACATCCAAGCCCCTTAATCTGACATCCCACCCGACGCCTATCAGATCAGAGGTGGAAGAAAATATGTGTTGGTCTCTCTCTCTCACACACACACAAAAACACACACACACACTCAGAGCAGTAACTCTCTACTGTTCACCCCACAGTCATCCTTCACTCACACTCTCACAGGACATCAAACATTATTCAACATTTAACATTCATCTTTCATGTTCTTGTTTGTTTTGTTTTTCTTTTTCATTTGTACTCCCCAAATTTCAATTTAGCAATGGTTGTGTGGACGCCGGGTTGAAAATGACTAGATTTGAGCATTTTTAACTAAATTTCTGAAGGGGAATCTTAACATTCCAGTGTACAATTAGAAAAGAAGAATCTTTAATGGAATAAAAATGTATTATTGAAAATGTAAGCGTGCCTCGACTTTTTATTTTTTTATAAACCCTTTCCCAGATAAGGTAGTATTTTTTTTTTTAATTTGTTTTTTGTTTTCCCCCAAACATCAATTGACATTTCTCTACTTTATTTCAAACTTCTTAAAATGAAATATGTCATTTCAGAAATGGTGTGGGATAAAGCGCAGACCCTACCTACCAGTTTTTTCTATTAAAATTTGATCCATTAAATCGAGGCCGGTAAATGTCAAAGCAAGGTGATTCAATGTGCTTTACAAAGCTAAAAACTAGATTTTAAAAACACCAGGCATTAAAGGTACAGTGTGCAGTTTTAGCAGCATTCAGCCAAACAGACTTGACAGAAACAGGATATAACGGTCTGAAAGTGTGTTTAAATTATGGTATAATCCATTGAATATAAATATTTAGATAATTTTAATGTAGAACAAGCTTTTTACAGCTTTATACTTAGCATATCTCTTTCCAAAGGCTTCTATTATGCACCACAGGAGCTCTTTGTTCTTGAAGGCAACAGTTGCTTTGTTGACAGGAGGGGCGAGCAAGGGAGTGTTTTAATCCAGGAACTGACTGCCGGGTATTCCTAAATATCCCCATTTTTACACAGTAAACCTTTTAGATTTGTCTCAATTAGGTCATTCATTAAATTTAAAATGGGATCTGGACCACTTTTATGTATATTATAAAAACCCATAAAATTCAAACTTCAAGATTGGTCAGAAGACACTTAATTTAACAGTGAAATTGGAATTTTTTCCTCTGTGTTGCTGCCTATCATTATGACTCTTTTCATTTCTTGAGTGGTAGCATCCTTAAAAGCTGTTTGAAACTCCCTTGAGGCTTTCATTCATCTTTTTCACCTTTTTTTGTAACATGCAAATAAATTAAACAAACCAAACTTTAGAAATATGTTAGATATTTTCACCATGAATTAAAGGCTTTTATAATGCAGTAGATTAGATATGCTCTGGGATTGTGGAAAAAGAGGATTTTGCCCTTGAGATTATTCACAATAATCAAGATCTGTGCTTGATATTATATATTCAAAAGTTTTAATTAGGACTTTTCAATTAGTCTAAGCTTTGGTGCCCTCTAGTGGACAAATGATGTGACACGTAGTCAGATTACCGGATTTTACCAGATCTATTAATCAAGATCTGGTTGTCTTTAAAGACTGATCTCATCAAGGACAACAGTCAGATGAATCACATGATCTTGGGCAGAACAAATGTTAATTTTCAAACCTGGTTCATCTTCTCTTCATTAAACCCTGCGTCTGTCCAGCTTGATTTACTTTTTTAGAACTGGATTTTTGATCATTGGTTTGTATCAGTTTTTAATCTCATAAATACTGCTGAAGTGAATGAACATTTTGCATACATGTCTGCGATGACTAGGCTCTGTCACCTCTCTGCTCTCATCCTGTCTGCTCACCTGTAACAACAATGAGGGACAGAGTACAGAGACTAAGCATGAAGCCATGAGTCACAGCTCATTCTTCTACATGCATGACTCACATGGGATTTTGTCTGTTTACTCTGTCAATGAGCTTTTTGGCTTTGTGAACACTTCAGTCTAGGGTCCTACCTGCAGCTTAAATCCGCCTGAGAATGCATTTAAAATAAAATGATGAAATGTAACACAGATACATTGTAAAATAATGAATCACTGTTGATTGATTCAAAACCTAAAAGGATGTGAAGTATTAAACTTATGTCACCACATTCATCTTAACATCCAAACATACATTACATACATACAGGTCACTTTATTTTATGTACTAGATTGGCACCTGAGAGGGTCCAGGTCATTGCATTTCATCTACTGAAAGGGCATCCAGAGGGAGCTTTATTTACATTTTATCAGCTGGATGCTTGCACACGGGGATCCCAGAAAATCTTTGAGGAAGTACTTTGCCAACATTTCATCCATTGGAAAGGCATCCAGAGGGCACTTTGTTTACTTTCATGTACTGGAGGGGCATCCATGGGGAGCTTCATATACATTTTATCCGGTGGAGGGGCAATCAGAGGGCGCTTTGTTTACACTTTATCCATTGAATAGGTAACTAGAGGGTACTTTGTTTACACTTGAACTACTGGAAGGGCATCTAGAGCGCTACTTCTTTAGTCAATCAATTGAAAAGGCAACCAGAGGGTACTGTTTACATTTTATCTGTTGAGAAGGCATCCAAAGGGTACTTTGTTTCCCCTTATCAATTTGAAAGGCATTCAGGGAGCACTTTGTGTACATTCTTTTTTTTATCCAGAGGGCCACTCAGAGGACATTTTGTTTACATTTTTACAGTGAAAATATCCAGAGAACGCTCTGGTGAAGTTTCATATACATTTTTATCAATCAGAAGAGAGCACTTTTCCGAGATTTTCAGATGTAAGAGAACCAGAGGCTGACAGACCCTCTCTTAAAGGGATATTCCAGCGTAAAATTAAGTTAGGGTCAAACACACTGCAACACCGATTTAGACACCCCGTCGAGAGATGAATGTTGCTGACCGCTTGCTTCACTAGTCATACCAACTTTGGTAATGACCGCAGGATAGCAGTACACAGCGGTCTACATCTCTACGCGCACACCTCAACCCAAATAATGCTCAGAACAGCACCTACCTTCATCAACAGTACATATAGGGTCCCAGCCATAGCACTAGCCACCAAACATCTTTATAACTTTGACGAAACACAACTAACCCACTCTCTTCCAGCAGCTGCTTTTTTTGTATGGAGACCTCCGGGCGAGTCCATCGACCATTTATGATAATTTCTTTATCATTTCCTTGAAGTAACAATCATCATATTCATCATTTTGCACTGCAGACGCGGTAGTTCTTCCGCCTTAGTATCTCGGTCTGATTGCATTTCCATTGGAAAGTAAACAGAAAAAGTCCCATGTGAGTCATGTATGTAGAGGAATAAGCTGTGATTCATGGTGTGTTACAGTGTGTTTGACCCTAACTTAATTTTACACCAGAATATCCCTTTAACCACCTTTGACTACACCACTGTGCTAAATTATTATTACAATGAAAAGGGATGCAGGGAACTGCAGTATTTTGGACATCAGTTGTGCCCCATCTTTCAGCTCTGTAGGTTTCTGCTTGTTTTATTTTTGTGGCAGCAATGGGGTCAAGGGTCAAACAAACTCTTCTCAAAGCGACAGCAGTTTTTCAAGTAGTTGTTTTAGTGCCTGTGGTGTTTCAGTACATAAAAAAACCTTTACAATTCATTGTTTAAAGATATATTTTTCAACTTGGACATTTTAAGAACTTTTCCTAAAGTTTTGATTGTTTGGACTTATTGGAGTGTAAATGATGTCTTTTCTTAACAGATGGATGGTGAGACAGAAGAGGAAATATCTGATGCTGAGTGAAGATGCAGAGACTCTTCTGAACAGATGGGTGAACGCTGTGAGAAGAAGAGCATGAGGGGGAGTTTGAGAAAGCTTTTAAGGGTGTGGGGGGTTAAGTTCGAGACAGCTTACCGGCAGCCATATTTGGACTGTCGGGGGTGTTTTAGTGGAGGAGGATGGGGTGTTAATAGCTGCTCTCCAGTCGTAAAAGAGGGTGTGTCTTTTTCTGGATGAATGAGCAGACTGATCAGCTTTGTGAGGGTCTCAGAGGGGGCAGAGGGAGAGGGGCGAGCAGGGCACACACACATACACACTCACTCTGTCTCCGGTTGTCTCTGGTTAAACACACAGACCTCATTCTGCAGAGCGCACACTGACTCAGCTCGGATGTTTTGACTGGATTAGGAACCACAGGAGCGGCTGACTGGACTTTAGTTGGAGGCCCGTTTTTCCCTGAATGGAGTGTGGAGTTAAAAAAGTTTGACAGTTTCTCATTTGTGTTCCTGTCTGCTTGACTGGAGTGAGGATGATGCTGAAGAAAGTGCGATTCAAGGTAAGAAAATGTTGTCTTATGTGTGTTGATATGTCTTTCTGGGTTTAATCTGTATTACTGTGTGTGTAGAGTAAAAATAAAACCAAGCTGTAAACTGGGGGAGTTTTACTCTTACTTAAGTCAAATGTTCAACCTAGAGAAAAGATGGAGCTGAGTCCAGAAACCTGCTTTTTTTTTTTAGCATCAATCTAATGTAGATCTCAGCAGGTGTTTTGTCCTATTTCAAGTTAAATAAGTGTCACATCAGGCTGAATTTAAGCTTCATTCACATGAACATAGCTTATTTCAAGTTAGAACACTCAAAAAATAAAAGATGAATTGCAAGAATGAAGAAAAAGTACTTATTGTGTTTCTTAAAGTGAGAAAACAACTTATTTCCAGAACCTAAAAAGTATATTATTTCTTATTCAATTGGCAGATTTATTTTTTTTAACTCATTACAAGTAATTCAGTTTATATATTTTGGCATAAAATGTCTTGAAATGACTTGGGTGAATGTGGCTTAAAGCTCCTGTGAGGAGTTTTTGGATTTTCATTATGATGCCTTTTATAATAAACAAAAGCACGACAACAAAAGTGATGATTTTTAGATTTCAATTTTTAATGTCTAAAACTGGTATGAGATGGTAGGTGTCAGTCAAGCAGCTGTGTAACAGGACCTGTTGTAACCTTTTCATTCTAAAATATTCACAATAAATGATAAATGTGACTGTTAACAGTCCGAATCAGGACTTTTTTGATCTCAGGAGATATTACCTGAGCAGGATAGGAGCCTCACAGGCCCTAAAGTAGGCCCTATCAGACATTTTATACAAGACAGAAAACTAAAAAGACTCACTAAGATTTCAGGCTTTGCAGTGTGCTACAGAGACATCGCAGCTTTAACTGCATGTCACCTCCTGCCTTTACAGTGATTTGAATATACTGCATGACATGACTTTTTCCTTTATAAACCAGAGTGCACACCTTTGAATGGGATGACTTTCAAAGTAAGAGCTGGAAAAATGCTTCACAGAGCTCACAGAGAAAGGACAAAGATTTGCAAATCCTCACCTACATCTTATTAACGGTTATCAAAAG